TATACGGTCTTTACAAACGGGATGAGGGGGCCGCTCTTGCCGAGACAATCATGATGATAGAGGAACGCCTAGCAATTGAGATGAGCATAGCTCCAACTACAATCAGCGGCCAGCTCAGCATTCTCAACTCGACACTTGCTGCAAGTCCGTCTCCTCCGCCATCGGAGGTAGACATCAGAACACCAGGCCTAGTAATTCCACAGGGGGCACGAATTCGACCGCATGGCGTTTTTCGCCCACGAGACGGCTACCCTCCCGACGCAACGGAGAAAGATATTGCCGCGTGGAAAAGAAGCGATGAGCAGCCTTTTATGCAATACTCGTGGAACGAATACGATCGAGCCAGCAACATGTGGACAAGGGTTTACGGATACGTTCCCCTGGGTCCTTAATTGCCATCGACACCCATGGACTAGAGACTGGAGAAGAAACATCATGAGTCATGCCGAAATGATCACGAAAATCTCAACATAATGGATGCATCAACAATTTCCAAATTTCCAAACTCAAACGATGCATTTTGTCGCATGTTTCCACATATCGGAGATTTACTAATAGCCTTGCTGTCAATCTGAAAGAATTATACGTATCTACCGAGACATATAGACTACTGGCGATATGCCACGCTTAATCTGAACCAATTTATGTATATTATAGGTTTGGAATACAATACAGTACGTATGCCATCGTGAGAACCTCGGAAAAACTCCCGATGGACAGTAGCGCGTGCTGGCCATGGGATATGAAAAACAAAGAAAGACAGCCTAGAGAGTATGTACGTGACACGAACCCTGGCGTCGCCTGTGATAGGCGCAAAGAAATAAATAAATTAAACGTAAATGCGGATCGGGGCAGAGAGGAGGCTAGGAGAATTTTGATGTGGGCCGGAACCGGCTCTGTTGGGTCTTTCATGCACTGAGCTGTCTATACGCCAACTGCATACATCAACACGAGCGACCTGCTCCAAAGGCTTGCTCTAACTTGATCACACTGGGAGTGCGACACGTGGAATGTCGTACCCATTCAGAGTGCCAAGCTGCATGGGTAAACACTGGAGTCGGCGACCTGCCCATATCGCTGCCGTACCTTTACGAGTGACTTTCCACAACGCGCACTGGTGCTGCTGCGTACACATTACATGGTTCCATTTTACGGAGATATCGGAAGTAGACATGTCGGAGGTAATACTTTAAAGATTTTTTTGTTGAGCTTCAAGTTGTTTCAAGTCTGTTGAAGCATCAAACAAATGAGGGCGGGAACCACGGTTTTGCTCTGCAGAACCGTGGATTCGGAGCCGAGTGTGCCACCGCCGACCAGTCACTCGATCGCTGTCTGGGATACGGCGGATATATTCATCTACTGTCCGGTAGTGTCGGGTAACACCTAGTCTTCGATTTTATTTTGCTGTGGATTAGTTTTCCACGTGGCGAGTGTCAGTGCCGTGTCAGACTTAGTGCTAGAGAGTATGGGGTCTGGGGATACTCGCACCAATGACATGTCTTGGTAAAGGCTACGAGTAGTGAGGTTGGAAAGTGTTTCACGGGTGGTTTGTCTGTTCAATGTAACGGAGTATGATATTACTAGTAGTATGTAGGCGATAGTATGGATGCTACGACTAGTACTAAAGGACCAAGGTACTAGACCAGCAGGCTTACTATAGTATGAATGGTCGTAACTTGAGATATACTAGTATAATGTCCTTTCAAAAATTGAATGATGGAAAGAACACTCAACAAGTTTGGCAGACAGATCTGACATGAATCATGTCTTTCAGTCTTTCACTTTTCAAGGTTGACATGGACCATCAAAACTTGAAAAGGACCCCAGTGTTGATTTTCAAGGGTACCAAGGCAGCTGTAGTAGCGATAACCCGTCCGATGAGGATCGGGTATCCAAGCAAAGGCTGATTGAACCTCGGTCAGAATTGTGATGTGATTCCTTGATTGTAGCAGAATTAGTATTCTGTAGCAGTCATAGTACTCGTGGTCAAGTATGTATACATGACACACCGCGATTCGTTAGCGAGCTCCCGGGGGGGATTATCGACCGTCCCATATTCCCGTTGGCCAGTGAACGCAGAGCAAGGATGCATTTACCCGATTCGACTCCGGACTGGCGTCAGCAGGAGAGGATATTGTCCACCAATGAATGGATGAAACAGGTAACAGGGAGACTCCGTCGCAGTAACCGCCTCAGGAGAGATTGTGGCAAAGGGGCCCGAAACAGAGGCGAAACAAGCGAGACGCGAAAACGAACCAACGTCAGCTGGCTGAGCGCAGTGACCGTTGGTTCAGGAGATCTTTATTTTTAGAAGGTTCATGGTGAAACGTTTCGAGTTCACGAGGCATCCGGATCCACGACCAGGTATTGGCAATCTAGTTGGAACATGCAACGCCGGTGGAGTAGGCTTGAATATCGAAGAATACTCGTAGGCACGGAGTAATCCGTATGTACTCCGTACATAGTGTGGGAAGGAGATATCTGGAGGAAAGGACGGCGGCATTGCGCATACTACACATAATGGTGTGTCTGGACAAAGAACTAGTTCTACAATGTATGCGGAGGAGAGTAAGGACAGAGTATCATATAGCTACAATACTGTACATACTTACATGTGTACAGGTTGTATGTACCGACATTTGTACTCCGTACCGTACCACACTTCAATCTGAGAGCTTTCATATGATAGCGGCGAGTGGCACTGGCACTACTTGCTGATGCCTTACTTCGCCTCTCCACCAAGTTTCAGGATGGCGGGTTACCACGTGGAAAAGAGGCCGATCATTTCGGTTCCCACAGGCGATCACGACTCCCCGTTTGACCGATAACAAGTCCATTGGACTGGGAATTGGAATGGAGTTGATGGACCGTGTGGATGAAGATATTCGCAAAATGACCTCACAAGCAGCTCCATTGTAACGCAGAAATGAGAAAGAGTCGTCGTATTGCCGAACCGTAATGGGAGGTGATCGCCCGCAAGCAGCCAGGTATCGATGATAGGCTGTGGCCACACTCCGCCCAGGGGGCCACTAGCGCCTACTAGTGCGGGTTTGGCGTGTTTCAGAGTCACCAACCCAGATCCATTGCTCGGAGGGTTTCAGAATGGAGTTGGATACTCGTATGGCTTGGCTTCACCGAAAGACTGCAGTGGCAAGGGTTGATTCAGCTATTCAGCGGAGGCAGTAAAGTGGTGGTGGTGGGAGTAGTAGTATTCCTCAAGGTATACTCCGTGCTCCGTTCTCCGTACTCTGTACTCTGTATGATATGGTAAGATGGTAAGGTATTTAGAGCAGGCAGTTCCATGGGTCAGACCGGAACCAGCCAGCCTGGGTAGCCCACCGTTCACCCGTGTTGACTCCTTGTTTCCGTCTGGTTGTACTCCGTATAAGTAGTTACATACGGAGTGAACAGGGAACCGTGCACGCCCTCTGAACACATTAACACAATCAGACGGGTCGGATAGGTCCGAATTTGGAATTCCCAGAATCGCCTTGGCCAAGACGCAGCCTCCCCCCCCCCCCCACACATCCCGTCTTTCATCCTCTGCTCCTTCGTCCTGGAAGTTTCTCGAGTGGGTGGATCGGTGTCACCTCTGGGCAACTCATATTCGACCAGCCTCCTTGTCTTATCCCCACCAGCGATGGAGCCAGGTCCTTAAAGGGAACCTTCCAATCACACAGCCCCATCTAATTTCATCGCGTGCCCTAGGGTATACTACTCCGTACTGGAGGGGGGAAGGGACGCGAAATGTCCCCGAGGCTCAGCTTTACTTTGTAGAGAAAGTGGGACGGGGGGTAGCGATGTGGAAGTGGGACCGGGCTTTTTTTTCTTTTCGAGAATAAACCAACTCGCACACCATAGGCTGTGTGGAGGTAGGAAGAGACTGGATACTCTGAAGAGTAGACCAACCAAGATGCCAGGTAACGAGGGGAAAGGAGTGTGAACCTGCGGGAACGAACGGCATGGGCCTCTCAGTTGCGTGCATTTGGCGCCGAAGCTGTCTTCGCAAGGGCGGCTAAAATTAGAGCTGCAAGTGGTGATTGGCTGTAGACGTATAGTTACAGATCGAGTGTACTGAGTGTACTGAGTATACCGAGTATACTTGTATGATACCGATACAGTGACCAAACTCCTCCGCTGCTCCTGCTCCTCTCCCCTCCACACCATACCATACCGTACTGGCAAATTACAGTGGGGGCAATCGAGATCTCTAACACCGTAGTCCGTACAGAGTACAGAATCTAAATAAACCATTGGCAGTAAGGGTCCTAAACCTCCCCAAAACTTCCCCCCCTCCATCATCTTCACCTTTTTCACCTTTCACTTCCCTCCCTGACTGTACGAGGTTTCATCATCTTGACCTCTTTTTTCCTTTCCCTTTCCTTCCCTTTTCCACATTCCTGTTCCCCGGAGGAACCACCGCCCACCCATTCAGGCCCTACCCGGCATTCTCTCCAATTCAACCGCCTTTCCCTTTCTCTCCCTCTCGTTCTTTTTTTTTAAATCACCCTTTCTCGGTTGTCTCTGTCACTCCTTCGATCCCTTCGCCCATCTTCAATTCGCTCCGCGCCCTTTGTCCACATCTGTTGCGCAACAACCACTCGGGCCAACTCTTAATCTAGGTACGTTTGTGACCACCCAGTGGGATCCCCCGTCACCTCCACCACCAAATGCATCGTTACGAAGGAAAATAAGAGACGTGAGGTCTTCTTGGGAAATTCAACTCGTGTCTGGGAATATTTCCTACCGGCTTTGCATAGTCGTCGATCATTATTCCAACCCTTGCTGCTTGCTGCTTGCCACCTAGATCATCTTGGAAGCATAGCTGACATCACCTTGAAAAGGAACCGCGGGCCTCATTTGCGCAGGCAGCAAACTTACCTCCACACTCTGATCACAACGAATGCCTCTCTAGCCTGGCTGCCCTTGCCCTCCTGTGAAATACCGCGGTGGGCTTGAGAGGGTCCTTCCTTTCCACCCACCACTACAGACCCCGAACGATGCCGGTACAAACCAGTCCACCGTCCTTCCCGGACTCGTTCCCGTCGTTCATGTCCGTTTATGGTGGTCTGCCGCAGCGATATAAAGAGGAAGAGAACGTGATCCATCCTCTTCAGGTTCCGACCCATATTCCTGTGAATACTACATCAGCTCGGCGCTTGCTACCATCTCCCAACCCCCATCGCGAGAGCATCTCGTCGATGACCTCGACCTCCACAGAATCCTCTCCTACCACGACGATTTCGCCCTTTGACTCACCTTCTGGAGGGGATATTTCCCCCAGCTCTTCGCCGGAATCTCCTTCCGCCATGCCCCTTTCCTACCCTAAATTCACACCTCCCGTACGCCCTCTAGATGTGGCGCCGAGGTCCATGATGTCGGCCGACAGCACCCGACTTTTGAGCTCGCCGAACATGGCCCGTTCCGATTCCAGCGGGAAACGCGCGCGCAACTTGAAGAACCTGAGTTTGCGTGTGCCCCAACCATCGCAATCAAGACCGCCAATTGCAACTGCCTCGGTAATGGAGTCAACTTCCAATACCCACCTTTCTGCGCCACCATCTCCCATCCCAATGGCCCCTAAGACCGGCCGTCGACGCCCCGCCAACCTCACTATCCAAACACCCGCTTTCGACAAGTCCTTCTCAGAAAAGGGTGCTGATCTTGTCCCGCCAACTCCGCTCGGGCACCAGTCATTGCGACATGCTGAATCCTCGCCATCTCTCGCCTCGATCACATCCCCTTCCTTTGCTCCACGTGGTGGCATGCAACTTCCACGCCCAATATCGCACCATGGGTTACGCCCGCTTTCGGGCACTTCTTTCGAGGACACGATCACTCCTATGACATCCCTGCAGGAGGACAGCTCTTCTTTCTCAAGCCGAGTTCTTCATGGCTTGAAAGAGGAGGATGATCATCCAGACTCTCGAGAGTCAACCCGCAAAACGTCGCGTGGTTACCCGAATGGACCCGTTCGGATATACGATTCTGGAGTGTTTTTGTACCTCGAGCCTACTGCCGAAGAAGCTGCCAAGTTTGATGTGGTGATCAACGTTGCCAAAGAAGTCGCCAACCCATTCGACAACCAGAAGGGGACAGAGCGTAATAACACTGTAATGAGCACCTGGCGCAATGCATCCAGAGCTTCGAAGCGATTTTCCAACGGTGATCCTCAAACTGCCATCTCTGAAATTTCTTTTAAATCCGCCTTTGAGTTCCAGCCTTCCGACTCTGAATCGGCCACTCCGACTCCGACAACACCAACGCAAACCTCCATGTCTACAACACCGGAATATCTGCATGTTAGCTGGGACCACAATTCGGAAATTCTCGATGATTTGCTGCCACTTTGTGAACTCATCGACGACCGTATTGACGAGGGCAAGAAGGTTCTTGTTCATTGCCAGCTTGGAGCCAGTCGCTCTGCGTCGCTGGTGATCGCCTACGGCCTTTACAAAAACCGACACATGGACTTCAATTCGATGTATGAGCAGGTCAAGGCGCGCAGTGAATGGGTCGGTCCCAACATGAGCCTCATCTACCAGCTGACGGACTTCCGCTCGCGGCTGCTACGAGGAGCCTCATCGAAACCCGCTCCTCGGGAATGGTTTGTCTCGACCGGCCGCAGATGCTCTGAACCCCAGGTGACAAGAGCCGAACGAGAAGAAGCTATGGAGCGTGCTAAATCGCCTTTCCGTGGCCTTGCGCAAGCGCCTTCAATGGGCTACTTGACCCTGCCATCCACGAGTCCGGTTCGACCGAAGACCAGCGATAACGGGAACAAATCGCCCAAACGCAGCCTCTCCCTCGGCCACTACCATTTCGCCAAAAGTTCCAGTCAATCGAACCTGCATCGGGTCGCCCGCGAGGCTTGCCACGCAGTGTTAGCAGCTGCGATCCTCTCGTTCAGACTCATGTCTTCGTGCGTGACGCTCCCGGCCAAGGACCGGGTGGAATATTCTCACCCAGAACCTCGGGGTTCATGGTTCCCCCTGTGCCGTCCATTCCACCGCAACATCTGAGAATCGATCGTTCTGCTGCAGCTTCTCCTCCGCCTGTTGCACCTTCGTCCAACCCCGCCCAGTATGCCAACAAAACGGCAGACCCTCGTTCTCCTCCAACAGGAGGTGAGCTTCTTATCATGAGGAGCATCGACGAGTTCCTTTAATCGGCGCCTGGTATTCTGAAGTAGCTCTTCGAATCCAGGGCCTGAAATGAGTCTACGACCTGACATTTCTGCATGTCTTATCGATTCTGAAAGAATCATTTATTTCTTCAACACCGGCCTTTCTCTTTTTGCCAACCTTCTACTTCTCCAGTCATATACCCTTTTGACCGGACTGATGATGCCATGACCAAAGCGGGCTTTGCTGTCGCTCATCGCCTTTTACCATTACCTTCTATTTGCAGTCGGCAGGTCTCACACTCGAAACCCGCCGAACCTATTGCTACACTTTTCCTCCCCCTCCTTGAATTCATTTCCGGCGTCATGGGTGCGAAAATGAATACCACGGACTCATCCTGGGAGAAACCATCGAACCCCTTGAGTCCGGGTAACTGTAATACTATTATTTTGGAGGATAACTGCGCCAACCACATTTTTACACCTTGCATCAGTTGTGCCTCATGCCAACCCAGCCTTCGCTTATCTTTCCTTTGACTCTTGTCACATCTGTTGATGTGACAAGGCCTTCGTTATCTCTCTTTCCCTTGCTTCTGGTTCCTGAATTCCTCTCCCGTGCGCAAAACTTCTGCGATGCATCGGTCGAGGACGGAATAACAAATACCCCCTGTGCGCAGTCTATAGAAATGGAAGCCTCGAGCTTGATCTATAATTGATTCCTGTCGTAGTATTGTAAGCTATAGTTAACCTATTTAACCCGTAGACACTACTCATCCTAACAGGAAAATCATCTACTCAACAAGGAATCATTAATTTGGTTCCAGTTGTCCCATGGTGGAAGGGTCCATGTCGACCTTACCTCAGGCCCACGGCCCGGGGCTAGATTAAGGTAACCTCTGGGGAGGTGATAAAGCGATAAGGAACGTCACCCGAATTTTTCCACGCAACCAACAACCTCACACGAACCACAAAATGACAGAAGAAGCTCATCCAACCTATCTATCGCCCAGTGAGCTGGGCACAAAAGACTAGTAAGTGCCATTGAAGCTCCTATACGCACCGATAACCCCCGAGCTTGCTCCAAGTGACCCCGCGAGGGGCAGCAGAGGGCGGGGTATACGAACTGTACCTGGGCGCCCTTTTTTTTGCTTTTTTTTACACTACCATTCGCTGGTTTTTTTTTGCCATCCCCATCACAATTACGATCAAGAAAATTGACCAAAAGCTAACTGTAATCACCACCTTAAGTTGGGAAACATACTACGCCCGCACGCTCGCGCACATCTCCAACCCCACCGCAACAGAAGAGCAGGAAAAAGAACAAGAAAACGCTCACGATGAGACCGCCCATGACGAAGATTCAGATGCAGACTCCGTCAATGACGAGGATGACCCCGGCACCTCCTGGTTCTCTGAACATAATGCCCCGGAAAAAGTGCTCCGTTTCCTGACGCGCTCGTCCTTCCCTCTCTCCCCGCGAGCCACGCGCGGGTCTGCGCAACCGAGTGTTCTTGACCTGGGAACGGGAAATGGAAGCATGCTTGCCCTCTTGAGGAAAAAGGGTGGGTTCCGGGGAGAGCTGGTTGGGGTGGATTATTCGGCGCAGAGCGTTTGGTTGGCGAGGGAGTTACAGCGGACGAGGGGCCATTCGGCTTATCATACTGATTCCGAGGATGAGGAGGATTCTGATGAAGATGCAGGTGGTGATAGGACGGGAGACTTGAGTTCAGAAAATGCTCTTGTCGAGCCTCGTGAGATTCAATTTGAGGAATGGGATATTCTCGGTTCCAAGGCTGTTCTCTCCCCATTTGGGACAGAGGTCTCGCCCGCTGATACGGATGAGACGCTTTCGTGGTTTCCGTATGCTCGCGGTGGATTTGATATCGTGCTTGATAAGGGGACTTTCGATGCTATCTCCTTGGCTGGGGATGCGAAGGATACCCAAGTTTGTGAGCGGTATCCTGGTATTGTGCGCCGGTTGATTCGGACTGGAGGGTTCTTGATTGTAACGAGTTGCAATTGGACGGAGGAGGAGCTTGTGCATTGGTTTACGGCTGCCGAGGGTTCTGACCGGTTTATTGTCTGGGGCAGGGTTGAGTACCCCCGGTTTAGATTTGGGGGACAGGAAGGACAGGGTGTGTGTACAGTCTGCTTCCAGAGAGTTGTGTCTTAGGTTTTTCTTGATACTTATTTCAAATTCCTCACGAATGATGTCTAAATATGCAAATGGTATTTTCTATCTCATCTAACGGACCGGGTTTCGTTGTCATTATCATAGTATGGTCTCAATGGGCATGCTGGAAAAAGACCCTATGGAACCCGTCCTTGTACATTCGTAAGCGAGAGGATACAAACGCAAACCTAAATGTAAATGCAGGAGTGACCTCACTCCTCGGCCCGTCTCAATACGCAAATAATGCACCACCTTGCACGAGTCCCAGGGCCCTCGCCGTCTCGCTTGGGCAACCATTCCCGTCGAATCTCACGGCCATCGTCATATTTTGCCATGATATCCCGCTCAAAAATCCTTTCGATTCTGAGGCCGTTCTTGAGAGCAGTTTCGAAGAAGTGTGCGACGGTAGCTCGGCCTGTATGAAGCGCTGCGACTACACACACATGGCCCCCGGGGGCTAGGAAGCACTGCATTGTGCGAGCGAGATTCTCGTGCTGGCCCCTCATCCAGTAGCAATCAGCAGCGATGATGCGGGTGAAGGCGCCTCGGTTCTGTTGGGAAAATGGATCGTCCAAGACGCCCCACTCATGTGGCTGAATGGAAACATTGGCCGGGGGTATTGGTGAGAGGTTACATAGATTGTGGTCTATATTAAATTGGATGGCACCTGCCAATGCGGGGGACAAGGGGTGGTCCGTTGCGACGACGGTGGATGCATTGGCAAGGCTGCTGATGAGGGAGGGAAGCCCGGCACCTGGCGAAGCAATAAGTATCAGTATCATAACTCAGCAGAGGATCATTATGGAGCTTCTTCGTAGAGCAATAACGAAGAACGAATATAGGACCTCCTTCAAAAGGTTGTGACTTACCAGCGCCTAGACACTCTGATCTGTGACATTCCAAATCTGGTACGCCTCTCTTCCCATCGCCGTGGGATCCGTCGCGTAAATATGCGCATTCTCGATACCCTCTGCAGCGATCAGACCTGAGCTCCACACGAAATGTGCGAATAGTGTCCGTCCCTCTTGGACTCGACCTGTGTCATCTGCACCTCCATTCTGTTTTGTGGCCGTCTCTCCCTCGTCGGTGGCAGCTTTGTTCTGTGTCGGGTAGGAAGGCACTGCGATCTCGAGATCACCAAAGCCTGGGGACGTGTAGAGAAGATGCTGGCCTGGATTGCCGAGGAACGCGGGGCATCGTCTGGGAAGAGGTTCGGTATGGACGACTCGAAGAAATCCTCGGCTGTTTCTTCTATCTCGTTCTGATCATTGTCCTTGAAGTCCGGTGCGGGTGCGGAAGCTATAGAAGTAGCCTGATGGGGACGGCGGAGGGGGCGCACACGAGAGTGTAGCATAGTAGATTTTCAAGTTGGTCTATTTTGTTTTTGAGCAGACTTCTGGCACTCCACGCGTATCCAGGTTCCCTATCGAGGTTCCACGAGATGTAATTGTAATTGTTGCAATTGCAGTCAAGGTAACTTCGTATCCAGCACACCTTGAAGATAGGGTCGTCACATTAGGTATAATTCTCTTACTCGTATCGGGCTCCTAAAAAAAAGAAAGTTGTTTGTAGTGTTTGTGACGAACATGTCATCATAGTGGAGCTGGGTTCTGATACAGAGTCATGGAGGGGCCATTGTCCATTGTGTTGGGATGCGAAACATCCCATTTCGACCCTGGGCCGGTATCATTTGCAGTTATTTTTTGAATTGTTATGGTGATTTGCAGGTGAATAGAGAGCTGATCGAATGGTTATCGAATCTGCTGGAATACTTTTGTATTTATTTTTTTATTTATTTTCCCGGGTGAAAGAGATCAGCAGCGCCCTTCCCCCCGGGTGTCAGCCGCAGGAACCCCGGCCCATGTTTTATGCGAGGAATGGAGCCGGGACCGGAGCTTGAGAATGTGCCAGAATGGTTTGTTTCGATGGGCGCAAAGGCCCAGAAGTAATGCAGCTGAGCCAAGGGGGACAGCTGGAGGGGGCAAGGATCCTCGGGCTTAGCGCTCGGGCTGGCGCGAGAGGAGATCTGATCGTCGGGAATGCGAGTCCAGCTGGACAGGCTGTGCGGGCTTACTCTGTACAGGCCAGTGCGGGCCAATGCCAGTACTAGTGCTAGTGCCCAGTGCCCGGGAGGTCGAGGCGTACTCGTACCACAGTGGGATAGCTCTGGTGAGGTGTAGCCATAGGAGAGTAGATGTACGAGTAAATGAGGTGCAGTAGTACGCCGCACTCTGTACAGACCAACTTTGTATACTACTACTACTACTACCTCTACTATGAGTGGCAGTAGCAGCAGTGGCAGTGCCCATCACGTAATCAGGTAATCCCATGACTTCCCCTATCGCTACCCTGTTTGGAGGATGACATCACTGCCTCCACTCGTGGCCAGCCTCTAGACCGGTCGATGTGCTGCAGGTGATCAACTCTCTCCTCCTCCCAATCTGACTGGCTCATTCCAGCTTGACTAACTAAGTCACTTGGCCCTCCCGTTGTTCATCCTCGTTCGTTATTGTCCATCAGGAAACCATTTCCCTCGCCTTTTCGGGGGCGGGTGATCGTCAGGCAACAGATATGCCATAGTACTCCAGCACTCCCGTACTCGTTGTTCTATTCCCTGGGCTTTCTTTCCATCCAATGCAGGCAGCAACCTGATAGAACGTGCCAGGCTGCCTTGTTCGGTCTGACCCTCGACCGTCCCATTGTCGGGCCCTGGGGTTCCAGATCCATCCGTGGTCCAGGGTGTCTGGCAGCAAATCGCAAATCGCCGACTGCCAAAAAAAACCACCCTAACTAAACTCTGCCCTGCAGGGTATCTTCCGAGGGGAGGGGAAGGGGAAGGAGAAGGAGGGGGGGACCTTTTAGGCTCTCTCTCCATTGGGGATACATATACCTCTCCTGTAAGTAGAGGGGGGGGTTGACATCAATTTAGAAACCCGTACGGAGTACAAGCCACATATTCGCATTGTCAGGTTCACTGTCCATGCGACCCGGATCAGAAGCGAAGTGGAGCCATGGTTATCGCATCATCCGAGAGGGCCTTGCGACGCACAAAACGTCGCCCCTCTACAACAAAGAAGAGAGAGATCTTTTTAGATTATTCAGTACCCTGTAGTAAAGGAAAAAAAGGCTATAGAAGAAAAAAAAAAGGTAAAGTGCTACATGAAAACGAGTAGATCGAACCAGATTTATCGCACTGTGTTACAAGCGAAGATCCTCTTTGCCCCCCCCGCATGCTCAAAGGGAGAAGCCCCCGCAAAGCAATGAGCCATTTTGGTGGGCCACACCATACCGGGACCTGCTCCTCCTTCTTTCTCCTCTTTCTCCCCTTCCTTTTTTTTTTTTTTTTGGGAATTCCTATTCTCTCTCTAGTCATTACCACTTCCTCGCTCGTCCCCATCTATCTTCCAACCTTTCGCTCTTCTCTTCTTCTCATCTCTCTCTCATTTCGATACTCACCACTCAGATCTCTTATACCTACTACTCCCATCCCAACAAACCCACTAGCCGCTCGACCCTCCGCGTCATTCCACCCATTTCCACTCGGAATTGAGTGCCTCTCACTACTCTAGGGGCTTTCAAAAAGATAGATTGCCAGAAAGCCCTCCCACAATGGCCTCATTCAAGGTATGTGCCATTCACGGAACCTACTTTGGGTGTCCTCTCTCTCCCCCATTTCTCCCGTGTTCCTAGTCCACCCCGGTGCTAATGATGTGTCACCGGTCCACCCGTATAGGAATTGTCCCTCTCGCGTCCTCTCCCCCCAAACCAGCGTCAACACGCACACTCAATCTCTCTCGGTGCCGTCAATGCCAATCATCGCGTAACGCGTCGAAAGAGTGTCACCACCGCCGCTGCCAATGCCGCCGCCGCGGTCGCCGCCTCTTTCCAGGAAGGCGGAGAGTCTACCTCGCTCCCCATGGGCGCGCACCGCCGCAGCCTGGGTGGCCGCAAGGGACTGGAATCTACTTCGGTCGGAGGCGCCTCGGGATTCAGTTCGTATCTCTCCCGGAGTATGAACAGCCCTAGCCAGGAACCACCGGTCGCCCGCAAGGCTTCCCCGAGCAACTCTGATGCGGACGGCAAGGCTATCTCCAAGGGCCGAAACCGCCGAGCCAGCGAAGGCGCTCAAATTAAGCTTGATGGGAGGCGTAACCCGGCCTCAATCCGCTGCGACCGTTGCGGGAAAGGGTATAAGCATGGCAGCTGCTTGTCCAAGCATATGTGTGTATTCCCCATACCGCCCGGTCGTCTTCTCCTTGCTCGATCGGGAGCATGCGCCATGTCGGCTCTGTGCAGGTCGCCCTCGTGGTCATTGAACTCCCGACACCATCCCATTCCCCCTCCTTCCCACTCCTTGATTTCACTGGTGGCATCTGGTTGACGTCTTTTGTTTGTGGTAACTTAGGTGGGAACACGACCCGGCGTGGGCGATTACCTCGAAACTACTCATATCCAAGCACCAACAAGTCCAGCTGCTGGAGGCCGCCACCGTGTTGGTCGGCATGAACGACCCTTTGGACGAACTTCCCGAGGAGTCCGCCGAAGTCGAGTCGGTTATTTCCTCTGCGTCACCGGACGCTTCGTCGGATGTACGGGATGGACTCAGTTCGGCTGAGACAACGCCGCCACCTCTGGACGAGCAGGAAGAGGACGATGACTTCGAGATGTCAGGCATGCCGGCCAACTGGACTAAGCGCCCCAGCATCGGTAACGCTTTCGCCGCTTTCTCCCGCTCTTACCAGTCGATCCCCTCGAGCTCGTACAACGGCAGCGCTCCGCTCCACTCGCCGGCCTTCTCTCACTTCCGCAAGTCCAGCGTTGACACCCGTCCATCCACCGCCGACACCCGACTCAACGAGGAAGATGAGGCTGATTTGGCTGCTGCCATCGGACTCTGCAACTTTGGCACTCCCCGCACAGGGCCAGTTTCTATGACCCCTGATGTCCCTCCTGTGCCGCCGCTGCCCGCCCGCTACCTCGACTCTGGCAGCCACCCGAGCAACCAGGGCCCGGGTCTCGGCCACTCGGGTCCCATTAACGACGCTCTCCGCCGTGACTCCAATGCCGAGTTGTTTCTTTCCGCTTCCCTCAACCCATCTTTGTCCTACAAGGTATCTGACGAACGGGGAGTGCGAACTAGTGACACCAAGACAAATGAGACCCGGCACCGTCGCAACGCAGACGTGGACTTCGGTAGCCGCCGTGCTCCCGCTGATGACGATGACGATGGTGTTTTTGGCCAGATGGAAGAGTAGTGCTCTTGATATTTGGCCCGAAATTGCCTGTGGAGCCGTCACTTCAGCCGCTTACGCATGGCGACGACTTTTATCACGACGAAATGTACGAGCTTGAGCGTTTTTTTTTCCTTTGGGAACCTTCTTGTCTACATGTTTATTTTTTCTACACGCTTGCATAATGCAGGAACGCGCTCTAGACCGAGTTATCTGATTTTCTGACGACTTGGACCTGAGTTCCCACTTCGCAAGTCGTGTGTTTCGGGACCTTTATTGCACTTTGGTGGGGATCCTATGTATCATGTCTCCTTGGTCCTGTTTCTCTTTTCCTCTTGATGCTCCTACTAGTTCTTTTGCCGTTTCCTTTTTGTTCTGGAAACCGCATAAATGGCCTTGATTGGCCGGCGCATATCTATCATCACTCATATCCCATACCTGCTCATCCTTCATGCCCTTTTGTGCTCGTCCCTTGTCTATCTTATTTCTTTTTCCCGCATCCACTTCGCACATATACACCATACTCATCTTGAAACCCCAATATCCCATGTGTTAAATCGTCCGCTCTCTTTCTTCCGTTTCCTTTCCTGACACTCTCTCACTCTCCCATATGTATTCAGTGAACCTGCGGACGAGCACACAATGAATATAAACCATTAAATTAGAGATTCTTCGCATACATACGAGGCTCCATAGCCGCCATTGACCCAATGTTTTTACCAGGGCGGCAACGTCCCAAAATTACCAGTGTTCCCCATAAGACTCTACCACTCCCTCGGCGAAGTTATTCTACTACCTACACAATTGCTTAATTCTCACAATTCGGGGTAGTGAGTATATAACTTGAACTGCGTAAGATACCAAGTAGCACCTAGTAATGTTTACGTCTCTAGTACTATACTACTGACATACTAGCGCCAACCCAGTACTTCATGGCTCTAGCTATAGGTATTCAAAGCCATTTCAAGTTACATCATACGATAGTCAGTGTCTAGATTTGGAGCTCGTAGACATGCCAGTAGTACTAGTACGAGATGTTTCATAACAACAGTAGATTATAGGCTCTGTAACAACATTCGTAATTACTTCTCCTCGGAAAATCCTCTCAATACGAACTAGTCAGCCCAGATGAAAACAGGCGGAAACGAGGCACGCCGGCTGGAATGTCTAGAACATGCAGAACCCCATCTTTCTCTTTTGGGATGTGCTATCCTTGATCTCAGTGCCCAATTGAGTCCCAAATGTTGTGTGACAATGTGCGTTCAACTTGAATCTGATTTAAAACCAGCAAGTTTCGTGTGCATCCTGCGAAGGGTATCAGGTCCAAAATGAGGCAGGGTAGATAGATGTACATTAATCCCTTTTGCCGAGAGGTTATAGGCACCACTGGGCACGACCAATGGAAAGTTTTTCAGTATGCTAGCTAGCTGGGTCTACTGCCGTGGATTTAGTTATGTACAAACATACTACTAATACCTGTTGAATAAGAAACATCATGAGTTAATACAGACTACTACGGATGCCAGCCCTGGGGAGTCAGAGAGTACTCGCGAATTTATTTTCCGACTATTATTGAGTCTGATGAATGAGTAGGCAGCTGCCAGTGGATAATAGCCCAGGAGGGAGATTAAGTCCAAGTCCCTCGGCAAAGGTTGCTATGCTGGTTTTGTTATGCTGAGTGATGTTAGACAGACGATGCACAAGTAACATTCCCTACATGTAATTCATGAATGACTGCAGTCTATTACGATGCCCTCATCAAATATAGTGGAACATTAGATGCTACTGGTAGCAGTTAACATAATTACTACTCGAATTGAGAGAAAAGAGTTTTCATCTCATGGGAAGACCATGCTACTGCTGATAGAACGTAAAGCAGGTGATATCGATTGCTTTTTAAGGTACCATAGGGTAAGAACACCGTGATCACAATGACAATGCAAGCCCAACTCCAGTAATCGTGTCGTAGAGATTGAAAGAAACAAAACAAGAAAAAAGAAAAAATGTCCCTCCAGATGAGAGAAGAGAAGAAAGACGAGACCCTTAATCCATATCCATCTCCTCCTCGACTCCACCATCCACCAAAACGCGGGCCTTCTTCTTTTGCCGCAATTTCTCCTCGCCGTGGACTCTGTTGGCGACCTTGTTGTGGTCGAGCTCCATGGGACGGCCCTCGGCCTGCTCGCGCAGCTCCTTGCGAATGAGGTGCTCGCCCGAGGCGACAACCTTGCGGTCCTCCTCGCGCTTGCGGTCGCGGGCAATCTTGCCAGCGAGACGGCGCTTGGTGAAGACACGCTCGCGGCGCTGCCGAATCTCCTCCACGCGCTGCATGGCCTGGACGGTGGCGGCGACCAAGTTGCGGTCGTACTTGACGGGAACGTTGCGCTTCTTGGCGAACTGCGAGAGGACGAGCGAAGAGTCGACAATCATTTCCTTGCCGCGGGCGGCACGGTGACTCTTTGTCCACTTCAACTTGCGCGGCTGGCGCTTCATCTTGAAGTTCTTGTGGCACTTAGACCGACAGAATCGGAATTGTCGGGCATCGTTGCGGACGAATGTGATTCCCTTGCCCGGGAACGCGGGGCGGGAACAAAAATGACAAGTCTCCACGCTAGAAAAGAAGAGTCAATGCTGATTCGGAGTGTTCCAAAAAAGAGGGGGATAGAACTTACCGCATGGTTGCTGGGAGTGATTGTTCTGGACTTCAAGTTGTATTTCCCCAAAAGTTTTTTTTTTGCTTGGGAGCGTGGAGGAGTAGCGCTAAACCCGATTGGGAAGGGGGACTTGCTGACTTTTCCCGCCGCGAACCCAAACGTTTGGACTTCTTGCGCTTCCGAAGCAGATCCATCCTCAATTCGCCTCATCCTCTTAATCCCTCGAAATGGCATCCACTCTTGCTGTTGGTTTCGGTATTGCTACCGCTGCTTTCTTGGTGAGTCCTGTTTCGGAGATGCCAACGAGATCCAAAACTGACTGTTTTCTCTCAGGGCCGCGCCGGTCTGGTCGCCTATCGCCGTTCCCAAGGTGGCGTCAACGCTGCAGGCAAGGCTTTCTTCAAAGGGTTCGTTTGATACTTTAGGTATCTAAGGGGTTTACTGGATTCGAGATTACTGACTCGCTGTACAGAGGATTCGAGCCGCGCATGAACCGCCGCGAGGCCTCTTTGATCCTCGAGCTTTCGTATGTCTTCCCGGGTTGAACCAAAATGATTATACACATTTTCACGAATCTAACCATTTCTTTTCTCATTGAAAGTGAGCGCCGGTTGACCAAGGACAAGGTCACCAAGAAGCACCGCCAACTCATGCTGCTCAACCACCCCGACCGCGGCGGCAGCCCGTACTTGGCTACGAAGATCAACGAAGCCAAGGAGTTTCTCGAAAAGCATGTCTGAACAATGCCCCCGGTTCCTGGTCGTTTAAAACATCGCCCCCTTCCTCCGGCCAAGACGTGGTGCCTGTCTCCTTGGGCCCGCGGGCCCGCGGCGCCGCGACATTACGGCGTTGCACGCCCCGGGAGATCTTGGCTGGATTCTGGGTGCATACATAGCGTGGCGTTTGGTTGATATTTCCCAGGTTGATGGGCGGAACAGACCGTTCTTCCCACAATCTTTCTGTACTCTATCACATGGTCATATACTCATACGAGATCGCCACTCCTCCTTGAATGTACTATTATCAATTATATACTATTTTCTTGATTGACTACCTTTCAAATCACCCGTTCGCGCCGAAAACTCCCAGGATTAGCGAGTGGTCATTAATCATGAGACCGCTGATCGTTTTCTCGTTCCAGCAATGCATGTCGGACGCCTCGGCAAGTGGTGTACATACTCCGTCAACCACCAAGTTTTTAGGTTCGAGTTGTGTCCTACAGGTACCATGTAGTGAACATCCTCCTCCGATCGAGGAAGCAAAGTGCAACAGAAAGTCACAAAGGGTCTAACTTGAAAGTAGATTTAAACCATAGTCCATCAGGTACGTACATTATGTCCCCTTTTCCCCGGGAGACTCCACGAGGTCATCCACTTTGTGCCTGATTGATAGCGGGACCAGATGGATTCGGCGCCGAACGGACGAAAGATCGGACGGAGTTCATCACATCCGCACCGCACCGCCACATCCCGTTCTTGGCTTTTAACTAAGGCAGCAGGCTTTGCGTGTCTTATACGGAGTACTGGAGCTTTAGATTAAACTACCCCTTTAGTTCAGGCTACTTCTTTGACAGAGGACGCTAGATATCATTCGCATTCACACTAGGTTGACTCAGCGGGTCGTCCTTAGTAACAACCTTCTTTCGCCGAAAGACCATTCTCTTTTTGCCTTGTTCCGTTACATGCGTCATCCATTTGGAACCGACCTCGACGATTATCCCCTCCCCCCTGACCCTCTTCTCGCAACGATCGCCTCCAAGGGGACCTCCGGAAAAAGCGCGTCTCCGAGACGCCTGATAGCCCCGCAGCTTCTTACTTAACACCGCCCTCTCCTTTCGACTCCACTCCGCGGAAGTTCCAGCGCGCGAAAAAGCGGGAAGCAAAAAGAATATCACTCTCAAAATGGACGGTCTGGGGGATGGCGATGGCATCGGATTTGACATGATGATGAACCAGGAGCCCCAACTGTTCGGTGGCTACCCCCACGATGGTTCGCACATGGCCGGCATGTCTGCGGGGTCTATGTACGCGGACGATTCGGCATTAGGCGCGGGGGATGAGACCAACGAGGCGAAACGACGACGAATTGCCAGGGTATGCATCTCTTACTTGGAACGCCCTCTTCCCACTCATGTCGAGGCTAACATATATCATTTGTAGGCATGCGATATGTGCCGGAAGAAGAAGATCAAGTGCGACGGCAAGATGCCCAAGTGCTCGCACTGCAGCAACTATAAGACGGACTGTGTTTTCACTCAGGTTGAAAAGAAACGGAATCCCCCCAAAGGGTATGTTATACCGCCAAGGGCGAGAAGCTATATCGGAGAATAGAAATATCTGATGGATTTGCAGTGCCAAATACATTGAAGGGTTGGAGAACCGCCTGGGTCGCATGGAGTCCCTCCTACGGTTGTCGGGACTTCTCTCTGAGGACGACAATGGCAAAACCGATCTGGGAACACTCGAAAAACGACTGGCGGATCGGACGAACGCTTTAAACGCTGCAAGAACTGCGAATAAGTTTACAACCCCGAGTGCAACCCAGCAAACCGCGCCCGCCTCTCACAATACGACACCGCACATGGATTCGGGCTCGAGCCCGCGCACGGCCGCTACATCCCCGGAGTCACAGAAGGAGTCAGAGACCGAGGTGGAAGCCTTATCAGACATGATGTGCTCGCTTGTGACCAACAATTGCGGCGAGACCCGATACATCGGTATATTTTACTCTTCCTCAAAGAAATTTCTTCTCTTCTAACCAATCTATAGGCTCCTCGTCCGGGTTTTCTATCTTCTCTCCAAAGGGAATTCAATGGGTCAACGAAAAGACCGGTGATACTTCGTTCCAAGACATGATCTCGTCCGCCTACGTTGATGACAATAAGTGGATGTATTGGAAACCGGAGATCTTCAGCGATATATTCGCTCGGCGGGTCTTCAAGCCCCTCCCACCGAAGGAAGAGGCGCTTTCTCTGTTCAAGGACTTTTTTGAGAATTTCAATTGCGTGTTTCCATTGTTCCACGAAGCCACGTTCATGCATCTCGTGGAAAAACAATATTCTCGGGATCCTTATGAAGGCTCTGGTTGGTGGGCCAGTATCAATGTCGTCCTCGCTATCTCACATCGACTTCGGGTGATGAGCAATTTGGTTCCTCACGAAGAAGATAAGAAAGCGTGGTTGTACTTGAAGAATGCTATGGGTGTTTTGACCGAATTGACAATGAGGAATACGGACCTCTTGAGTGTTCAGGCATTGTTGGGCATGGTTAGTATTCTCCAAACGACTTTTTTCCCATCTGGTTTCTCTAACAAAACCGCAGTCACTTTTCCTTCAGGGCACACCTAATCCCCAACCAGCCTTTTTCCTTGTCGCCGCAGCAATTCGTCTATCTCATAGTATTGGACTGCACAAACGCGGCTCTGGCTTTGGGCTCAATCCAGTCGAAGTGGAACAACGGAAACGTGTGTTCTGGATCGCATACTGCCTTGATAAAGAGTTTGTGGCCTCACCATCATACATTCGTACTTATACTAACCGCGAAATAGTATCTGTCTTCGATCCGGGCGACCCCCTGTACAGGACGACGATGACATGAATGTTGAGCTTCCCAGCGACGATCCACCTGACAATGTCGGGAATGTCCCACTTGCTGATGGCAAGGGCAAATTCAATCTCTTCAGGTCACTTTGTGAATTTGCAACCATCGAAAGCAGCGTTTACAAGAGGCTTTACTCAGCCAAGGCCTCTAAACAGTCCGATGGGGAACTGCTCAATACCATTGGTGAGCTTGATAAGGAATTGGAGGATTGGAAAGACAACATTCCCGTCGACTTCCGCCCCGAGCATGAAATCCAAGTCACCCACGGCCCTCTTCTTCTTCACGTCGTTGTTCTTCAGTTCTCATACTATAACTGTCTGACTACAATTCACCGCATGTCTGTGCATCATGGATATTGGACCAGCCGCTTGTCAAACTATGCGATTCAAGGTTTAAATGCTCGACCTTTGAACCCCAGAGTCTTCCTTTCAGCCGTTCTATGTGTGACAGCAGCAAGAGCTTCGATCAATCTGATCAAGTATATCCCCCAGGGAGATTTTGCTTGCGTTTGGTAAGTTCTTCGCATGTCTCTTCGCCATATTCGTCTGCTAATATATAATCATTTTAGGCTGATCCTCTACTACCCGGTATCTGCACTCGTCACACTCTTCGCTAATATCCTTCAAAACCCCGGTGATGCCCGTGCACGTTCCGATATCAAGTTGATGAATGTGGTGGTTAATTTCCTGTCCACTCTGGTTTCTGATGAATCCAACGGAAGCATCAAACGCATGCTTGGGCTCTGTGGAGAGTTCGAAAGAATTGCCAAAGTGGTTCTCGATAAGGCCGAGAGAGAATCGCACGCACGAAAGAAGCGAAAGACTGCGCCTGGTGAGTCCGATCAATCACAGCGCGAGGCAAAAGAAGGACAGACCACAACATCCCCAAGACCCAAAACACAACAAGCACCTTCAACCTCTGGTCCTTTCTCACCGTCCATGTTTGCCAATAATCCCGCTACCTCGGCCAACCATGCCAAACAGTTTGGCAATGACCCTTCTGTTCCTTCAAACGCTGGCCTCCCTAATGATCTCCCAAGTAACATTCATAACATGCCTGGCCTTGGACAAGAGTTCCCAGATATGCTTAGCCCGGAACAATTCGGCAATGTTCCTTTCTCCGACCAAGGCTCCTATGATGCCAGTCCGAATATCGGGTCGTTCCAGCAACCATTTGTTCCCCAGGATTTATGGCAGATGCCAATGACGATTGAATGGGACTGGGCAGATATGTCTACAAATTTCCCCGTTTTTGAATCCGGTGGTGTTGGCTCGAATGGCCAGCCTCAATGATCATGACCAGAGAATGAAATGATAGGCTGGCATTTAATGGTTCACATATTATGGCGTTTGCAAAAAGCGGGAGCTACAAGGAGTTCATAATTTTCTTTCTGGGTTCATGGAACGGGCGTTTCCCACATCTCCCATCATACTACCATAGTACTACATATCCCCTCTTCATGTATATTGAGAATCACATCTCTCCCTCTCCCTCTCTTTCTCCTTATCATTTAAAGTGATTTCTCATGCCAAGTAACTCCATGGCTTAACACCGCTAAATCCACCCTCCACTCGATTCGACCGGGTTCCGATGTCCACGTGACTCAGAGCCGGAACGGCAGAAAACCCGATGCGCCGAACCTGGCCGCAGGCGTGAGAGCTTCCCACCGCACCTCCAATTCCATCTATGGATTGCGCGAAGTTGTCCATCGCAACCGAAACCGATTGATCACCTTTACCTCCCGCCCTACCAGCCCTCCGGGCTCTCTAATCCTCGACCATGGCCACCCTCTTGAGGCGGCCAGGCAACCTTGCTCGATTCTCGAGGAGAGCCACAGACTCCATCGGTCGTATTGGACCGTCCTCCGTGCGACTCCCTCAATCGAAGCTTTCGTCCCTAATTACATCGCACCGTGTCCGGAGCTTCGCCACACAGGGTCCTGGAGGCCCGACTCCCCCGGACGACAAATCCCGGAATCCCCAGTCCACCGGGAACGGCCCGGAGAACGATGGCCGCAAAGAAGAGGATCCGAACAAGTCCGAATCGAAGTTGACCGAGACGGAACAGAAACAACTCGATGAGTTCATCAAGCACATTGAGTCGCGGATCCCTGAGTCGCAGCATGAGTCAACCCAACAAGTCCGGAAGCACTTCATGAAAAACGGCCTGCCCTCTGAATTGAAGGAATTCATGACAAACTATAAGGATGCCTCATTAATGGATTACCTCCGAATGGTGCGGTGGTTGTTCAAGTACGCCAATGAGCATGCCGACAAGCTGGCACGGGAAGAAGTAGCTCGCGACATGAAGATCCCCCCGGAGGAACTTCAAAAGATGAAGGGGCAACAGCAGCCGGAGAAGGAGGGCGAAAAGGATGCCAAGGATAACAAGCCGGAAGAGCAGAAGAGTAAGGAAGAGCAGGAGAAGGAGAAGGGGCAGGGAAAGAAGCAAAAGAAAGACCAGTTCCCTCCCGGTAGCAAGGTCTTCGAGTTCCGTTTTGATCCCGCCTCTTTCTTCATCACTTCAGTTGTCACATATTACGTCTACCGCAGCTTTTTCCCTGGAGATTCTGGTGCTCAGGAGATCACCTGGCAGGAATTCCGCGCCAACTACCTTGAAAAGGGTCTTGTGGAGAAATTGACTGTTCTGAACCGCAGCCGCGTTCGGGTTGATCTCAACCGTGAGGCTTCAGCTCAAGCATACCCCGAATCCAATGGCCAACCTGTGTCGCATGTGCTGTTCAGCATTGGATCTGTGGAAAGCTTCGAAATGAAGCTGGAGCAGGCTCAATATGAACTTGGTATTCCCTCTGGGGAGCGGATTCCCGTTGCCTATGTTGATGAAGTCCCCTGGGGCAGTGCTCTGATGTCTTTCGCTCCTACTCTACTCCTGATTGCTGGTATCTTCTGGTTCTCGCGCCGTGCCGGTGGTGGCGCCGGCGGCCAAAGCGGAATCTTCGGCATTGGCAAGAGCCGTGCTAAGAAGTTCAACCACGAGACTGATGTCAAGATCAAATTCGCTGATGTCGCCGGTATGGACGAGGCCAAGGTCGAGATCATGGAATTTGTGAGCTTCCTGCAACAGCCGGAGCGATTCCAGAGGCTCGGTGCTAAGATCCCCCGCGGTGCTATCCTCTCTGGTCCTCCTGGTACTGGTAAGACTTTACTCGCCAAGGCTACCGCCGGTGAGTCTGGCGTGCCTTTCTACAGTGTCAGTGGTTCCGAATTCGTCGAAATGTTCGTCGGTGTTGGTCCCTCTCGTGTCCGTGATCTGTTCGCAAACGCCCGAAAGAACACTCCTTGTATTATCTTCATTGATGAGATCGATGCCATTGGAAAGTCTCGAGCCAAGCAAAACTTCGGCGGCGGTAACGATGAGCGTGAAAGCACTCTCAACCAAATTTTGACTGAGATGGATGGTTTCAATACCTCTGAGCAAGTCGTCGTCCTCGCCGGTACCAACCGACCCGATGTTCTCGACAAGGCTCTCATGCGTCCTGGCCGTTTCGACCGACACATTGGTATCGATCGTCCCACCATGGATGGCCGTAAGCAGATCTTCCGCGTTCACTTGAAGAAGATTGTCACCGATGAGAACATGGAATACCTCGAGGGTAGACTTGCTGCTCTGACCCCTGGCTTTGCTGGTGCCGATATCGCCAACTGCGTGAACGAAGCTGCTCTTGTTGGTAAGTTACTAGTACGCCGTCAATTTTCCAGATTAATGCTAACTCCGCCTCTTTTTAGCTGCTCGCGAGAACGCTGACAAGGTCGTCATGAAGCACTTTGAGCAGGCCATTGAGCGTGTCATTGGTGGTCTGGAGAAGAAGTCTCTGGTGTTGTCCCCCGAGGAGAAGCGAACCGTTGCCTACCACGAAGCCGGCCACGCTATCTGTGGTTGGTACTTCCGGTGGGCCGATCCGCTCCTCAAGGTCTCCATTATCCCCCGTGGCCAGGGTGCCTTGGGTTATGCCCAGTACCTTCCTGCTGGGGGTGATACCTACCTGATGAACACCAACCAGCTCATGGATCGCATGGCTATGACCCTTGGTGGCCGTGTTAGTGAGGAGCTCCACTTCGATACTGTGACAAGCGGTGCCAGTGACGACTTCAACAAGGTCACTCGCATGGCTACTGCTATGGTCACAAAGTTTGGTATGTCCAAGAAGCTTGGATTCATTCACTACGAGGAGGACGGACAACAAATCCAGAAGCCCTTCTCCGAAGACACTGCCCGCAGCATTGACATTGAGGTCCGCCGCATCATCGATGAGGCTTATCAACAATGTAACACTCTTCTGACTGAAAAGAAGAAGGAGGTCGGCATCGTTGCCGAGGAACTCCTGTCCAAGGAGGTCCTTGGCCGTGATGATCTGATCCGCCTTCTTGGCCCGCGCCCCTACCCCGAGTCTGGAGAGTTTGCCAAGTACTTCGATGGTAAGGGTGGTGCGACCATTGCTCCCCCTGAGCCAACTCAGAACCCAGAGGCCTCAGGTAAGGATCAGACTCCTTTGCCATGATAGACGGCTCAGTGAGATGGATTCTTTCGTGATTTGTCTGCATTTCTTGGCGGGCTTGTTTTAGTCAATTTTGCAGGGAGTGTGATATCACCGTGTCCTTGGATTTTTTTTTGTATTTATCGATTTGCATCCCCTTTCCTATCTACTTTTCCTTTTTTTTTCTCTCAAATCCCCCCCTCCCACCTCTTTATTGTGTCTCTCCACAAACAACTCCCTTCTTCCTTTCTACCATGTCGCGACTAAATATGAAGGGATTCTATCGTCTCTTGTGTCCGCCTAACCTCTATCTTGGGGTTTCATGCTTCTACCTTCGCGGAAATTGTACTATAAGAAACTTTGAAACATGTTTTTAGTTTGATGCCTCCTCAAATCCAACGTAACTCGATGGCCTTTTTGATACTCGATTCCTCTTCTGCTTCGAAGTGGCTGGTCGTTTATTGTTCGCCAACCGTGAACAAAGGTTTTCTTTGCATCCATTCTAATAAAGAATCTAGTCTCGGTTACGGATAATCTCGTGGCTTGCGTACTTAAATGATATAAGCGTGATGAAACCTTGTTCCAGGTTTGCAATTGAGACTGTCTACAAAACGATGTCGACCCAGCCATCACTACTAGGAAGAAATAATTAGATAGGTGGGACCTACATGTCTTTATTGGTAGTGAGATAGGGTAAAGCAAACAGCTAATGATTCTAAACATTTGAATTGGTCAATAGCCTATATTTCTTTTCGGTAAAAAGCCAAACCCTCAAGTTGCAGCAAAAATTAGATGAATTCACAAAATTTGATATATGACAGAAAAGAAAGGAGATAGCATCATTTGTAGCCACTTCAAACCCATCCGTATGCACTTAGTTGCTCTTCTTGTCGTCAACCTGCTCCTCCTCAGACGGAGCAGCGGCCTTCTTGCCCTTCTTGGGCTTCGAGGCCTCGGCAGACAGACGGGGCAGGAATCTGCCAACACGGGCCTGGTACTCAACATACTCAGGGTACTTGCCCGCACTGATGTCCTCAGTCAGACGGGTGCTGCCCTGGAATATCATCATATATCCCACAACGCCGAGTCCGGCCCACTGGAAGTAGGTCTCGGTACGGTAGCAGGCCCAGAGGTACAAGGTAAGCCAGACAGCCTGCTCGGCGACGAAGTTGGGGTGGCGCGACCAAGACCAGAGTCCGCTCACAACAAATCCACGCTCCAGATCCTCAGGAGAGTACTGGTCCTTGTTTTCTCCCGCGATGCGTGCGTTCTTCTGGTACTCCTGCTTGGCAGTCTGGAAGTTCCACTGCTGATGGTCCGCAAAGTATTCGATGATGATGAAGAAGAACGCCGCACGGGAGAATGCGAGATCTGCTAGCCCAAAGGTTTCGGTATCCTGGCTATTTGCGACAACAACAAACACGTAGGTGGGGCAGGTGATCAAGAGTAGCAGGATCGACTGTGCGACAGCGATGAACGAGAAGTTGAATATGGTGAACAAGAAGACATTGTTCACTTTACTGCGCACGATCTGCCAGCGGTAATCCTCAGATCCGATCTGGTAGCCACCTTTGCGCCAATAGTTGAAGGTCAGACGAGCCTATTCAAAATAAACCCAGTTAGCTTGTGATCGGTGGCGCTCAATTAAAAAAAATGGGCGCATACACTCCACAGCACAGTGATAACGGCAATAGTATCCAAGGTCTGGGTACGGATGCCGGCCAGGCGAGCCCAAGCGGCGAAGTGCACGTTGTACACCGCTGGCAAGATACTCCAGAAGCGGTCCACTTGCGAATAGTTACGGTTGAGCTCGGCAGCCAAGAAGAAAAGCGCAGCCAAGACCGATCCTATCGCAATGGCGGAGACCAGGGGGTTTGTCGCAATGTAAACATCCTTCAAGCTACCCAGATCGCGGCCAGCTTCGTGCAAGCTAGCGGGGAGATACTGCAGCTGGGATAGGTAGGGGAGAACGGTGAGTTTGAAGGAGGTGGACTCCGCCAGGGACTCAACACGTGGAAGCGGGAGGGAAACCATCTCCAGATATCAGATAGATAGACTCGGACGGTCGAATGAAGAAGATACGAGTAAAGAGGAGAGCCCCGGGGCGTTGCTAGGCGGGTTGCGCGGGTTGATGTTTGGGTTACCTCATCAGGATTAGCCTCTTGGCACTTAATTGCCAAGACATTAAGGCGGTAAGGCAGTAAGGCAATAAAGCATCAAGGCACTCAATTCATACATCTACAGTGGCGTTGCAAAAGTTTGAAACCCCATGTTGACTGTTCTTGTCTCCGAGTTCTAACCGCGGACTAGTAGCTACCTGAGATGGAATAGATAGGCCATAGTACTCATAAATATAATAGTGTTCATCGATGATACCTATCTGATATTCAAGGTGCTACCCTCACGCAATCTGATCCGGCTCGGGTCGTCGCATAATCGGAATGAGTGGTTTGGGAGGCCAATGGCTAGAGTAGTCCTCCCACTCAAAAGGCACGGAAAACTGGTGACGGCCAGAGCCCACCCAAACCCCTTCTTCAGGGCCAACCTTGAACTTCGCCAGAATTTCTCGACTCGGAAGTACGACCAGTGCGCGGCTATTCGCAGGAACCAAGAGATCCAGGTTGAAGAGCCCTGCTTCTTTCTCAATCGACCATTTGCACTCCAACCTTCCATACCGGGTCTCATAAACTGCCTCAGCCGAGTCTATTGTTCCTCCAGGAGTCGGTGCCACTTTGATCTGTTTCCAGCCGGCTGACAGAGGACTCACACCGGCAACATTGGAATGGAGCCAGTTGATGATAGATCCAAGAGCATAGTGGTTGAAACTAGTCATCTCTCCTGGGTTGATAGATCCGTCCGGCAACATGCTATCCCATCTCTCCCACATAGTTGTCGCACCCATGGTGATTGGGTACATCCACGACGGACGGCTTTTCTCAAGCAACATTCGGTAAGCAATCTGAGGGTTCCCACTCTTGGTAAGAGCATGTGCAATGACCGGAGTGCCCGCGAAACCGGTCGATACGTGGAATTTTCCTAATCGTACAAGATGAACCAAGCGGGATGCCGCAGCCATAGCCTCTTCAGTTGTGGAGTGAAGGTCGTACATTAGGGCAAGGCTAAGAGCCGTCTGAGTGTCACCGACTAGCAATCCTGAAGACGCAATATACTTTGCCTGGAACATAGCTTTCAGTTTCGCATGGTCGGTTTTGAAGCGTGTGGTATCTTGACCGTGTCCCAAGATCTCGCTGATTTGAGACATCACAGATGTCACATGTACAAGATATGCATCTGCAACGAGAGTTCCATTTGTGCGTGCATCACCTGGTTCGATGGGCGGCGCTGTGGGGTCCAGCCAGTCACCCAGCTGCCATAGATTGGGGTCCCACAATCCATCGGAACCACGTCGAATACCACGGTCGATCCACGCGATCATGCTTTGATATTGCCGACTGAGAATTTCGATATCGCCATAAGATCGGTAGAGATCCCAGGGAGTCAGAATCACCACATCATCCCACACGGCTTGAGGCGTATGCGGCCACAATTCTTGACTGATAACGTTGGGGACAACAAATGGAGGCACACAGCCGTCGTTCTCATTGAGTTGCTCTGCCGCTACATCTTCAAGCCAGCCGCCAAGCATTCCAGCAGTGTCATACAAGAAGCTTGCTGATGAGCAAAAAATCTGAATGTCTCCAGTCCAGCCCAGTCTTTCGTCTCTTTGAGGACAATCCGTAGGTATGGACAGGAAATTACCGCGCATACTCCACAAGGCATTCGCATGTAGCTTATTGACCATAGGATGAGAGCAAGAAAACCAACCAGTGCGAGTCATGTCAGTATGCATCACGAGTGCTGAGAGATTGTCTTGTAGCAAACCATGTTGCTCCTCGTCCCAGCCATCAACCTGTACGTACCGGAACCCGTGGAATGTATACTGTGGCGACCAGTTGAGAATTTCACTGCCATCGCAGATAATCTCGTCCGTACACTTGGCGTGTCGGAGTGGTCGAGTCCCGATCTCACCATTCTCTAGCACTTCAGTGTGCGTGAAAGACACCAGAGATCCAGCGGGTAGTTTCAGGGAGCGCACTTGAAGTCGGCCTACCATGTTCTGACCAAAATCAACGACTGTATTCCCTAGCGGTGTTTTCTGGACTGCGACGGGGGTGATTTCCTCAGTTATGCGGACAGGAGGGGCGTCTGGGGCCACCAGTGTTGCTTTTGGAAAATCTAGCTTCTGAACTTGGACCCAGTTAGATGCCCGAGCCGACCCAGTATCGAACTCAGAAGCGTTCCAGGCTGGATTCTCCTCGCGGGTATCATAAGTCTCGCCGTCGTAGAGCTCACTTCGAAGGATTGCACTGGGTGCGCAAGTCCATGTGCTGTCCGTGCCGAGTGAAAACGAATCTCTGTCAGAATCCCGATGGACTTCGAGCTGGGCCAGAACGGCCAGCCGATCTCCGTAAAGCTGCCTTCTCCCACCACGGAACCCTAGGCGTGTTGCATACCATCCCTCGGCAACCTCCACCGCTAGGGCATTAGGGCCGTTGGGATTCAGGAGTGATGTCACGTCAAAGGTTTGGTAGTTCAAGCGATGACGGTAGCTCGTCCACCCTGGAGAAAGGCATTGGTCGCCCACAACTCTTCCATTGATGAAGGCACGGTAGACACCAAAGCTTGTGATGAAGAGGCGGGCTTTCTCAATAAAACCTGATGCAGGTATTTGAAATTCTTTTCGAAACCTTACCGGCCGCAAAGGACTATCTGGCTGAGAAGCTCCAGGGGCTGCGATTGGATTAAATTTCCAGTCCTTGCGGTTGAGCAATCCACATTCAATAGTCCTCCAGGGGGACCATTCAGAGGTTTCGGCTTGCTCGTGGTCAGGATTGCCGCCATAGACCCGAACTCGGACTCGAGCAATTTCTCTAGACCTTAGCGGGGCACTGGGCCATGGAACTAGCACTGAGGTATTGCTCTTCACGAGGAAGGTCTCTTCCTGTGATTCACAGTCCGAACGAACGACTTGCAACTCGTAGGCTGTCTGTTCCCAGTTGAGGGGCGAATTGTCAGTATCGGTGATAAATCGCCAAGATAGACGCGGAGTTGCTGCCCCAATGCCGAAACCTGTGGCATGTTGTTCGACTGTGGGTGTTTCAATGAGTGGCATCGTGGATGGAAAATGATGCCGATAATGATGAAATGTTCATTCAGTCACCGGCTGACTCTCCGGCCATATTTAACATGGGTGAAAGAACGCCCACTCGGGGTGCATTTCCACGAGGCCCCGAGTCATGGGAGGTGTGGCACACAGTTGGATCCAATGCAGGTGGGATGATTCGAACACGTTGGGGTATTCGTCGAGGCCGGGGACGCTTGAAGAAGTGGAGTATGGCGGCGTTCGGCGGCGTTCTTGCATTCCGATTCGCCGGCAGCTGCTCTCCACAAAATTAGCTGCTGTGAAAAGCGGAGGGAAATTATGCGAGATAAATGAAATCGTGGATCTTCCCTTCAATGATCTGGGGTGCTTGTCCAAAATCATGTCTCAATCGTGGTTCAGCTCGGGGTTTCATGACCGATCCCCAGAAAAGCATATCTGGGCAAAGCCGACACTATAAAACCAAGCAAGTATTTAAAGATTCACATTTCCGTAAGGAAGGAGAAACATCGATCATACTATTCAGCAACTCGGAATGGCCAACTTCTTCGTCATTTTGATATCTCTTGTGGTGGCACTTGGGGGGGTTTGTATACGGTGTGGATTCAGGTTCGGGCAACCTTTCCTGGCGCAGTCAGGTGGATGGAGGCTGACAGAAATGCTTCTAGGAATCATTGCAACCACTCTTGGCCATGACACATTTAAATATGCCATGTTGGGCCCAACCGGGGCTAATGCCTCCTTGACAGGTTAGTTATAATGCCAGTTTATCTTCTGCTATTTAACTCCAGAGCCCCGGGATCTAACTTGATTACATCAAAGGTGCTATTGTGTCTTTGTATAATGTCGGACAGGCCGTCGGAACATTTGCGGCAGGATATTTGGCCAACAAATTGAGTCGACGTTGGACAATTTGCATCAGTGCTGTGATCGGTATGTCTACAGAAGTTTACAGGGCGCATCAAGTTGTCATCCAAGAGTGGTCTAACACATATACCAGCCATCATTGGCGGTATCCTACAGACTGCCGCTATAAATGCCGGCATGATGATTGCAGGCCGATTTTTTGCAGGAGTCGGTTGTGGCATTATGCTTACCATCGTGCCTGTCTATATCGCCGAGGTCTCACCTCCCGATCAACGCGGCATGATTGTTGGTCTCCAGGGATTTATGATCGCCATTGGCTTTTTTGCAGCGAATTGGATCGGTTACGGAGGTGCTTATGCGACGGGAGATGCCCAATGGAGAATACCCCTGGCCATGCAAATCCCCGGGCCGCTGGCGTTGGCGATCGGATGTTGCTTTATCCCATATAGCCCCAGATGGTGTAAGTACATCCGCCTATTCTTTTATCACATGTTGCGTTTATATCAGTTGCTGAAACCCCTCAAAGTGGTTCAGAAGGAGCGATATCAAGAAGCACAAACGGTTTTAGCCCTTATCCATGGGAGCTGTGATGATGATATTGTGGAGCATGATCTAGCTCAGATCCGAGCTCAGATCCACGCAGATTCCAGTCAAGTCACCTCTTTCAAGCTCGCGGTGACAAAATTGCTCTCCCGCCAATACCTACATCGCACCTTGATGGCCTGTTTCATTCTTGTAATGGGACAGTTCAGCGGATCGTCCGTCATTCAAAACTACCAGAGCAGCTTCTATGCAGCTGTTGGATTTACCGGAAATACCTCTCTTCTGATTAGTGGCATCTATGGAATAATGGGCGTCCTGGGTCAGGTAATCTATCTCTTTATTGCAGCAGACAGGTGGCCGCGAACTCGAACATTATGGGTTGGGTCGATTTTCCTCTCTGTTATGATTGCAATTTGCATGGCTCTATCTGCTTTCTATGGGAGTGCAAGCACCGACAACATGAGTGGTGCTCGTGCAGCAATTGCCATGATCTTCTTATACTCTTGCGGCTATGCAGTCTTTTTCAACGGCACTATTTGGGTGGTTCCCTCGGAACTGTTTCCTTTCTTCCTTCGATCGACAGGCATGGGTCTAGCAGTGTTCTCCAAAGCTGTATCGGCAATTGTCTTATCTCAAATTACGCCAACCGCATTGGAAAATGTTGGCTGGCGGTATTATTCTCTATTTATTGCCACTAACTTCATGGCCGCGTTTGTCTATTATTTCCTACTCCCAGAAACAGGGGGAAAGACCTTGGAGGAGATTGCGGAACTATTTGGGGACACGCTGGCTCCCGATCCATCGAAAGATATGAAGACTGACGGTATACCTCCTAAGGGGAAAATCGCTCAAGAGTCAGAAACTTCCGGGGCCTTTCATGTGGAAAAGGTTGTTTAGTTGCAGTAGCTGAATCTCTCAATCATGTTACTATTATTTTGGAAGTCCTTGTCTAGTTTGTCGATTTTGCTTGAAAATGGCAAATATCATTAGTAAATATCTTGAACTCCTTGGGCTTGATCGTCTAGAAGCCAACTCAGAGCACTATCAACAATTGCTTGACCACTCATCCCTTGGTTACATATCAATCGTGATAGATTGTTATAATCGGCGGTGCCAATCTCAGACTCCTCCGTCCCAGCAGCCTCTAGTTCATCGGTATCTTCAACCTGAGAGCCGCTGTTATTCACAATTGTAGTTCCACCCACGGGGTTGATGGGATCTGCTGCGGCTATACCCGCACCCGTAGAAAAGTAGTGATCGTTTGTGAGTCTCTGCGAAAGGGCCGAAGTATGCTCAGTGAGAAACCGCGCCATCCAGCTATCCAGTGCAAATGGGTTCAGCAATGAGTCTTTACAGGAGTTCTGAAAGATTCTCAAGTGGGTGACCTGAAGTATCACGGAATTAGCAATGCTTAATGGCGGACTCAGATGATACAAACATGATGATCGACAACACGCCAATACAATTTCAGGTTCATTAGATATTGAAAATTGGATACCAGCCCGTCTCGTGCCAAATTTCGCTCCGGTTGATCGTCACTGAAAAGTAGAGTGTGGAGCTGAACACTGGAGCTGATGACTGCAATATGTCCGTAGATGAAGTAAATCATCTTACACCCTGGTGTGGTCTCTGAGTTTCGTAAAATATTGGAAACGATAGTAGCGCTCTCTTTGCATTTTGCCGCTCTACTGCAAGTAGTCGACTGTGTGAGTCGAGAGTCCAAAAAGGGGAAGAAAAGCATCTGGCGAAAGTGATAATAGCCAATATGCATGGATAGGAAGATTTGGCCCATTTTCTTCCCGATCATATGCATAAAATTGTCGTAGTTGTAGATAAGGGTGGAGGGCAAGTCCTCTTCCCACCGGTCAAGATCGTGTTCAAGAATTGCGGCCTCTTCACAGTATTGATGAAATGGAATCGACTCTTGGCTGAGGCGACGTAGCAAAGTATTTATCTTGGTGAATATGTTCAAAGTTTGAGCCATCTGAGCCCACATGCCATATTTAGGGGAAGGTGATACTGGGCCCTCGAAGAGATCTGGGCCCGGTGCATGAAATTCTGCGTCGTCAATTTTTGGTTGGTAAATCGGCTCATCGAAGAAAGAAGTCGGTTCCATAGCCATATCTGAAGCAGACCAATGACTGGCGATCTGAATAGAAAGCCAGGTTCGACGATGTTCCTCGCGAAGTACCGGAGTTGTGAAATTCTCGTGGGGTACAAGATGCGCATGCAGACGGGCTAACCCAATATAGACGTACTTTCCATGGGTATTTCCTTCTCCGCCGAAGTAATACCCGACCAAGAGGAAGCCTTGTACGGTCTCCAGGTCCGGAGATACCATATTCTCGTGGCAACAGTTGATCGCCTTGGTTGCGTATAGCTTTCCGCGGACACACGGGGGAATATTGCAAAATATTGGGTTATCAGAATAGCTAGTAATTGATAGTTAGTTTATTTAATAAATGGAAATGTGCGAAATTTCCTAGGAGGGTTCACCGAGCAGCTAATGCACACATCGCGTAGACATGAACCAAAGACGCATTTCCATGCTTGAGCCGACGCATGAAGCTCGGCTCGTGGAAGACGGAATGCGCAATATTATGTATATAGTTAAAGTAAAGAGAAACGAGCTCGACAAACAACTCGGGCGAGTCTAGAGCAGCACTGTTTTGCTCTTCATTATTCGTTGTATTCGGCGGGAAATTCACCGTCCCGCTCGCCCGCACAACAGTGCGGGTGAGGCTGCAAGATTTATACAGAGATTGACAGAGTTGACAACCTTCTGATGTGGTAGCAGGAACACATCGTCTTTTCCGGGTACTGTCATGATATCTATCTCAGAACGCGACTCATTCACAGCTAGGTAGAACTCACCGGCAGGTTGCACATGCCCCGGCTCTTGCTCTTTTTATTCCATCGCCTACCATATTACTAAGATACACTAGTCAGTCTCTTGGTTTTCGTGAAGGTAACATACTATCATTGAAGTTGGGCGGTGACGAGGGAAAACTGACTTTATATAGTAGTTTCTCTATGTATGTAATCAGCATACAAGATCTTTTGCGCAAAATATGTGTAAATGCATGCATGTGTGGCGTACAGTATGGTAAGGTAATGTAAGGGGCACGCGACTGGTCAGGCGTGTTGTGGCCTGAGGCAATAATACGCCCCACCGAAGTATTTCCCGGTTGGGACGAGAGCCTTTGCAATTGTGTCCCTCTCTTCACATGGTATCTGATCGTGTCCATTGGACTCGCCATGGCTCGGAAAATTCTCTGCGTGGCAGAGAAACCCGCCATTGCCCGTGCAGTGGCCACGCACATGTCGGGTGGCTCTTTTCAGACGGTAAGTAGCTCAAATATCGCGATGAGCAAGTGGCTGATGAAGGGATGTAGCATGCAATCCGTGGAAACCAATACGTCAAGAATTATGAGTTCGAGTTCAACTTTGGAGCCCCTTGGGGGAATTGCTCCGTGACCATGACCAGTGTGATTGGTCACCTCACCGGCCTGGACTTCGAACGTCAATACAAGGGCTGGCTATCCTGTCCCCCCCAGCTCTCTTTTTGAGGCTCCCGTGAAGGAAGAGGTTGACAAGGTACGTCTACTTTCTATCCAATCTATCTCAATCGGCTAATTATTTCCGAAGGACAAGTTGCCAATCGCTGAAAACATTCGGAATCAAGCGAGATATAGCAAAGCTTTGTTTATCTGGACCGATTGTGATCGCGAGGGAGAGCATATCGGCTCAGAGGTTCGTAATCAGGCAAAGTCTGGCAATTCTCGAATTGAAGTGAAACGAGCTAGATTCAGCAACACGGAAAGAGCGTAAGTCGATTCAATGGCAACAGGAAAAGAACCTGCCCGGCTGACCAATCTATCCTGTAATCCAGACATGTTCTTCAAGCTGCGCGAGAGCCGGTAGAGCTTGACGAGTTCCAAGCCAATGCCGTGGCTGCTAGAATCGAGCTTGATCTTCGCATTGGAGCTGCTTTCACGCGCTTGCAGACCCTTCAGCTTCAGGCTGTCGCGGAAATTTTGAAGGAGAAAGTCATCAGCTATGGTAGCTTCGTTCTCGAATCCCACGGTGTCTCGGGTCTAATTATTTCTAGGGTCATGTCAATTTCCTACGCTGGGGTTCGTGGTTGACCGTTATCTACGAGTACAAAACTTCAAACCAGAAACTTTCTGGGGAATCAAGGTCATGCTCCAACGCGAAGGGAAAAAAGTCAATTTTCTTTGGAAGCGAGTTCACCTCTTTGACCGCGCAGCCGTGATCATGATGCTGGAGCGTTGTCTCTTGGCAAAGAAGGCAAAGGTCACAAAAGTGAATCAAAAGCCCAAAAACAAATGGCGGCCATTGCCATTGACAACTGTCGACCTCCAGATGATGGGCAGTCGCTTTCTCCGGTTGGACAGTCAAACTATCATGAAGGTAGGTAGTACCGCACCCGCTCAAATTGGTCTCAAAATTGTTAACTATTTAATAGGTCGCCGAGGCTCTATACACCAAAGGTTTTATCAGCTATCCACGTACCGAAACCGATCAGTTTGACAAAGCAATTGATCTCAAGAAGCTTGTGGAAAAGCAATATCCAGATAATAGATGGGGACAGTATGCCAGAGAGTAAGTATCTGCACATGAGTCGCTCAGAGTATTCCTCAATATTAACTTCCATGCAGACTCATCGATGGGAAATTTAGAACTCCCCGGTCTGGACCTCATAATGACAAGGCACATCCGCCGATTCATCCGGTGAGCTGGGTCAATCCATCTCAGTTGAACGAGAATGAGAAGAAGGTTTATGAATTTGTGACACGCCGATTCCTCGCCTGCTGCTCCGACGATGCGAAAGGCAAAGGCACGGAAATCGAAATATTATACGGGGAGGAGATATTCCATGCCAATGGCTTGATTGTTTTGGAGAAGAACTACCTTGATGTCTATATTTACGACAAATGGGAAAGCAGCCAGCAACTCCCTAATTTTGAGAAAGACGAGATGTTTGAGCCCACAGAAGCCAATATCTCCGAGGGCAAAACCACGGCCCCAAGCTATTTGACTGAACCTGAGCTGATTGGTCTCATGGATGCTAATGGTATTGGAACTGACGCGACAATGGCCGAGCACATCGCGAAGATCAAAGAAAGGGAATATGTGGTTGTGAACAAGCGCGGCAGTGGCCGCAGCAAGATCGAAGAGCTCATTCCCACCCGCTTGGGTATTGCACTAGTAGAGGGGTACGATAATGTTGTGGCGGGCCTCCCGAACAGCATATCGCTCAGCAAGCCATTCCTGCGAAAGGAGATGGAGCTGAGAATGCTTGAAATATGTGCCGGCTCTAAAACTCGACAGGAAGTGGTACAGCAGAGTCTGGATATGTACCGCGAGGTGTTCATTCATACACAACGACGAATTGCGATGTTGAAAACCGCTTGCCGAAAATATCTCGTCGAGCAAGCTTGACCATGACGATTTGAGGGGGGTTTTTCGCCGTATTGACCCACATCAACCGCCTGTACTTCTACGATAAATGAATAATGAATTGAACTTGTTTGATTTGGTCACTATATGATATCGTTCGGCGTCCCATGCTTTCATGAATCAGCCCAGTAATCAAGATTCGAACCCGCCGGTCAATGTGGCATGTTCCAAGTATGTAACTCCTATGGAGCGCATATCAGTCTTCTCCAGTACTGACATCATCGGTCTCAGAGGTCTCAAGCGAAGCCTCCAAAGTCCTCCCAATGTCCGAGAAGGCCTTGGAAGTTTCTCTGGGAAGTTCCCTAAGCCGCTCGTGGAATTTCCTCCAGCGCGCCATAGCCTCGTCAATTCGATCTTGGTTGGTGAGGTCCTCCAAATCTTGTACACCGCTGTCGAACTTTTCAAACTTCGCATGCAGTCTCTGGATCGATTCTTCGATCTTTGCAAACTTCTGATCCAACTGGCGCAGCATATGATTACCTATCACGGGTAAAGTACCTGTGTATAGGTACAAGAGCCGCTCCATGTATTCGCGCTGGTCATAGTGGCTCTTAAGTTCGTTGGCGCGGTCTTCATTGTGGTACAGTACTAGCTTCGCCAGTATACCGAAATTCACAATCATCAGAACCAGCATGACTCTCTCGAAGGAATTTTCTTGCTCTCTCCTTCGCCCATTCGGTGTCAATGGGACTGACAGAGGCTTTGGGGTTCGATTTTCGGACGCAATAAAGCTATGGTTGATGGGGGTTGGCGTATCAAATACCCCCGGAGCTCTGTACGTATGGATTGGATGCAACGAGCTTTGTATTCCCAGAGCTTCGGAAGAAACGTTGGCGGGCAGAAGATCGCCCAGAGCATACGCCGAACCGGCTAATTGAAGGCTGCTCAGTGTGCGCTGGGCGAGGGAGCTAGGAGGTCGAATGCTTGTGAATGGTATCTCTCCGTGAAAATACCCCCAGAGACTTGAGCCCAGGAACACAATAGTTGGGAATATGACTTTCATGTTAATGGTTGTAGTGGGGGTTTTGAGATGTCAAAAAGTCGCCTGGTTTCTAAACAATTCAAGGTCAGCTTTGGGCGATTTTCTTATATTGTTCTGAAGCTCAGCAGTTGCAGTTTGCCCTTTCAACCATTGTAGCTCAAAACATGCTTTCAAGTAATCTGCTGTAAGAGAGATGCCAATCAATGAAGGTAGAGTACATTTCATTGACTAAAGCTCTGAGATATGCCTCTAGCCAGTTTTACTATCTACTTTGACATGGTTTTTCTGCAGAGACACGGCAATATTCGTGCATGATACTACACGTCATTGGATCAAATTTAACATGAAAGAAATAGTGGGATTGGATTAACCATTGTAGAATTGTATTGGTTGTCAATGAAGACGCCGTTTGCCATGTGTTACATTATCTACTGGATAGCCTCTCTCGCCTCTTTCCCCCACTACTATACACTACTATTAGTACATATACTACTATTCTTATGTCATCTATTCCAGTATCCCACGTACGCAAACACATTTTGGTTGCATAGACGTTGACCATCTTAGCAATATTCCGTTCGCTAGTAGCCCTTTTCCGTGAACACCAAAAAATTCCCAAGGATCTCAAAGGCTTCTTGGGGGATCCAGAAAGGCGACACTCAGAACACGAAGTACTACTAGTAAGGGGATGGGGATTAAACATTCTGCGGGGGCGGGCTTGGCACCGGAAGGCGTTATTCGGCGGTGGTTCCGGACGCCATTCCAAAAAGCCTGCTTGAGAAGTTGAATGGCGGCCCCAGCCCGCTCCGTCAGTGGCGCTGATCCTCAGACGACAATCCTGGGGCAAAAAGAACGAAACATGAAAGTATCTGACTTCAAACTCAGAGCAAAAAGGACACAGAAAAGCTTAGGCCCCCATCGAATCGGCCTCTTCGTCGAATGGAACTGGCTGCTGTATAGAAACTCTGACGTAATCGACAAAATTGGCCTGCATGATAGGCTCAACCGGTGGTGATCATTTCCTGGTTTCTTACCGACGATGCTTCGTGTTGCTTGCAATTGCTTACTCCTGAGTGATTTCACTTGGCTTGGGCCAGTAGTTTCGCGTGGTCGTTCTACATAAGTGTATTGCTACAACCAGGCCTACCATACAAGTGGCATCAATTTGCGTGGTGATCCACCCAGTGTGGAGTTACATCTGACGACCCACCCCCATACTATGTATCTCCGCATCGCCCGATGACCCAGTGAGAGGGTCGTGCTCCCAATGTTTCTATGACCTCTCGGACAATAACTTACGCGGTGATTGATCAGGATTTGACAGGGAAGATGCGCCTCATAGGGTCATGCCAGGCGCGGTAACATGGATCCAGTAGGGTATAGTTTTCCATTTGCAGCCCATACCAAAACGAAGACACGAAGAAGAACCAATTGGCAAGACCTGGTTCGGAATTTCTGGTGCCAGCGACATCCATAGCGCAATATTCTATCTAGGAATGAAACCCAGTTGGAGCGGCACAATGCATAAAAGCCTGATGTCCCCCAGAATCCTATTTAGCCCCCATTCCCCTTCTGAAAGCGTGAAGGATTTCCCCGCATTGTCTCTAAACGGATCTTCTCTGCTACTGAGGCAAATCTCTCACATAGCCTGCTATTTTGTGGCACCCACATAACCCAACATGACGAAGGAAAAGGTCGAGGACCCAGTTCTGGAGTCCAATCCCAAGGATGAAAACCCACCATCCTATACCCATAAAGAGAAGACGGACTATGGAGAGCCTGATTTGGAAGATCGTGGGCGTGGCCACATGAATGCTGTCTTCGAGAACCCTCTCGCCGGCATTCCACGCGAGCAGCTCTTCAAACAGGTTGAAGAATTTTGTCAGCAATGGGGCCTCATGTCAGATCTGGAAACTTTCAAGAAAGGCGCACTTGCCTCACAAGCTCCGGAGTCTGCCACGACACTGCCGGAACTGAATGATTCAGAAAGAGAAGCCCTGAAGCGTGAGCATACGCACAAGTGGAGCCAGCCATTTCAGCTCTACTTCCTAGCAAGTGAGTCGGCGACGATATTCTGCGAGACTATTTACAGCATGTCCCTATCAACATTGTAAAATGCTAATAATATTACTTGCTTCTAGTTATGTGCTCTGCTGCTGCTGCTGTGCAAGGTATGGATGAGACGGTCAATAATGGAGCCCAAGCTATCTACTTGAAGGTAACTTGCATCATGCACTCTAATTGATGGCTGGATTAAATGGCTGACTGATTAATGATATAGCGACTTGGTATTGAGAATAGTGACAATCTTACCGGACTCGTTGTTGGCGCACCTTACTTGGCTTGTGCAGTCCTTGGCTGCTGGCTAACCGAGCCACTCAATCGATACTTCGCTCGTCGGGGTACGATATTTATTTCCTGCTTTATTGCGGCTGTAGCCTCGATCTGGGAAGGTTTCTGCAATTCATGGGTGAATCTTTTTATGGCTCGGTTTGTTCTTGGGCTAGGCATTGGCTCAAAGTCTTCGACCGTCCCTGTCTACGCTGCCGAGTGCTCACCGGCTCCAATTAGAGGTGCTCTAGTGATGATGTGGCAGATGTGGACGGCATTTGGTATTATGCTTGGAAATATCATGGGTGTGGCCTTTTTGAATGTTGGAAATGACCTGAACTGGCGCCTAATGCTTGGCTCGACGGTGGTCCTTCCATTAATAGTTTGCAGTCAAGTCTATCTCTGCCCTGAGTCCCCAAGGTGGCTGATCCAGCATGACAAGATACCCAAGGCTTATGAAAACTTCAAGATCCTACGTCCCACTGAAATCCAAGCTGCCCGAGATCTCTATTACGCCTACATGGGGGTTCAGCTGGAGCGGAAAATTAATCGGGGCAAAAACTTTTTCACTATGTTCATGGAGCTTTTCACCGTCCCGAGAAACCGCCGTGCCACTCTGGCAACCTGGATTGTGATGTTCATGCAGCAGTTCTGTGGCGTTAATGTCATCGCCTACTACTCGACCACCATCTTCCAGGACTCCGGGTATGGATTGTCGACTGCGCTTCTTGCCTCCATGGGTACCGGTATTCTTAATTGGGTATTCGCACTTCCGGCCGTTTTTACCATTGATACATGGGGACGTCGCAATCTCCTTTTGTTTACATTCCCGTTCTTAGCTATTTTCCTCCTCTGGTCCGGCTTCTCCTTCTGGATCGAGGCAGATGACCCAGAGAGCAAGAAGCGAGTGGCGATGGTCACTACTGGCATGTACTTGTTTGAAATCTTCTATTCCCCTGGTGAAGGGCCTGTTCCCTTTACTTACTCCGCCGAAGCATTTCCTCTACATGTTCGCGAGGTTGGCATGTCATGGGCCACGGCCACGACCTGGTGCTTCAACTTTATTCTTTCCTTTACCTGGCCTCATCTCCTTACAGCATTCAAGCCCCAAGGGGCTTTTGGCTGGTATGCAGCTTGGTGTCTTATTGGCTGGGTTCTAGTCTTGCTTTTCGTTCCAGAGACCAAGGGTGAGTACTTTTTCGTATTTTTCTTGTATTTTCAAACCGAGTAATCTCTGCTGATCAATTTTCTGTATAGCTCTCACACTAGAGGAACTGGATCAAGTGTTTTCTGTTCCGACTAGAAAGCATGCTTCATACCAACTGAAAAATGCTTGGTGGCATTTCAGGGTCTGGGTTCTTCGTCAGAAGCTGGAACCGCTGCCAAAGTTCTACCAGGGTGCCCAACACCTTGCAGAAGTTGGCAATACTGCCTCTTAAGTAAATCAGAATTAATTTACTTCGTGGCTGGAATATTACTCTTACTGTTTCTGCAATTTCTCTTGAGCTGAATTATTGCTGACTGTTTTGCGCGTTTTAATGTTTGCCAATCTGTTGTGGAAATTTTTCATTGTCGGAGAAGAGAATACGCCAACAAAATTGACAAACCGAACAAGTCGACACTCTCCACGGTGGTTTTCGATATGCTAGCAGCACTTCAATTTGAAAATAGTATCGCTTGGATATATAATACAGTATGCAGTATGTTCATCATTTGTTGGGCGTACTGTGGGTGCGATGATCTGCAAGCTCGGGGGTGCCTCTTAATTTACTCCAATCTCTTGCTCAGAACAGCACCGTAGTAGACTGTTGCGATAAAGCTAACCATGTTGACCAGGCTGGACATTCCATGGATACGTCCGAATCTCTTATTAAGGGTCACCATCTCCTTAGAATGGGGAGCAGGGTCGTAGCTCCGTTTGCCATCGCGGGTTTCTGCATGGGTTAGCTGACCATCACCATGCAACATATTGCCCAATATTCCTTAAAGTAGACACTTACCTTGGTGCTTGCGCTCTCGCATGATCTTGGTTGTTAGGGGGCGCAACACGAACATGTTGATCAAGCCAGTGATGGCAACAGTGGCCATCGGCAAGAACGTGTTCAACCGGTTCTCGGAGGCCAAAAGCCCAGAAACACCGAGCGCTTGGCCTCCTCGGCTAGCTGTCAGAGCCACAACGACTGGAAGCGCGGTCTGCATAGAGAAATAGACGGGGAAGATGGCGGTCTGCAGGCTTGCAAACTGTGGCCGCGGCAAGGCGCGGAAGGCCACGATCCCGCCTACGAAGGACTAATAAAGAGTTAGAAATGCTTTTTGGTCATATCCATGCCGAATTCTTAGATGAATAACGGCGCGTCAGGCATACCTGGAAGAACTGGGTGCCCAGCAGGGTACCATAGCTGGAAGATTGTCAGTACGTGATTCTAGTCCGATGACTGCTACTGATGGTGACTCTTTGGGCAACAAACCTGAGAATGTGATAAGGGCGAGGATCATTCATTATGGCGTACGACTATAATCCGATATGGAAAATGGGAAATAGTCGATCTTCTTGGTGGCAGACTTTAATCACTTTGAGTTGAACGTGGGGATGGATTTCGATGGGAAGTGGGACCACCCGGCGGATAAAGCCACGCTCTCACGTGGGTATATTCCATATTGCCACAGCAGTAATTGCCGGTCAACCAACTAACTCCACGTCTATATGAATAATCGCACGCTGATCAAGTGATGTCATGTGCTCGCGCGCCAGCCTAAACGAAAAAGGAAATATCACGCGTCTGCCTGGCTCTACACTAGGAGCCTCATCTCATCGTCTTTTTCACTTTTTTTTTCCACATCTCCCTTTTCTTGCGGTGTTCAGATCCAATGGCTCAAAAGGAGGCAACTATTTACATTGTCGACGTGGGCAGGTCCATGGGCGAACGCCGTCATGGCCGCTCCGTCACAGATCTGGAGTGGGCCATGCAGTATGTCTGGGACAAGATCACCACCACGGTACGCGTGTTCTTTCGATATTCATGAACATCACTCACCAAAATTTAGGTTGGAAATGGTCGAAAGACAGCGAACGTTTCGGTTCTTGCTCTGCGTTCAGATGGTAGGCATTTCCATGCCATGTCATTCGTTTCCACCCGCGCGAGTCTAACTAGACAATTTCAGACACGTCAAATGAGCTCCGAGAGGACGCACATAATTCGAACATCTCGGTTCTTTCGAGATTAGGACAGTATGTTGCCTATTGGTACTTGGAAAAGTACACGACTGACCCTCGTCTAGAGTTCTCATGCCTGATATCCGAAGCCTGCGTGATTCCATCAAACCCAGCAATACAAACCGGGGCGACGGTACATGAAAGCTCCCCCTCATATGGACATAAACCAGCAGGCTGACTCTAATTAAGCCATTTCTGCCATTGTCGTTGCTATTACAATGATCAATGAATTTACCAGAACGCTTAAGTACAAGCGGAAGATCGTCCTGGTCACAAACGGTACTGGGCCAATGAGCGACAATGGCCTTGAGGAGATCCAAAAGAAAATTGTCAGTGATGGGATTGAATTGGCTATTCTGTGAGTGAATTACTATGTGTCATTGCTGTTGTACCCGACTGATATTATCCAGGGGAGCTGATTTCGACGATCCGGAGTACGGGGTAAAGGAGGAGGATAAAGATCCCCACAAGGTAAGATTTACCCCCACAAAAATGGTGGGAATCCTGCTCATGCTCTTTGCAAATTCACAGGCACAAAATGAGAGCCTGCTTCGCGGATTCGCTGAAGGTTGCGAGGGGACCTATGGAACCCTAGAGGAGGCTATCGCTGAATTAGAAACCCCTCGGATTAAAGCCGTCAATCCCATGCCATCTTTCAAAGGCATGCTCAGACTTGGTGATTCTCAGAAATACGATACAGCTGTACAGATTCCGGTTGAACGTTATCCCCGAACATACGTCGCCCGCCCGCCGTCTGCCAGCTCTTTTGTCCCCGTCTCCAAAACTACACAGGAAGAGGAAGGAGACCAGAAGCCAAGTCATGGCGATGCTCTTACCGCTGTGAGAATGGCACGAACTTACCAAGTTGACGATCCCTCTGCGGTTGGTGGCAAAGTTGATGTTGAGCGTGATGACCTCGCAAAGGGTTATGAGTATGGCCGGACAGCTGTCCACATCAGCCAAATAGATGAGAACATTACGAGATTAGACACATTCGCCTGTCTGGATCTCATCGGCTTCATCAGCCAGGACAAGGTACAACATCATCATCATCATCATCATCATCATCATCATCATCATCATCATCATCATCACCATCATCCGATCGAACTTCGACTAAACTAACTGCTCTACAGTACGATCGATACCTGCACATCTCCAATGCTAACATTATCATTCCGGAACGTGCGAATGATAAGGCTTCTCTGGCACTGTCGTCTTTCACTCACGCCTTACACCTATCGTCTTTCTATGCTGTTGCTCGAATGGTCACCAAGGAGAATCGAGCCCCTCTGGTGGTCCTGCTTGCACCGTCCATCAATGCAGGTTATGAATGCCTCGTTGAGGTACAGCTTCCTTTTTCGGAAGATGTTCGATCGTACCAATTTCCACCGCTGGACAAGGTGATCACCGTATCCGGCAAAACTATCTCCGAGCACCGAAATCTCCCAAATCAAGACCTCCAAGAAGCAATGGATAATTATGTTGATAGTATGGAGCTGGACCACAAGGATGAACTTGGGTGAGTGGTCTGATCAGAGGACCCTGGTACACTACTGACAAAAAGGATCAATCGTAGGAATGATGTGCTGCCCATCGATGAATCTTTCTCTCCGCTACTACACCGGATCGAGTCGGCAGTGCGGTATCGCGCAGTGCACCCAGACAACCCCATTCTTGAGTCGCCTGAAATCCTCACCAAATTCGCACATCCTGATGAGGAGCTTGTGAAGAACTCAGCGTCCTCCCTTGAGAACTTGATCTCTAAAGCGGATGTTAAGAAAGGTAACTTCTATTCTGGTTTAACCAACGGATTCCTTGCTAACCACATTATTTTAGTTCCTCCCAAGACTAAAGGACGCAAGCGCCAACGCGAAACGGAGAAGCCTCTTTCCGGTCTGGACGTCGACGCTCTTCTCAACCAAGAGCCAAAGCGTGCCAACATATCGCCCGATAATGCTATCCCGGAGTTCAAACAGATGTTGTCCCGTGCAGAAAATATTGAAACCATTAATGGTGCCGTCAAACAACTATGTGCCATCATCGAATCACAGATCAAGAACAGTCTGGGCGACGCCAACTATGATCGTGTTGTGGAAGAATTGGGGACTCTGCGTGACGAGCTGGTTGACTACGAAGAGCCTGCGCTTTACAACGATTTCTTGCGCTCATTAAAGTCAAAGATATTGCTAGAGGAACTCGGTGGCGATCGACGAGAGCTGTGGTGGCTGTTGCGAAGAAGCAAGATTGGTCTTATTGACCGGAAGGCCTCTGATCGATCTGAGGTCTCAGAGGAAGAGGCAAAGGAAGTGAGTAAATCAACCCCAAGCTAACAAAATGATACTAACGCATCCGCAGTTCCTTTCTCCTAATTGAAACTCTGGGTATGAACTATGAACTATTAACCACAAGCATGAACTTGCACTTCTTTTAGCACAATTCACGAGAATGGCAGCATCAAATAATGCCCTCAAGAGAAAAACCTTATGATCTTGTAGATTTTCAACACTATCAACATTTCGCGCATAGGGTATAGTAAATCAAGATAACAGCAATGTAGCACCATGATATCCGTGCCAATGAACGCTCGAACCCCTCCTCAATGTTTTAAGAAAACAGCGGAGTCTATGAAAAATTTCGGTAAAGGAAGAATATGCAGCTTTCGCTTGATCATTATGAGATCTTGCCGAGGCGCTTTTTACCAACATCGAGCTTGGCCTTGAGTCTAGAATAGTCGTTAGCACGTCAAGGTGCGAGTAGTTCGGGGGAGGGGGGGGGGGGACGAACCGATCAGTGTCCTCATCCGCCAACCTCAACAGGTCATTATGCACTTCCAGCTCTTCATGAATAGCCTGCCCCAGCTCTCTCTGTCTGATGATAATCTTCAACAATTCGTCCACGTTCTGGTCCTGATCCTGCATCGTTTGTTTTTGCAGCTGCAGTACTCCCTGGTTGTCAAGCTCACGCGTCCGCTCCGTTTCTTTACCGAGAACTCTTCCAGGGCGAGCGGGCGTTCGGCGCCCATTGTTTGCACTGTCGATCTTCCCAAAAAGTTCCTCCTTGTCCTTGTCTGGCATCGCGGCGACCGCGCTATCCAGTCGGGTCTTGGTTGCCATAGCTTGCAACAGGTCTTCCAGGCCATCTTTTTCCTTGCGCGCATTTATGAGAAGATCTTTCCGACGGCGCAGTTCGCCCTCTCCTAGGCTGGACGAAGTAGACTGGCCGGATTGGGACCCGCGGCTGCTCAGGATCCTCAGGCCTTCCTCCAGGTGCCCGAGCATCGTACCCGCGCGTACAAGACTGCTCTTCGCCTGGGCGGAACTCTCATGTTGCTTCGAAGGAATAGTCTCTTGGTCACGACGAGAAAGTTGGAGGCGGGCGTCATGTAGGTGTGTTTTCATGTCGCGGTGGTAATCGAGCCATAGTGTTGGGTCGGTGATCGGGCCGTTGGATGCGGAACCAGGATCTGTGATCGCGGCATGTAACCGATTCGAGGTGTTCTTTGCGCCGTTCGAGGAGGCGACGGCAGCTGTGGGGAGGTTCAGAAACGCCCTCCAGGCAGAAGAGGTGCGCCAGCGGCCATCGGGCGATTCATTGATTGCTTGGAGGTACTCTTCCAGCCCACGGCGACGATCTTCTCGAAAGCTTTGGTTTGAGACAGTGTTCGAGAACCAGGACTTTGAAGGGAGGGACACTGGTGGCGGTTCACTGGTCTGGGTGATTAGAGAGGCATGAAAAGCGGAGAAGTCGGAGTAGCGCTTGGAGACGGTGAAAGAGCGAAGTGGGAGGCGGAGAGTGATGTGGTAGACTGTGTGAGGGGGAGATGTGGGTGAGAGACTGGTGGTCGGAATGGCGATCTCAACGGTTGGCGCCATGGCTGGGGTGGTGGGATGTAAGGAGAGAAGAAGGGAAGAAGGGAAGAAGCTATTGAGACTACTAGATGGTCCTCGGGGCCACACGCATGACGCAAGGCACCCGAAACGGTTTAGTCCCGTCACGCTCAAGTATACAAATGATATAGTACAAAGTTGACAAGCTGCCGGTTGCTGGCGACTCTGCAGTAAACATAAAGAAAAATTTGTTTAATCATACTGTACAATTTTGCAAATGGGGTATATGTTTAAAAATTAGGGTGTGTTTTGCGCTCCAGTCCAAACCTCTCGTGTCTCCAAGAGATCTCGCTGCCCAAAGAATTCGCCCACGACAGTGATGATCATATCGAGCATGGCACGGATTTGTTTCACCCGAGTCTCCATATTGGAAGTATCCTCCGGTATAGCGTCCTCGCAAGCTTGTAGCCTGGCCTGTAACCTCGCCTTTGCCGCCACCAGTTCGTCTGGTTGGTCGGCATCACTAGGCATCTCCACGTCATGTGTATCCGATTCTTCAGCTTTGTGCTCAGTTGATAGAGCTACTGGCTCCTCTTGGCCATCTTTATCATACCCTTCGGGATTTGAATCTTCTTCATAGGCCTCCTCTTCCTCGGCTTCCTCGTCCTCCTCTTCTGCCTCTCGAACCTTTTCAAGAATCTTCGCGGCTCGTTTCCCGAGATCGCGTATCTCACCCACTTCCTCTGTAGAAAGTTCTCCAACTTCGCGACATTTTCCCAGTAGGCCCCATACCCAGGCACCCAGGCGCCTTATGCCCGCGGTATCGCCACTTCGTACATTATCCGACAGCCCTCGCGCGATCACCTGCAACACACTCAGCACACTCTCCGAGTCCATACAGGCAAGCTGCACCATCTGAGGATCAACCGCGAGGGTCAGGCGTCGCCATTCCTTGCGTGCCGGTGCATGATTTCGGGGGAGGCTGATAGGGTGCGAGTCGTCGAGGCTGGCGATCGCCGTGGCGGGAGGGGTACACCTCAAGGTGGATCGGAGGAGCAAGAATCGGTGTCGGAGAAGATTATAGTAGGAATCTTGAGCTTCGGGGTATACTTTTTCAAGATGTGTGAGCGATTTTTCGTCGGAATTCGCGGGGGCGACGTAGGCTTCGTCCATGTAGAAACCGGCTTTGAAAGGCAACTTTTGCCGATCGCGTGCACTCGAATTCACCGGAGCATTTGAATTTGATGTTGCTGGGGCCGTTTGGGAGCTTTCGGCGATGAATAGCGAGGGCATTGCATTCGCTTCGGATCTAGATTGGATCATTGTGTCAGAATCAAATCTGCGATGAAGAAAAGATGGGATGGCTGAGCGAGAAGAGCGTTCTTTAGCACGCGCTCGGGCATCGGGCATCGGGCTTGAAGAGGGAGACTCACCGAACCATGCGTAAATACTCCAATCCATCATCTGCTGGGCCATAGAAGAGCTCGTCCCCAGCGTCGTCCAAGCCTGGGAACGCGTTCTTCTGACCGTAGACGGGGTGACTCCGTGGCTGTTCATGAGGTGTCGCTCCATCGCCGGCATCCTCGTGTATACGAGGGCGCTTGGGTGCGGGTGCCGACATGGGTGTCTTGCGCTTGTTAGGCATTCAAGGTGTTGGAGGAGTTCGAGGAGAAAGGTTGAGGCAGCTTGATCCAGGCCGGGCGGCTTTCTCCCATTATTAAGTGGGCCCACTGGGCTTATCGCCACTGAATCTACGATAAGCTGGCCTCCCCGTGCTGACTGTGCCAAGACAGACTATAAAGGACCTCGAGATGTGAAATGTAAATTTTTGGCATCATTTTCTTCGATCAAAACGGCCATTCAACATGTTCAACATGAATGCATCAAATACCCTGGGCTCTAGATTCGAACCCGAGGCCTTACGGATCGTGACAGTATCATCATAGAATACGCTCTTTCCTTCTGAAGCCACCCCGAGGAAAGATGAAGTCATTGTGTCAACAACCCATCACCTAGAGATGAAATGCATAGCAACTGAGGGATTGGAGTATTTTTGAGACTAGCATACAGTCTGCTCGGGCTGAAGTATTGATACTGCAAGTTTGAAATGATGAATATAGAAGAATTGGGGGATATGGTGGATTTTGTTGAATGTATGGTAATGGTGGTGGTATTCCGCGAAGGGTAGGGGGACCATTATATATATCGGGCACAATGCCTTTTGCCACTGTCGCCTACAACGCCCCCAAGCGATTATTTATTCCCGAAAAAATAACGATAAAACCGAGTAAATCCACGAGAATCATTCCCCCACTCCAATTATTCTTTGAGAGACATGGGTGGAAATCCTTCGAGTTGGCGTGTGTGTGTGGGGTTCACGTTGGTGTTGGTGTTGGTGTTAGCGTTCTGAGAGGCCTTTTACCATGTCGACTACAATACCCCCAGGCGATTATTTAATTTTGGAAAAAAAATGATAAAATTAAGAAAATTCAGGAGAATCATTTACGTACTTTGATTATTTTTAAGAGACATGGGTGAAAATTCTTCAAGTTGGCGTTCCGGTGCATGAGGGTGGAGGCTTTTTAACATATCGCCTACGACGCCCCCCAGCGAGTTTTTTTTTTCTTGAAAAAGTAATTATAAAATGGAGAAAATTCCGGAGAGGAATTCTTACACTTTCATTATTTTTTGAAAGATTTGGGTGGAAGGAAATTCATGCCCGCGACAGCGCGTAGACATGCAGTCGAAATTAGCAGCAACCCTGGCCGTGCAGACGCACAGACCCATCCCCAAAGGACCAATGGTGATCATGGAGACCCCTGAAAATTTGAAGTATTTTTAGTAAGCAATGCGGGGATCCCCACTATGTACTCCGTACTACTAACTAGTAGATGATGGGGGAGATTCATCGGAGATCCACATACTATTTTCAGAAACCAAGTGTTCGATAAGAATCGGTAACGAGTGGTAATAGGTACAGCTGAGGGTGAGTGGCGTAGTGGTTTAATCGACCACTGCTGCATTAAAGCGAGTCCTCAGCACCTGCCTTGTTGTGCGCTCCGGCGCGATACAACCTGGTGGGTGGGTCCCCGGTGCACCTGATGTCCTCAGGAAAAGCCAGGCTAGGTGGGCAACTGCCTACGCCTCCGGCAGCATCGGATCCCGAAAATCCTCACAAGAGGGTTTTATAGCCTGGACCACCCCTTCGGGGGTTGGGAAGGGTGAATTTTTTCCTTTTTTTCCTTTTTTTCCGTTCCCCTTTTCCATGACTTTCCTTCCACCAACTCACCATTAACAGGTCGACTCCATGACCAATTAATGAAATTGATCTCCGTTTCTCTTCCTGCTCGGAGATCCCATGCCACCGAACAGATCGCCCGTGCCGTATTCGATGTTCTTGTCAGAACCGAGTCAAGGCATTACGAGTCAAAGGAATAACGATCTCAGACAAGTGATATTTGATCCCTAATGAATCTCAGTTATGATGGCAATGGGTCTTTGCTTCTTATAGAAACCGGTTGAAAGGGAAGAAGAGAATAGGCTGGATCTAGCCTGTCCCATGTCAACCAGCAGTGGGGCCTGGGGGAGGTGGAGCAGACTTTGAATTGACAGGGACCGAAGCTGTTCCTCTTTGGTCTATAAGACCCACCATGGGCAGGCGGCTTGTTTTATACATGATAGATATCAAGTTTCAGCGGATGCGAAGCACGTATCTTTTTCATCAATCTTCTTCAAGCGTTGGAAAACAGCTCAATAGGCATGGTACTGATAGAGACGGAAGTTATCAACTTAAAAGGGTCGTTCCATGCAATTCATTTTTGATCTTTCTTTGCTATATTCTATCTACACAAGCCATCCATCTAAGGGCGCAGGCGCTGGGGGTCACGGGGGAACAGCGACGCCAGACGCACGTTCGGCAGGCCTAGGAAGAACATGACAATACGGTTCATACCCAGACCACCACCGGCGTGAGGTGGGCAACCCTGGCGGAAAGCATTGAGATAGTCCTCGAAGCCCTCCTGGGTAGGGTCCATACCCTTGGAGCGCATTGACTCCTCGAGCTCGGTGATGTCGTTAATGCGCTGGGCGCCAGACATGATTTCCTCACCACGCATGAAGAAATCGTACGAGTTAGAGAAGCGAGCATCGCTGGGGTCGGCCTTGGTATAGAAGGGACGGACAGCCATGGGGAACTTGTCCAGAACGTAGAAGTCGGTGTCGTACTTGTCGCGAATGATCTGTCCAAGCTGCTTCTCCATGGCGGTGCTGAAGTCGTTCTCGAAGCGTTCCTGCTCCGACATGTCGACGCCAGCCTCCTTCAGCAGGGCAACACCATCCATGTAGTTCAGACGCAGAGCCTTGCCGTTCTTGGGCAGCTTGAAGTCACCGGCCTTGGGGTAAGACTTCTGGATGGTAGCGATCTGGGCGGCGTAGCGCTCCTTGAGCTGGGAGAGGATAAAGACCAGGAGATCCTCAGCGAACTCAAGAACCTCGTGGTAGTGGTGATCAAAGGTCTTCTCGAAATCAAGACCAGCAAACTACAAGTTATTAGCATGAATACCACATAATACATTTGAGATAATCATCGTACCTCGGTCAAGTGACGGTGGGTGTTGCTGTCCTCCGCACGGAAAACGGGAGCGATCTCAAACACGTTCTCCATATCACCGGCGATACACATCTGCTTGTACAGCTGAGGGCTCTGAGCGAGGTAACCAGTACGCTTGAAGTACTTGACTTCGAACACGTTGCTGCCACCTTCGGTGGCCGCGCCGACCAGCTTGGGGGTGAAAATCCACCGGGAACCGCTCTTGATCATATACTCGGAGAACAGCTGGGCAACACCACTGGAGATCCAGGTGATGGCCTGGCTGGTCTCGGTTTGGAGATCCAGGACACGGTTGTCCAGACGGGTCTTGAGGGTAACAATGGGGGCACCCTCAGAATCAACCTGGGGGGCATCATCGGCAGTCTCAACGGGTGGTGGGCGCTCGGCATCCTTGACCTGCATGGGCAGCATTTGCGCGGCTTCAGAGATCATGTACACCTTGCGGATGTGGATCTCAAGGTGCTGGATGGTGGCAGAGGAAATGGGGATTTCGGGCTTCTTGATCAGACCGGTAACCTGAACAATGGAGTTGACGTTCAGTCCACCGGTGAACTTGATCATCTGTCGAGAGATAGGCTCGGCGGCCGCAATAACGGCCTGGATCTTCTGACCCTGCTGGCGCAGCATCAGGAAAGCAAGCTTGGCACTTTGCACGCGCGCATTGTCCACACGGGCGACAACAGTAACCTCCTTCTCTTCGTCGGTGAAGTCGGTGAATCGCGTGGTGGGGTTGACATCGTCGGATTCGGGGAGCTTGCCGTAGAGGTGCTTGGCGGTGTCATTGGCTTCTTGAGCAGCAGCCTGAGCCTTCTCCTGTGCAGCGCGGGCAGCGGCCTTCTCAGCCTTGGCTTTCTCCTTTGCGGCCTTCTTCGCCGCATTCTTGCTGGCGCTCTTAGAGTCACCTTCCGCGGCGGGAGCGGCGGGCGCGCCGGTCTCCTCGGGCTTGGGGCGAGTGGGCAATTCGGAGTCCGCCATAATGCTTTGAAGAGGAGTGTTAGATACGAACACAATTGACTGCGGGAATGTGGATTCCTTACCTTAATGATACACTTTGAATGGGGTGACTCGATGCGGTTGACACTTTGAGTCACCCCCGCCGTGCAAAACTGCCCTAAACCCTAAGAGGGGTGATCGTCACATGACCCCATAATTATCGATCGCGGTGCCTGAGGAATCAGGAGGGATTCAATGGAAGCATAGAAGTACGATGGATTTAAGAGACATTTGCTATAAACTTCTTGCAGATTTACCATAATCAAATAGTTGAACTAGAACAGTTATGTGAGGCTGACAGAGTCTTCCTATCATCACCAATTCCAGGTAAAAAAGTAGAATATTGGTTCATGTTGGTATCCCGTAGTATGTGCATGGGATAATAGTTATGATATGACGCTAAGTTAACTCCAGGATGTGGTGACTGATCAATCTCCTGTCACCCAGATATGCGTTGGAACTATACTTGGCATTTCGCGTAGATTGCCAAGTCGACCGCGAAATCACCACTTTGAAGATTTCAGTGCCCATTGAACAGCCTTCTGTACATCATCGGTAATTGTTTTAGGAGTCCATGCAGGATCGCCTCCAGTATAGACACCAGTCCGGACCAAAATGGACTCCCAGCTGCTGCCGGACCCACTGCGGTAGGAGTTTGCGCCCCGAATGTCCGATTCCGGGTTGTCCCCAACCATATAGACTCGCTGCAAGGGTGGCAGATCTGTGCCAAAGACCTTGGACCGGTTGCGGAGCAGCTGCCTTTCGGCGAATTCGTACGTCCCCTGGTATGGTTTTCCGATCACGGTTTTCTTCAGCTCAATGCCTTTGCCGGGTCCACCGGTGGCCGCAGCCCAGACACCCTCGAGTGCTTCTCGGAACCCGCCCTGGCCAAGACGTGACAGAGGATAGGCTGCTGCCCACCAAAGATCAGGATTGGAGAAATACAAATGTGGCTGACCATCCTGCTGGTAGCCGTGGTTGGGCAGGTCGGTTCGGCCGTTCTTCTCTGACAGCGTACCGACGTGGCCTTGCGACGAGAGCAAGAGATCCATAATCACTTGGGTATCAAGTCCCCAGTCACGAGGATCATTGAATACAAAGACAGCATCAATCTTGAGACCCTTAGTTATATCGGTGGAATCGAGCGGCTTAGGAAGCGGCCGGGCAAAAGTCTTATAGTGATCCGAGAAGTTCTTCGAGAAGGGCCAAACCGAGGGATTGGCCATAAAGATATCACCCGGTGTCACGACATTCTTGAAACCGTATTGCTCCGCCACTCGTCGACAATTGTCGCCATCACCTCCAGCCACCAAAACACATTTGTTCTCGAGCGCGCTCGCCGCATCAGGTCCCTTGACTAGTTCCGCAAAAGGTGAATGACTTTGAACGATGTCCGTTGCATCCAGTGACACATTGAGCTTCTCGCTGATTTCTGCAACGCGCTCTGTCTCGTGTTTACCTCCGCCATTGGTAAGTAAGATGAAGGGGATCCCCTGCTCTTTCAGGAGGGCTAATGAATCGGCAGCGCCAGGGATAGGTTTCGAAGCTCGTAGGAGGACGCCATCAATGCTGAGAGAGAATTATTAGATTGGGGAAACAGTGGGTTGGCTATGTGCATACATCACGGTCACTCACTCAAAGGCAAAGGCGAAGTTCGGGATTCGGGACGCGCTGGCGGTCTGAATAGCTCGACGGCTAGCATTGTATTGGCCGGGTACACACCGGAGCAGATTTAGAGACCGCCACATAGTCTGAGAATTCATCTGTAAAGTGGTGAAAGAGAGGTTGTGGGAAGAAAAGAAGGAGAAGGGGAGACCGGGAGAGGGGGTGATATCATCCCCAACTCCAACTCTTTTAACTCCGCCTTCCCCCACCCCACTCTTTCTCCGATTCGCCGCGCATTGAGCATTCTCATCTCTCTGGACCCCATGCACATAATACATTGATTGTCTGATACCGAGCGACCTCGACCTCAAGAATGACGCTAAAATCAATCAATCGATGACGGCCCGATCTCACATCCCGTTACACTCTTTCCTAATCCCATTCCCTTTCGTCTTTTTTTCCACCCTTCACTTCTCCGACTCCGCCTGCCATGAAAGTACAACCACCCAACATGGGTGATCATATTGCTCCCGATCTTCCAGTGGAAATCATCATTCTAATCGCTCAATTTTTCTACTGGGGTGATGAAGAACAGAAGGGCTCGTTGCTCTTTCGCCAGAACAATATGTACAACTTCTGCCTTGTTGGACGTGCGTGGTACTCGGCCGGCATCGAGTTTCTGTATCGTAGCCCGCAACTTGCGCGAGGGAACAAGTTCGGAAATTTTCTATCCACAGTCAGTCCCCAGTCCAGGGCCAAAAAATCAAAGGTCGACCTCGGGTCTTTGGTGAAGGAGCTCCTCTTGCAGGAGCTGGTCCACCACAGCTCCCCTAGCCAAACTGCACGGCTATTAAAAGCGGCGAGCTCAAGCCTTGTTTCATTCACGGCACCTCGTGTATCCTTTGCGTGAGTAATCTGGAGCGGTGTTTTAGGGCGGTGGCCGTCGTTGAGACCGAGACTAACGATCCAGCAGCATCAACAGCCTTGCAGCGCTTTCCAGATGCCAGAATCTTCTACGTTTAGACTTAAGCTTGGTTATAGGAAGCTCTATAAGCTTTCCGAAACTCAAAAAAGCTATCAGTGGTATTAAAAAGCTCGAATGTCTCATACTTCCCACTTCTATGAAGCTCGTTCATACAAATGACACCGTGGATCAGTGGCCGCAGTCACTGATCGATTTGAGAGTCGGAGGGCACTTCGATTACGAAACGATGCTAGACTTCTACTGGCCGGAAAATCTCGAAAAGTTAACGTTTGATCATTGCGTTAATCTTGATCTTTGCGTTCTAGCGGTTACTCTGCGTAACAAGAAGCTTAGTCAAGGGCTCAGAGAACTGACCATCGGTTCTGATAATCACGACATATGGAAGAATGGAGTGGAAAATGAAGGATTCGATATAACGGGAGCTCTCGAGTCAATGGAGATGCTTTACCATCTCAAAATACCCGCAGACCTTGCTACGACGCTGCTCGATGGCCCGAGGCTACAGGTATCGCCCATTCAGATATTAGAGATCGCCCCCGCACATCCTGGTTTTGAGTTGGACTCAGAAGATGGTGAATGGCTCCAAATTCTACTTCTCCAAGGGTTGCAAAACCAATTCAGCAATGTGTGGTGTCTTAAAGTCTGTCCAGACGTAGGGCTCATGCTGAATGACTACCGAAAGATCGACGACGAAATTTGGCTTCACCTACCGGACGACGACGACCCTCGGCTTGCTGAGTTTGAATCAATTCACCCATTCGGATTGACAATTCTTGATGGAACCAATTAATGCGTTAGTGGCCACGGATACGGAGCCTCGCTAAAAATACACAATACCCCAATAGCATTGCATAGCCTAGAAATATCATTATAACGGCGAACCCGCATATAGACGGATGGATTATGATTATGATCAGAAGCGTCGGAATGCTAGTTAGTTCATACTATCAATTTAACATTTTTGTAATAATAACTTCAAGTAGAATTTTGATAACGACTAGTACAGTACTAGTACGAGTAGTATCTTGGTAGTTTCCGATTTTAAAATAGTAGACTCAAAATTGATTCAAGTGAAAGTTGTGGGGATAATAAGAGCTGGCGTTGGGTTTGTTGATCTAGGTAGAGCGTTTTTGCTACGACCAGAACGGGCAATACTAGACCTCGCGAGTCAGTATGAAATAGTACGAACAAAAAGACGAAAATTAGCTCATAGGGACCTTAAAGACATACTACTACTGATACATAGAAAGTATACAACGGATACGAATCTGGTAAGCGAACCAAGTAGCTACTAGTAGTAACTTATGTGACCAGCTAGCTTTATTTAGTAACCAAATGTAATTGCTTCGCCTTGGTCCGCAACCATCGATCTATGTAGACGCCCCGACAAAGCAGAATATAGAGAGGAAACGGAAGAAAATCGGCTCGATAACAGACAGAAACAAGTCCTCCAAGCTTTTATTGTGGCCATCATGAACTCGTCATAAGTAGAAGAAATCGCCCTGGAAGCTTAAGAAATAGCAGCACAGATTGAGAATGAACAAGAACAGCAGGGTGCGAGGGCGCGTGAAGAATGTAGAACCATCCTCATGTCTACTACAATTTGATATCGAATGGAGAAAAGAAAAGGGAAATAGTTTAAAAGGGAAAACATTAAGTGACAGAGGCAAGCACCGCAGCCGCAACTCCCTCTTCTTCTGCCCGGACAGTGATCTTGGTTGTGATGCCGCTCTTGCTCGAGAACGCCATCTTGATGAGAGCAGCCACCCGGCCACCAGAGACGGTCTTACCGAAGAGCTTCAGGGTGTGTGTGCTGTTGTTAAGAGCAACATCAGTTCCCTCCAGGGGTTGGAGGGAAAGGGCAGCGATCAGTTGCTCCGTGGCATCTAGAAAGTTGTTAGTGACTTGGTAATTTATCGACTGGAACGAAAATGAGATACATACCGATGATACTCTTCATGTTGCTCAATTGCAGAGTCTCACTCTCCTCCTCGCCATTAGCGCCAGTCTGCTCCCAGACGTGGTCGAAGCTGCCGGCAAAAGCGGGGATAACGTAGTCGCCACCAGTGAGCTCGAGGTCTTCTACCTGGTACTCGTCATCGTAGCCCTCATTCTCGGGATCGCCAGTGGTAGGATCGATCTCCTTGCTGGTGAACTTCAGGATATTGGTGAAGGAGGAGATTGGGACACTGTGCTCGCCACCCAGCTTCTTGAAGGCAGCGTAGACGACGCCAGGCTCGTTCGGCGAAAGCTTGGGGGCAGGAATCATGAAATCATCCTCCAGAACGTCATCCTCCTCTGGCGTCGCGACCACAGTCACGTTTTCAAGGACGGTATCGGGAAGGGTGTTCTTAATATCATATTGCACAACGATGTGCTCCTTGAAAATGTGCTTGACAGCAGTCACAACATACTCAGTCTCGCTCTCAGAAAGCTCGACAGGACCGGAAGACTTGAGCAAGGTGCCGTATTCCTTGATATCGGGGTGTTGCATGAGCTGCTCGGCATACTTTTGGGTGGCAGCCGCACTGTTTGCCTCGGTAGCGCTGTTCGCCTTGCTCTTCGTAGGACCGGCCGAAGGGGCCTTGAGGGTGGGTGTGGCGGAAGTGAGCTTCTTGGTCCGCTCCTCGGCCAAGGCCTGCTCGTGGCTGACAACGGGAACAGAAGAAACATCAAAGGCAGCAGCGAAATTCTGCTTGTCGTTCGAGGTCACATACATGACAAGTTGGTGCTCAAAGGTGGAAAGAGAGTACATGGAATCTAGTTTTGTCAGTAAAAATTGCATGTTGAGAGGAAAGTTAGACTTCTTACCGTTCTTGATAAACGGCCCTGCCATAGCATCATCTGCTCCCATCAAGCGCAGGTTGAGGGCGGCACGATCGCGAACCTCATCGTCGGTATCGTCTAGACAACGGGTGAGAAGAACATGCACACTCGACTTGACTTCAGGGTCAGTTTGGCCAACACCAAACTTAGCCAGAGCAGTGACGGCAGCGGCACGGACAATGGCGTTCTCCAGCACGACACGATTATAGATATAGCGGATGTACTTGGTAGGGTGCGAGGTCTTGGGGCCCTCAACACCAAGCAGATGCAGAACGCGAACAGACAGCTTGGTGAACTCGCAGTCCTCAATAAATTCGCAAAGATGAGCAAGAGCTTCTTCCTTGCTCTCGGGGACAAATTTGATCAGATCGAACATGCTCTCCACAACAGTGCGCTTGAATTCATATCCACCCTCGTCACGCAGAATGCCACTCAAGAACACGAGCATACCGGCTTGCTTGCTGGGGAACTTGAGACACAATGTGCGGATGGCCTCGACAATAGTGATCTTAAACTCATCGGTGATATCGGCCATGAAACCCGAGATCTGCTTCATCAGGCGATCGACACTAGCCTCGTTACCGGTCTTAAGCAAGGTGGTGATAGCAAACGTGGCGATAGAGCGGTTGGTGTTAGAGATAAGCGACTCAATATCGGGGTTGCAGACGTTGACGACCTGCGGCTTGAAGGAGGCGAAGTTATGGAGGATGCGAATGGCGGCGAACTTCGTGACAGAGCGCGGGGAGGACAAGAAGAGCTGAAGGACGTGGACAGCCTGGGATGCCTCAGCGTCGGTGACATCTCGGAGGTCGCAGATGGCCTTTGCAGCCTCGAAGTTGACCATCTCGTGCTTGTGACGGAGCCAGCCATCCAACATCTGCATCATGGGTTTCCGGAGACCAGGATCCTCCTCCGCCAGCTTAGCAGCCAGGCGGACCAGCAAAACCAGGGCAGCAGGGCTCTTGACAACGCCCGCGGCACCATATTGCTGAACCATCTTCACAAGCGCCATGCGATCGTGCGAGCGCATTTGGTACAGAAGACCAATTGCGTGGTATTGTGTCATAAAGTTCGACTGCGAGATGGCGTGGGCCTGAGAGCCAGATGAGAAACCTAGGAAACCGGTCGACTGCTTTGAAGAAGAAGCAGCTTCTTGAGTCTCACTCTGCCATCTCCGAACGACATCGCGAGCAACGGGCAGGAGGTGGTAGGATGAAACCAAGGCGGCGGAGGAGACCGAGGGAGTCTTGTCGACAATGGCCGTCTTGATGAGTCGCTCAATGCCCTGGACCGTGGATCCATCGATGATACGGCACAGCGCCCGAATAGCGTTGGCCCGGTAGAGAACGTCGCTGCCAACGGCAGTGTCCTTCATGATGATACTGGTGGACATGATAACATCCTCGGCAGTGCCCGCAAGCTCCTTCAAAATCAGATACACCATCTGTCGCAGCGAGGGATCCTTGTTCTGGAACAGCTTTGAGATACCGAAGAAGAGGGTTGTGGCTTCGTTGGTTGGGAATTGCTCCCCAGTGAAGAGGAGGACCGCGATCTTGGTCAATAGGGTTCGGCATGTTCGCGGTGAGATGGGGGAGGAATTGAACAATCGAGCTAGAAGAATTGGCCTAGGTTAGTACACAAGGAGGGAGTGGTGCGGTTGTGAATCGGAGTGCCAGGGGGGGGAGGCCATTGTCCGATTGCATACCGTCTTGGAACACCGAGGTCCGATCAAGTCTGATCATGACCTGGTCCGCATCTTCGTCTTTCTTCATATAGCTCATCTTGCCCAGGTGCTGGGATTGCACCAGCGGATTGTGTTCGCGATCTCCTTAGGCTCGGAGTGGGTTCGATTGGAGGGTGGAGGGAGGACAGAGTAACAGCAGGAGGGCGGTGTAGGCCAACTACTGCATGCGCATAGTCAACCCCCAAAGCAAAGGGCGAGAAAGAGGAGAAGAAAAGGGGTGTGGAGAAGAGTTGGTGATGAATCTCGACCTCGAACTCCAATTGTTTATGGAGTTAGGTGAAGGTGGCCTTCCGTGTGTTTGGCAGCCACTGTGGCGCCCCAGCCAAACACTGCAAACAGGTGGCATCATGCATTTGAGATGCCTTGCTCCGCTCTCTCAACTTGCTTTCTTTCCCTCTCCCACAGTCTTTATTCTCTTCGTTTCTTGCTACGGTTCACTGTCAAATTGAAATCAATATGCAGGTTGAAGTCAACCCCAACGAGGACACTGAATGGTATCGTCGCTATTACCTGCATGAAGCATGCATTCCCGCTTGCGGGGACAGCTATATATGATCACGTTCTGACTTGATTTCTCTATTTTTTTTTTAGGAACGACATTCTTCGCCAGCATGGAATTATCCCTGAGAAGCCCAAAGACCCCGAACCTTTGATCCAAGAGGCCCTAATCGAGGCCACCCGAAAGGCCCACGAAAATCGCCTGGAGGACAAGGATGTTGATGAGCTGGATGAGTTAGAGGACGAGGAAGACGAGGAATTTCTTCAGCAATATCGGTGAGTCTTGTGCCTGCCATCAGCGCACCTATTCCCTGGATTCCCGCAAGCCCTCGGCATGCTTGATACACAGTTCAACAACCAAACTAACACCCTTCCTTGTTAGTCAAAAACGCCTTGCAGAGCTCAACACACTGCAACATACCAGTCTTTTTAACCAGGTCTATCCTCTTCAGAAAGTCGACTATGGCCGAGAGGTGACCGACGCCTCCAACAGCGCCTTCGTGCTTGTCAATCTGACAGCCCAAGGTGCCAATGTTGAGTCCCGGGTATTGACAGAGCTATGGCGGCAAATGGCAGCTAAGTTCGGCGACATCAAGTTCTGTGAGATCCGCGCGGACATGTGTATCGAGGGGTACCCAGAGAAGAATACCCCCACGATTCTCGTCTACAAGGATACCGAGATTAAGAGGCAGTTGATCACTCTTCGGGAACTCAACGGGCCCCGAACCAAGATCGAAGATTTGGAAAAGCTACTCATTGATCTTGGTGCACTGAAGGAGAGTGATGTTCGTCTCAAGAAGCGCTCGGACTCCATGGAGGCGGGCGATGATGAACTGAACGTTGAAGATTATGATGACGACTGGGATTAAGATCCCTCGACTACTCGACGCAACACGACCCAGAACTTTCATGACTATGCGATGTTTTGTATATTATGCAATTGGTCCAGTTTATGACCTTATGTTGGAGATTGGAAAGGGGAGGGTTTGAAACAAAAACTGTAAAAATTGTCCCAAATGATGAATATTCCAGGGCTCGGATTGTATCTAGACCCTGCGAGATCCAGCCAATGAGACAGGATAATTTGGCCAATTCTCGTGCGTGGTTGATCCAGCGACGGAAGGCATGCAAATAAGCAGCTGTTGAATTGTACATTCCTCTAGGTTTGAAATTGTTCCTGCGACGTTTTGGACATAGTAATTTGTTTTCAGTAGAAGCTACTATTGAGCCTGATATTTCAAGGTTGTCCAAAAGACAAAAAGAAGTTTCAATGTCAACTTGAATGTGCCGAACAAGATAAAACACATAATAACCTAAATATACCAACTAAATGTAGTCAGGTAGATCCGTTGCCAACTCGTTGAACTCCACGCAACCCAGCGCCCAAAAAATCATCCAAAAACCTCAGCAAAAAAGAAAGCCGGTCATATATCATCCGTCCATCAAAAAAAAGATTAAATATATCATTTATATCAAAGTAGGTCATCTCTCTCGGCCGCACTCTGTTCAATAGCCAAGCGCACTTGGCCTTCTTTAAAAGCAGGGCCCTGGCCATCGCACTGGGCTAGGCCCTTGAGTTTGTCTGTGACAATACCTATATCCACTTCACCACGCTTAAAGAGCTCATGGTTCTGGATAAGGTCCCAAGTCGCGCCGGGGCCAAGAAGCTTCTCGCCGGTAGCCTGGCACACCGTGATACGGTGCTGCTGCGGACTCTGAGGGCTGAGCGGTGTCGAACCAGGGTGTGGAACCCATCCGGATTCCTCGGACGTGACTTTGGAAACGAAGTCGATGGGAGTATATTCCATGGGTCCCGTAACGGGGGCTTGAGGTTGTTCTTTTGGCGGACGATTGTTATTGCCATTTAGAGAATGTGATGTGGCACGCAGAATCTCATTCTCCGTTGCGTATTTGGCGAGCTGGCGCCTCAGGCGCTCATTATCTGCATTAAGAGAGGTGGATGAATCCTCCAGGCTGTTGACTTTATCCTCTAGGTCTTTCACATGCCTCTCTTTTCGTTCGCGGAATGCGCGTTGACTATATATTGATCTCTGTTAGCCGGTTTGACATCAACCAATTGAAGCCAGTTGATTATTTCGCTATGATAAACAGAAAATCCTGCTTGATATTGTTCTAGAGAACTCGCTTGGGTTATCACATACGCTGCTCGGTTTTGCGCTTTGCGCTTCGTTTGCGCTGGCGTCATCGATTCCTTCTCCTCGCTGCTGCTTCGACCTAGAGCCGGGTCGCCAAACAGATTCTCATCTCCATCAATAGAGGAGGTGCCTGGTTTGGTATTATTATTCGGGTCATGGCTAGAGACGGAGGTTTTGCTATAGGAGTCCGGCGGCGAATGTGGCGGCGGCACGAAGGATGAGGAGGGGTCGAGGCGGACAGAAGGATCGAAGCCGGGAAAGTACTGGTTATAGTTGTTCTAGGACTAGAGTCAGAGGACCGAGTTTATCGAAAATAGGGTATAGGAAGGGATATATCGTACCAGTGAGAAGGGATCGCGGAGCCCATTGTCCGAGGGTGGCTGAGGCTGCTGGTCGGGGGTGGGCAGCCCATAAAGCGAGAATGGCTGGGATTGATTATCTGGGTAGTTGGAATAGTCCATCACGCCACAACCTTTCTTTGAGGCACAGATTCGTTTAGTAGTCAAAATAGAAAGTGGAATGGGAGGAGATATGAAGTCCGGCGGGATGGACCCTGAAGGTTTCAAGCGTGGGTTTTACCCCGAGAGATCTGACTGATTGTCCCGCACCGATACTCGGCGCCGTACTACATATACCTACAGGACTAGTAGTTAAGAGTATTACGCCACAAAGCACCGGATTGACATGAACCATCTTCCATTTTGAATTTTGCATTCTACAGTTCATTTTTATTTACTACTATCTCTAACATGGGGTCACTCGCCTGTCTACGGTATAGGGTCAGATGCCTGGTAGACCGCGTCTGGCCCGCCCTTGGGCGGGCCAGAACCGAGCGAACTACTCCATACGAACTCGATGATCTCACCGCAACTCTAAAAAAGAGCTCAGAACTAGTATCCGCCACCTACGCAGAAAAATCTTTTTGGGATAAAGGGTTTTGATATTAGACTGTAAGAAAAGTGAAAGGCAGGTTCTTCCATCGGGACCTGGTCCCGGGACTGGCCGGGATTCATGAGAATATCCAGAGTCGCGCTGCCTGATCGCCGTCAGAATCGGCTGCCATTCGGGGGGGCTGGGAAAAGACAAAACAAATTGGAGATGTCGGTGCTGTAGTAGTAGCAGTGAAGTGTAGGGCTAGAAAAACATAAAGAAAAGTACAAGTGCAATCGACGCGAAACCACCCCGGAAGCGACCCTATCCACGTCCGTCGCCAATTACCAAAGGAGGCCTGATTCTCTCCGAACGAAAGATGTTGAAAGACCGAGCAAAACAAGAATCCCTGTACAAGAACCCACAACAGGAATCCCGAATGTCTTTGAACATCATCACCTCGAAGAAGTCATTCCGTACATCCACTTCAACAACTCGACCGGGGTTGCCGGCCGTCACCTCGTCCCCACATGGCGTCGATTTGCACAAAAACAGAAAAACAGAACAAGGAAAAGAAATTCAGACAGGGGGGGTGAGAGAATGAAACAAGACGAATAGGGAAAAAGGGGCGATAATGATGGGGCAACGCATCCGAGTATGCGTTTCCAGGACGTCCAGTGCCAGCAATCAAAAGGATCAGAAAAAAAATGAATGTTCTCCTGTCCAATTCGATGCTGTCATTCGCATCTCCTTCAGTCTTCCCTTTCAAGTTGCTTGCGGTGGTGATTAAATGGAAGCAAGGTACCAAGTCGCAAACATCAAAGGCGAAGACACAAGAATAGCCATCATTCAAACACGTTCCGAGAGTTGAGTTATCGGTTGGCCCGGGAATATCGGGGACAAGGAATCCGAACAAGAAAAAACACTAGTTGCCAAAGTAGACGAAAGCTCGACGCGGAAATCGACCAAGAGTAAATGGCAATATCCGCGAGTTGGAGAGGTGAGCAAGCGAACTAACAATGGCAGATCGAAACGGTTGAAGTCGAAAATTGATCGAAATAGAGTTGAAGGGCTGTGGGAGATTTGCAGAATGAATGGAGATCCAAGGAGAGAAAAGAAATCCGAGAAGGCGAGTGCAATGTTGCGTCCACGGCGAATGACAATGGAATCCCGGGTTTCTTAGGTTGAAAGTGAGGATACAGGAGACTTGGGTCCCACTGCAACGCTTCACACAATTAGTACCACTGAGCCCCTGTACCATCGTCCCGCTTCGAACGGCTACCAGAAGGTCCATAACCTAGAGCAGCACCTTTCGAGGCAGAACGCAGCCTAACGCCGAAGACTATGCGATTAGTCAGATTCAGAACTGTAGGGTCCTCCACGCCAGCGTCACAAGAAAACAGCCAAACGCAAAGTTTAAAAAAAGGGGTTCCCTACACGGAACCAGGTTTCAAGTACTCACATCCTATCACTCCCTCCCACGGCACGGTTGGTGTCCGGTGTATTGTCGAGGGTGCCGCGGTCAATAACCTTACGGCGCTGGCCCGAGATGGCACCAGGCTTAGCAGCGCCTCCGGGGCCCATGGCGGCAGTAGCAGCAGCCTGACGGCGCTGCTGCTCGTCATCCTTATCCTTCTTGGTGGCATCGACGATCATAGCGGCGTTCTTCTGGTACTTGTAGACGGTCCAGTCGAAGACGTAATCGTACTGGAAGGACTCACGGACGAAGAGATCACGGAAGATCTTGCGGAGATAGGAGTAGTCGGGCTTGTCGTCGAAGCGAAGCGAGCGGGTGTAGTTAAGGTAAATAGCAAACTCATTAGGGAATCCACGGCAGAGAACTTCGGTAGGGGTGGTCATCTTCTTTTCCATGATACGGTCATACTTCTGCTTCTTGGTAGCAGCCTTCAGACCTTGCCAGGGAAGAGATCCACGGCAGAAGTAGAGCATGACATAGCCCAGAGACTCCATGTCGTCACGGCGAGACTGCTCAACACCAAGGTGAGTGTTGATACTGGCATAACGAGCAGTACCGGTAAGGTTCTTGTTCTCACGATAGGGGATGTGAAAGTGAGTCTTGGGGTCGCGGTACTTCTTGGCGAGACCAAAATCGATAACATTGACCTGGTTGCCGCGCTTGCCGATACCCATAAGGAAGTTGTCTGGCTTGATATCACGGTGAATGAAAGACTTGGCGTGGATGTACTCGATACGGGAGATGAGTTGATCGGCGAGGAGAAGAACGGTCTTGAGTGAGAACTTTCGGTTGCAGAAGTTGAACAGGTCCTCAAGACTGGGGCCCAGGAGATCGATCACCATCGCATTGTAGTCGCATTCGGTACCGAACCAACGGACAAAAGGAATACCGACACCACCGGCCAGAGACTTGTACACACGGGCCTCATATTCCAGCTGGGGGTGCTTGGCCTTGACACTTTCAAGCTTGATAGCGATCTCCTCACCGGAGATGATGTTTGTTCCTAGATTCTTGTTAGTTCCCATCGACCCATGTAGATCGAACCCCAGAAATGAATCGTACCGAGATAGATATCACCGAAACTACCACTGCCAATCTTGCGGCCGATGCGGTACTTGTTACCAACACGCAGATCCTGTGTATGATGTCAGTATATTCCGGTCGTTCTAGCCAGCTCGTAGTCCGGGGTTGCCAGGCGTATGATTCCCATATTTGCATCGAAGCGTCGTAGGGTGGTGAAGATAAGGAACAAGGAGGGTCTGATCGGAGGTGGTACTGACCATAGTCGTCATGTTGATTGATTAGGGCGGCACAGCGACTAGCCGTGCTGAAACTGCTGGGTGTCGTGTTAGCGGGGGGGTTGAAGAAGGGTGAGTTGGTGAAGAGAACGTATGGACTGGAGAGAAGGGGTTGGGAAGCAGTGAATGGACGATGGGACAATGATGAGGCGACAGTGAATGCCCAAGACAGGTTGGAGAGGGGGTGTGACAAGTTGAACCTCAGGCCAACGAGCAGAGAGGCTGGGCTGGGCGGTTGCAGAGTGTTGGCCACCACACTTGGCTATGCAGGCAACTGGGGGAGAGGAGCGTGTGTTTCAGATGGCGGAGACAGGAGAATCATGCCACCGGAGGAGGAGGGGAAGGGGAGGGGGTTGATGTAGAGGGCCGAGATATTACACGACGAAAGGAACTCGCTCACCTGAAGGGCAAAGGCGGGTCAAACAGAAATGGTCCAATGCCGACCGGTACAGTATTTGTACAGAACCCAGGGGAGGTGAGTGGCAGATGAATCGAATGTGTCGGGAGGAGCAAGAAGCAGAAGAAGAGAAGGAGAAGGCAGAAGAGAAGAGAAGACTAGAATCAAGGGCAAAGCCTTGATGGGGAAAGGTTCAAGTTGGGAAGGAAGGGAAAGGAGGAGGGGGGTAAAAGGCAAATAATGGTAATATGCAGCGGTAGTCGGTGAAGAGAAGGCCCAGTCCTAAAATTTCAGGTTACTACTAGTAGTATTAGCGAAGGGGGCGGACGATGTATCGTACCGTATTTGATACTGTACACTGCAGGGCGCGCGAGCGGTGTGTCCTAGTATCTTCGGGCTTTGGGCTGCCTGGGCTGCCTGGGCTGCTTAGGCCGCCTCCTTACGGTACTATAGTATTGTACCACTCGTATTGGGCTGCAACAGTTCGTGAAAAGAGGCTTCGTATTATGCATTGGGACTATATATAGATCTCAATATGGCTATAGATACGAAACAGCATAAACAATATATGTACTCTACTTGTATATGAAATATTCCAATTCATGAACCCTACTCTGTACTAGTAGTAATAATTGATTTCATGACTTGCTGCCCCTGCTAGGAAAGCTCCTTCATGTTACTACTAGTACTAGTATCGATCACAGGTTTCGGGCATTCTGGGCGCGGCCATTACCGGAGTCCGCCTCAGCTGACCCCAGACTCTCAGTGCATGCCGCAAAAATAACAAAAGCCTCGCGTTAAAACCTAACAGACGTCTTCTTAGTGTACCCTCCTCGACCTCGGGGAATTATCCCGGCCAAGTCCCTCAAATTACTTATTTACCCGGAGTACAAGGAAGGGTACGGTCCGATATCAACCTCAAGCGGGATTTTCCTAGCCCGGAAATACGGAAATGTCTCATATATTACTAGTACCCCTGGTAATACCCCCAGGCCGAACTGGATGTCCATCATGCAGTGCTATGTTTGCCCAGTTCTACCTCTGGCTGCCTCACATTTCCCCCTCAAATACCGCTTACGCACAGAAAGCCTCGGTGCCAGACACATATGGCAAACAAAGAGACAAGCAAATCAGTGGCTCAATCACCTCGCATGGCGTTGGACCCAACAGTGCCCGAACATGTGGGCACCCTTTTACGATGGAGCATATGGAAAGAAGTGGTGCTTCATTGATCAACGATGATGATTTCGCACTATAAGAAGAACAACAACGATAACAACAACGACAACGACAGCGAAGACTTCGTGTAGAGAGATGCTAGTGGTACAGCCAGAGTCCAATGAACATCGGGAAACCGGGGTATAAGAAAAGGAAACAAGGGATGCAGAGAGGGATCGATCACACAAACCAAAGACAACAAAAGAAGGGAATCCCGTCCCTCGGTGTCCATGAAAGAGATAGAGAAGAAGAATAATGAAAGAGGAAAAAACGAACGATGGTGGAGGGGATCAATCATCATACAAAACGACCATGCTGCGCAAAATCCAGATAAAAAACAAATAAAGGGAATGTAAACAGGAAATACATGTGCAAAGGGCTCAGAAATTGCAGATTGACATATCTCAGGGCACATGGTCGTAGAAATTTGGTAATCGAAGCACGGGAGTAAAAACTCATGTCATTCAGATCACATTGGAGGGACCATTGCTGACATTCAGCGGCTTGGTCTGACTCACGCGCTCTTCCTCTTCCAGTCGTCGTCTCCAATCCGCTAGACTGTCGCTCATTAGAGCAGGTCCCTCGCTGTTCTCCTTGGTCGGAGTCCGCTCCAGGTCCAGCTGGCTACTCAGGCGATAGTTGCGGTTGGTGCTCTCCCAGTGGGTGCGAAGGGCCTCTAGCTCGTTGGCGAGAGAATCCAAGGCCATAGAGCCACGGTTATCGGGGAAGGAGGTGGACTCCTGGGAGACGTTACTATCGGCTCGTGGCCGACCGCTGACGGTGTTGCTAGATGCGTTGCTATGACTGCGTGAGATCCCGTTAGGACCCTGTCCATGCTGTGATTGACGGCGATAGTGGCCCACCGAAGTCTCAACTTGCTCCAACAACATGTTCACTTTCTTTTCAGCATCTGAGGCGCGGGTTTCGAGCTGGGTGTTTTCTTGCTTCAGCTGATCCAGTTCGGCGCGACTGCGCTCCGCAGTAGACATAATCTCTTCCTTCATGCGCTTATGCTCATTCTGTGCACTCGCCTTCTCGGTCTCAGCAGCCACAAGCTGCGCCTTCAGCTCGGATATTTGCTCCTCCAGGTTTCCAAGAGAAGAAGAAGTATTGTGCTCAAGGTCTGCGATGGACTTCTGCAGGCGGGAGCGTTCGACCTCCCATTCAGCAGAGATCTTTGACTGGTTGCTAGTATCCTCCACGTTCTTCTGAGTAGCTTCCAATTCAGACTGCATCTTGGCATTCTGTGTCTTATACCGACTCAATTCGTCCTTCATGCGTTTGAGCATCTTCTCGGTGCCCTTCACATAGTGCACAGCGGACTGGTAATCATTCTCAAGCTGCTCTAGCTTCTCTCGGAATGCCTTGTCCGCTTCCTGCTCTCGAGACTCGAAGCCGGATTTCATATCGTCGTGAGCCTTCATGCTATGAGATAGCTGTTGCTCAAGCTCTCGTAACCTGCTCTGCTCTGGAGTTCCAAAGCGGGATCCAGGGGACTCGAGACGGGGAGACCGACGGCTATCAGGATTGATGCCACGCTCGCCAAGCAGATCCTTCAGAGCCGCATGTTGAACGTTCAGGGCACCAGCTTCCCGTTGTTGAGATTCCAGCTGGGTCTTCAAGTCCCTACTTTCTGCAGTTGCTGCTTGGCTCTCCTTCATAGCACTTTGAAGCTGTCGGCGAAGTTGCAAGCCTTCTCGACTAGCCTGTTCTTGATAAGCCTCGAGTCCGGCAATCCGCTCCTCAGCGCGACGTAATTTGTCAGCAGCGGAATCGGCAGCAGCCTGATTAGCCTTCGCAAGGGTCGAAGACCGTTCAATCTGAGCCTCAAGGGCGGCAACCCTCTGGTCAGCTCGGGATCGGATGGAAGCTTCCAGATCTGTCGAGGAAGCACGCTCGAGGCCGGATACAAAGGCCATCTTGTGGGTTTCTGCTTCCTTAGCGTGACTCTCAGCTAACTCCTCGGCATCACGAAGACGGCAATTGACATTTTCAAGCTCGGTGGTTCGCTCCTCGTACTCAGATCGAAGTTGCAGAAGTTTCTTCTCCAAGCCCTCGCGGCGTTCTCTTTCCTCGCCTAACTGCTTCTCAACAATTGCTGCTTTGGCGGCAGATGCGGCGACTGCTTCTCGAAGGCCACCAAAATTACTTCCAAAGTCCTTCAAACGGCCCGAGTGGTCCTCAACCTGGGTCAAAAGCTCCTCCTTATCCAGGGTGATCTGTCGCAGGGAAGCTTCCGCTTCAGAACGGAGCAAAGACTCTTCCCGAGCAGTGGCTTCGGCACGGTGGAGCTCAGCACGAAGATTCTCCGCCTCCAGGGCATTGTTTGACATTTCGAGCTCTGCCAGGCGCTTCCGAGTGGCCTCGTTGGTATCTTCTGCCAGCTCTTTCGCTTGCCTCTCTTGCGATAGATCTGTTGTCAAAATATCCAATTTGGCCTTGAGCTCAGACTGGGATGCTAGAGCCAGTGCAAGGCGACGACCCATGTCGGTAGGTCGCTCATCTTCTCCCTCGCGAGGAGCTTCAGGCTGGGGCGTTCCACGTTGACTGCCGCCATGAGCAGCAAGTCTGGCGCGGGAATAAGCTGCCTCGTTTACAGCCACGTCACGCTGATGCTCAACTTCGGCAATGCGTTTGGAAGCGATGGCTGCTTGGCGGTCCACCGTTGTCTGCATTTTGCTCAACTCTGCCCGCATTGCCAGGAAAGCCTCGACCAAAGGACGGTCCTCGTCATTTAGCGAATCTCTGGCACGATCATCGAGGGCGGGACTACTTGAAGCATTGGGTACATATCCACCCTTTCTCGCCAGTGCTAGCTCAGAAGCGTACCAAGCATTTCGAGCCTTGGCGGCCTCGAGTTCTTTTATCAAGGCCTCTTGGTGAGGGGTTAGTCGTGGCGATCGAGGTTCATCAGCAAGGCTTCGAGAGTTGCGATAGCTTCGAGATTCAATTGAGCCGTCAATGCTAGCTTGACGTCCAAGAACCGACTCTTCTGCACTATCCATCGAGCCACGTTGACGATGCGAACGCAGTGACCGTTGGCGCGCCGGGGCGATTAGAGGGGCCGCTTCGCCTGCCTCCATAGCCTTGGCATTGATCTTTTGTTGTTGCTGAGTTGGGGTGCGTTGACCGGACGAGGCGGAGCTATCCTGGTTATCCTTTGCGACGGGCGATTCGGCACCTCTATCAGCATTCGCAACTCGAATATCGACAGTTGGCGTGTGGCCGCGTTCATTCTTGGTGGGCGTCTTGCTCCGAGGTCCAGACTGGGGCCCGTTGGGACGAGGCCCTGGAGATGGGGCTTGTCCGGGGGGTGGTGGACCAGAGGGCGCTTGTGCAATGGAAGCTCGAGGAAGTCGAGATCCTGGTCCAAGGTTGGGATTGGAGCCGAAGTCACCAGGTCTACCATTTGCAGACTGCACTAGACTTTCGCGTGAGGGAGTCGGCCCACGACGGGCCCCTTGATCGGGTGTCGCATTGTGAGCCTCGCGAGATGTCCGACCCGATGGAGTGCCTTGTTTCTCTATGCTGGCTTTTCTGACACCGGATACTGCACCACGATCGGCTGATTGAGAGTCGTTGGGGTATCTTATCTTTGAGGTATCGAGAATATACGCCATGCTGAGCTCCGCGGCATCTCTTGGAGCCGAGCTAGGCTCACCAGCCATCACAATGATCTGTTTACCAAAGGCAGTCATGCTATGACCGGACCGTGGGGACGGAGCGGGTCCCATGTTCTGGAAAGAGTACCAGCGGCGCGTAGAAATCCGGAACGCGGACAAATCTCCAAGATCAACTCCCTCATCAGTACGACCACCAAATACATACATCACATCATTGACCAAGGCTGATGCATGGCCCTCTCGAGGAGTCGGGATGAAACCGACGCAGTCCATTTCAGTCCAGACACCAGCTCGGGGATCAAAAGTCCAGACATCGTTGAACCACTTCACGCCGTTTGTTCCACCAAATAAGTATAATTTCTCGTTATAGCTGACGAGTGAGTGATTGGTTCGAGCGGGAGGTATTTGGCCTTCTGGAGGACCCCCCCTCATGGCTGTTGGCAACAAGGACTTCCCACTTGTTTGCCGGGTTTTGGAGCTGATTCAAGTCGAATGCGATCAAATCGTTGAAGAAGAAACCCTCAACCTGTCCACCAAAGACGTAAAGCTTGGAGCCAAGAATGTTCAATGTGTGCCCGTAGCGACCGGAAGGACGGGTGCCGGGAGGGATGGCCCGAGACCATTGGCGTGAAGCTGAGAACCAAGGTCAGCATTATCTGAAAGAGAGCAGGAAGGGCTTCACAACATACATGTATTTAGAAGATATAGAGTATCGTCCAGGGCGTCGGTTTCGTTGATCTTGGTATCACCGCCAAAGACGATGAACGCATTTCCGACAAGTAAGCTGGCATGACCAACTCGGGGGCCGGGTCCTTCTGACACTGTCGCAACCTGAAAGCAAGACAAGCTGCCACCGCTGCTTTCGATCATCCATAGGTCACCCTTGACGGTCGAGCCATCGATCAAGCCTCCCATCATGTAGATATCGCCCTCTTTCGAAGCGACTGAATTGATGGCGGCGCCATAGCGGGGGAAGGGGTTCGTTTGGGGTGTGGAGAAATTGAGACGACGTTGCGACCATGGGTATAGGGACGAGTTCGGACTGTGCGGAGGCACACCATTGGGGCCCTGCGGCGGTCGTTGGACCTGAAGCACAACCAGGGTCAGGGATTATGAATCCTTCGGGATGTACCGCCATAAATTTCACAGGGAGACTTACCTGAGATTCCGACTCGGCACGTTGTCGCAACCTCACGGGATCCGGGCTAGTCGGACTGGTGGCGGAGTTGAGAGAGTTGTTGTAACTGCTGCTGGGAGTCGGGGTCTGCGCAAAAGCATTTCCTTCGACCTTGGGTCCGTTGGACAGGGGCGGCGTCGCGGATGAAGGAGATCCCTCGGAGGTGTGAACATTTCTCGTCGCCGGAGGGAGCGCAGTGCCCTGTTGGGCTTTTTTCGATTTAAACAAAAAGGCCATCGTTAATGGGTCGTAATGGGTCGTTCACGGCGCAAGTGGGAGAAATCCGGGCCCACGGGGTCGGAGTAGGGATGCGCCGGATTGCAATTTCTTCCCCCCAGCACAAATGTCGGTCTGATAAACCCCGGGGAAAATCAGAGCAGAGGGGGAGAAGGTGGTTGGTTTAGGTTGGAGTTTGAGGTTGGGAGGGGAGGAGAGAGTTGTGGAAAGGGAGGTGTGTTTTCAAGATGTGGAGTCGGAACCAGGAACCACAGGAACGAGAGTATCCATCCACCAATCCACCAAAGAGTTCGTCCGAGCAGAACAAAAAAAAGAGGTGGGTGTGGCCAAGGGGGTGGAGGGGTGATCTGAACACAACTGTTCTCACCCAATTGGGAGCATCTACGCTAACAGTAAAGCCTCTTGGGGAGAGGGAAGAGGTTAAAGGGGTAACGAGGGAACAGATTCAGAAGGAGATGAAGAGGAGGAAGAAGAAGAAGAAGAAGATGGTGGTCGATTTGCCGGGTTCTACTCTCATACACTAAAACTAAACACTGGAAGACCCGCGGCGAGTCCCCCGTCCAGTCCGTGTGGATGGGGCTGCATACTCAGGGGCAGACACTCTCCCCCAACTCTCCCAACTCCAACGGTCGTTGTTATGTACCCTCATTCCGTTCCAACCTTTCTTTTTTGACCTACGTAGGCGATATATCGTCTTTGGGAATTCTACTTGAGATCTTGATTGTCTATAACCAGGCAGGACCTCTCTCTTTCTCTCCCCATCTCTCTCCCTCTTCCGCCCATCCTCCTCTCATTGTTCGATGTGGTTTCCCAATCACACCTTCAAAGGAATGCCGTCATATGGAATGACAACGCTACCTACCAAAGTTTACCAGCACATATTTCATAATTTTTTTTTTGGTCTTTAGTTTTCCCCCCCTCCCCCTCTCCCACTCTGTATTCTGTACGAGTAGAGCTCAATTCTGCAAGGTCCAGCTGTCAATGCCTGTTGTGCTAAAATTAAGCCCGCGGGGCTGCTTTCTCAAGCGTGAAGCCCAAGATGCCCAATGGCGGCGCTGCACGCACCACACACCACGCCCACACGGCGATCCGCACCCCACAACGTGCAAAGAACATATTGACTTGATCGAAGTTCCAGGCACACCGTAGCTGCAGCAGCGGGGGTGTGGTCCCAGGGGCGTCCGTAGGCGCAATTTGCGGTGTCCACTCCCAGGGGAAGCTTCCAGTGCAAAAATAAAAGGGGGGATGGGGATGGGGGGCGTGCAATCCGGTTCTCTTACCTATCAGAGGAATTCCAGACGGGTGAAGATCGCTGGCGGTCACAAGCCCTGAGCGTTCTTCTCGGTTAGACTTGTGTGTGTGTGTGTGCCGTTAAAATCAGACTAAATGCGCCGAGGAAAGGGATACGATATGGCTTCCGCCTTTTGGACCCTGATCTGATGATGACATATTCCGTACTCCGTGGTGTTTGACCATTCAGGATCAGACTCAACCTCTCAGAAACCCGCTCCCCTGGGAAATTTGTTATGTCTCTTGTCCTGCATGAAGGCTCCTTACAAGCTGATCATCTAGTGAGACCATCGATGTACTGTGATCATCTTGATATCCAAATGCAAAATGTCTAAGACAATGTGTTCATTGGAGATGGCTGCAATGTTGTTTTCTGTTGTCTTGGCAGATACCATGAACAAAGTTGGATTTTTGGGCTGGGCGCTTCTTCGGTTCATTATTTGGCCTGCATGCTCGGGACATCTGGTTTGCCCACGCGATCGCGTCAAGTAAGGATACTTCTGTGATTCCTGGAGCTGGAGTTGACCAGTAGTCGGCACAGCAGTGCACTCGTAGAGAGTATGCAATTGGAATACTGTAAATGATAAAAGTGGAGAGTGTACTCTCGTAGAGCTTCGCGGCCCGGCAAGTGGGTTATTAATAATCCGGGAGGCTGCTGCGTCCAGAACCGGAGAGACGGAGAGATGGAGACCGCAACGGTTTGCTTGACCCCGGAAGCTCTGACTTGAGCTTCGATATTCGCGTGGATCCCTCTGGTGATTCCCATTCTCTCGCTCTTATTGCGACCCCGAGGAGACTGCGAACTCTCTTGGGTTGAGTTAACACACATCGAGGTGTTGTCTTGGGCCGGCTCTCACTCTTCGACTGCCCGACAACTCATCCCCCCGCGACCAACCACCCGCCTCTCACGTCACACGATGACCGATTCTACAACATGAGGGATCCCACCGCAGAAATGGAAGAGAATACTCACCTAGCAACGGCGAATGGGTTAAGTGAACCCCGCCGCCCCAATAAATCAGTTCGAGTCGCGTTTGGCCCTGGGCTAGATTCAACTATCCCCGCTCGCGAGAGATCTCCAGCTCCACTGAGCAGCCACCATCGTTCCTTTACCACTGTCGAGCAGAAACAACCCTCCTTGACGCCACCTGCTCGCCCCACGAGCTCCGCCGGTGAGAATGCGGCACTGACGGTAGATCCGCCGCCGCCCCCGCCGCGTCGGCCCCTCCCGCGGAGGGCGGAGACCAGCCGCCCAGCCATGCTGAAACGAGCACGAAGCGACTATGGACCGAGTCGTGCTCTCCTCGATAAATCACCTGATGATGAAGAGGATTTCGCCATGCGACATGGATGGCAGGAAGAGTATACATCCAGCGAATACCTCAAGATCTTACACTCGGTAAGAATGTTCCGATCAGTGGAATGCGGCGTTGATACGGAACTAACATCCATGCTCTCAGAATTTCTACATGTATTTCACGGAAAAGCGCCACGAGACAAACGGTATCCCCAGAGATCCCGTGGGAAGCTGGCCTAGTCAAGACTGGCGCATGAAAGATCGATTGAAGACTGTGTCGGCAGCCCTTGCGATCTGCTTGAATATTGGCGTCGACCCTCCCGATGTCGTCAAGACAAACCCAACATCAAAACTCGAATGCTGGGTGGATCCCACCTCAACTACTGGTGGTGGGCAAAACAAGATCATGGAACAGATCGGCAAGAAGCTTCAAGAGCAGTATGAAACTCTCAGCCTCCGGACGAGATACAAGCAATATCTAGATCCTTCCGTGGATGAAACCAAGAAGTTTTGCATTTCGTTGCGTCGGAATGCTAAGGATGAACGGGTCCTTCTCCATTACAACGGTCATGGAGTCCCCTTGCCAACTCAATCTGGCGAAATATGGGTCTTCAACAAGAACTATACTCAATACATCCCGGTGCCTCTTTACGATCTGCAGTCCTGGCTCGCAGGCCCAAGTCTATTTGTCTTCGATGTGTCCCATGCTGGCAATATCGTCTCAAATTTTCATACATTTGTGGAGAAGCATGAGAAGGAGAATGCCGAAGCGAAGAAACGAGATCCCAACGCGATCGTTCAGAACTATGGTGACTGCATTCTTCTTGCGGCTTGCCAGAAGAACGAGTCGCTTCCTACCAACCCAGATCTTCCCGCAGATCTTTTCTCTTGCTGTCTCACAACCCCGATCGAGATTGCTTTACGCTTCTTCATCCTACAAAATCCACTCCGAACAGATATCTCAATCGATGATTTCCATGTCCCCGGTCGTCTCCAGGATCGTCGCAGTCCGCTCGGAGAACTCAACTGGATCTTTACTGCTATAACCGATACCATCGCATGGAACACCCTTCCTCGTGCCCTCTTCAAGAAGCTTTTTCGGCAGGACCTTATGGTTGCAGCTCTCTTCCGCAATTTCTTGCTCAGCGAACGTATTATGCGCACGTATAAGTGCCATCCAATCTCGACGCCAGAACTTCCAGAGACTCACCATCACCCCTTATGGAAGAGTTGGGATCTTGCCGTTGAAATGGTGCTCTCGCAGTTGCCTGCTTTAATCGATCAGGAAGAAGGCCGCCGGCAGTATGAATACCAGCATTCCACATTCTTTGCTGAACAGCTCACTGCGTTCGAAGTCTATCTCTCCTCTGGTCCCACCGAAAGGAGTCCGCCAGATCAACTACCCATCGTACTGCAGGTACTTCTCAGTCAAGCCCACCGATTGCGAGCATTGATCTTACTCAGCAAATTTCTGGATCTGGGACCATGGGCTGTCCATCTCGCCCTTAGTATCGGGATCTTCCCCTATGTCGTCAAGCTGCTGCAGTCGGCTGCACAGGAGCTCAAGCCAGTCATGGTCTTCATTTGGGCAAGAATTATGGCTGTTGATCACACCGTTCAAAACGACCTTTTGAAAGACAACGGCATCCACTACTTCATCTCCATCCTTAATCCATCTTCTCCTATTCCTGTCGGCAACGCCAGCGAGCATCGCGCAATGTGTGCATTCATAGTCTCAATCTTCTGCAAAAACTACCCCCAGGGCCAAAATGTTTGCTTGTCTGGCGAATTATTTGACTCCTGTCTAAGGCACCTTGGGGATGTCGAGAACCCGCTCTTGCGACAATGGTCATGCTTATGTCTCAGCATGCTCTGGTGCGACTTCCCTGAAGCGAAATGGATGGGTATCCGTTCTGCAGCCCCATCGAAGCTCTGTGAATTGAACTTTGACCCGGTTCCCGAGGTTCGAGCGGCAATGCTTCACGCGGTCACAACTTTCCTTGGTATTCCTGACTTAACAGATCAAGTTGCGCAAATTGAAGAGTCGCTAGCCCTATCCGTTCTACCTATGTCAACGGACGGCAGCGTACTTGTGCGAAAGGAGCTTCTTGTTTTCTTCTCGACCTTCGTCAAACGTCACCAAAACAAGTTTCTGGTGGCTGCATATGATGAATTGCAGGATGAGAAAAAGTCTCTGGTGCATCGGCTTCAAATAGAGAATGGTCGGTCAGAGACACAAAAGAGTGATCAGGTCTCTGAGTCGAAACAGCACCAGCTCTCTCGCAACACCACCTTTGGAGCTCTGTGGAAACAAGTCTTGATCTTTTCTGTTGACCCTCATCCCGATATTTCTCGGGATGCTGGTGCCATCGTCGACTTCATCCACTTGGCTCTTCTAGAGTCGCCGATGGCGATGGTTGCTGACAAAATCAGAATTGAGATCCTTGACCTCACATATCGCCTTTCGCAAAAACTTCAAATTTATGAGCGACCTGAAGCAAAGAAGACTGCGTCTCCTTCAACTCCACCATCTTCCACTGCGGCATCTGCCAAACAAGAAGGCTATCTGTCACTTGGCTTCCGGCGGACCGCCAGCGTTGCTGCTTCCCTTAAAAATCTTGCATTTGGCTCAGGATCAGGGGAGCAAGGCTCCGACAGCTCACCTCCATCTTCACCCTCTAAGAGCCGCATGCCCATCACCCCTCGCGGCCGCGCGCCCCCTGAATGGACTCGCCCTCCGGAAGTCAACGACCATGTCGCCCCAGCCACCGCATATCACCATGCTCCTGTTCCGAGATCTCGGGGATTTGAAGCCAAGAACCCAGAAGTAGCGCCGATGATCCCACTGAAAAGCAGGTTTTTGGACTGGTCTACAGAGGTAATTTTAATCTTTCTTATCAAGCCACCAAACGTCCTGTAGACGTCTATGAACATTTGCTCACCTATTTGAAGTACTTCCGCGAACCCCAGATGAAACCCAACGAACCCGACGAGCCTGGTAGCTCCGATTACAATGAGCGTCTCTGGAGACGTGGCCGCAACGAAAAGATCATTGCGGAAACACAACCTTTGAAGAGCAAGGCCGGCACGAGCCGATGGGATAACTCAACTGCACTCCTTACTAATAGTAGCCAGCCTCTGAAGATGTGCTTCCATCAATTTGAGGATCACCTTGCTGTTGCAGATGATCGTGACACCATCGCGTGGGTTTTTCTAGATATTTTTTAGGGTTTATGCTTCTGTACTGATATTTTCAACAGAATCTGGGATTGGCAGAGTCACAGGCGACTGAACCAGTTCTCTAACGGCAACCCAGTTGGATCAAAGATCAATGAAGTTCGATACATCAACGAAGATGACCAAGCATTACTGTTGACTGGTTCCTCCGACGGTGTACTGAAGCTTTACCGCAACTACGAGTTTTCTGGGCGTATCGAAGTTGTTACCGCATTCCGCGCCTTACCAGAGCTGCTTCCTAGCAATCGAAATGCCGGACTTGTGCTGGACTGGCAGCAAGGTCAGGGCAAGGCTCTCGTTGCCGGCGATGTCAAAGTCATCAGAGTGTGGAATGCTGCAACTGAAGTCTGCACAAACGTAAGTCCAGTTTCTCGAGCACCCCATTATGTGATATGTGACTGACCCATTTCGCAAATAGGATATCCCTGCACGTTCCGGGTCCTGCATCACGTCTTTAACATCCGACCAAGTTGCTGGTAATATCTTTGTTGCTGGATTCGGTGACGGGGCTGTCCGAGTCTTTGACCAGCGACTAAAGCCGACCACCTCTATGGTCAAGGTCTGGCGTGAGCACAAACAATGGATTACAAATGTGCATATGCAACGTGGTGGCTTGCGTGAACTCATTTCTGGCAGCCGCAATGGCGAGATTCGACTTTGGGATCTTCGCATGGACAATGCACTTTCAACTATCTACGCAACTAAGGACACACTTCGAACATTGAGTGTCCATGAGCATGCTCCTGTGTTTAGCATGTATGTTCTTCATAGTTTGTTATCTTACAAAGTTTTGTTACTAACTCATATTTCCAGGGGCACAAACCGCCACGAGGTCAAAACCTACAATGTCGACGGCACCTATCTCTCCTCTTTCGAGCCCTACTCGAGCTTCCTTCACCACAACCGCTCTTCTCCCATCGCCAGCACGGCTTTCCACCCCCACCGTACAATGCTCGCATGCGCCGCATTGAATGACCATCACATCAACCTTGTCTCCTGCTAGATCAACTAAACCCATTATGACGCAGACTTTTTTCTTCTTCTTCCTTCCTGTATGATTCTTTCTGTGCCATTCTATTTGTAATATGGCTCGCAATACACTAGCCCGCAAGTTATACGGCGTCCTGGCGAACGGATTTGGCAACCATTTCTCTCTCTTGCTCTCATACCTTCTTCTGCGATCCTTTTTTGCTCATCGTGCTGTCCGTGCGTTACCTTCCTTCAAATCTTTGGTGATTTTTTCTCTTTTTCTTCACTTCTTTCACGAGACAACGCATTCTTCTCGTAATGCATGATCCTCGCTTTTCTTTAGTATTTCAATTCCCCGCGTTGGTATCAAGGTTTTCTGTGATGGGACTGAGGATGAGGAGACTGGGCTGTGATTTCTTCCGCGTCTGTGGCACGGATCGATCTTCAGTGTCTACCCCTTTTTATGGCACCTTTCACCTTGCTGATTATTAGCAATAATACTATGTTCATATGTACTTTTTGCCTCCTTCCTCTAAATATTTCATGGAGCAACATCTATGTCTTTCAAGTTCGAGAGCACAAGCTAGACCCTGGTATTGTGGAAGGGCTTTAGGTGTCACGTGTAATCAATCATAGAAACCACCTGCTAAAAGGAATTTACCGGGATGCGTATGGCAAACAATTTCAAATTTCAAACACTAGACACTTGTTTTCATCTTGAATAGATATTACTGTACGTAGTGCAAAGGCAGACAGAATGGTTTATCCAAACATATTCACGTTCAAATTGGAATTCCCACTGAGTATCCGCCCTGCATCAACAATCTTTCTCGCAAATTATGATTCCCAGCTGCATATCGCCAAGCATTTTCCATGATCAAATCATCGGACGAGAAGACATTGCAGTACAGACACAAAACCAGTAGGTGTACTAGTTTCGTCCGCTTCAGGTGCATCGTTATTGTCAGTTAGCACTGAAAATATGCCATCATCATCATCGTCTGTTGCTGCTTCGAGGGAGAGGGCTAGGAGACCCGTCAGGAACTTGCGTTCCATAACGAGCGAGGGCAATATCACGGGCAGCAGCGTAGAGCGGGTGTGGAGGACGCTCCTCGAGAATTGAGTCAGCAATGATAGTCGAGTCAGCGACGATATCCATGCAATCTCTACTCCCAAAAGAACGGGGGCTTATGACGCAACTTGCGAAGGAGGGTCGTGGGGTTTGATCTGGCTCCCATGCCTCGATCATGATACGTGGAGGCTCGGCTCTGCTTGGACCCTCGACAAAATCATAATAGGATGCCGGGTTCTCAACAGAATTCATCGATTGCTGAGTGCTTTCGTTATTATGCATGTCTGAGTAGGCAGAGTAATGGGACTGAACAGAGATGTCCGAGCGAAGTAAGGACCTTGGGGCAGGGTAGTCGTCAGAATCCCAGTAGGAGCTTGGGCTGTTTATACCCCGTTGTATCTGTGCAGAATTCCCGGGTGCTGCCGAGAAAGACTGTAGGTGATGGTCTAGATGATGAGAGGGATGAAAGGGGGTAGCCATGTCCATACGAGGTATTCTGGCTCTTAGCGAATCTCCATAGGGAGGTGGGCAATTGGCTATTGGTGGTCCCATGTATGGCACATGGCAAGCGTTGTTTCGAAAATCCTGATGAACTTGGTGATTATCGCGAACCTCTGCAATTTTCCAGTCAGGAATACCTTGAAGATCCACAAAATTGGCCTGGTGGTGTGGGATACGACCCTCTACGTAACGATGTCCAGTCGGAGGGAAAACTGAGGGTTTTTGAAAATTGGAGTATCCATCAGCATAACTCCACAGTCTCTTGCAAGCGATTTCGAAGACCGATACCAGCTGCTGGGTTTGGGGGTCAGCAGCTAGGATGTGGGTAGGCGACATTCGAGAATTCGATGGTGTATCCCAGAACCTGTGGCTTGGGTCCCACAGGATATGATTGTATTCTTTCTCAATGTCGAAGGCCAGAGAAGGGCTTGCAGGATTAAGTGGTCCAGAGCCATAGAGATTTGTCCCAGGGGCCATGCGCCAAAATTCAACATCCCTGTGTAAAGGCGTGTTCTTATGAGCATGTCGACACATTTGACTCCATTCCTCGACACGATCTGCGGTGAAATGATCCATGATCTCAGCTTCAGACTCCATAACTATGAGGTTTTGCAACCTACGTTCATCCGAGCATTCGATACCAGGTGGAGCGCGAACTGCAGCTGAGGCGGCATGGGTGTGAGCGTAGCCAGTATTCGAGATTTCAGAAGCCGCAGAAGCCTGATCAGGAGCAGGATGAAGGCCCGCAGGCCGCAGGCTAAGCCCTGTCTCGGGTCGTGCTGGGCCTGCAAACAAAATGCCATCATCAACCAATGCAGGTGGCTCGATCGGTCCCTCTCTACTACCAGAGCTAGGGTCGGATGCTGAGGGGTTGGTGGCCGCAGCTGCCTGTACCGTGGTCGTCTCATTTATCGGAATTGCTTTCACTCGAGATATGGCGCCAACCTGTTTGGGCTTGATAGGACGAGAACCGGTATCCATTGCGGGGGTATCTTGGGAAGGAAGTGGGATATTCGAACCCTCGCTCAAAGATGTAGCCACTGTTTTACCCTGGCCTGGTACCTCCATTACCTTCGTGGCATGCTTTTCCTTGAGAGGCGCCGCGCTAGCCTGAGACTTCGGGAGCGCTGGAAAATCTTCCATAGTCAGTCGCACTGCTTGGACTGGCTCCACGAGGCTGGGTATCTGAGAACTGGGGTGTTCGGATCTCAGAGGGTTCTGCTTTTCCATCACGGGGTCTTTTTGTGTCGATGATGGTTGAAAGGGGGCCACGGTAGGCACCAAAGGTCGAGATTGTGGAAAAGAACGAGGGGCCGGAGCGAATGGACGCAATAACTGGAGAAAATTCGCCTCAGAGATTCGAGAGTTATGATCTTCAGCTCTCATGTTCGGATATGCCTCATACGAAGGCATAACGGGCATCTCCGCTGGGTATTGGAACTGATTTTGTTGATAGACTGGACTCGGTTGGAAATAGTAGCCAGAAGAAGAGTTGAACCCGGGAGTAAATGTCGTTCCTTGATAATACCCCGGAGCATTGGGTGCAGGTGGATAGGGAACAGGTGTAGAGGCTGAGTATTGCGGCGAAGGTTGGTAAGAGTGATAGCACGGATATGGATAACCATTACCTCGGCCGTCATAAGGGGGTCGACCTGGGACGGGATAAGGATTCTGTGGCTGGTAAGGATAAGCCGAGTACGGATTGGGGTAGTAGTAGCCCGAGGCATTCTGTGGACCAGGATACCTCGGGGGATGTTGAAGAACAGGGTTATCGACATAACCATGAACAGCACTTGGGTCACCCTGATGGTCCATTCGATACCGTGCCGCGCGATCTTTGCGTCTCAACGAGGTTGATGAAGACATGATTGAACCTGAATAGACGTGGGCGATGACAAGCAAAGAAGAGAGTAAAGAAGAATGAAGAGGAGTGAAGTAGTAAGCAATGGACAGACGGAAGGAAGGTGTAGCCTGGAGGTACTCTCAGGTACTCCCGAACATCAGGCGCCATTGCCAATTTGGGAAGTTGGGGGCAATATCCGCCTCCATAAACAGTGTCACTACCTTCATACTTAGCTTTAATAAGACAATTTGAGTTGTTCTTGTTCCAAAGTTGAATTCATCTATGGAGTGCTCCTTGAGCTACGTACTGATGATACCAGTAGAAGACAAAGAATCTCAGTTAGTTATGAGGGAGACGGTTAATCATGCAGTGCAAGGGTATCCATCCACTCAAGGCTTCAATTCAACGAAGAAATATTACAAACGAATGACCTTGTGGCATATCCCAGCCGCCTCAACAACGCTCGCGGGTGATCTGCAACCGCAAAGCACGCCGAGATGTTCCCGCTAAACGCCCTGCAAATCAAATCATAAGGGAATCAAACAATCGCTAATACAGCATGCGTGAGAGTGGTGAGAGCAAGTACCACGGTGTGGCTACAGAGAGATAGAGGTAAGAACAGGGAGCTCTCAATATGGTTAGCGATTCCGGTCCGCACGAGCTTGGTGCCAAATAGTATCGCCACTGAGAGCGGAAAAGCTGAGAGTTGCGAGATTCCTCCAGCTTGACTGTGGTGCAGAGCTAGCATGGCCATCAAGACCCGCATGCTGTTCGGTGTCCACATCGTCACTCATGCTGGCAATGAGAAGGGGGGCGGATGAGGATTCCGACTGTAAATTTGGCGTCTGGATATGACCCTCGGTAGATTCTTCGTTTTGCTCACGGGAGTCATCCCCGGAAGAATGCGCCAATGAACGAACAACATCTCCTTTGCAAATCGGACATGTTCGTCGTCTGGTTGTGAGCCACGGAGTACTAGAATAATTTAGTACAACGATACAACGTTGAATAGGGCTATTAAGATTAGTTAGTCACTTACATGCATTCCACATGGAATTCATGCCCACAGGGCAAACTCATCACCCGACTTTGTCCATCAATGTATTCCTCGAGGCAAACAACACATTCCACCTGTCTACCAGTATATTTACGACGCCATAGGATTGACCCGGACTGTAAACTGGTTGACTTCTCTTCCTTTGGTGTCATTGATGAGTCAACAGTCATCCCGGCGATAGTCTGAGAGCGTGATCGCGTTGGTCGAGCCGCGCCTGATAGATTTCCACTGCCAAGAAGTGGAGAGGCCGGTGTGACAGGCCCCGGACTGGCGTTACGTAAAGAGCTGGAGCTAGAAGAGGACGAAATGCTGGCAATTGTGTGGTATGTTCGGACGGGAAGGCGTTCAACAACAGATTTCGGAGCGCGCCAGCGGCGTCGCCGGATTCGAGATCGAAGCAATAACAAAGCGTATACAACGGACAATGTGAGTAGCGGACTGATGACAAGGACTAGGAGAGTGTCGAAGAATGGGCTTGTTGACATGCTGGTGGGCGTCAACGTGACCCAGAGGCCATCATGCTCTGTAAGCATGGGGTTCGCGGTTGCGGACGACTGGGCCACAGTCTGGGTTTTCTGGTTTATTGGTAGATTCTGTACCAGAGGAGAAGCAGATGGCTGAGCCACTTGCTTTGAATCTTCGTCGCCCCAGCCGAAATGACTCGAGAACCACCCCGTGCCAGCTTGGTTGGATTCTTCTTTTGCAGCATTGGGTTCTTTCTCCAACTCTTTCACCTTGGCGTCATGGACGTTACCGGTGGTCTTGTCAATGCTTTGATATTCACCACTACCAGGGGTGATACTTCCACCACGGAGGATGTTGGCGCCTGACTCAATATCGCTATCGGGAGCTGAAGTCTTCAAGTTTTCCTTTTCACTTGCAGAGGTACTAGGTATTGGAAGCGCACTTCCGCGCGGGGGCATTAAATCGGGGTCTCTCCAGTCTTGAACCCCAATGACAAAGTCGTCACCATCGACACTTTCAGATACTAGACCGATCGGGGGGGGCTGCTTGACTTGTCGTCAGCTTTGCCACGATAGCGGGATTTCTCCTTAAGGCTCTTGGATGATTGCGATGGAGAGCTAGCGGAGTCCCAGGATCCAAGTCTCATCCAGTCAAGATTGCCGCTATTAGGCGGGCGTCGGCTGTCACCAACAATTTTGGAGCCTCCATGTCGATTACACAGCCCTAGCAAAGAGCCGAGTGTGCGGAAAAAGCCGCCATTGGGCTGAGCAGCAGCAGCAGGCCGCTCATTAATTGTAGACGAGCTCATAGAAGAGGCCGTAGGTGTAGACACCACAACCGATGTCGCTGTAGCTGTGGCTTTCTGCACATCGACATTAGCCTGACCAGCAAGCTTTGCCTGGAGCGATGTCAAAGCATCTCCAACCCCATGGGCTGCGCCTGAAAGACCCGGTATCAATGACGAGAGCAGATGACCAGTTGTATGAGAAGTAAAAAGGGCTGGAATGGTAATATTCGACGTATCACCCCGAGCATACATGGTGACCAAGTTGCCACCGCGGGTATCGTCTCCTACTATCACCGCCATGGCGCCTCGGCGTTGGGCCCACTTCACTTTCTCCAGGAATCCACAGCCACCGCGACTCAGCAGCACAACATTTCCCTGGATCTCGGCCATTTCTTGCAACGACTGGATATCGGCATGGGTGTATTGCTTGCTTTGTACGTAGTCGCCGTATTTCCGGGTCGCCCCCGCACCTGACGCGCCAGATTCCGGTAGAGGGTGATGCAAATGGTCGTCGGTCCCATCATTCGTGGAGAGGGAAGCGCCATCATGGCGGTCGTTTGGACGGGCGGACTCCACCCGCGATGGCAGCCGGGGCCGATTCCGTGGAACAGCAGCATCGTCCATAGTACCACCGCCGGGTTTGCTGGTTTTCTGTTCCGTGCCCCTTGGGGGCGCATCCTGATTTTTATGGCCGCTTCCCTCGCCCCAGCCGGGAATATCGGAGCAGCCCAGCTCACCCTCTGACGCTGTAGCAAGTCCTGGCTCTCCAAAGCCACTGCCTACCCAAAGCCGACCACTCAGGCCTTTGCCCGGTAAAAGTGGGCCGAACGCTGCGGGGCGGGCGAGGAAGAAAGTCGAGTTGTCATCGGTGAGGCTGATGATGGCGGACGGGGGGAAGAGAGAGGTCGGGATATTGAAGGAAAACAAGGCATGCAGCCCGGACGAGCGTCCAGCGAGCGTATTTGGGGTTGCGACCTTTGACGAGGAGAAGGCGGAGAAGAGGGTGAAAAGGATAGGGAAGAAGACTAGGCAGAAGAGTACCAGCAGAAGGCGTGATGACCGCATCTCTGGCAGCGGTATGAAAATCGAGAAAACTAGAGAATATGAGAGAAGTGCAGACGGATATGTCGAGGGAGCCCAGTAGATGGTTTGCCTGGAACTCCCGTTGTATCACAACGGCTGATGGATGGGACGGTCGACCAATCCAACGGTTGGCGTATAGCGAACAGGCGGCCACTCATCGAGGACAATGAGCAGCACCGCTAAGCTAAACAATAAAAACGAAGCGACAGTCACGGTCAAAACATACGCTCACACTCACACTCACGCCCAGAATACAAAAGGGGGAGAGGGGCACAGAGGATGCACAGGAGTTGTTTAAGTCAGTATGAGTAGTCAGAGTCCCAGAGTGGAGAAAGCTCCCGGGTGGGATTAGGTAACCCTCTTGTGACGGCATTGTGTGTCATGCCTGAGGCATACTTGCCGAGGCTTTTGTGGTGTTGTGGTCATGTTACTTGATCACATTGTCTGGTCATCAGGTGGACGGGAGAAGAGTCAATATCTAGAGGTCCTGTTGAGATCTTGACAACAATCTACAGAGGAGATCAACGTACTCGTATGTACCTCAGGCATTCTGAAACTAGCTGACGCGGATCTCCCCAGTCCCAGTCCCACTCTCGGGACCGACCCACGTCCGAGTCTTACACACTCGTAGTCTTGTCATAACCACGACATCGCGATCAGACAGCCACATAGTAGTATAGATACCGTTGACTAAAAACTTCGAGACGAGGAGGCTACTATATGTAACCCAATCAAAAACTCCAAGAGCTCACATTCACACTACTAGTATATTTCTGCCCTGGAGATGAGAACAATGGTTGCTTCTCCACTTAACTATCCCATCACAGCTTAGTCCCCCCCCCAGTGGTACAGCAGTGACTCCCCGCTGACATGACGTACGATACTCCGTACTCCACTTCTAACAAGTGCCATATCAATACTTTGCCACTTTTACTCGGCCATACCCGTAGATATTTGCTTTGGCAGACCTAGATCATGCGAATGAAAGAGAAAAAGAAAAGATTAGCGAAACTTATTCGACTGCGTATGATGTCACTGCGTACTATCCATGTATACTCCGTAGCTCTTAGTGGATTGAGAGTATCATGGCCATTGAGAAATCACATTCTCTATTAATCGACCCATGGAAATATGGTAGCAGCTTTAGGAGGCAACCCCCAGCCATGCTTCCACGGCTCTCATCTTCACGCTATTTCGAGGTGGGGATACAATACCCTTGTCCAGTGGCGAGACTTGGTCTCGTCTTCATAGCTCATGACACCAGATGACATGGATGGTTCAGTGATTCGCTGGAAGGTGGCCGTTTCAGTATCTTGGGTATACCGCCAGAACGTCATTGAGCTTTCAAAAAGACTGAATGGAATATCTCCCAGCCTGACTGGTCCCTTCTATCTTTCCCACCCCCGCGTTATGGCGTCACTGATTTCAAGATGCGGTAATTTCACAATGGGGAGACGTGAACTGATGTGTGTCCATGAATGTATAAATTATTGCTCAGTCGGTTCTCCGGATAGAATTCAGTTTGACTACAAACTACTAGTATTTATACCATCACACCTTCCAGTTTAACTTGTCATTTGCTTCAACCAAAAACTTTCCAGACCCAAATCAGAACATCTTCCTCGCCATGTCGAATTTGATGCACAAGGTCAAGGATGCACTCACTGGCCATAATGAGCACAAGGGGTCCTCCCATGACTCGTCAGACCAGAATATTGAACAGAACCGGGGCCAGTACAACTCGTCTGCCATGGGCTCCGAGGCTCGTGATGCATATGGTACCAATCCCCAAGATAACAGTATTCACAATCCCAGAATGAGTACGGACAACAACAAGAATGCTGGTAGAAGTGCCACTAAAAATACCGATGACTACGGCTCTGGTGGATACAGTGCTGGTGGCTTCCCCGACTCTAAGAAGAGTGATTTGAAAGACCCCTTGGGCTCGAACACGATGGGCACCACAGAAAACCAAGGATCTGGTAGATATCAGAGTGGCACTAATCACAATCCTAGTGGGATGGATACAATGCGAGGTAATTGAAAATGCAAAGTTATCAGACACGCCTTTTACTAACATCAATAGACACTGCTAATACGTACGGTTCGAGCACCACGGGCACTACTGGTGCTATGGGTAGCCACGATGCCGGTGGCGGCCCTAATACCGGAGCCTATCATGATTACACGAGAGACTCGAGCGGTTTTTCCTCATCTGATAGACCTTCCAGGGGCTACGATTCGGGCATGGGTACTGGAAACTCCAAACCCGATGCCTCAACCTATAACTCTAGCTACGCCGGAGGGTATGGCTCTAGCGAACTGAATACCGGTCAAATGCCAGTGGGTGCCTCCACCTCGGAGTATGGAGCTTCCGGTATGGGTGATAGGACCAATGACACCAACCTTGGCGGTAGCCACGGCTACAACACTCGCAGCAATGCCGGATCCAATATGGCTAACCAGATGGAGTCTCGCGGCGAATCTGAGCTCAACAACCGTACCGACCAGCAGGGATTCGGTGGCACTGCCGCCGCCGGGGGTAGCAGCTCTAACACACAGAGAAGATCTTCCGGACCACACAGCTCTAATCTTTTGAACAAGTTGGATCCCCGTGTGAGGAGCTCTGATTATGAGAATCAAACTGCTGGTGGTCAGCAGCGCGGATGGTAAAAGGGCGCGATGATGTTATCCCATAACGTGTACATGTATTGTTGTTACTCTTTGATCTTATTTATGTTGTACCCTGTTGATTGAATGCTAGTATGTCTGAATTTATTTACTTCTTTTGCTTTCATTACCATACTATTCGATAAATGTACTGTGCTGGTTGGCAGTATACTCTGATCTGACCGTGTCGTATTTTGTTACAGAATTTCCAATGTAGTGAAAGTATAGCATTATCTTAAAAGGCCGAAGAATAGCTTTCTTACTCTCTACGACCTAATCACAAGTTGAATATAGACAACTGAAAATGATGCCGAAACCGACAACTTTTGGCAACTGGGACAGACGCCGTTGACATACTAGCAAACGAATCTACACTGAGAAACATCTGCAAACGCTCAACCGGCAATAAGACATTGCGCTCGCTAAAGTGAAGCATACGAAATCGAGGAAAAGAACTAGAAGGTTGCACTATCAAGACATGATCGATAGTGCTTGTGAACAGGATTTAATTGAAGGGCATCAAAATAGAGCCAAGGTCATGACCATCCTTGGTAATGTGCATCATGTACAGAGAAGAAAGTGAACACCAGTGCCTCGAAAGACGAAGGGCCAAAGAGGTTAAAGGATGAGAAGAGGGTTAAAAAAGAGACGAGAAATAAAGACCGTGTGGGCTAAACTGATGGGACAGGGGATATGAAGACAGGGGGCGTTGCAAGAAAAGGAAAAGGTCGAATTCAACCCGGTGTGAAAGGATCAGGACATTCGACACCAAGGATCGTTATTGGCGCGAATTGAAAGAAGCTCATGATACAAAAGATAGGAGAGAAGGTCACAATATGCAGCTATGCGATATGACGGTCATGGAAACCAACACCGAACCCCAGAAGTATCGATCAGCTAGGCGCCTCAGCCAGCAGGCCAGGCCCCTAAAATACAGGGAAATCAAATCGTCAAGTGGAAAGAGTCGTCGGGATGAAAAGTACCATGCTGGCTAATCAGCAATGAAAGACGCCGGGTTTTGCAGGAAAGCAATCATTAATGTGGGTCAAACGAGGAGTGAAAGAAGGGCCCAAATCGGGTTATTTGTCCAACTTTTGCCACCCGTTGAGATAGGCCATTAATCCGACCCCAAGAAGTACCACTCCGAATATGGAAGCGTAGGGACTTGCTTCCTCGAGGTATTGACGCCGTTGCAAGGAAGTCGTAATGTTTGAAGTAGAATCCTCCTCTTTGCTCTTTGCAGATCCGGGGTCAAAGTTCTGTGCCGGGGCGCCAATTTTGGCAACGCCATTCTCGGTTAAAATTGAATGGTCAGAAACGGTCTTCGCCAGATCATCATTGGATCCATCTGTCTTGGATTCAGTGGCTGTGGCTGCAGACTTTTCTGTACGTTCTTGGCGGAAAGTTTCGATCATCTCTGCCAAAGACTTTCTCGACTGTACTGTCTCATCCTCAGCGGTTTCGGCACGCTCCCTGAAAGACGCCATTTGTTTTCGCATCTCTTCCATCTCTCCGGCCATAGTATCAAGACGACGCTGCAATTGCTCGGCGTGTGCTTTCGCGGAAGATTCTGCCTCTTTATCCTCGGGAAGCGAGAGAACCTCTGAAGGCAGGTTGATACCGTTGGGTTCTCCGGTGGGCTTCACACCGTCTTGTTCTTGTTTGACGGGGAGTTCTTCCTCCAGAGCTTCCTGGTGGGCCTTCTCGGTTTTAATTTCTTCTTCCTCTGCCGGATTAGGAGTGTCCAGATTCTTGGCCTTGTCTTCAGCAGATTCACGCGCAGTTTTCTCCTCGCGAAGGAGATCTTCGAGCTCCTTGATACGAGTTCCCTGGGTATCAATTTCGCGTTTGGCAATTGACAATGCCTCAATAAGAGACAAGATCTGACTCGATTCGCGAGAAACAGGGGAGCTCGTGGACATTGACTTGGGTTTATCCGTATCACTGCGCTTCAGGGGCGAGAACGACTCCGATCCACTACGTGGGGGAGCATCTGGCTTTTCGGGGAGAGGTTGTTGAGGCGGAGGTGCGGGTGGGTCTGAGAATCTGGAGAAAGAATCGACGCGAGGCATTTTGGGGCGTCCGTTAAGTTGACGGGAGGGGTTGCCTTCGAGAGGCGACGGCTTGTTCACTCTTTCCTTCTCGGCATAACCTGGCTGTCTGATCGCTGTCAAAAAATCATCGGTTTGACGAAGATCTTGAGATTGCTGCTTGGCTTGCTTCAACTCGTTCTGAGATAACATGTTAGAATCAAAACTTGCGACAATCAACTCTAAGCTGGAAGCTTACCGTGAGTCTTTTGACCACCTGTTCAACGGATATGGGGGAGTTCCAGTAGTTCATTTGACGTTGTTGGTGCATAACGTTGAGCTGATTGCTGGCAGCACTCTGGGCAGAACGATTGCTCATGTTGCTACCAGATCGTCCGCGCATGTGCGAAAGCGGTTGGCTGAGGGGTGAAGGTAGAAGTCCACCCCCAGATGCAGGATCCAAGTCTCCGAAATTTAGGTCAAGGATGTTAGGGGTTGATCCATAGAGACCGGCGTGCTCAACTTTAGCAGAGACCTTGTGGTGGACAATGGTGTTTTGATCCTCGCTGACAATATCGATTCCTAGCTCAAGCGTATCGTTTTCCCGTAATTCGTGGGGATCCGACTCTCTATTCTCAGGTGACAACCGATGTCCGTTGACGAAAGTTCCATTTGATGACTTAACGTCGCGAATCCAAATTTTGCCAGCCTTCTCGGCCCAGATTTCAGCGTGCTGCCTAGACAGTACCTTTGAATCAAAGAAGCCATTCAATGGGGTAGGAACTGTTTTCGCATTCGTCTGGCGGCCGATCCGTAGAACTTCAGGGTAAAAGGGCACATTTATCTGTTTCTTCTCAAAGGTTTGGTTCATTGGAGTAAGGGCCAATATAGCCGGGGGGGTCCGCAGATTGTCCGTTAGGCTGCTGTCGGACCCCATTCTGTTGAGAAGACTGAAGCATGTGCTGTGATGGGACAATAGAGGATGGTTGATGGATCGCGGACATTGTGGATGAGGCAGTTGGCCCTGACGAGAATGCAGGACCCGCTTGAGATCGTGCAGTTGAAACTCCCGAGACTGGTTCGGCTTTGGAGTTTGGCCAGACTTTGCGGGTAGACTTTGGTTTCGATGACCAGGTACCGGATTCACTGTTGAATACCTGTCCAGCATGGATATCTTGTGAATTGTTGCTGGTCACAGTGTTGGTGGAGGCAGTTGACCCAAGTGAGGAAGAGGAATTCGACCGTTGAACGTGTTTCCTTGGCATGAACATCCGTGACACTTCGTCGGTGTTCATCGACGACAGGGCTCCTTGTCCTCCGTCACCAGTGCTGTACCATCCCAAGCGAGACCCCGATTGCACACTAGGTGGAGATGCGACAGCAGTCATGGAGAAGGATACGGGCGAAAGTTCCACACGACAGAGAGTCTAAGCGGTGTTTGGCAGGTGCAAATAGATGGCGATGAAATGAGGCCAGAGGATGGTCGGGTGATTGATATTGCGGCCTCTAATTTGCGTCAAATCGTGACGGTGTTCGTGAGCGAAAGAATTGTCTGTGAAGTAGACAGGGCTGATGTTTTTTTCCTGGTCGGCCGGCTAAGTCAGAACGGTCGCGTTAGCGCCAGTCGCTTGCCAAACAATTTATCCTGACCCCAAACCGAAGGCACGAACTGGAGTCATCCAGTGCCCATCCAAGCGGTTGAATAAAGTCGAACTTACCCGTTAAATGTAGATCGGAGGATATTATATCACAATCTAGGACATAAAAACCGTGGCCCAGACCAAGGAGGCGTGTGAGGTCTTGTCGGAAACTGAGTAGCGACCGGTGTCTCACACCGTCCCAGGGACAATGGAGGAAACGCTAGACGGGACTGCCGCCTTGCCACGGGCTCGAAGCCGCCCTAACAAGGATGTAGAAGGTGAGAAATCAAAGATCGAGGATGGTCGGCCATGAAGCGTTATCACCCAAGGAGAGGAGGAGATCGGCTCCCTTGACGGCCCCCGTCGAATGCCCATGTATGGTCACGTGCTCTATCCGCACGTGTGGTGGTACCGTTAGGATCAGGTGACACAGGCGGAGACGGCTCCGTTGCGCTGAGGAGAAAAAGCAGCTTCTCCGATTCCCATTCACATCATTAAACTTCACCTCATCCGCCTTTGAGCTCCTGCTCACTTGATACCCATTTTCCGTTCGACACCGCCTCTCCGAACTTACTCCACAATGCCCGTTGTCGCAGGTCCTGCCCCTGGCGGAGGTGCTGCCGGTCCTTCGACTTTTGACAAGAGTAAGTGACCCATAGACTTCGCCGAGGAAGCTGCTCTGAAATGCAGAAAACTGCCTTGATGAAGCATAAGCTAACTCATATATTAGTGAAAATGGGTGGTCTGATGGGTTCCAGTATGTATCTGCTGCAAGTGCGAAGTACAAGAGCTGCGTCCAACTGACGTGTTTCTCCACCTTTAGCTGTCGGTGGAATCATGGGCTTCATTATCGGTAAGTTGGACTTTAATCCAAATAGGAATCCCACTCTTTTTCGGTCAGCTCATGAAGTACAGGAACCGTCACTATCTTCCAGTACGGTGCCGGCCCTAACGGTGTCATGCGGACACTGGGCAAGTACATGTTGGGCTCCGGTGCCACTTTTGGGTATGTTCCGCCGTGCCCTCTACGCCTTTCTTGACGCCCTCGTTTCTTGCGATGTACATTGTCTTTTGTCAATAACAGGCTAACCAAGGTGCGTCTATTATACAGACTATTTATGTCCATCGGCAGCGTGATCCGTACTGATGGACCCCGCAACGATGCCTGGCTCCGTGCCCGCGGCCCTCCTATGATGCTTCCTCGTCAAAGCCCCCTGAAGCCTATGCGCCAATAAACTTGACAGTCACTGGCGTTTGTGCTGGGATGCCCGAGGTTCATGCGAACATGACCAATTCGAAAGGCGGGGGTGTGTCTTGTACGATATAATTATTACATTTTGTGAAGCGTTTTTGACGACCTTGAAACACTTGGGCTGGCAGCTCCTTAGGGTTATAACTGGAAAGCTTTGCTCTTATGAGAAAGCTGACGGACGCCCAATTTTCGATGTATATATGCAAGTCGCATCTACGGGTCACTGAAAGCTCGCTGTTATCTCTTAGCAGGCATGGCGAGATGGGTATCACTGAGACGATGTTATTGCTTACTACCTAGGTATTTCTGTCGGCTTCAGCATGCGATACTTTGGCCCATCCTGGGACTGAGTTTTTTTCGTCCTGCGAAATCGAAGGCACCTGATCGACTGGTTATATATACAACTTGAACTGGTGAAGTCCAATACCTCTCTCAAACTTGAATAGTGTACGAGTAGTTCAACATCAAGGCAGTGGAATATATGTTATATTAGTAGTGACCGGGCGTATTTTCAAGTTTTAGGCCGTTGAATTGAATTAGGCCAATCCTAGAGACATCCCGAGGTCTGAGTCTGATATCATTCTAGGTGCAGATTCTCAAGGTTATGTAGTAGTACTAGTAGTATTCTCCACTTTTCGGTGTACCACAGAGAAGCTCGGAACCTGAAGGGGACGAGTTGGTTGGTGACTAGTAGTACATATACCTACTAGTCCACTACCCAGACATCATACATTGCCAAGAGAAATCCAACGCTGCGGGTAACGCTAGACGTGAATCAAGTCGGTGCTAGTGCTGGTGTAGCAGAACAACAACAAACCCCCTCTCACGATGGAGCAAATCAGCGCTGAGAGGAAGAACGCTGGCACAATTGAAGCGAGACCCATCAATTACTGACAGGCCACCAATTTGCCTGACAGTACCATCAAGTTACGAGATATTGAACAGAAGTATATCGGAGAGGCTGACTAGGTAGAGTGGGAGCGAAACGTCAAGGACGTTCTAACGAGCAAATCTCTGGATAGCCTCATCGACCAAGGTATTCTAACTGGCGATGCAACTGCTGAGAGATGGCGGTTGTGTTGAGTAATGGATTACGCTCGTTACAAGGTTGCAAACTTGAATACAGTATTGTTTGACTCGGCCTTTTCTCATCAGATACCCGGGTAGTGCCTGATAGGCAAGAACAGCTCTTTCGTGCATCAAAAGAATGGTCATCTAGCGGATAGTTGGAGACACCATCGATAGCTTTCCACAGCAAATTGCCCCAAAGACCTCCTAGCTTTCCCAAAATAGGACTAGGGCGAAAATTTGAGGCATATGACTGGCTCTCTGGCTTCCTTCCAATTATTCGGCTGCTCATTTTCCCTCTCCGAGGTCTGTTCGTGTAACACCATACAAATGTAGCAACGATTCATACTCCGTACCTGCCATCCTAGTTAGCCTATAATTTCGTACACCGTATGGTCAATATGCCTACCTACGGTGCTCTGGGCGCTTTTTTAAAGGGATGGAGGGTTCCGTACAGCTTCCTCCGTACTCGGACGAGTCTTGGAAATACTCGGGCCGCGGCACGGAAGAAGCGGTGTCGGGTGTTGTACAGATCATCAGTCCCAACCTGCAAACTGCAAAATGCAGGCTTCGTGTTGTTCAACTCTATCGGTCGAAGTCGGAGCATCCATTCTGGGTGTGATGCTTACTGCAGTTGCCAAGATTCCGGCTGTGGTCCGAGTTGCTGCAAATTTCGCATGCCGTAACGAACTCTGTCAAACTCGATGATTGCTGCAAGGCACATTTTTGTCAGGTTGAAAATCTTGAAAAATGATCAGCGAAGTTCTCGATCCCCCCCAGACTCTCACGAACGGGCACTATAAGACCTCAAGTGGAAGGTTGACCAGACGATCTCTATAGTAGTAGTGGGCCTCCGGGAGGAACCCATGGGCTTCGTTCAGGCACAGACCGTTGATTGGTGGAGGGCAGCTCTGCCAAGCCCGGGAATAATCAAACGAATTGAGTCCCCATTTCCACCTTGCCCACCTGTCCACTCTCGTGTCGGCCAACACCACCCGAGCGAGGCAAAATCAGACAAAATTTGAGCCAATCTCGGTTAACCCCCGGTTCTGGCCAATACGATCGTCGCCTCTCAGCCTTCGATGAGAATCGAAGCATCTTTTTCCAAGGCCCGGTCGATTCTTACCCTCCGGGGGGGGGCAGACCATCACCCGCCAACCCTACGAGATCCGTGCTATCCGTTCCTGCATCCATGACGCCAGGGGTCGCACAGTCCTTTGTTTTTTTTTTTTGGTGAGCTAGCCCCAACAACCCAAAGAGTCCAGGATAGCACCTGCTGCATCATGCTGAGAGCCAATCCTCATTTCAGGAAGACACAGCGTCTATGGGAAAGACATCTCACGGCCAACGGGTTTCAGCTGGGACCAAGCGGTTCGTGTTGGCCGTTAGGGGATAACCTACTCCGTGTATAGTTGGTCGCCATGTCTCCATCCGCTCCATCTGCCCCATTGGAGTCTAGGGCAACCCAAGAACGAGCACGAGGGCCAGTGGAATCTTTAGGGGGGGAGGGGGGCGAAGAATTTCGTATTGCACATGTGGCTAGGGACCGTTGCGGACATGCTTGTTCTTTGTTTCCCGACACCATCGGATCCGACCCCTACGCATCCGATCGCACAGGTACTCCGTACGAGGGCCATTGGTCTGACTGTCCACGTAGCCCTAAAGGATGATCTCTAATAGTGGATGTCCGGGTGAAGTCATACTGCATTCACTTGCAGCAACGCGTCCAGTGTCCAGTGTCCAGTGTCAATCATCTCCTCCGTAGGGTGTTGACATCCCTTTGAGAGAGTCCCTTGCAACCCCGACAAGTCTGTGCGGTAATGAGGACCCTGTTCGTGTTTTGCTTGGCAGAACTGTTGCTACTACTCGTACTCCGTACTAACTACTAGTCTCGGGCTACCATTACGGAGTATTGCTCCATAGTTCGATCTTAGGCCGGTCCATAGTCCCAGGAACCGCGTGCTACCCGGACCAATAGGAGGAATCAGTAGCGCAAAAAAATCAATAGAAGCCCTCAATTTGGGCGCCACAGGGCCCAGAAGTGTGAAATGACCCTTTCCCCAGGTTCGACTGGCTCGTTGGGCCTTCGTGTATTTAGGGCGCATGCCACACCCTGTCATACTCTCTCCTCTTTCCCCCTCCGTTGGCGCCACTGAAGAATTTATTCACCCCAGTCATTCGTTTCCCACCCAGTCACTCGTTTATACATCCTGTCATCCACCTTGAGCCGCGCTCTCTCACTTTCCACTTTCACTCTCACGCTCACTCTCACTCTCACTCTATCCCACACATTCTTTTAACTCCTTTGTCTTTGGAGTCCCACTCGTTTGCCCTCAAGATTCAAAACATATTCGAAACAGAATCTCTTTCGGGACTGTTTCACCAATCCACGATAGTGTCGCGCCTTCTTCTCCAACGACCTACTACCTTCGTCTTCTTCAAGACTTTCTCTTCCATTACACTCAGTGCTGCATACGCAAAAATCGCATCGCATCCTTGACAATCTCCAAAATGCAGTTCGGCTCTCTGATCACCTCTTTCCTCTGCATTGCGGCGGCCCATGTTGCCGCCGCCGCCGAGGACACCACCTCCCAGTCGACCACGACCATTACCAAGACCTTGGTCCGAGTGAACTCGGTCACTGCCACTCCCAGCTCCAGCATGACCACCTTCCCGGCCACCTCCACTCCCCTGGTGACCGCGACCTCGACCGCAACCCAGTCTGCCGCATCGGCTACCAAGACTGGAGCTGCCGTCAACGTCGCCGCCGGCATGCCCGCAGTCCTGGGTGCTGGATCTTTCGCGCTGATTATGGGCCTGGCCCTGTAATCGCGGACGCGATACCATGAGATACCAGACAATGATCCACCCTCCCGGCAATCGTTTGATACCAGAGACCTAGCGTCGACGATATCGATTGTTTACATTGAATGTAAGGGAGGCGAACTATGTCTGGATCTCCCTTTACTTCCGCCGTTCATCTCCAGCAGAATGCCGAGGTACAACCTTTATTTTGGACCTATAATTTTCTATTCTTCTTTCACTTTTTTGATCCTCCGGTTGGCTGGAGAATCCGATTCGGAACGGAAACGGCTTTACGTTGAAACTTTCTCAAATACCCCATTTATAACGACTTTGTGGACACGAGTTGATGTTGCTTTACTTCTCACCCCCTTTTATATTTATACTTTTTACCTTCTATTCTTCTTGTTTATATTTGTCTGGTGCTCTCAAGTTCGGGGGACACCTGAGCGAGATCTGTTTGGATACGCCTTCGTGGGTTAAAACCCCGATCTTGGACACTCGACATTAAATGAGACACATTATTCTTTTTTCCAAGATAAAATAATCCATGTATCCTTGATGTACGTACAGAGTCAAGTGTAGATTTACTTATGATACGGAGTAGGTAGTGAAGATCATGTCGATCCAACATTCCTCGGTGGATCTGCCAGCCTGCCGTGGCCTCCGCGGTCGACTGATGCCCGTGCACCCACGCGTCTGCCGCTTCGGGCAGGCTGTCGTTTGATCTGATCTTATCTCGGCTCTGGCATCGGCAGGCGTAAGACTTAGCCTTGTCATCCCAGTACGCCCTGGGTGCCCAATTGACGAGCTCTTCCTTTCACTGGACGTTGGATTTGTTCGGTTTGCGCGTTGTTGACATCTGCGGCGGCTCCACCACGTGTCGCACCCGCGAGCCTCCCGCGCCATTTCACCTGCCAAGCACATTCTTGAGGAACTCTGGAGAGCCATAGAGAACTTGTTCGTCTAAGGGGTACCCCTACTCGCCGCAATGGATAACGAAGTTCCTCTCCCCCGCCACGACGGTTGAGACACCGTTCCCCAGCACGCGCAAACCCATCGACACCAGTTTCGGTCGCATCATCCTTTCGCAAGTCGCGCCGACTGTCGCGTTTCGATGACCGCTCGAGTCAACCTTCCAGTGACCCGGCGCTCTTTTCTAGTGATGATATTCCTGCCTCTGGACTAGAGAATTATAATGCGCCGGTATCTGGCGCGGGGGGCCGCAAGCGCCGATATCGAGGAACCTGGTGGGGAGAGCAAGTTCAGGATCCGAAGCGGAAGAGGGCTGATTTCAAGGAGAAACGCAATGTGGACAGTGGTGTCTGGATGGGTAGTGATGAGTCTGTCGCCGAGTCTCTTTTGACCTCCGAAGATTCGCCAGCTTGGGGAGAGGATCTCTTGAAGACGGTGTTGGATCCTCGGGCACCAGGAAGAGCTCCTACTGACCTGCCTTTCTCAAGAGGTCCGGTACCAATCCCTGCGCCGCCGCGGCAAATTGTCGTGAATGGAAATGAAGAATCAGAAGAGCATCGATTTGTGAGAAAAGTGGTCAATGACTGTCTTGAAAAGGGCGAGGAGAGTATCGACCTGGGGTAAGTTTCTCTGGATATCCAATCCTTCACGTTCCTCCATCCTAACTTGATTCTCCAGAAACTTTAACATGAGGACTATTCCCATAGATATGCTTCAATCGCTTCAGCATTTGACGAAGCTCCCCTCCCTGCGAGAACCTCCGATATCAGAGAATGCTTACTTCTCGCTTCGGCCTTTTCTGCGCATATATCTTCCTAATAATTCCCTTGCCACGCTTCCCAGAGAGCTCTTTGAGCTGAAGGATCTCAGGGTACTTAGCTTGCGCAATAACAAGCTCACATCCATTCCCTGCACAATTCGGGATCTCACCGCACTCCAAGTTCTGAACCTCTCCGTCAATCGGCTCTCTCATCTCCCGTGGGAGCTGCTGGTTCTTCTTCAACAGGGAGAGCTAAAACACTTTACTCCACGCCCGAATCCCTTCCTTTCAATTGAAGATGCCGATATTGTCGAGTGGCATTGTAAATCTGGCGAAAGCCAGAACGAAAAGAACGACGACAATTATGACGATGACGACGATAAAGACGATGAAAAGCTTCCGCAAAGTCAAGCTACCTTCACAGAATATGAGGGTACTCCACCCGATGATGCCTGGACCGCTATCCACGTAGCAACGGGTCCAACAACCTTGTACAATATGGATGGCAAGCCTATCGGAAATACCCCATCCTCCAGGCTAGCAAAAGCACAACAGACACCACCGACAAATGCTCCATCTTTACGCGAATTATCTCTTCGAGCCCTATGGAAACTCCCTGGCCTCGATTTCATCACGGAGGAGGAAAAGCTCGAATTTCCATCACTTTTGATTCCGTTGCTCAGTCTAGTACAAGGCGTTCGTGCAGACGGAGGGTGGTATTGTTCAGTGTGTCAGCGGGAGTTTGTGAGTCGTCGTGCGGAATGGATAGAGTGGTGGGATTGCACTCCCCACGAGAATGGCATGAAACGACCGAGGGCTTCTGGAGAGAAGATGCGTCCATTGCCATTCAAACGATATGGTTGCAGCTGGGCCTGCGTGCCAGACTCGCAGCGTGCAGATTGAATTCTTGTCATTGCACCTGGATACAAGATGATCTCTACTTTGTATATTTCGGAGTGTTTATAGATGATGGTTCTGGAAATATGGATACTTCATGTTTATCTTGTTTAATCAATTGAGCTTTCATTCAGACAGACTATCCTGCAGTCTATTGAGTGGCATTGTATGGGTATCATTGTGTGTTCATCCATGGACATTAATCTCAAGGAGCCAGTAAGTGGATGTGAAGGAATCGGCTGGGCGAATAATCCTCGCAATTTCGTCTGAATGTTTCAAAACGAGGTTTGTATGCATGTTTTTGTAATCTGCGTAGCTGTGATGACGATGCATCTCGGTGCATTTGTTGAAAACGGTCGAAACGTCATCGATGGTGCTGATCCGTATGAACAATGGAATCGACGATGGCATATCGCCTGATGACAGTCTCTTTCAGTACATTCAGGGCGATAAGATGGAGGGCGACACTAGCAGGGTATGGCATTGCACGCCGCAGGCATCTCTACCATACCCGCAGTCATTTCACTTGAGGCTGATGGCGACCTCAACCATTTTAACCCATCGGGTTCGCGTCTCGGGTAGCTCGTAATCATCGGAAGCCTCGGGCTTCTCTTGTCGTTTACGCTTCTTCGCGTCAGACTTCGCAGTGCCTTGCTCAGGCTCTTTTTTGCCTGTCTCATTTTGCTTCTGTTCCTTCTGGGCGAGCTTTTCTTTTCGCTCCTCGTCTTCAACCACATCATCCACGACAAGGACACTTCCAGTATTCACCCGGACCGAGTATTCTGATTCTTTCTCTTCGAACCACTTCCCCACGTTGAGCACCTTTTCGATTGCCCGCCCGGTAGCCTTGACAAAAACCTCCTCCCGCTGCTCAGCAGAATTGGCCAATTCCGCGAGCTTTTGCTTCTCTGTTTTGCGCGTATCTTCGAGGCTAATATTGGCCGTGGCGCGCTTCTCGGCTTGTCGGAGTAATTTCTGGATGCGCTTCACCGCACTCATGAACGGGGTGTTGCTAGAAACGTAAACAACTTTGGGCACGGACGGGCCCGCATATGGCGATGCGACAGGGGCATGAGGAATTGGGCGCTTTTCCACCTTTGCATCTGCAGGGTCAAGACTGTTAATTCCGTGCTGATGGTATTGCCTGTGGTTTGGGTTGGCGAGAGGAGGAGAAAAATCGCTTACACTTGGGCAGCTTTACCAGATCTTGGTTGCGCTTCTCGAATTCGAGCTTTCGCTCAAGTGGGCCATTCCCCATGGCGCAACAAGGTCTATCTTTGGGCCTCGGGAAGCTGTCGCAAGAAGCTTGGAAAAGTTGGGATTCCCAGTGGGACGGGGAAACTACGAGATAAGATTGTCTTTTCTGCCGATCCCGGGGAGGCGGTCGCGCAGGGTATGTACTGGGCTACTATCTTTAGTACTATAGTAGCTGCTTCAAGTTTCTGCCTTTTAACACACAACTGCAGAATCAATCCTAGGCAAATTCGAAAGATCTCATCTAATGCTACTCGTACTCGAAACAAATCACTTACCTGAATCGATGAAGGTTTCTACATCCTGTTCGCAATGCAGAGTTGGCAAGCGGCGATGCATTGCGGGGCTTGCGGGGGTAAGGAGCGCATGCCAACTGTGCTCGAAGCAAGGGAAACGCTGCTCCTTGTCCAACCAGCCAAAAGGATCTCAGCGCTCTTTATTGCCGAACCCGGTATTGACATCGCCTAGTGCGGCTGATTCTCATCTACAAAGTCAGGATGTAACCAAAGACATTCGAGATAATTTGATCGACCTTTACTTACGATTCATCCATGACAAACCTCATTCTCTGTTTCACCCCTCGCTCCTGAGGAAAAGAGTGCGCGAGGAAGCCTTACCGATGGCGGTACTTTATGGCGTCATGGCACTGGCAGCGCGGTCAGTCATAGAGATGGACTATCAGACCTTACGACTGAGTCCACTAGTAGTATACTGACTTTATTTCTACCACAGGTTTGCGGACAATCAAGAAACACGTCATCAAACGAACAGCTTCTTTTCAGATGCGAAGCATCTTTTAAAAATGAATATTGATCATGTATCTCTTGATAACATACATGCGAGCATCCTCGTCGGCAACCTGTGTGGAACAGAAGGCGAGTCAGCCGGAGAGGCGGTATTTTTTGGTGAGATAAACCCACACGACGCTGTGGACCAATTCTAAAATGTATGATAGGCGTCGCATTTCGAATGGCGCATATACTACATCTCCCGGAACCCGACATAACGGACGACAGTATAACAAGGGAGATAAAGATTCGAACTTGGTGGTCCTTGTATATGATTGATCAATGGTCCTCTGCCGGTTTAGATCTACCACGACTGATGCATAACCAACAGCATAATCTCCCAATGCCAGAAATCGACTTCTGGAGGCTCGTTCCCGGGGAAAGAATGGAAAATCGATCTCAGCCTCGTCGAGGCCTGTGGGGATACATGGTTATTCTCGCTCGAATATTCGGCCACATTCAAATTCTGCACCAGAAGTTGGCAGAAGAGGCTCTAGACCAACACGAGGCCGAGGCGACCACGACTGAGCTGGCACAAGAATTTGACCACTTTCTTCGAGAGCTGCCAGCCAGTCTCCACTTCAACACCAGGAATCTAACACAACATACGGAGCTTGGTCTAGCGCAGGCATTCGTGGCTCTTCACCTAGGTTATCATCATTATTCAACTCTTCTTTACTTTCCATATCTTGACATGAAACTTGCTGAGACACCCAGCCGAGCCGTCTTCGTTGCTCGTTGCAAGTATCATGCCACGTGTTTCAGCGACTTATTAAAGATTTCACATGAAACGCCAGAATGTGAAGCAGTCTACCTGATTGTAGCACATATGACTGTGGTTTCATCTTCAGTCTTGCTTCATACACTTCTGCTTGGCAGTCAACATGAACTTCTCGATGCGCGAACACGACTCTGTTTCAACTTTGAGATACTTCTCAAACTGAAGGGATATTGGCAGGGAGTAGACCTTATGGTGTGAACATAACCCCCCTTGGAGAATATTGGGGGGTAAAAGGCTAATGTGAGATTAGATGGAGCGGCTGTTCACCTTCCAGAAAGTATGCATGCAGTCAATGGATCGAACATACACTGTGGATCAATGGACAGTCAAGTTTCTTCTTCAACATGCGATTCCCATTGGTGGAGAGATAAATACACCGGCTACATCTGATCTTGCAGAGCGAGGAAAATTTGCAAGCGATGCTTTGTCGATGCTCAGACCGGCTGGAATGAACACCAAAGGCAACACGAAATAACGGTCATTTCATGGCTCCACTGACTTGGTCTCCTGATCATGCGTACGCCCTTCGTTACCGGCGACGTTGGCATGTTCTCCGTCAAACAGCTCTGCAATCTCCTCTAGTGTCGGGCCCTTTGTTTCCACAAATAGGAACCAGATACAAAGACACTCAGTAACCAAAATTGCAATATACACGGAATAAAATCGCCACTTCAATGATTCAAGACCAATCGGATTGACATACTGGTTGAAGACAGACGACAAGGCTGTCGCGGCCATAGTAACGGCAAGACCTTTGGCTCGGATGCTGAATGGAAGGATTTCAGCGGGATATGCAACTGTCAATCCGGGCCAGGCGAAGCCGGCGACTCCATAAAAGAGAAATATCATAGCAATGACTGCGCTTCCAGCAGTCTTGTTGCCAGTTTGCGCATATACTGCTGAGCAACTATCACCTAATCAGCAATTTCCACCTCATATTGGGGCAGTTGCAGTCACTTACCCTGTCCAAATGCTAAATGTGATCAGCATGCCGAAGCCAGCAATCAGGAAAAGCAATCGTCGACCAAGGACATCGACAAGGAAAGCAGAACAGCAAATTGACACTAAAAAGCACCAAATTGTCAAACCACCATTGATGACGGACTGGTCATAAGAGGATTCGATTCCGACGGAGCTTAAGATGTCATGTAAATAATATGACACCAGACCGTTGCCCGAACACTGTGAGAAAAATGACACCAATAGAATAAGTAGGAGTCGTTTGCGATTTCCTGGTGTCTGCACAAGCACAGGCCAGCCGTTTTTCGAATTCTCCTTCTCCATACGTATTGTTTCCTGTATTTCATGGAATTCAAACGCGCAGAAAGGATCGTCTCTGTCGCCATTGGCATGATACTGAAGCTTGTTGGTTATCCCATTACTGAAAGGCTTTCGGTCTTCCTTACCTTCACTAATACTCCAAAGGCCTCCCCAGAACGATTATTCGCACAAAGCCAACGGGGGCTTTCGGGGACAAACCAGATGCCCAGAAACTGAATGACTGGCATGGCTGCCTGCATGGCGACCGGTATTCTCCATGATGCTTCCGATGTATACTTGATTGTCCCAAACACCGTCCAAGCCGCGATTATTGCCCCGACATACCACAGAGTGTTGTACATGGTAGTTAGTTTGCCACGGTGCTGAGGATGGGCAAGTTCGGTTATAAGTAGCGGCGCAGATCCCTGGGTCACGTTTGATCTTCTCGAGTTAGTTTATAAGATCTAGCTTCCAGGGAGAGTCATCTTACCCAAGCCCGACTAAGAAGCGACCCGCAAGAAACATGCTTGAGTTGACGGACGGTACGACTTGAATGATTGTTCCTATAAAAAGAACAAGTAGGCCGATGACAACGCCGATCTTTCGTCCAAAGAAGTCGGCCACATAGGAAGCTATCAAGCCTTTCAGCTAGGGTACCCCGTCATGATAGGGGATTTGAAGAAGGAAAAAATACCAAATAATAGTGCACAAACCCCACCAATGTTTTGGATTGCCGTGAAAAGACCCAGCGTCGAGCCACTTGGATTACCGAAATCTGCTTGGCCGTTAGCATGTCGCGACGTTGATGCAGCTGGGCCATATTCACAGTCTTGCCAAGGCGTCATTGTCTGCAATCCATTTAATAGCGAGCCATCGTATCCATTTGTGGAAGCACCTGGGAGTCTCAGCCACGATACTCAATGGTCAATTGATTAGTTGATATCTTTACCTAGAAACAAGATTGGCATCATCAGGTATAGCCTCCTCAGTCCAGGGTGCTTCCACCAAGTGACCTCGGGTATGTTTGAAACTCTCAGCCTGGGAAGAGATGAGAACTCGGCGTGAGATGCCGAGGCCTCATGGGCTTTGGAATTCATAGTATCCATCATATTAAGAAAAGAGAAGGTAGCTCCTTATTTGTCAACAAGGTAGATATCGGTTTGCTGAAGCCGCGGACAGGGAAGTAGTCTTACCCCCCCCCCCCCCCAGTTCAAAGCCTCTATTTATACACGAGGCGAAGTAGATATCTCGCCATCCATCTCCTGGTCTCAGTAGTTGCTATTTACCCCGGGGTTCTGCCAAATCAGGAAAAGCGTTTGCGGAGAAGTGTCGTGTCTTTGGATGCGGGATGTCGGCCAATCATAGCTAGCCAATCCCGCATGTCACGATACCTATCGCTCCGTGCGGGGGATGCACTTTGAGCCTTCCCAATGATTCCAGCGGGATATCGCCCAATCATTCCACCTGAATCCCGTTTTTATGAGCATCTCGATGGAGCCGGCTGCCGGACCGCGTTATGATCAAGTATTATCCGGCATGGTGCCACAGGCTGTACTGCGATGGCGGGGTTGATGAGGGGGAGAGGAATATATCGCGGGTATAAGAAGACACCAGTCGGAGTTGTATGATCTGGCTATTCGATCAATCCTTCAAAGTCCTTTTGTGTTCTATCTCGTGATTCAAAAACCGATTATATTCAAGTTGGGAAAGCCATGACTCTCTCTCCGAAGATCCCACACCTCCGCAAGGTCGGCGACACCCAGCAGCTGGTGGTTCATGGCCGCCCGATTCTTGCTCTAGCTGCAGAACTGCAGAATTCTTCTATGACCTCTGGGGCCTTCATGGATACCGTATGGCAGAGACTGGTAGATACAAATATTAATACAGTTTTGGGATGTGTCACTTGGGAAGATATTGAGCCAGTCGAGGATCAATTCAACTTCGCCGAACTGGATAAAGCTATCCTGGGTGCGAGAAAACATGGGCTACATCTCGTTTTGCTCTGGTTTGGGTCATTCAAAAACGGTGTGCTATGAGCTCTTATTGCAGCAGTGACCTATATGAGTTCCGACTAACCTTTCCTCAAGGCATTTCCACCTACGTTCCTCCATGGGTAAAAACCAACACAAAGAGATTCCCTCGAGCGAAGTTGAGAAAGGCTGGGGGAGTCTTGAAGACCGGTGATGTGTTGTCTATATTCCACGACGAGGGACGTATAGCCGATGCAAAAGCATTCACTCGTCTATTGCAACACATCAAAGACATTGATGGCGAACACTCGACCGTAGTCATGGTACAGGTGGAGAACGAGACCGGCCTATTGGGTGATTCGCGCGATGGCTCTGTCGCAGCAGAGAAGCTATTCCGCGAGTCTGTGCCCGAGGATCTGCTGCAATTTTTTGCACAGGACTGGGATAACCTTCATGTTGATCTCAAGGCTAATCTCATCCACTTCAAAGCTCAGAGTAAACCCCAGGGATCCTGGGAGCAGGTCTTTGGTAAAGGTCCTCAAACAGATGAACTGTTTATGGCCTATCACTACGCCCACTACCTCGAACATGTTGCCGCAGCTGGGAAGCAGCAATACCCCATCCCGCTGTATACAAATGTATGGCAAAACTATGTGGGCGAAGACGGCGACAATGACTTCCCCATTGTTGCTGGGGGCGGTGGCTATCCTGGCGATTATCCGTCGGGAGGCGGCACAACGAATGTTCTCGATGTTTGGCAACGGTTCGCTTCATCGTTGGACTTCATCGCACCCGACGTCTACTTGAACGAGTACGCTAGCTCGTGCCGCAAATATCGGCACCGCAACCAGCCGCTGTTCATACCCGAGCAGCGGCGTGATGACTATGGGGCTCGGCGCATCTGGACTGCGTACGGGTCGTTCCAGGCCATTGGGGTATCACCTTTCGGAATCGATACCCTCGAGCCCGCCACAAATCCCTTTACCAAGCATTATGGACTCCTCGAATCGGTCTCGCAGATCGTCCTCGACGCCCAGTCACGCCCAGACGCCTCGGTCGGGTTCCACTTTGACGAGCTTGCGGCGGACGACAGCGACCCTTCCAGACCGGTTGTCAAACATTGGGGAGGCTATGAGGTGACAATTGAGCGGTGCTTCGTTTTTGGAAAGGCTGGACCTGGTGCTGGAATGGTCATCCATTTAGGAGGACCAAAGTTCCTCTTGATCGGTTGGGGGTTCCAGGTCCGAGCTCGATCGTTGTCGCCGACTAGCACCTTCACCGGTTTCTTGCACTTCCGGGAGAAACAGGTTGCTAACAAAGAAACGGGGCAGCTACGAACCCTTCGGATTTTGAATGGAGATGAGACTCGTAGTGGGATCTTTGCCATGATGCCGAACGACGATCCTGACTACGGGGGCTTTCCGATTTGCGTTACAATCCCGGCTCACACGATGATCGCCGAATTGGAGGTGTACTCCATCGAGGGCAAGGATGACGTTTGACAGAACGTTAGAATGGAGAGTACGGAGTATGGATGTGTACCCAGAACTTAACTTAGCCTTTTTGTGCATATTGTTCATTTGAATCTAGGAAATCGAATGAAGATCGATATATTTCTACGATTAACGTAATGACTCGCCTCGGACCACGGAAAGTCTCAACCCACGATTCCCACTGTGTCCCCATTGGAAGGAAATCTTAAATTTCATGTCGAACCAAATCGGAGATTGAGTCCTAGACGGTCTGATCCGGGAGAAAGAGGACTGCGATGAAAACCCGCAAAATTGGGACGGATCAGAGGACGCCGGCGTTATTGGCCGCGGAGAGCCGGACTTGAAAATGGCACAGGTCCAATTCGCGATTCGGATTGCGCCCGCGCTCCACACGGATTTTCTTTGATACTGAAATCGATACCTCGAGCACAGAGATTGCCCAGCAGGAAAGGGGATAGGGAACCTGACCACGGGCCTTCGTTCTTTCATCCCAATCTGATATCCGGCCCGAGGGATTGGAAATTGGGAGCCCAGTGTCCAGGTACTCCAGGGGCATGATGCCATGATCGCCGTCTAGCCCGTGTTAACACCCTCGTGAGCGAAGGTGTTCTGACGTATCCACCGGACAATGAAAGGAGCGTTGATCGTCATGCCTGCACAGTCTGGGCTTTGGGATCGCTGGTACTGCGGAGCTGAAGCCAGATCCACTCCGCTGTCCTGTTTTTGGAAGGTCGTGTCTCTGTCCCCCACGAGCAGAGAGGGCCGGGGCCTTTTGTCCCCAGCTGGGAGGATTTTTGTCTCTCCCACCGTACCGGTAAGGAACTACTATCGCATGGACGCGGATGCAGGAGGACAAGCGTGACAGGCCAGCATCTGCGCGAGGCTGCATGCCTACGAGTGTGTACCTGGGTATGTACAATATCGGACATGAACTGTCAAAGCAGGCATACGTACGATCTATCATGTCGGGAGTCAATTGGCAGAAGTACGACAACCGAGCCAAAGTGAGGAATCTGAAACGACGCAGGTACCAAGTGTGCGTTTCCGTGGGTCGCGAGCGGGGGTGACACGGCGAGAACCATGGGTATCGCCTCCGATTGCGGTTGTTTATTGTGGATGAAGTCAGGATAGAGATAGAGATAGAGATAGAGAATCTTGATCGAGTTGGGGATGCGCTGTGTGTACGATATGTACTGGATCCTCTACTACTCCGTACGAGTAGTAGCAATCGTTTTTGCCCAGTCGAGGCTGTCAAGATGAGAGTGGCAACAGGGTTTTCGCCGGCCCCACTAATGAAGAGGCACCGTTTCGCCTCCAGCGAGGCTTGGAGTGACGACGACACATCCTAAAAAAAGGCTGATCGTGTGGATTGCACAGCACAACTCTGTGCTCTGTGCTCTGTGCGCTGTGCTCTGTCGAACTGGTTCACACGGGTTGTATCGAGTCTGCCTGCGAGGGACGCCTCTGGCGCGCTCGTCACACAATTGTCACGGTCGGGGCGGCCCCAATCTACCATACTCGTAGGTATCATGCAGGACGAGTCAAGCCGACCTCGTATGCGAGTATCATACAAAAGTACCTAAAAATGAAAATAAGAAATAAAAATAAAACCAATGGAAGGCGAATTTGGGTCTAAATTGAGGACACAACGGGTTAGCATCCAGGGACGCGGTCGCGGATGCACGACGACGACGCTAAAGCAAGTACCCAGAGCTTCGGGCTCGAAAACAGCAGCCAAGCGAGGCAAATTGAATCCTTCCAGTTTAGCGACGATATTAGACGGGAGGTCCAGTGGGCCATCCGGAGGGCCGGAAGTCCAACATTTGTCTTTTCCCCCCCTCGGTCGCCTTCCTGGTGCCGGCTGAGTGCAGGTGGAGCCTCGAAAAAACGGGCGATGGATCCATAGAGTCGGGAAGCGTGAGAGGCCCGATGGAAGTGGAAATGGATACGGTAAATCTGATCCACCGTGGTCTGGACTGACAGAGTGGATGGGGGAGGGAAGTGTGTGTGTGTCTGTGGGAGTGTGGGAGTGTGGGAGTGTGTGGGAGGAGGTTTAACAGTTAACTGTTCCTCCCCCGGCTCTCTCCCACGCTCCCCTCATCTTCAATCTTCAACTTCTCCGACCTCTACCATCCTTACCATTCTTACCATTTTTACCAGCCTTTCGTTCCTTGAAACATCTGTTTCACTTCCTTTCTCTCGAGAGCAAGTCTCCGACACTTTCAATCCCTCCGAATCCAAACCTTCATTTTGGGTTACTTTGCTTCATATCACATCTTGCAGCTGCCTAGCCATCGAACAACGACAGCTTCTCAATTTGTGACCCCCTCGCTTCGCCCTTCGGATTCATCTCAAACATCCGCCTCCCCCTCAGCCACACTTTTTTCTTGCCACTTTGACACAGAGCATGGCCGCTGTCTCCGTCTGATTCTCCGTCCCGCCCTCGTTATTATCAACCCTATTTTTCACTTTCCTCTTTCTTTTTGCTCTCCCTCGTCTCACGCACTCACCCCTTTGGCGTGTTTTGAATCATCCCAGCCCTCGGCAATCCAGATCAGACAGAGCGTTGTTATTTATGCTCTGCTGGCTGTCCGAACTATCGTTTGATTCTTCACCATCAAAAATACATACATTCTACTTCCCTTTCTCTCCGCCTTCCCTCCGCTATCACCTCCGCCATCACATCCGACAAAATGTCTCCTCGTTCCCCGCAATCTTTGGACAGCCCAAATGGTGCGGCTCTCACCTGGATTTTCGATCATTGTCTTCGCTACCCGGCTTCCTATGAGATCCCATTGCGAGACATGTACACATTTAACTGTAATCCGACGAATACTCCATTCCCTCGCACTCGTTCTCCCGAAACCGCTTTCTCCCCCCGCAACTCCGCCTCCACCCACTCATCTCGCTCCTCCAATGGCTCTTTCGATGCCGCCGCAGACTTTCGCTCGCTCATGAGCCACCAAATTGCGAACCGGAGCTCTCAGCCCTGCGAACTTCCTGTCTCCTTCCTGACAGGATTTGTGCACCGTTGCTTTACTGCTGAGCTTGAGAGTGTGGATTTCCCCCAAGCTCTGACTGCTATTGATTATCTCAAAGATCTCGAGACCCGTTGGAAGAAGGAAATGGAGGCCGCTCTGACGCGATTGGGTATCAAACGCGAGGACGCTGAGAATCCGAATTCCTCGGGATTTGCCGGAAAATATCCCGGTGTTATGACTTGGTTACACACGATGAACGCCAAAGCTCGCACCGTGACCGCCCTGTACACTCAGATCTACGTTGGCCTGCGTCGCTGGGTGAGTACCACTAGAACTACACTAAAAACCAAATCGCTGGTGACTAACCTATCATCCAGGTTCTCATTAATGATATGCTGCTTGAGCCTCAAAACAAGGTGAACCACATCGCCATGCTCAATACTTTGTATCCACCCGTCTCCGACAAGACCCGAACACCAACCCCCCCCACTTGACTTATCAGCATTTGAAGACTCAGCGGGATGGCTTCTTCCGGTACATCAATGCGGTCGCCATGAATGGCAAGGAGGCATTGGACCCCGTTATCGTCCAGGGTGCACCCGAAGGCGAGGCTACCTCGTGGGGACCACTGCATGATTGCCTCGTGCGCTATGTGGACCACGTCAATGAGCTTATTAATGAGTGCCTGGTGGTCACCGAGCCCTCTTACTTGTCTGAAGGTGGCTCCCCCCCACCGCAACAAGAACCGCAAGGCCGATTCTGGTATTAGCTTTGGTTCCTCTGGAATTGAAACCAGTCTCGCCGAGGGTGAAGCTGAGAAGCCCCTCCCCACTTCCCCATTCCCAAGGCACACCCGGCCAAGACCGGTTCTTTCCTTGAGCGCATTGCCCGTGAGGTGCGATCCCTGGGCCCTAATGCCCGTACCAAGAACCTCAAAAAGATGAAATCTACCACCGCTCTCGATTCTCGGCCTGGCAGCCAACAGAGCTCCGCAGAAAGCTCCTTTTTTGAGATCGATGAGCAGAAGCGCCGCCGCTTGCTTGGCGAGGCGACTAGCCGCAAAATTTCCCAGTCCTAGAAGTCCAGCTTCATTTGAAGCAGGCTCTTCGTTCTACCCACCCGCCTGGACTGGTCGACTTACATTCTTTCGTTGAGCCTGGACTCAACTCAATTTCCTTTTCTACAACTTTTCACTCGAAACATTTCACCCATGGCGTCTGATACTCTGAAAGAAGAAAAAAGTGGTCATCTGGGATACACATAAACTGAAATTTCTCGTCATTTACTCGGAGCAACAAGGCGAACGGTCATAGCATGTCATGGAAGACAAAAAACTGGCGCAGGATATCTACTTTATTTTACGAAATCATGTCTGAACGAACAATCAAAGAAGCCAAATCAATTAAAATACTCCCAACGAAGCCTTATATCCATCGTAGCAATGATTCTCTAGTATTTAATCCTAATTCTCAAACTGGGAATAAATAGATGCTACTACATCCTAGTACTACTAGTACCGGTGCTGGCCCAGGGTGACCCTCACCGCCCGGAGCTGCCACGCTGATAAGAGATAGTGAACCATCCAAGTATCCTATGTCGTGGCAAGATCCACCGGCGAATCTCCGCGTTTGTTGACGATTTGAGCATTGGCTCGTCTGGCTCGTGATGCTTTCTATGACCTACAAGCTGACGAAATAGAGCACACGCAAACTTGAACCGCCGGGCCTGTTCCCACTTCAATAATCTTCATCTAACGTCCCCGTCCCTTTCACGATCTCCGCGATCCATTGCGCGAGAATGAAGGTCTCCTCAAGATCCCACACTCCGTGGCATTGGTACGCCACCATCGGGGCTTTCTTACCTGGCTTACTTGTCAATGGCAGCCCGTCTGTCAATGTCGCACTTCAAGCTTCATTCGATTCTTCTCCGTACTTGGTGGAGTTGCTGTACGTTGTCCCCTACCGCTGACATTCGCTCCGAGGCCGTCCCAATTGCTCACACACCAACCCTATTTAGAGAGTCGGCTGCCGAAGAGAATGCGACATCATACTTCCCATTGCTCGACCGAATTGCCGGTGGCTCTTTCGAGGATGCCATCACCGAAAAGGAGCTTTACGACCGCTTCTTGCAGGTCGTCCATGAAGATGGCCACCTTCGCACCGCCGAAAGCCTCTCCTCCTTCAAACTATCGCTTGCCATTCGATCACCTGCTCCTCGAATTCAAGCCCACTACCAATTTTATAATACCTCCGTTCAGCAGTCCTTGATGGCCGCTCAAGATGCCGCTTGTCCAGTCTGGGTTCATTACGAGGACAAGCAGTACTGTTCATCCACGATGGAGCGTGCGCAACAAGATGTCGAGGGAGAGCTGTAAGTACACCGAAACTTACTTCATTGTTTATGGAGAGCTGACTTCAAGTTCTCTCGCCAAGGGAATCTCGGGAATTGCCCTTTGATCGAGTCCTCGGAGATTTGTCACTGCCACCGGCTGTACTATACGCGGATGTTTCGGCCCCCATGTTCAAGGAATTTCATGAGATATTAAGCGATATGGCAAAACAAGGACAAATTTCGTACCGTGTGCGTTATCGACCTCCTCAGCATTGGACCTCTCGCCCATTGTTCGTTTCTGGATACGGCGTGGAGCTTGCTTTAAAACGAACCGATTATATTGTGATTGATGACCGCGATGCCGAGAAGCGGGGTGGAAGCCTGGAGGAAGCTGCTCCGGATGTCCTAAAGGAAGATGCGCCGACCGATCTGCGACCTCTCTCTTCATCCGAGGTCTCCAGGTTGGGATTAAATGCCGCAGCCTTTGTTATGGACAGCGAGGACCCCTTGAACACTTTGCTAAAGCTGTCACAAAATTTCCCTAAGCATTCCTCTACGGTGGCTGCTCACAATGCTTCGAAAGATCTCTTGAACGAAATTCGCTTTAACCGAGCGAGAATGATCCCGGCGGGATATAATGCGATGTGGATCAACGGTGTTCAAATCGACTCGCGCCAGATTGATGCATTCTCCCTTCTAGATATCCTCCGCCGCGAGAGGAAATTGATCCAAAAATTCCGTGATCTCGGTATCTCTGGCCGGGATGCAGTCAGACTCTTGTCTCATCCAGCTCTTGCAGAGGCACGTGCGGATGACGAAGCCCAGCGATATGACTACCGTGATGAACTGGAAGGTGGCGAGGTCATTATTTGGCTGAACGATCTTGAGAATGATTCTCAATACGAAGATTGGCCAGATAATCTTGAGGCTGTATGTTCAAGACCTATAATCTTTCTGGAGCACGGCTAATTATCGACAGTTCATCTCCAATGCTTACCCAGGACAAATTCCGCCGGTTGCCCGCGATTTGCACAATGTAGTTGTACCTCTTGATTTGTCGGATCCTGAAGACATGCTGCTGGTTGTCAGACAACTCCAGACGTTTGTCAAGCGCTTGATCCCGGTCCGATTCGGATTAGTCCCTATGGCTTCGTCATCAGAGTCTACCGCCCAAATGAAAGTAGCGCACTATCTGTATGAAACATTTGGACTGTCGTCTTTCATACAGTATCTGGAAGAGGTTGGTCGGCTGGTATTTCGAATCATCCTCCAACTACAAAACTAACCAATATGTCGCTAGTCTGTGTCCACGGCGAGGGGCGGCAATCCGGACAAGGCAGCCTTTACTTCTGCGACTCGGGGCCAAGACCCCCGAGAAGAGAAGGAGGCTCTTTCATTAGAAGAAGTCCTGAAAAGTGAACGCTACGAAGCTATTGCCACCACAACAATCAAATACCAGCGTCGATTGAGCCTCAGCATCGAAACTCCTAATATATTAGTCAACGGCATTCCCATGACTCGTGAAGGCAACTGGATGCAGGAAATGAGTATGCTGATCGGCCGCGATCTTAAGCTTGTCCGACAGGGAATCATGGAGGGTGTTTTCGCTCCCGATGCTTGGCTGCCGGAATTCTTTTTGGCTGCTTCATTTGAAAGACGCAACACGTTCCTGATGCCAGAAGATCCTAAGAGCGTCCGGATTGTCGACCTCGCTGACGCACTGGGATCGCAAGCGGACGTCCTTGATCAATTACCTCAAATTCCAGCAAAAGATGGCTCACGGGATGGTATTCATCTCATTGTCGTTGGTGACTTCGAGTCGAAAGAAGGAAGACAATTGCTTTCCGATGCATTGACCTTCCAGAAGGATAATAAGCAGGTTGAGATTCTCCTAGTCTCTAATGGTGCCTCGGATGCTGAGCAAAACAGTCCTCTTTTGGAGAAGGTTTACCAATCAATGATAAAGGGTGAGGACATTGACCAAACTCTAGCTCTCGTCAACGCCTTTGAAAACGCAGAAACCGATGTTTCTGAGTCAGAAACCCAAGGTAATCTTGGACTCCACCGACGCCTTGCCCAAAAACTTGGATTCGAGCCTGGCGTCGAGGGTTTAGTCGTCAACGGCCGGGTTGTTGGCCCCATTGATAAAGAAGATGGCTTGACTATCGATGAGATTGACCAGCTGATCAACTATGAGCGGACGAAACGTGTTGATGCTGTTACAAAGGCTGCCATGAACCTGGGCCTGAACATGCGGATCTCCAAACCTCTTGACCTTGCCAAGCTCTCTGCGCTTGTTTCTCTATCCACCGTCTCAGATGTTCCGGAAGGGATTTTTGAGTCCACCCCTGACTTCAGAATGGATCTGTCTGAAAAGTGGAAGATCGACCACTCTGTGATTACAGTCTCTAACTCTGAAGACCCCGTGATCAACATTGTTGCTTCTTTGGATCCAGCTTCCGAAAATGCTCAACGATGGCTACCCATCCTCAAGGTTCTCTCCGAACTAGCCGGTGTCAAGCTCAAGATCTTCCTTAATGCCAAAGAGGAGATGAAGGAGATCCCTGTCAAGCGATTTTATCGCTATGTGCTCGATTCTGAGCCTTTGTTTACCAGTGACGGCTCAATTTCACGCCCTGGGGCATCGTTTTCCGGTGTACCTGTCGAAGCCTTGCTTACACTGGGAATGGATGTCCCCTCTTCGTGGCTCGTTGCTCCGAAGGATTCTATTCACGATCTGGATAACATCAAGCTGGGCTCACTCAAGGACGGCTCCAACGTCGATGCAATCTATGAATTGGAGCATATCCTTATTGAAGGCCACTCTCGCGATCTGACTACCAATTCGCCGCCACGAGGAGTGCAACTCGTCCTGGGAACAGAAAATAGACATCATTTCGCCGATACCATCATCATGGCCAACTTGGGTTACTTCCAGTTCAAGGCGCAGCCAGGTCTATGGCAGATTAACCTTAAGCCCGGCCGAAGCGAGAAGCTCTTCAAGATCGACAGTGTCGGTGGCCTTGGCTACCGCCCCCAACTCGGCGATGAGAACAATGAAGTGACCCTCCTCTCCTTCCAAGGTCGAACGCTTTTCCCCCGTCTCTCCCGCAAGCCAGGCTACGAAGACGAAGACGTTCTAGACGATGGACCTCGCTCTGGTTCAGCCATGGATTTCGTATCCAAGGGCCTCAACTTTGCCTCTGGTGTTCTTTCTAACGTGGGCGTAGGCTCCAAAAACGAACATGCCGATATCAACATTTTCTCTGTCGCTAGCGGCCACTTGTACGAACGCATGCTAAATATTATGATGGTGTCGGTCATGAAGAACACCAAGCACACCGTCAAATTCTGGTTCATTGAGCAGTTCCTCTCGCCCTCCTTCCGTGCTTTCCTTCCTCACCTTGCCGCCGAATATGGCTTCTCCTATGAGATGGTCACTTACAAATGGCCGCACTGGCTTCGCGAACAGCGTGAGAAGCAGCGTGAAATTTGGGGCTACAAGATGCTTTTCCTAGACGTTTTGTTCCCGCTTTCCCTCGACAAAGTCATCTTCGTGGATGCAGACCAGATTGTTCGCACGGACATGTATGATCTTGTTAACCACGACCTACAGGGTGCGCCATACGGCTTCACGCCAATGGGCGACTCTCGAACCGAGATGGAAGGTTTCCGATTCTGGAAGCAAGGCTATTGGAAAACATTCCTGCGCGACAGACCATACCACATCTCGGCGCTGTATGTCGTTGATCTGAAACGCTTCCGTGCGATTGCGGCGGGCGATCGTTTGCGTGGCCAGTACCAGATGCTCTCGGCTGATCCTAACAGCTTAAGCAACTTGGACCAAGATCTTCCGAATAACATGCAACATCACATCCCTATCCACAGTCTACCACAGGAGTGGCTGTGGTGTGAGACTTGGTGTTCCGATGAGGATCTTGCCACGGCCCGTACTATCGACCTGTGCAACAACCCGCAGACTAAAGAGCCGAAGCTTGCGCGTGCTAGACGACAGGTTCCCGAGTGGACAGTCTATGATGACGAGATTGCTGCAGTGGCGAAGCGCGTTGATGCGGAGCAGGTTAGATTTGTGCAGACGGGCGAGGAGGTGGACCGAAAGGAGGATGTCGAAGAGAAGGAAGTGGATGAAGACCGCAAGGATGAACTATAGACGTGTTTTCTTCTACTACCATATGTATAAGAACCTCAAATTTACAGACTTGATTATAATCCATTCATCACTGTAGACGGTAGTACATAGTTGCGGTTTGGTCTATCGAATTACCTCCCTATTCGTAAATACCCCAGTCGGTTATCTATTATCATCCTTCCATTTTGATTCGGCCATGATCGTCAAGATCAGACATATCTGAATCATTATCAGAGCCGGCCTGCGACTGGACTGAAGATGCTTGCTTGTATTGAGTGTGGTTGTCGATGTCGGCCTTATTGACCGCAGATGTCCTCTTTTCCTTCAATGATTTCCTGCGTTTCTTTTCCTGCTTGCGTACCTCTTTTGCCCTCGCTGGAGTGAGCCCCTCGGCCTCGGCAAGCTCTTCTATTTCCCTCGCCTTATTCTGCCTCTTTTTTTGCTTCTTCTCGGATGCTGACTTGGATCGTTGAGTGGTGGGAGAAGAATGCCCATCGTCATCATCCTCGGACGAAGAGGCTTCTTCCTCGACCCGCTTTTGAGTTGGAGATTCGCTGTGGTCACCGGATACTGGTTGCGATCCTAGATCTGCTTCAGGAGCGGACTCGGTTGTAGCCCTAGTTTCCTGGGCAGCCTGTGTTGACTCATTTCCCTCGTCGTCACTCTCCTCGACGTATTCCTTGCTCTTTGGAGTCTTTGGAGTGCTGGGCTTTTCACTCCCCCTTGAGTGCCTTGGATCAAAGACAGCATTTGGGTCGGAAGTGGCCCGTGTTTCCAGAACGAGCTTTCGAATCTTGCGCCATCTGTCGGCGCATTGCTGGCGGGACCGAGTGTTGTTCAATTGATCACTAATCTTGCCCCACGGAACAAGTTTATCGTCCATTTCATACACATCAGAAGACATGTCTAGCTTTTCGGAACTTTCGCTGACCTGTATCAGGTATCGAAGCAGGTCTCGCAGTTCCTGCTCACTCCACGGTCCATGATTCATAGTCGTGCGGTGTTCGAGGCGATTCTTCCACCGTTGTGTAACATCATCGGAGCTACGGCCGAGGAGCTTGGCGATCAAAGTGTACTTTGTTCCATGTTTAGCGCGCAACTGGATAAGTTCTTCGTCTTGTTCCGCAGTCCACTCATGTGGTTTCTGATCGGAGTCCTGGAAATGTCTGCGCATGAAGCGATAGACTGATCGGCGGTCCCGATCGGGCATAAGTTCATAGATGGAAGACCAGAACTCGCTTTTGGTACAAAGGTCGGTTGGGCAGGGGAAGTCTTCGCCCTCGCGCTCGGAATGTTGCACCATCGCGTCGAATTCCCGTGCTTCGACCCCGTGGAGATTGCAAAAGTCGACCTTGTATTTCTCCACGGCTCGAATTTCATCCTCCTCATAGACTCCAATTTTCTTCCCGGTTTTACCAGCGAAACGCGCTTTGCGGGGCTTCTTTTCTTTACCTGGAGTGCCGTTGGGTCCCTGATTGGGTGTCTCTTCAGGCGCCGGAGCGGCAGAGTCATCTGCATGGAAACCGTCCAGTTGTGTGATGATGGGCTTTTGATCCACTTCCGGTTCGATGAGGAGAGTCGTGCCATTTACAAGATCATCTCTGTCATGATGCTTGTTCTTCTTGCTTTTCCGGCCGGGCTCAGACTCGCGCTTTCGCTTCGAAGAGGACTTGGCGCCATTGGTCGAAGTTGGATCGGAAGTATCTTTGCTCTTGTTCTTGTTCTTTTGCTTGTGCGTCTTCTTGTGTTTCGGTTTATCGTCGGTCATTGCGACTTGCGCATTGGGCGATCGGGCGTCTGGAAGCAATCAGAACCAAAATGATATGGTAAAATCAGGCGAGAGCGCGTCGCATATGCATGAGCTTACCAGAGGTATGCGAATAGGAGTTTTCGGGTTGGGGCAAACTTGGTCTTGCCATCTTTTTTTTCGCGGTCAAAAAACGGAGTGGAGTGCTGCTGCAATCTACTCTCCAAATTTTGACGCGGACCCAGGCAGAATTCCTCGCCGCCCCAGTACCTGAAGCCGCATTCCGGAAATTTGACCGGCAGAAAAAAAGAGGAATGCTTACGAGTATGGTTCCATGTACTAATATCTATAATTATGAGTTATCGTATGGATAGATGATTATTTAAGTCTATTACAATTTACCGAAGTGCCTCACGAATTGATTATTGAATAATAACAAGGTCTCATGGATGAAAGATTGTATGTTTGTTGGCCTATAGTGTAAAAGACAGGTTAGGGTGGGCGGAAGAGATAGCGGTGTATACATGCAAAGGCCATCCCAAAGGCCGTCTGCATGTACCCGGAGAGAGTACTAGTACGAGGCAGTAAGTATCACGGAAAAACTTGAACATACATCCATAGGACCTCGTTGACCTTGGAATGGCTGAATTCATGAGATTCTTTACCCGCTGGGAAATGGTACGATACTTCTAGTAAAGAATAGTGTGTTATCAACTTAAATTTATTGCTTCTCCCTAAAAAATACTATGTTCCTTAATCTGAGTTAGAGGAGGAAATTGAAGGGAGTAACGCTAAAACATAATAATTCATGGCTCATATAAAGTCTATGTATTGCACCGCGGCGTGAGCTGCCCGGCCGACTTTCATGCAACTTGCATATAGCTCCGGTTCGAATGCTCTCAATGTGTGGGTCCAAATCTCCTTTTGACAATGGACACATTCAAGAGTGATAGCAAAGCTCAGGGTGAACTGCGAGAGGCCAAGAGTATCCAGAGCGGCGGGAATATTGTAGCTTTGCTTGTTGATTGCAAACCGGCGAGTTTTTGATTGCCGCTGTTTTCTCATGGAGATTGGCCGGTGAAGGTATGGAAAGCGGTGTCGAGACCGCAACATTTCAAGCCCAAAGGAAGGAGGGGACTTCATCTGTTCCCCTGTAGACAAACGTCAGCTTGGGGCTATCAGGAAATAAGCTTCATCTCCCGAAGAACCCTAGTGACTAATTTCTTCTGGTCCATCGTATTCAAGTTTTTGTCGTCGGTGGTTTGAAGGCACCGTCCGACCGCGATGGTAGATTTGACAGCATTTTCACCCGCTGCTGAGCAGTCAATCCAGACTTTTCCGTTACGGCCAACGGCGATCTCAAAGCCACCGAGGCTTTCTAATTTCTTTCCAAGCTCAGCAAGAACCACAAGCCCATCGATGGCATCACCGTGGTCTGCGGAGGAGGAGCTCGCACGAATTAACCGCGCCGAAAATCCCGTGGAGATATCAAAGACCATGCCACCAGTAAGCGGACCGAGACCACCCGGCTCGGCCTTGCCGGTCGCCGGGTTGACACAGGTGATCTCGATTTCGGCACCTGCGCCAACACCCACTGACGAAACTCGCGCGTACACCAGATCGCCACCCTTCAACATGGGCCGAGTTTTCTTGGTGGCGCCTTCGAAGGAGAGTTGACCTAATAGAGCTTGTGCTGTGTGTGGGGTCACAATGCAATGAAAGTAATCGATGCTGGAGTGGTGAACCTGTGCGATGACAAGGTCATTGGTCGTAGGAATATATCGGCGGTTGGAGAAGGATTGAAGAGAAACAGTGTTTCGCTTAGCATCGGTCGTCAGAATGCCAGCTTGTGTTGCTGTGAGGACATGGTTCGACGCTGCTGGCTTCGCTGAGGGCTGCGACAGAAGACGAACGCCTGATCCTAGCTTGAGAGGATTGTTTTTGATGGATGGGAGGTGGCTACTGGGCACCTCATCACCAGGGAGCAGGATTAGGGGCGTAGACATGGCGTAAATAGCCGTTAAAAAAAAGGCTCCAGGTCTGTTGGAAATAGACGACTTGAGTATTGAAGCGATCAGGATATTAAGCGCAAAGAAAACGTATTGCTTATCAGCACGTGACACATATTGCCGCCCGCGGTAAAGGCCCCTGGTCAGCCTAACTACCTTTACCACAAAGACATGGGATCTAGGAATCAGAAGGTAATACCTAACTATAAAGATTCAGAAGCTAAATCTTCCAATTGGAAGATCGAGATCGAAGTATATATAGAGCAAAAAATTAGAACTTCGTCAGTTCGTAATACATATTGTGGTAACCTTGAAAAATCCCATTAACGACTGCCTGTGGTTGGTTGTACCGCCACACTGCTATCGATAAGCACTAGCCACGCTTCCGCCGAAAATCTTCAAATTTTTCGATTTGGCTTCCCCCGCTATTAAGACATTCACCCCTTCGTCGGACACTTTCCCCCCCGACTATTCTCCCTCACACACTGTGTCGTGGAAATTCCTTTTTAATTTCTTTTAACGAATTTTCTCTTTCACATTAAAAATGGGTGACGCAGCCAACGGTGTCGCCGCTCAGGCGGAGCGCTTTGCTATCGGTATCTCCTTTGGCAACTCCTACAGTTCAATTGCTCGCATTTCTGCTGTACGTCGAATCGCTCTATCTCTGTTCAAGACCAATCGCTGATATTTGAAATATATAGGATGGCAAGGCTGAGGTCATCGCTAACGAGGAGGGTGGTATGTTCTCTTGTCCCCCGCATATCTACACCGAATCATTTCAAACTGACCCTGTTAGACCGTCAAATCCCTTCCGTTCTTTCCTACATCGAGGGCGAGGAGTACCACGGTACTCAGGCCAAGTCCCAGCTCATTCGCAACTCCGGCAACACCGTCGCATACTTCCGGGATTTCCTGGGCAAGGACTTCAAGTCCATCGACCCGACCCCATGCCACGCCTCTGCCCACCCCCAGCAGAGCGAGTCGACCATTGCTTTCTCCATCCGTGACACCCCTAGCGAGACCCCTAACTCTGCGACCGTTTCTGAGATCACCACCCGCCACCTTCGTCGTCTCAAGCAGTCCGCCACTGACTTCCTGGGCAAGGAGGTCAATGCGGCCGTTATCACCGTCCCCACCAACTTCGCCGATGCCCAGCGTGAGGCTCTCGTCGCCGCCGCTAAGGCTGCCGGAATTGATGTCCTCCAACTCATCCACGAGCCCGTTGCTGCCGTCATGGCCTACGATGCCCGCCCTGAGGCCACTGTTACCGACAAGCTGACTGTTGTGGCTGACCTGGGCGGTACCCGCTCTGATGTTGCCGTTGTTGCCTGCCGCGGTGGCATTTACACCATCCTGGCTACTGCCCACGACTATGAGCTGGGTGGGGCCTCTCTGGACCAGATCATCATCGACCACTTCGCCAAGGAGTTCTTGAAGAAGCACAAGATCGACCCCCGCGAAGATGCCCGTGGCCTGGCCAAGCTCAAGCTGGAGGGTGAGGCTACCCGCAAGGCTCTCAGCCTGAGCTCCAACGCTCAGCTCAGCGTCGAGTCCCTCGCCAACGGCATTGACTTCGGCTCCACCGTTAACCGTACCCGATTCGAGCTGCTCTCCGGCAAGGTCTTCGGCCAGTTCACCCGTCTGATTGAGCAGGTCGTGAAGAAGGCCGATCTCGATGTTCTGGACATTGATGAGGTATGCGAAATAGCTAAAATTTTTAAGAACCTTGATTGATATTAATATTTCCGTAGGTCATCTTCTCCGGCGGTGCTTCCCACACCCCCAAGATCGCCCAGCTTGCTCGCAACATCTTCCCCGAGAAGACCGCCATCTTGGCTCCCTCCACCCTCACGTCGGCGATCAACCCCTCCGAGCTGTCTGCCCGTGGTGCCGCTTTCCAGGCCTCTCTGGTCCAGGAGTTCGACCACGAGGACATCGAGCAGTCCATTCACCCCATGGTCACTGTTACTCCCCACCTGAGCAAGGCCATCGGCGTTGAGTTCACCTCTAGCACCGACACCACCTTCCAGCCCCTTCTCAATGCCGAGACAGCTCTTCCTGCCCGCCGCATTGCTCAGTACGTTGCCCCCAAGGAGGGTGGCGATGTACTTGTCCGTGTGTGCGAGGGTGCCCGCGACATCAAGGTCACTAAGCCTGAGCCCAAGGCCAAGGAGGAGAAGCCCGCTGACGACGAGGACTCTGACTTCTCTGATGAGGATGACGAGGAGGAGGATGTCCGTGAGATCGTCTGGAAGACCGAGAAGCCCGTTGCCGAGCTCGCCGTCAAGGGTGTCAAGGCCGGCGCCAAGGTCGAGGTCATGGTCCACGTCAACCCCGACCTGGGTCTCCAGATCGCCGTGCGCGAGGTCGGTGGCTCTACTGCCGTCCGTGGTGCCATCAACGGCTCCGCTTAAATGACACCCCCCTAAAAAAACCGATCTCTTTATGGTGTGATGATGCATGCATGACTGATAGAGGCTGTGCTTTTGTTTCTCCTTTTTCCCCTTTTGTCTACCCGTCATTATCTTTTTGGAGTCATCTATTTCTTCGAGTTTTGCAAATATTTATAGACTCACAACTGGAAGTAACCAATTAAGATATTTTCCACATGTTCAAGTATTTGATCCACGGTCCTTAGCTCCCGATTTCAGCCTTGTCACCCCAAGGGCTCGATGACGAACACCCTCGGGTTCCTAGATTGTTTCCAAACTGCTCTGCTTTTTCGTCTACGCTATAACGAAATTTCAGTTTCGGCAGTAAGTGTTGCCGAGTAGAAAGGCTGATTTGCTGAGGTCAACTAGAAATTATATTACAACTAGATTAAATAGATAGAACGGACATCGGACTCCAAAAATCCGTGAAACAATTGTAACATGAGCTCGTCAACAATTCATTGACCAAAAAAAAAGAAAAACCAGGCTAGTAGTGCCATCACCATAATGGCATGCGGCATCGATAGGCAGGTATTGCAGTAGCGATCGTAGATTTTCGTAACAGCATAAAGGAGCGTGAGGATGAAGGTGAGGCGGTGCTTCATTCAGAAATCCAATGATCACTGAAACATATCGTAAACAAGGCAAAGACAAGGCGAGAGAAATCGCCCAGAGAATCGGCACTCGAAGGGATATCAGCGCAGTGCAAAATCGTGTACGGCGAGAAAGAGAAGACGGGACGTTGAATAGATCGAGGGTATCAACGTGCGTGGTTGGCGTCAGGTTAGTCGCTTCTTTGTAACAAATGAAGCAACTTTTGTTTAAGCGACGGAGTGGGAACCTACAACTCCGGCCTGGGGATGTGCACATACGCTTAAGCAGCTCCGGTGGCGTAGGATTCCTTTTCCTTCTTCTGGCTTCGCACACTGTTGGATCGGGCGGAGTTGAAGAATCCGCGACGGCGCTCCTTGCGCCCACTGTAGCCATCGTCCTTGCGGCCAACCGCACCGCCGAGGCAGTACATCAGGCAAGAGAGAAACAGACAGACGCTCGCAGTCCACATGAAAGCGAAAGCCTTGACACCGAGCTTGGAGCCTTGGCCATTGCTCGTGAAGCCATCCCGGGCCTGCACAAAGACAGCACTAGATACAGAGTCAGCATGGAAGGTTGGAAATTGTAGTTGATGGGGAATTGAAGCATACGTCATGAGGCAGGTAGTAATGACCTGGAAGGTCAATGCGAGCCAGGCGACAAATCCAGAGATATAGCTACCAATACGTGTGCACATGGCCAGAAAGCCAGTGAAAAGAGAAACCACGGCGAAGAACAGACCAATAATAATAAAGGGGAACATGAAGCGAGTCATCAGGAAGTAGTGACTTGTGCTATAGGGGTCATAAGGTGTCAGCGGAAAATCTCACCACGGGTAAAGCTGTTCATTTGACCTACCCAATAAATCGCGAAGGCACATTATCCGTGGTATTGAAGTTGCGGTGGCTTGGAGGGTCGAATGGGAAGGCTGGGTGCGAACTGCCACAGTCATTCTTACCACCATCTGTCACTCCGCATAGACTCCAGAAGGTCCAGCGCGAGAGAGGGGGTGCGCCTGGGATATTGCCCGTATCGGCTTGAAGGAAGTACACCTCATTGAGCGGAATGGAGTTGCGCGCGCCCGCCAGTAGTGTAAGGAAGATTAATAGAATCGCGCCGGCCATGAAAAACAGGCCCAAGAAGCCCAATGACGCTCCTGCAGAAAAAAGTGAATTAGTTTACGAGGAAGCTTTTCGGAAGACATCGATTCTTGATCGGGAACTGTTCACACGTACTGCTGAGGCCCATTGTGATCGATCTCTGAATTAGAGTCTTTGTAAATTGAGGGAGGTAGTTCTTTTTTCTTTCTTTGTTAGTGTGTGCAATAGCTTCAAAATTGGCGCCCAGAGGGATTGTTTTGATGCCCGAAGTTCCAATGGATTGAGATGAGGTGATGAAGCTGTGGGAGGGTCGAGGATCAAGGAGGGAGATAATCCAAGGGGAAGAAATGGAAGCTCGAAGGTAGAAAAGTACTGCAAGATGAGCCAGGCAGCCGGCGTATCCGGGCGAACCCTCTTCCCTCTGCCTGATATAAGGACAGCTCCTCATAGATCACAAATCGTGAGGATCATCGACGTCATGCTTGCACCTGATCGGCTAGCTGTTCTGGGTTAGCGTGCACTCTAACTCGACGCTAGTCCCCGCAAAGGTTAGCCTCCCTTCGTCCATGACGAGCATTGGCTCGGTCACCTCACAACTCACGCCCACCGACGTTGCAGCTCCCCTCTGGACTTCCCCCATGGTGCAGCTGCAAGCCCCATCAGTGACGTGGATCAAAACTCTTTTGCCTTGCCCTTGCTCGTGTCGAAATCTTGATCCCGTGTAAGGTTAGTTCTCTTCACGTTGCTTCCTATTACCGCCTTACCGCACCGCACCGCCATGGCGACTTGGGCATATCCCCCACTGCCGCCCGACCGGTTGAACCGAGAGGCGGATTCCGCATTGGTACGTTGAAGAAAAGTGGCCCTTCTCAAAACCTGCGGCGATCTACAATTCTCGGCCCTGGTTGGCCCTCACAGAATCAAAGAAGGATCGCCTCAAGGATCAGACCATCCCGGTGGAGCTGTTGGCCAACTTCCTCATTTTTTAGGCTCGGGAGCTTCAGTGGCTACTGCAATCGCTACAGGAATCGCTCTCCTCTTTGAAGGAAGGTCTCCAAGAGTGCGCCGCCCTCCTCGCGCCCCAGGAACCAGGGTCAACCCTGGTCCTCTCCTCAGTACGATCTGAAAATGTCAAGGGCTTTGTGACACGGGTTGGGACGAAGCTAGTCAAAGGAGTAGGTCTATCTTTCCTTCGCAGTGCCAGTTCGGCCGTATGCTAAAATAATCTTGCTATCAAACAGGATGTTCAGCTCCGACTACAATCACTACCCCCTCCACGCGGTTCCCCTAGCACCCGCCTGACCCTCTCACAATCCCCCGAGGCTCCCGATTTGGTACTTCAACAGCTCGTGTCGGTCCGAAACCTAGTCAATCAGAGCTTGGATATTGTCGACGTGAGCACATATACGGGGGACCCCCACGATGCAGGGTTTATCTTCAGTCAGCTGCATCTCTTGCACGAAACCATCAACGAAGCGCGGCAGATGCTGAAGGGCGACGGGAACGTGCGGGGCAACTGGTGGGAGACTAGTGTCTCTGATAATGTAGGTTCATCCCTTCATCCCTCGATATATGGTCGATTGTATGCCCTGAGAAACACCTAGCTAATGCATTTCCTACATGGCAGATGTTTGACCCTCCCCCCTCCACCCAACCTGTCATTTCACCTCTCCATTGCAGACTCTGCGTTAATTCTTCTGGTTCGTACACTTGAAAGCAATACCGTAGCGCAAGCTCCATCGGCATTCGCCTCAGACATCTCTTTGACCGGGTTCTCCCTGCGGGATCGACTATTTGGCAGTAAACAACGGGCGCATGACGAAGCAGGCGATGTGTTCATGTGGAAAGGTGACGAGGTTCACGTCCGAGAAAAGATCCGAGTTGAAAGTCAAGATCCTAGCCTCATGTCAGTGATGGCCAAATTGACGGCCCTAGAACATGAGGTGATGCGCTGGGTCGGCGCATTACGGGTGCTCATGGGCAACGACGACACGGAGAGCGAGGTCTAAGAAATCAACTTATAGATACCCATAGTGATTCCGGTTGGAGAATATATCCTAGATTATGTAGCCTTCGAAAAGGGGATCTACTCCATATTTTATTGGCTCTAATTATTACACCCTTCCTGTTCAACTGTATTTCTGCCCATTCTACTCACGGCATGATGTGCTGCACTTTGTTCCCGCATTATATCGTTCATGAGAAATGTAATACTACCCAGTCACCTTGCAAGCCCCTTCCCAATGAATGCGCCGATACATTGTATGTTCCCAATAGACTCGCGGCTAAGATTAAGCTTACTAGTAATTGCACGCACCTGAGGTTGGCCCGACATCACTTGCTCCGTAATGACGCTCCACTTGGCAATCTAATTTGGTAGTATTTCTTTCTCCAGCACAACCTGTTCCCCGATTTGAGTATGCTTTCAAATGATGTTGTTGAAATTTAGCAAAAGGGCAATCGTGATGTGACCGCAGTCACATAGCTTCAAAAAGAAATATGTACAGCACTGTACATAGATCGGCATGATTAGCTGGCCAACTTTTACGTCATCCCCCCTTCGCCACCACACTGGCACCAAACAAGATAAGTAGGGTCCATCGTGGGGTTGGAGGTACTCGCATTAAATACAGCTACGAAGCCCATCTTATGGGGAGACTTAATACCAAACAACTATGTCTGGAATCCTTCGCGTAGACCCTCAGCCCTTGGAAAGTTTCGGCGATGGATATGAGAGAGGGTCTATCAAACAGCGCCAGAACTCGGAGAAGGCGCGCCAAATCGGAACACACACAGATGAGAAGAAGAGTGAGAATAAAGAACCCATTTAATGCCGGTACGAAAGTTGAATTGACTTAATATTAGGGGAAACCACTGCATGGCCAAAGTCAGCAAACTCGATGTATACGAAAGGAAGTGACTTGGAAAAAGAAGAGAGTCATCGGCTGAAACATACCACGGAGAACGATGAGCCGAATGGCCAAAGAAATGAACTCCCACAGGAGGGTGGACAGAAAGATAGAGCCAAAGAAGGCAATTAGTACGTGTTACAATAGCGCCAGGACTTGGTTCGGCTAACTAACTAAATGATAGACACGCTTAACTTAAATGGAGAGGATCAATTGAACGAGGGAAAGGATTTAATGAATTGAATTAAACGAATTGAAGTATGGCTTAGAAAAGCTACAGATATTCAATCACTCATGTTTTCTCGCCGACTGCCTTAGGCGATCGATGCGTGATCTCCTCCGTCTTGGAACTATGTATCACCATATCCTGCGTACAACTAATAGGCATCTCGGCTCAAAACCTCAGCCATATAGGTAAGATAATTTCAATCGCATATTTATACACCACCATAAAATCACTAGTACTACCCCAATCTCCTGCTTTGAAACAACCCTTTTGAATACTCGTATGTAACACTAGTATAAGTGGAGTCAACCGAATCCATCTGGATCTGCTGGCCGCCCGCTTGGCCAATCAGCAGGGAGCAGTTTGTGATGGCTTGGCATCAATTTTCTGGAGCTTCCGCCCGGCTCGGAATTTATTTCTAGTCTCCCATCTCAACTCAACCCCAGCTTTAGTCCAGCAAGATGTTGTCTGGCTCTTCAGCATCTAGAGCCAGTCACCCGCATGCGCGGCATCTGCTGCGCCCGCCAGTCTCGGGCCCAGCTGTATCGCGACCATCCCGCGAAGTTGTAGGTTGGATCGCGCCGCAGCAGAAACGAAGCTTTGCACAGAGAAGGTTACTGCCGAATGCACCTATGCCACTTCCATTCCAAACAAAGCGACACGGTTTCCCTCCCATCCAGTCAATGTCTGGACAGAGGCTTTCGTCTTCCACAGCCGCACCTCAACCCGAGTCGACAGAACCCGGCGGAACCGAAGCAATTAACGCCCTTATCGAGCGCATCAACGAGAATGAAGACCAGATGGCACAACTCATGGATGAGTTAGACTTGATGGAAGAGGCAGAAGACGCCGATGGGCTCGAAGAACCCCTTACTATTGATGGAGAGGAATACACTCTCGAGTCTTGGGTGCAGATGGTCCGTCAGCAGTTTGGAGATACTGTCCCTGATGGCGCTCTGAATGACGAGGAACTCCAGTTGTATACATCGCTGTATGGAGAGCCAAATATCAGGGAATTGGCAGACGAGGACATCCCGGAAGACGAGAATGACTCCGATCGCCTGTTCCGCGAGGATGGACAGGGCGGCTGGGAGGAGATCGAGTTTGAACAACCCGCGGAATCTCAAGATGATACTCCAGTTGTGTACGATATGGATGCGAGTCCGGTATTGGAGGAAACGATTGCCATGCAGCGAACACGGGAAGTGGCCGAGCAACTCGGCGGCGAGGTTATGATGGAACAGTTTGTGAATGAGGCGGTCCCTGACTCTGCTCCACGATCCCATCCCCTGACCCGTGAAGGAAAGTTTGAGACAGAGCCCGGCACAATCAACTTGCCGAAGAAGACTGTGACGGGTCCTATCTCTATAATCCTCTCGGAGTTTTCCAACAAACATATTGCCGATACTGCCCATCGCCTGTTCGGTGGCCCTGGCCTGCCTAATTCGACTACAACACCTCCCCCACGAGCACAATTACCCCAACTTCCCATTCCTATCAGTGCATCGCAGCACCACATGGGAGAAATGGAAGCCAACGCTTATCTTGCGGCCTTATACCCTGGTATATACGCTTCGGTACTCTGTGTTCTCGTGGAAGTTCGAAAGCGCTTGGGAACTGATTGGATCCGCAAACTCATTTCTCAGGAAGGTGGTCCAAATGTTCTTGATGCTAGTGGTGGTGGTGCCGGCATATTGGCCTGGAGGGATATCATTCGGGCAGAATATCAACTTATGGTTCCTGATCACCCTGAAGACGCACCCGTTCCTTACGGTCGCTCAACAGTATTGACCGGATCCGAGGCACTTCGTCTGCGTGCTAGTGCGATGCTTGATAACACGAGCTTCCTCCCCGGCTACCGGACTATCTTCATGTACGTGAGAAACCTACATTGGACGATTCGCGTGCTGCTCCCAAGCGAAAGCAGTACGATGTCATCATTGCGCCGCACTCCCTTCTTGGGTTTGAAGAGGACTACCAACGAAAGGAGTATGTAGAGAACCTGTGGCAACTCCTCAACCCGGATGGAGGTGTTCTCGTTCTGCTTGAGAAGGGCCGCCAGAAGGGTTTCGAATGCATCGCCGGTGCGCGTGAAATGCTACTCAAGCGCCACATTGCAAGCCCCAATTCGACCGAGTATGAGAATCCCCTTGACTCTCCCGACAGCAGTCGGACCGTTGAGAAGGAATCTGGTATGATTATTGCGCCCTGCACCAATCACTCGACGTGTCCCATGCACAACTCTGCGGGGCCCACAAAGGGCCGCAAAGACTATTGCCATTTTGAGCAACGATACATCCGACCCCCATTCTTACAACGCATAATGGGAGCCAAAGACCGCAACCATGAAGACATCAAATTCAGCTATATTGCAGTGCAAAGGGGTCAGGACTTGCGACAACAGCAAAATATTCAGCAGAATTCCGAGGTGACCGATGCGGCTTTCGAGGGATTTGAGCATCTTGATGAACCAACTAGCCCATTCCACCCGCTTTCACTGCCTCGCGCAGTTTACCCGCCGTTGAAACGTCGAGGCCATGTCATTTTTGACCTCTGCACACCGGCCGGAAAGATTGAGCGCTGGACTGTGCCCCGCTCTTACAGCCGTCAGGCGTATCGTGATGCGCGCAAGTCGCACTGGGGTGATTTGTGGGCACTGGGGGCCAAGACTCGCATTCCCGCAAATTGAACCTGGGCGAGAAACACGGTGAAGGCAAGAAGGAGCGTCTGGCTCGCCGGGCAGCAGATAAGGCTGCTTCTCGAGAGGTGGATGAAGAAGGAGACCTGGAGCGTGACGAGGAAGATGATGAATACCTCGATGAAGACGATGATCTATCGGACATCCCTGATATCCCTAAGCGGAATAAGGGGCAAAATATCCCAAGCTGGAAGAAGCATAATGATAAGAAGAAGCTTCGACAGGCGTACAAGCGCCGTGCGACCGCTGAGGACGCAGAATAAGCATGTTGCGAGGTTGGATCTTCTTTAACCTTATCAGCAGAAGGACATGTCATTGACCGGCGTTCATATTTGACTCTTAGATCATAGGCTTGTGATCTTGTAACATTACTAACAAACACCACGGGGCGGGCACTGACAATGGGGTCAGAGTTTCTGTACAATATTTGATGATCTTCGCACCAGACTACTACTGTAAATAATGTCTCTTCACTCAAGGCCAAGTGTAATCTCGCTCCAATAACTAGCAGTGCTAATAATAAATTTTCAAACTCTCGACCCATCATGATGGAATCGCTTTGTAATATAGGCTTTTACTGGGCACGTCTAGTTTCCTTGCCTGAAAAACCCAACCGGATCTCAGGGTCGGTTAACTTGGATTTGCACCGAAGATGAAACAACCGCCTCAGCAATCTAAATGATTCTGGGAGGAATTTTGATAACAGAGAAATTTCCATGCAATTGAAAAACGGAACTAAATAGAGTCTTAGCAAACGGAAGAACAGGAACAGGAACTTGGAAGAACTTGAAGGCTTGATAGTCCAAAATGCCATATCAGAACGGTGTTATACCTCTCTATTTGCACATTGGGCAGGCGGCCCTCTGCATCAACCACTCTACAATACAATCCGTGTGATACCTGTGTTTGCAAGCCAACTCAGCAAATATGCGACCTGGCCCAAAAGCCGTCTGACAGATTGGAAATGCCAATTGATTATCTGGATATCCTGCAGTCAGCGAGACCCGGCTCAGCTTTCTCCATATGACTGGGGTGTTCCGTGGTGCTTCGGTATCTTGATTTCGACTTGCGCGATCCCATTGAATGATACTTATCTCCAAACTCATAAGAAAAACCTCAGAATGCGTATCTATTGTCGCCCGCGTGGTGGCGTGCTCTTCTGATATCACAGTCTCGGCACCGGCCGAGTCTAAAAAGTTATCGATACTCAAGTAAATCATGTAGAGCAATGCATGAGTGGGAGGATACTCTATCCACAGAATTTTGGAGTCAGTGTCTCTAAGAGACCAGTGCCAATAAATTAGGGCATCATGGTCAACCTCATATGGTTGACTATGTTCAAGGACTAAATCTTCATCCCTATTGATATGATCCAAGATAAAATCTTGGTGAAGTCGGTCCTGTACACGAATGGCCTGTTCCCATCGTATAATAGCTATCTGCAATCGGTGAAAAAGGCGGCGAGTCTCTTCCATTGTAGACCCATCTAGTCGTACTAGTATATCGGATACTAGTAGAAGTCTCTCTATACCTCTGCAGAAGCTCAAAGCCAACACGGAATCTGGATGGAGGCTCATGATAGAATCCTGACATATCAAGCCGAAGTGAGTGTAAATAATATTTATGCTGAATAATTTGATACCCTTATTTTGGATGCGAAGAGAACGATACGAGCGGGGATAGCTATATTTATTCTTTTTCTGAGTATTGGACAACAGAAATAGACAAGAGTAATTTCTTTGTCCCATCTTTCTAGCTCGTATGATTCTCCCAACAAAAATGAGTTCAGCGCAATGTGAATGAGATGTAAAATTGTATTGATTCAGAGCCCAACGAATCCGGAATCGTGATGTACTTGAAAGGGTATGGTTGCGATGTTCAGTGTTCGCTGTAGAGAATAGCCGGGCGGAGGTAGCAAATGCTGCTTCAATGCTTGGAGGGTGTGCCACTGACGGAGACGCCCATTCTAGGACTGACAGGCTCCACAGTTCCGAGACAGAGAGCTGAAAAAACGCCCATCGCAATGGTGCGCAATAGACCAAATGCCGGAATGTACACCCAGCTTGATTTTTTAATCAAGTTGGCATAGTTCGAGCTGCAAAACGCTGCATAAGCTGAACGGGGTTGGACTGTGGGCTCATTACCATCCATGCGATCTTGAAGATTTCGCATAACATTGAAGGATAGAGTACAATGCCTCTCCTCTCAGAAGACCACGAGAGATGTATTCCAGGCGGCTCTTCAATTGAGACAGTCGGGCCAAATTGGTTTAATTGAAGTTTCCCAGGTGGCGGTCCGGTCTTTGGTGGCAAAAGGGAAATCTTTAGAAACCCCCAAAGAACAGGCTTGAGCTTTGTCGTTTCTCGCGGGTGATGGGATAGGTGCAAGTCAATCATGTCTCATCTTCATTGTGCGGCCATGCTCTTTCTCAGCTGGCGCTCACGCTGTGTGCTTTGCAACTCAAGTCGGTCAACAGCATACTTGAGACGTTCTTTCTTCTGCACAAGTCTGCGCAGCTCTGCTGCTTTGGAGGCAGCATTACCAGAACCCGCCAACTGACCCCGCGCATTGGTGCTGCTCTTGTTCTGATCCCGGGTGGCCGAAGATCGCCCTTCGGATCTTGAGGAAAGACGACCCTCCTGCAAGTCACATTTCGCTTTCAAACCTTCTTCGCGGCGTGACAGTCTTTCAACGTGGTTCGACGCTAGGGAGAGGAGGTGGGCAATACTCGGGGTGATTTCGTCAAGGAGAGACTGCTGAGCTTCGCGGAGGGTCGGTTCTGGGAGGAGCTCAAAGTGCTGCATTGAAGCTGGTTAGTCACGAATATATCCTTGTAGAAGCGCGTAACCCTATTCCTCATACCCGTGTTGTTTGGAGGACTTTGCACAAGCGGGGAAAATCATTGACGCCTGAGTCCAGGGTTGTGATTGAATTGTCGAGAAGTTGGAGCGATGACTGCAATGATGTGACCGATGCAGCGAGTGAGGAAGCCATGGTGCACGATATCGACAACGAAAAGGTGGGAGGTCAATAATTGCAGCCAGGTGTAACGTGCATTGTTTATGATTATGAGGGGGGAAACACACTCGGGTTAGATCGGTAAAGCAGCCACGGGTCCATACCCGAAACGGAATGGTGCGGACCGGGCAAACTCCCGCCAAACCTCACATCTCCTCTTCCTCCTGCACCACCTTAACCTCCCCCGCGAACACCGAATCCACCTCGCATTCGCACCGCCTCTCAATATGTCTCTCCTTGGAAAGAAGTTCCCCGGTCTCCTGGGTAAGTGACTGCACAAAATAGCCACGCCATGTCGCCGAGCAGCACGGTGAGAATGCGAGAACTCCAAGACTAACGCACCCGTTTATAGGCAAGCCCATGACTCCTTTCTTCGCCGCCGGTACGCTATCCATCTATTATTTATCCATGCCGTCATGACCCGGATCTGAATTGGAACTCAACATTCGATCTCTGGCCTTGACCGATGAACCCGCCCGTGAACCTACGTGAACCCCGTGTTCTAACAAGACTCCTTTCTAGGTGCCATCGTCCTGTACGGCGTCAACTCTCTGCAGAACGTTCTCTCCAACAGTAAGTGATCCCGTGGTCCTTTGAATACTCGTTTGGATTTTACCGGATACCCGCGCATGGAGACTCTTCTCGACTGTTATACTCGAAAAGCGAGCGGCCCGACAAAACCCTTTACTTACCATCGAAAATCAACAGCTGCCGAGTTCAAGAACGACCCTCGCAACCCCAACGCCAAGTCTGGTAACGCCGGCCACTAAATTATTGACCGATGTCGAAGCGCTGTGAGAAGCCACCTTGAGTGGCGTGAGTCGGGAGCAAATCGAGCCGATGCGACGGGCAAGGCGAATGAAGATATATTTGCACCTCGGTCACAGACCGCACTTGTTGTTTTTGAAGTTCGCGGGCAGTTTGCCCCTCTGTCCAAGCAAATAGAAGATACCCTGCTGGGTGACTTGGATCAATTCACAAGCTGTACCACTATTGCATTGCGCCTGTCGAGTGCCGGCCCCTTGAGTATGATTCTTCTTGGTTTGTCCGCTTACTGCTGTCCATCAGAATCTTCTGAGCCCAGTTTTATCGAGATACTGGTATTTCGAGCTTTGTAGATTGAGAATGTAGTCTTCCTTATGTCCGGCCACAATCCTAACACTTCAGGCTGAGGTCGTTTATACGGTTTATACGGGCTGAACCCCCCTACCCGTCGACTATCTAGAAAGATCGGAACCTGGAAGATATTCTCATATTTTTGTAAATCCCTACGCAGCCCTCCTTTATAGCTCAAGAGATGAAGGGTGAAATACTACGTACCTCTCTCTAGTCATGACTTCCGGACCATCGGCGTGGAAATCCTGATTGTACGCTAAACCCAATCAGGCAATCGTATCTTTTTGCCAACCACGCCGCTTCGACAGGGACTCTACCGTACTTCTCCAGATCGCCTGTCCTTTCTCCGACGAACAACCGCCAATATGTCGAAAATGGCGTCTATGTTCCGCCCTAAGAAGCTTGATCTCTCTGGGTTTGTCAACACCCGTTTAATCCGTGACCACAACAAGCGCAATGCCGTTGAACAGACCGAGCCCGAACGGTAAGCCACTCCGCGCATGACTGAAGGCTTGCTTTCTTCTCAGAATCCTTTCAAGGAAACCGATTAGCTTATCGTTGCTAACGTATTCTATTCTACCTTTCTAGCCAAGCGCTCCGCTACATGATCCGCAACACCAGTCTTCCCCAGCGAGTCCGCGCCCAGGCTCAGCTCCAGCTCTCCCAGATGCACGCCTACACCCGCCCAACCCAGATCAAGAACCGCTGTGTGGCCTCAGGAACTGCGCGTGCTGTCTTCCGTGACTTTAGAATCAACCGAGTGAGTGCCCCTTGCCGGAGTGGATGGTGTTCGTCCGTCAGTCTTGCTAACCCAGGCGTTTTACAGTTCCAATTCCGTATGCAGGCGCTTGCGGGTGAGCTTCCAGGAGTCAAGAAGGCCAGTTGGTAAGCTGGGGATGTGCGGGAGAACAATGTCAATATGAAAGTTTGGGTTGGCCGGGCTGTGCCATGGCGTTCTCGTCTTCGCTTCATTTGGAGCCTGTATAGTATGCAATACCATTAAAGATTTCTCTCTTTCTCTCTTTCAATTGGAGAAATAATCATCTTCACTTCTCATTTTTATGACTTCCGCTTTGAGGTGATAGCATATTCTCTCTTAGGGTTAGGTGACAGTTTGCTCTCATTCACAGCTTCCAACGCCAACCACAATCATTGAGGAAGGAGCGACTGCTTTGTGTCTCTTGCCTTCCACCACTACACATACACATACACATTCTCTCTCTCCCATTCCAGTGTGGCCCTCTCTCAATTTTCTTCTCAATTATCACACTCCACACTCACATCCAACACAATGTTCGTTTACCGGAACAAGGATCTCCCCAAGGATCCTTATTATCCCTCAGATCTAAAGAAGTTGGGGTAAGAACACATCCCACCTTACCACGGCCTCGCTTACAGATTGTTCATTCTTCAGGTACTTCGTCACCGAGAACGACCAAATCCGTAAGATCGGCGACCCAGAAGCGGGTTTCCAATACAAGATCAACCGAAATGACCGCTTCAACGTCAAAAGCCGCGAGGCAATGAATGGTACGACTGGGAGAATCTGCGTATGCGTATGATTCTGACTAATTTCTACAGATTGTATCCGCGAGTTGATAATCACACGTCTACATGACGCCGGGCTTGAAGATATGCGTTTGCCCCTTCGTGAAAAGGCCGATGGACAGATTGTTCAAAGTCGCCCCGACGAAGCACATGTGCCCATTATGGTATCTGGAAATCTCCGCACGGCCTCTCGCATCATCGTTGTGTTTGGAGAGCCGGTACAAGACTTCGGGGTCTGGGCTTACCGAATCATCGGCCAAGACAAAATCAACAAGGGCTCTGCCGTTGACTTTGCGAGAGCGGTCCTAGGAGAAGATGACAACAAAACAGGCAATGCACTCATTCTGGCAAACACTGGCCAGTTACTTTGGAATTGCCTCTACTCTCGTGCCGTGACAAATATCACCTGGGCTTCTCTTCCTCGTCCTGCCGGAAACTGGGGGCCACCAGCCATGAGTTGGCGCACCAAGATCCCCGGTAACAACGATTGGAGAGAACACATTCACCATGTCTTCAACAAGGTTCTTCGGCCGTGCATCCGTGAGAACACTCGCATTGATATTATCGGCGTGTCGGAGGGAGGGTTAGGCGCAATTGAATACCTTGAGGCCAACTGTAAGTGAAATATCCACTGGGAAAAACGGGCCAGTCTCAACTTCCTTCGTGCTAAATATGAGCTAGGGGAAACCTGGCGTCCTTTTATCTCCGGAATTTGCCTGGGTGATCCTCTCCAGAGCACTTCGGCCGATATTGACATGAGCACTTTGGCCGATCCGAAATCATTCACAGCCTTCCTGTCTGCTCGATGCCGGGGATACGTGATGTCCGATGAAGAATTGGGCACCCGCCATTCAGGCTATCGCTCGCATGGATGCAACTGTTACTCTTCGGGAGAGTCTTGCTACACTGAATGCATCCTCCCAAGTGCATGGCGTGACATGCTCCACTGGCTCGATATGCTTTACGAGGATCCTACTTACGAGGAACAAATCATGATCATCGGACGGGACCTGGATGAGAATATCAAGCAAGACCTGGATAAATTGAATGTGGCGAGTGAAGAGGATGAAGCTCCCAGGGCCACTCACGAGGACAGCCAAGAGGATGGAGGTGAGGGTGAAAAGGAAGATGAAAAGGAAGGTGAAAAGGATGCCCAACAGAACACTGGTGGGGCTGCAAAGGCACATGCGAAGAGATTTAGCTCTCTGGAGAAGATTACTGAGCAGTGCGAGGATGAGGACGAAGTGAGCGAGGAAAAACCCTAGGAATAGACCATCTAGCGGTCGATTCCCTCGGTAAGAGAACGGCCATCCTGATTCACCACGGTACCAATCTGGCAACAAACGAAAGGACAGGCTTTAGGAATGGATTTCCCGAACTAGGACTAGATAAGTGGATGGACAGTGGCAGTTGCTAATATCTGGAGATATGGGTTTAGGCCTTATGGTTGAAGGGGTATCGGGCATAAGGTAAGGTGTGGTGCAGATGGAAGTAGCAAGTATTTCCTTATTTTCTCAGAATATCTAGTCATGTTATCGATGTTCACTATTTTCCAAGCCCCTCAGGTCCTGCGGATCAGTAAATTTCTAATTTTCCTTTTGGTGGCATCTGCATTGGACTTTCAGTAGGGTTGCTGCCACGCTGTGTACCCAAGCATAACACCTGCACGATAAGGCTTCTCAATCTCATTGGCAAATATCAAACTTTCAATGGAAGTCCCCTGCGGACTAAGGACATTCCTGATTACTGCGGTGATTGGAAATAAAGACTCAAGGCTAAATAATTAGCAAGTAGTAAGACAGGGGTCTCTCAGCACGTCGCATTAAGCATCCTGTCAGTGGATGCTGATCGACTCCGCACGACCAACAATTGGAGCGGGGGATGGCGCAACCAAGCACTCTCGAGGTACGAGCATGTATGCGCACAGTCTGAGTGTCCAATGTATACTCGTACGGCGTACATTTTTGTAGGCATGTCATAAGCAGAGTTGAGTTCGACCCCCCCCTTGATCCAGCGGCAGGAGAATCACTTCCACTTCCACTTCCACAACCATATCCACCTCCACTTACCATCCCCGCTTCATCATCTCCCTCTTTCATCATGATGATGATGAGAATTCTTCATAAGAAGAGATATTAAACCTCCAAGTGCACTATTTTACTCGATGAAAACCACCAAGTCCATCCCGGTGTGGGCGGAGACCGCCGAAGGGGAGGCGGGGGGGGGAGGGGAAGAGAGGAGAAGAGAGGAGTCGGTCACGGGCAGATTCCTCGGAGATCAACTTTCAAGCAGAGTTTTCCTCTTTGTGGTGGTTTCAATCGAGTAAAAAAAATGTAGTCGGGGCAAAGCGGACAGTTTTGATCGAGTAACACACTGATAAAAAAGAAGTCGGCAAGTGAAGGATCCAGTGAGAGCACGCGGTCTGCCGGGAAGGCTCCATCGGAGCTGCCCGATGCATTTCCACCGCTGGGCCTCACAGTCCCTCGCAGTCTTGTCGATAACCGATTAGGATCCTCCATGTCCACTTGGTTCATCCAACCACCGACATCGCTGAAGACTTTTTCACTTTCAGTACCACGGTTCGGATCCGCAATACCAGGAGGCGACATAGAACGGAGTACCCAGAGTACCCAGAGTACCCTGTCGTTAGGAGATCACCGCGGATAGGTTCTAGGAAGAACACCAGGAAGAACACGAGGAACTTGGACCGTTGGCAATTCGTGCAGACTCCCTTTCCGATATGGTACCTGCGCTCAGGCTTCCCTTAATTAGGCAAAGGCGAGGATATTCGGTTGATCATGGGGCTGCAGCACTGCCCGGACTGGCTGGCCCGATCCATATTGGCCCATCATCGAGTAATCACAACCTCCGAGTCCTCTCGATGGCAACTCGCAACTCGGCACAGTGGGACATTCCTCCAAAAGGTGGGCCGGCGCACTTCTCCGTTCTTACTATATTTTCATCGGACTGGGCCCCTCTCAGTTATTTATATCCCCCTCCCCCGGATCCTTCCTTATCTCTGTCCCTCTTTTTCCCACTGCCCCTCCAGATAAGCCTCTCCTTTCACTGTTATCTGCATCCAATCCCATTTGGACCTGGACCTCTCCCTTCAATTCATCTTGACTTCAACTGTTTTCTCTCTCTTTAATATTATACATACCTAGCGGTATACCCTTCTGTCTACTACTCCACTCACCCTACCGAGTCAAGCATTTGGGATATTCTATTGGCCTGCAACCAAACAAGAACAAGCCCCCCGGACAAGCTACTATGGCGACAGCTAACATCCCCTCCATTGCCGTGGTGGCCTCCTCGCGTGCCGTTATCTCTGGCCGTCTGACCTCGGCCACAGTTGTCATCTCTCGCACCACTGGCAAGATCACTGCCGTCTTTGACTCCGTGATCCCGGCTTCGGAGTTCCCCGCCGACACACCTTATACCGACTACTCACCCAATGTCCTCCTTCCCGGTTTGGTCGATGCTCATGTTCACCTGAACGAACCTGGCCGTACCGAATGGGAAGGCTTCTACACCGGTACCCAGGCCGCTGCCTTTGGCGGTGTTACCACCGTGATTGACATGCCTCTGAATGCTATCCCACCCACCACTACCGTGGCCGGTCTGAAGGAGAAGCTCGACGCTGCCTCGGGCAAGTGCTGGGTTGATGTGGGTTTCTACGGTGGTATTATCCCCGGAAATGCTCACGAGCTCAAGGCACTTGTCCAAGAGGGTGTCCGTGGTTTCAAGGGTTTCTTGATTGATAGTGGCGTAAGTGATCATCTCATCCCAAGATTCTCACGGCTTATACTAATATACTCCACTACAGGTGGACGAGTTCCCTGCTGTTGGCCAAAAGGATATTCAAAAAGCTATGGCTGAGCTTGCAGATGAGCCCACAACCTTGATGTTCCACGCCGAGATGGTGCCCCCCATCACCAAGTCCGTTGGTGATGAGGCCCAGTCATCCGCCCCCCCCAGCTGCCCCGACTGGTCCCCTTGAGGCCTATTCGACCTTCCTGGACTCGCGGCCCTCGGAGTTTGAGACATGCGCCATTGAGAGTATCATGTCCATCGCTCACCTTGCCCCCAATCTCCAATTGCACATCGTTCACCTGTCCGCCATGGAGGCCATTCCCATCCTTCGCGAAGCCCGTGCCCGCGGCGTGAAGGTTACTGCTGAGACCTGCTTCCACTATCTATCCCTGGCCTCCGAGCAAATCCGTGATGGTGATACCCGCCACAAGTGCTGCCCTCCTATTCGCTCCCAACTTAACCAGGATGGCCTGTGGGAAGAACTCGAGCAGCACGCTGGGGACGGTGTCATCAAGACGGTCGTCTCTGACCACTCTCCTTGCACACCGAACCTGAAGCAACTGCCTTCCCACATTCCCGGTTACTTCGACACCGGTAAGGAGGAGACCGGCGACTTCTTCTCCGCCTGGGGTGGCATCTCCTCCGTCGGCCTCGGCTTGCCTATTCTCTGGACTGAACTCAGCCGCCGCAAGGGCTTGACCCCCTCCACCGAGGACGAGAACACCAAGAAAGCCCTGCAAGATGTTGTCCGCCTCTGTTGTGCCAACACTGCCGCCCAAGTCGGTCTGGAGACCCGCAAGGGTGACCTGCGTGTCGGCTTCGATGCTGATATCTGTGTGTTCGACGACTCTGCTGAATGGATCGTCGAGCCCAGCACCATGCTTTTCCGCAACAAGTGCTCTCCTTACCAGGGTCGCACGCTGCGCGGTATGGTTCGCGAGACTTGGCTTCGTGGTGAGCGGATTTTCAGCCGCGAGAACAACTTCGGCGACAAGGGTCCAGCCGGCAAGCTCCTCCTCGAGAAACGAGTTTGATCTCCCTTCCATTTTCATTTGTTTTGTCCTGCATCTCCTTTGTCTCCGAACCTGGGACAAGTTGACCTTTTGGCAGATCGCCACCATCACCACCACCACCTTTTGATGTTTCCTTTCACCTCATTCCCGCATCTCGTTCTCGATCAGTGACCCTTGTGACGAGCACTAATGACTGAACAGCATTCATACCCATTAGAGTAATGACAGCGCGTTGTAGCTTAGCCATAGACTACCAAAAAGAAAAAGCATTTTATTCTTCATATCAATCCAGCTCTTAATGTTCTCGAAATCGTGCGGTATATCCGAAAGTATAGTACACTATATAGAATTAATTAAGTCGTACACTTGAAACCTAGCTCTCTCCTTGGGCATCATTGTCATTCTCCTTCTCCCATTTCTCTCGTACTCTCCTCCTTACACCACCATTGACACCCTTGCCCCATATCTTCTCCTTTTCATCAACACTAACAGTGATATCCTCAACTGTCTCCACACCACCGTCAACCTCTTTAACAAAGACTTTCCGCTCCTTGAACTTCCTCTCTTTAACCTTGGCCCTCTCGATCTTCCCAATATAAAAGACATACAAGAATGATTCCGCAACAGCAACCGCCAACGCCGCAAAAAGCGACAAAAGCACCCGCACCGCATCCGACGTACCAGCCGGTCGATACTCATCATCATCAACACGCGGCCCAGTCCACCTTGCAAACATCGTGGCTAGGATCTGCGGCATCGTGAACTTCGTCAGGGCCCAGTAGACACTGAAGCCAGTGATAATGACCGAAAGAAATATATTTAGGACGAGGGACGGGGTGAGAGGGTCTTCGGAGAAGACAGGCGCATTCTCGGCGGAATAAGGGTCTGCGTGATCGGGGCCGGGGGTGTAGGTAGGGTTAAGGAGGCGTTGGTATTCGGCTTGTTCGGCCGCAGCAAGAAGGCGTGCCTTGGAAGCGAGATATTCCGCGCTCTACGAGTATGTCAGTGATGCTGGGTTGTAATTGTAGGTGTAGCCTTTGGGAGATGTGTCGAACATACAGGCTCTGGTTTCTTTGGTGGAGGCGGAACATAGACTTTTGTGCCGCGAAGGAGATAGCTGAGGATTGTTGGGTTCTGGCTGTTGCTGTGTGACGTATTGTATTCGGCGTCTTGTTTGAGGTGCTTCGATAGACGGAGGAGCTGCTCATGTGCAACCGGCCCGTGGAGCTCCAGCGTGGCAGGGAGCTCGAGCTCTTCCCGGCGTGAAGCCGGGACTGCCTCAAGGGCAGCAATAATATGATCCGTTGCTCTGAGAAGGACCATAATAGGTGAATCTCGTTGGACAAGGCGAGAGGTGGAGGCGGCGCGCCGTGGAGGTTGGAAGTAATGGGCGAACTTGGATCGGCGGAGAAGAGAGCGGAAGCCCCGAAACTCGCGCTTGGAACGAGCTCTCCCCACTTCACTTCTTAACAACCACCTCACACAGCCATGGCGGACTCCAAGTCGAAAGCGTGAGTACAATAATCCCCATAACCCATTGTGCCCCATCGATCTTCTATGCTTCCGATGCCACAATTCACCATTTAGGGCATTGCCCGCCAATGACCGCTGCTTCTCCCCAGATGCCTCGACTAACCCCTCCATGTCGCTAGGCCGGTAACAACACAAACCAACTCGCGCGGAATCCCCGTAGCACCCTTCATCGACAATGTCAGCGACTATGTCTCCTCGCGCGATGAGGTCGAGCCGACCCTCCGCTCGTTCCAGGAGATGATCTCCAAGTATCAGTTCATGGAGGTCAACACCCAGCGCCGCGGTACCGGACTGCGCGAGAAGATCCCGGATATCAAGAAGACATTGGAGATGGTGCGATTCTTGAAATTGCGCAAGGAAGTGTGTAACCCCCGCCCGGAAGAAAGAGGATGGGTAATAAGGAGAATGGAAATCGAGTGCAAGACATCTGACTTTTTTTCTTTTCGCAGTCCAACCCCGATGCCGACCTCGAAACTAACTTCGAACTCAACGATACCCTCTACTCTCGCGCCTCTATCTCCCCAACTGATATGGAAGAAGTCTACCTCTGGCTCGGTGCGAATGTCATGCTCGCGTACCCGCTGGACGAGGCCGAGACCATGCTTTCTGAGAAATTGACTGCTGCTGAGGCGAGCTTGGCTAACTGCGAGGAGGACCTGGAGTTCTTGCGTGAGCAGATTACGGTATGTTGCTTCCATGACGCAGAGCCATATTTATCCTCTATTGGGGTGCTTTTTGCTGACTTGTGCCCTATAGACTCTCGAAGTTGCTACTGCTCGTGTTTATAACTGGGACGTTGTGCAACGGCGGAAAGATAAGGCCGATGGTGGTGATGGCCAAAAGGCTTAGATTATGTCATAAGAGATTTCTGGGCACCAAAATACAAAATTACTATATTCACAAGACTCAAAGATAAGCAGAGCCATTTGGGGTTTTCGCCTAGCATAGAAAAGTACATTTGAGTGTAGCTTCCGGAGCTCAAATACTATTGGACGAAAAAAGATGTTTATTCTTTCATCTATCTTGCGTTGATCTGACGAATGGTCTTCTTTGATCAAACACACGAGAATGAAGATGCCTTATTGGGATCGTCTCCAGTGTAGGTGAAGACTTTGGGATACAAACAGAGGTTTCCCGTTCGCGTAGAAGACTTGGTATTCGAGCTTCCAACTGCCGCAGCGGTGGCCTTTAATGTATCTGGCACTGTACCATTTTCAACCCAGCTTCTCAATACATCAAAGGTGGTGGCACTAGGGTCAAAGCCCGTACCACTATGACAATGCTGAACGCCAGGCGCCAGGAAAAAGCGATAGTAATCTGCGACATCGGGATCGCCGCTCATGACACGATTGTAATAATCAACAGTGCCATTGGTCATGATCAATTGGTCTTGCATGCCATGCCAAGTAATCATCTTAGTTCCGGCCCGTTTCAACTTCGTCAAGTCCGACTTTTCCGTACCAATTATCGAGGCATATTGGTCCACAGATTGGTGGAAGAGACGGGTATAATCCTGAAGCGTAAGCGTTTTGGTGTCGAAATTGGCGTTTCGCTCTAGAAATACTTTTACCCAGTCATCTGCGATGCTAAAAGGCACCATTGTGCAGCTATCCACCGAAGTACATGACGAGGAGAGAATGGCCGACAGGTTTGTATCTTGGTGAAATCCGTACCATTCGAACTTGCCCTCTGCTGATCGTGGACCGTCCCACATGGCTTGTACCAGCTCTGACATCTTTTTCGTGATAGTGATCTTGCCATTTGGCTCGATACAGTTCACATTTTCGCCAATAATTGAAGAAGCTCGGAAGTGACATTGGCCTGGTAAGGCGATAATATTATCCTTGACGCCATCAAGAAGATCGCAGGCCTTGATTGCGGCATCTCTAAAGGCCGAAAACACGCAGGAAGGAGGCTGAACATCTGTGCGTACTATATGAGTATCTATTATGATGGTCACCGGGGGGGGGGGGGGACTTACCAAGGATATTCGCCATAAAAGCACCCCAAAATTCAGCCGTGATGAATTTATCCCAATTGATAGCTGGTGCAGCCCCAACTATACCATCGAAGAGCTCAGGATGATTCTGGGCCATCATATGGCCTTGACGACCACCCGTAGAGCAACCATTCCAGTAGGAATACCGAGGCTCAGATTTGTAGTATAACTTGATAGCCATCTTCCCCAGAAGAGCGGCTTCGTGCAAAGCTCTGCTTGCGAAGTCTTCAAGAGCAGGCCAATTCGTTTTACCGGGAGCTTTCAGTCCCCATTCGGCTGTAGTGACAGATGCATTGTGTCCTCCGTCTGTCGAGGACGACACATAACCTAGCCCAACAGGCGTAAGAACCTGCTCTTGACCTCCTGCCACCCAACCCCCACCTCCATCCATGAGGAATCGTGAATTCCAGTTTTCAGCATTGAGTGGAAGCCCAATATACGTGTTGACATTATCACCCGTTCCAGAGTGCTTATATGTCAATGTAACCAAGCAAATATCCACGGTGAGTGGCATTTGCCTGCGGCTTCCGGTGTCGTCGTCGGTACTCAAGTACCCGCTAATTGGAAGGCCGCTAGCGGCAGTGACATTGAGAGAGGCCACATGAATGGCATCCAAAGTCAGAGAGGCAAATGTTTCTTTCGTGCAGGATAATGAAGTTGAAGCCCGAGCCCCGACGAACAGATTGAGGGATAGCAGCGCAGCTTTTACTTTGTCAAACCCCATGCTGGTAATTCGAGAGCTACTTATTCCAGCGTTCAAAGATCGGTTGCTTGAAGGTAAGTGCTTTTGACACCGGCTGCACTTCGGGGGTACTGCTGCTTTATAAGCCTGGCATATCTACCTCTTCATGATACTATACAAACAACTTGAAATGGCTTCCTAGTATACACTACACACCTAATAGGAGGACACGTTGAAGATGATTTAGCTTCCGGTAAGAAATGGCGGTAGATTATTCCAAACCTAATCAGCTCAAAATGAAGGGACATCGGGCGGGTTACCACAAAATGGCCTTTTCCGCGTCCTTGCTCTTCGGAAATCTCGCCGGCCGAAATGGCTTATGCCTAACTGGTGCAACTTTGATCCTTCTTGGCAGTTTCATCGCTGGAGAAATGCGGGGAAATGTGGGGTTATCGAGTAGTACCCCCGGCTGTTCTGTCAAGATGGGAAGTCGGCAGGGATTCTCGGCATCTAAAAGATAGTAAGTAGCAGCCCTGGAGTACTAAGTAGTCGGGGGAGATACGGAAAGTGGTTAAATGGCGGGGGTTCGTGGGGGTAGTCTATTGAAAGTATCCACAATGAATAGCGGGAAACGATTGATTGAGAGTAAATTTGCAGTAAAAAGAGGTCTAGGGGATTATAAATAAAAGCGGGGTGTATTCAATCATTCCCAAAATGTGAAGCCAAAAACACGCTGTATAGGATACGCCATGAACTCCATCAAAAAGGTATCATGCAGTCATAAGTCATGGAAGTTCTCGCTCATTAAAACAATAGAGCATGAGACCAGGTTTCCAAGATGAGATAAACAAAATAGTGTGGAAAAAAGGTTCTGGTGATTGGTGTCATTTAAAGATGCCGGGGGTTAGTTGCTCAACGTCAGATACGAAAGTCCATTCCTCAATGTCATCAACATCGTCATCATCATGATGCGGTGCCGCCCTCGCGGAAGGGGTCGGTGAGAAAGGGGTAGATGAAGCGATCGAGCGTTGTTTCGCGAGGGTCTTAGCATACTCCAGATCACGGTAGAGAGATTGGATTGCGGTAGCCACACCATCCTCCTATTTAGGTATCGATGTTAGTGTCATATCTACTTCCCATGCTAGCTTGTCAACTTACATTTCGAATCTGAATTCCCATATTTCGTGCTTTGACGATCATCCTTTCGCTATGCGTTGCTTCCCAGAGCGCTCGGGAGAAGACGCTGACGTTGAGTCTCTTCATACAGATCCCAACGCCCAAGTCCTCGACTCGTCCTCCAAAGAAGAACTGGTCACCAAAGAATGGTTTCACGATCGTAGGTACACCGGCTCGAAGACTGGCACCAGTGGTACCGGCCCCTCCATGGTGGGCGGCCGCATCGATTTCTGAGAAGAGCCAGTCGTGGGGTGCAGCTTGGATCTGGAAAATCTCTGGTGGCAGAGGAACCTCAGCTTTAACATTAGAGGGATCTCCAAGGCGATCCGACCATCCTTTGGAGAGAATACATCGAACATCCGCCTTCTGAACCGACTGTATGACTGTTTTTGTCAATGCAGCCGGATCCGAGACCACGATAGAACCAAATCCAATGTACACGATCTTTTTTCCATCCGCACGAGCTTGAGCGATGAAATTTGCCAGATCAGGGGGGGGGTGTCCAGTCGGAGCCTTCATTCAAGAACCAGTACCCAGTGATACGGATCCAATCCGGATAGTCGAGTGGTGGAGGTACCACGGAAGGCGAATAATTGTACAGGAATGGAACTTTGTTCGGTTGCATCTTGTCCAAATTGGTGCTTTTGAGCCCCAATTCATTGTTTCGCCATCTGTTGACCTGCCCTGCAATCGCCTTCCAGAAAATGGTGTCAAACATGACGTATGTGATGTAGTTGTAGGCCCCTCCCATACGATTCTCTGGCACTGCAAAAGCATGTGGGTAGGCGCGAGTCCTAGTCCATGGCATAGTGAAACCTCGGAAGTAGGGAATTCGAAGAGCCTCTGCAATGTGAATTCCAGCCATAGCACTGGGCGACTCTATCAGAAGATCGCTGCCTTGGCAGCTCGCCCAAGATGATGACAAAAGGTCATCAATCCACCCTCTGAACTTGACCGAGGCCTCCCGAAGGAAAGAGTAGGTAAACATGCCATTCTCCACGCAGATTCTCATCAGCTCGGCGGGGTCTCCATCTACAGGAGCAAAGTCAATGCCGTGTTTCCGAATCCAAGGCTCAAATTCAGCGTGGGTGGCGATCTTTGGCTTGTGGCCTTCAGCAAGAAGCCCCTTGCAAAGGGCAATATATGGCTGCACATCACCTCGAGATCCAATAGTGAGACAGGTGATTTTGAGTGATTCGGCAGGCTTGAAATTTATAATAGAAGCACGAGTATCGTCAAAGAACGGGTTCACTTCGGACGAATCTCCGCTCAGCGTTGGCCGGAAATCGTGTTCTTCGGGGCCATCAAGTCTAGCTTCTTGTAAAAGACGATGCTCATCTTTCGCAGCTTCAACCTCTTCACGTTCTTCTTCTGCTAGCATACCTGATTCCATGAGGAATTTGACCGATTCGAGATCTTGATGCAAGGTGACGGCACAGTCGTCTCTAGCGCCAGCGCTCTTGAATTCAAAAAAGAGCTCCTCGTGACCGCGAATAATGACGACTAGTCCATGGTATCCAAATCGGAATCCCTTTTCTTTCTCGACATTCTCAATGTCTCTTAGTGGGAGAATCATCTTGGTTCGAGTGCCAGGAATCAGACTGCGGAAGCATAGCTTCCTTTCGCTGAGGTATATCTTCCCGTAGAGCGGGAGAACCCGGTGCAGGTATGCGTAGTATGTCGCTTGTAATCTCTCGGTTGCAGGAAGACCAAAGTGCGCGCGGAAACGATCGCCATGGTTTAAGCCACTTTCATGGTCTTCGGGATCCGCAGTCTTGTCATCGGGCAGCACTTCTTCTGTCTCGCCATAATGCCTTTGACCACCAGCCCACATTCCGGAAACCTTTTCGATGTAACCCATTGATTCTGTTGCTAGCAGACTACTCATCTGCTTAGACCTACTTTTCAAGTATTCTGCGAATCCAGCAGCTCGCTGAAGCGGGTATGCGCCGGCTTTGACAAGATCATTAAGAGGTACATTCGAGCGGTATTGGGAATGCATCATCTTCTGGTTCTCAGAGCCCGACGCGAAAGGAAAGTTTTCGTCATTTCTGTCCTGTTGGTTTGATCCAGCTAGGTGAGCGGCATGGTTCAATCTAGCTGTTGCAGAGCGAGCTGTATCATCCGACCGGCGTCGGGCGACATCTCCCACATCAGATGAGCGCCTCGGCAAAGAATGCATGGTTGGAGATTGAAAGACATCACTTCGGTTGAGTATCTGGCTTGCAGACTCCGTTGTTTCCGTTAGCGATTGTACGACACGCGATGATTCTGTCCCTTGATCGGCAGAATGGGCGAATGAGTCTGCAGAGCCCTTCAAATCGTTGTCGACACTAACACTGCGTCTCCGTGAATGCGCCATGTCGAAAGTACTCGACACTAGTCGATCTTTACCATCGCTTTTGTTGGGGGACTCTTCTTGCTTATTCTTCGCAGGAGACGAGGTAACCAAGCTTTTGAGGTAATTGAAAGCGTCCTGTCCCGAATTGAAGAAAGAAAAAAAATACTGCGAAGACGTTAGCAAGTATTTAGAGAAAGATGGAACACACGGGCTTACTTCATCGATCGCGAATGTTTCTGCGCTATCAATCACCCGAACCTTGAAGGTCTCTGCAAATTCAACCATTGGGCTTTCCTCTAGATCAATCACGTTCTCGATTGGGAATGAGATCTTGACGCTATCTTCCTTGTTATGGGATCGGAAGATGACTTTTTGTAGCGCCTTTACCCACTCCTTGGCACTGGTAGCGCTATCTGCTCGGAAGTAATAAGTTCGTTGATCCGTGGTGACCTGGAAGTCCTTCGCATCAGTGCCATCAGCCTTTGACTCCAACAGAGAAGCCGATATTCCATATCGCAGATCCACATGGCCACTTGGAAAGTAAAGGTTTGAGGGATCTGCATAATATGAAAAGACATCGCCCTTCAAGACAAACCAATAACGATTGTACTTGGGGTTCTTTCGGCCGCGCTTCGAAACATAACCGGACTTGCTAGGCTCGCTGGACTTCTTTGGGAGATATGCATAGAAACAAATATGTCCTTCTGTGACATACATGTAGCCCGGAAGAAGCATGCTCTGCAGGAAGGAGCAAGCATACTCCACTAGGACCTTTTCCGGTCTTTCAAACCCAAACATTTCCATCAGTCGGATGGAGAGCGCAGGCACAGAAGATTCTTCTCGATCTTCACTTGGGGTTTCCGGCCTTGAGGGTGTGGTTTCTGCTGTATTGCCGTTATTGAAACGGCTCTGTGCTTGTACCATGCGGGTGAGGATTGGAGCGGCTCGCGGCGTGGCACTGCGTGTGCGTCTTGGCTGGATTGTGAGGGTCGATGCACTGAGGTTGGACGGATCGTCTGTCGTTTCTTTCGACCCAAAACCCGGAACTTTCCGCAATAGTTTGTTCTCAGACGTTGTTCTTCGATGTTGCCGCCCTCGACTCCCATCTGGAGCCTTTGCTTCTGCAATATTGCCGGGTTGGAGTCGGTCGGGCGAGTCTGTTCGGCTTGCAGGCTTCAAACTTGGCAGTTCTTGTGAAGTCTCATTGGGTTCGCCATCGCTATCACTTGAATCATCGAATCGTCCACGAAAGTCGGATCGAGAGCCGACTGCGGCGATCATGCCAAAAAGCGACTGCTGCATGTAGTGAACGTTGCCATCCCGAGAGCCCATGCCCCGTGGCGGAGCAGTATAGTCAACCTGAGCATCATCGCCATCCTTGAAGCGCTCGGGCAGGCGATCGGAAGAGTATCTATGTGTAGAGGTTGTAGGCCGCATGCTCGCGCTTAAGCGGTGATCGCCCCGCCGCTTGGCATCGACTATCGAGGGCTTCATCGAGAAGGTATAACGGTATAGGAAGCAGATTTAGAAGACCTGCAACGATAAACAAAAGGGTGAAAGTTGCTGGGCGTTTTAGGACAGGAACCCTGGGGGCGCAGCGGTCGGGACCGTGTGGGGGGTGGAGGTTGCAGGTGACAGCTCAAGGCTGATAGAGGGATCTCAAGGATGGGTGCCCACGTCAGGCGGGTTCGGCGTCAAGTCAGGCCAAGAGGCGGGTCTTCAACTGACGGGGTCATATCAACGTGGAAATTTCTCTGCGGTCAGACTTCAAACGACACGCCCAACCGCTTGTACTCTAGGAATGGCGATGATATATGTATGGATGAAGCGGAGCTTCCTAGCGATAAGAGGACGGGGAGCTAACCTTAAGGTCAACGGGATCGAGATAAGCTAATCAGAGGCTCCGCTAATGCGCCATGGCTGTGCACGACTCAAGATTAAAGACGAAGAAAATATGCACTTGCAAACGAAAGTGAGTCAGAGAGAGTGTCAACCCAACTGGGACAAAAAGTGAGGCGCATCACATGCGGCGAGGCTTTCAAGACCGCAGCTGATGCCATCGCTGTCAGGTGACACCGCTTATGTCATCTCCGTTCTTTGATGGCAGCACCTGGGCCATTATCATTGTGCTTATTTCTGCTGTTTCTTGTGGTATCGGCTTTGATGAAAGGTTATCATATTGGGGTTCTTTGCTGCTGGCTGCCCCAGCAGCTCCAGCTCCAGCTCCAGCGCTGGTGGGGACGATCGACGGGGAATGTCAAGGTGGATCTCCAACTATGTATTAAATGATCGTGACTGTCGTGATAGTCAACGGGTCCTCCGATGGCTTCGCGCAAGTAAGAATGTCCGAGTCTTGCCTTTTTGAATATGGGCAGGTTGCTACCAAAAGGATTCATGATTTCTACTCCGTACCCTTGAAAGAGTGATAGGGGCTTTCTACTCCTGTCACTTTATTTTTCTCCCCACGGACCCCTGCATCGCATATCACATCACCAAACCAACATTTGCTACCGTCGTAAGCTCGGCTACCGGCCTCGGGCGCGGACATCTGTCTTGCGCGTTTTGAATCCTTTCAAGCCATTCTGTTCTATGACATTGAATGAGGTTGGACTATGGCCGCCTCTCGCCTGTCGGCTCCGTAACATCATCGTTGTGGGCGAAGGCGTGCTTTCCGGCGAGAACAGTGGCCCCCATCGGCCACAATCGACCACAATCCGACGGTCATCTATAGAAGATATCGTTTCCATTGGAGCAAAATGAGAAAGCACGCAAAATCATCCTCGTCGCGCCTCACCAAGCCTTCGTATTGATATGAAGCTTTATATGTGCCGCCATGGCCACGCCTTGGCTCTACTGATCTCGCTTCGGTACAGCTTTCACTCCCAATTATCATGGGCTTTCTAACAATTCCCGAGCTGAATACTCGTCAGGGTACTTTGCGTGCCTATCACTTGACAGCTATTGTTTTGTAAGTTTTCTCATTGACTAGAATGATCAAGTGTAAATCAAACACCGGGCGAGAAGTCTTGGACAAATCGTTAACCAATTATTGCTTTCTAGTATCTCATCATTTCTCTCGGCCTATGATTCCGGTATTGCAGGTGGCATCTTAACCTACCAGTCCTTTCAAGATGATTTCAGATTCACCGCAGCCCACAAGTCCAAAGTCTCGTCTCTGACTGTCGGTCTGGAACAACTGGGCTCGTTCGTTGCAGCCATGCTTGTTTACCCTTTGACCAACAAATATGGGCGTAAACTATGTATCATTGGCTCAACTGCGCTTTTCGTCATTGGTGTGATCATCCAGGTCAACAAGACACACTCGCTAGGAGCCTGGTATGTCGGCCGTATCATATCGGGTCTGGGGATGGGTGGCCAAAGTGTGGTGATCCCTATGTACTCGGCAGAGATGACTCCTAAAGAGATCCGTGGTCGATGCGGCTCTTTCTATCAATGGCTATACGCTTGGGGGGGTCTTTCTGGCTTATTGGGTCGACTATGTAAGTTGCACTTCACTACTCTTTCTTTTTTCCCCTTTTGGCACAGTTATTGACATTTCTCTTTTTCTAGGGTGTGGCTCAGAACCCTTCAATTGCTGGCACCTCGCGCGAGTGGCAGATCCCTGTCGCCCTGCAGTTGATCTCGGGTGGCATTCTCTTGATCGCTACTTTGACGCTTCCAGAATCTATCCGTTGGCTCTTGACTCAGAACCGCACTGATGATGCCTGGAAGGCGATCACCTGGGTCCGTGGAGGCGATACTCCAAAGACCCGCGAAGAGTTCACCGAAACACAACTCGGTCTTCAGGCTGAGCAGGCCGAGAGGGAGAACTTCTCATATCGCGAGCTTCTAGAGCCAGCTAACCGTCTTCGTTTCATCGTTGGCCCCGTCCTCTTTATCTTCCAGAACGCTACTGGAAGTAGCGCCCTGGCTGTATTTGCGCCACAGTACTTCAAACTCATAGCTGGCAATGATGAAAATCGCAACATGCTACTCACTGGACTGTTTGGTGCTGTCAAGGTTATCGCCTGTACCTTCTTTATTTGGGTCCTAGCTGAACGTATCGGTCGTCGCATGACTCTAGTCAGTGGATCGGCATTAATGGCAATTTGCATGCTGATTACTGCGTTGATTGTGGACTTTGTTCCCACTCAATCATCCACTAATGTGACCTCTGCTGGAAAGGCTACTGTGGCAATGATCTTTTTAGACATCATGGTAAGTCTCACTGTTGGCTTTCCTCAAATGGATGCTTTGCTAATAGGAAATTAGATCTATAACTGTTCCTGGGGTCCACTTCCTTGGGCCTATGTACCTGAGATCTTCCCGACGCGTATTCGTGCACTGGGCTTGGCTGTCAGTATGCTGGCGCACTGGGCATCTTCATTCTGCTTCTCCTTCGCGAGTCCATATATGATTCAGAATGTCGGCGCCAACACGTTTCTGATCTTCATGGGCTTTGATGTATTAGGCACCGTCTTCTGTTGGTTCTTCGTCAAGGAGACTCGTGGGAAGAATCTCGAGGTGGCCGCTGGAACCGAATGGGAGGCAGCCGAGCGCAGCTCCTCTGACGATGGCGAGAAAGGCACTGTTTTGGGTCAGGATGGCAAGAAAGTACAGCTGGTTAGCGTTCATGAAAACTTCCACGCCAACATCAAGCAACGTTCGTGAGGTGCCATTGTCATGTTTAGATTATTCAACACGGTTGTCGATCACGTTGTCTTTGTTTCTGCGGACATTTTCCCAAGACGACAGGATAGCCCAACAAATGCTAAAACAACTCGAGTGAATTGCTTTGAAATTGTCTATTCTGTAGTCAGATGCAACGGAGGCTCCCATAGAGAAAGTTTCAAGAGGTAAAGTGTACATTGAAGTCTTATAAATCGTAGTAACAAAGATATCTTTAAGCTAATCAAACCATAACGCCAATTCATGCCTTGCTGGACTTTTTCCGCTTCTTCTCCTCGCGGTCCTTAGAGGACTTCTTCGATTTCTTGCTCTCCTCTGCGGGGGGTGCATCTTCTTGTGCCGAGAGCTTCTTTGACTTCTTTCGGGGAAGACCAGTCGCTTGGGTAGCATCACCCTCAGTGTGATGGTGCTTCCTCTTGCGCTTCTCCTCGCTATCCCCCACGGGAACCTTGAAAGAAGGCTCCTCGGATTCTGACTCCGAGCTGGATCCAAGTGTCTCAGGTGCGCTGGGGAGGCTGCCAACGGGACGGAAGCGCATTCTCAACTTCTTTGGCTGGGGTCGAGGCGGCTTGACTGTATCTCGCAATGCCTCAACCGCAGTAAAGTCCCCTCCTACTGAGCCTGGTAGGTTGAACATCTCTTGAATCTGATAACTAGGGACATTGTCGGACTTGCTGACGTAGGTCTGGGTGCTCTCATCGTAGACGAGGAGATTCTTCCCTTCCGAACCTTCCTCAGTAATTGACTCAGCGGGAATTCCGTACTTCACACCATCAAACTCAAGGATGGGTTCGCCCTTCATAATTTTCGACATGGAAATTTCCTTCACCTTGGACAATGGAAGGGAGGCCGGGGCGGAGATGTGATAGATTTGCTTGCCATGCAGGTTGGAGAGAAGAGAGGAGGAGCTAGAGGACGGAGCGGCTTGCTTATTTGCGAGCTTGAAGCCGGACGGCGCCTTGTATGTCTTCGATCCAGAAGAAGTCACCCTAGAAGGTTTTTTGTTAGCTTGATGCGCGGCCGAGTTCAAATCACAGAAGATCTCACTTCTTGGTCTGTGGAACATCCTCGCTTGTGTCCATTTCGTCGGAGCTCGAATCATCAGAGCTTGAAGAGTCGGAGGAGTCGGAGGAATCAGTGGAATCGGAATCTTCAGCATCATCCTTCACCTTCGGTGCCCCCTTCAAGGTCTGCTTCTGCTTGTTGTCAGGCTCAGGCGATGTGGATCGGCTCGAGCTGCTGTCGCTACTGGATGAAGAGGAGGCGGCCATGGCGCTTCGTTCAGTTGGTGAGGCACTGAAATTAAACGGCGTTATCCGCAGCGATGCGCGCTGGTTGCGACTGGTACCCGCAATATTAGCTGCGCGCGAGAGAATTGAGCGGGGGCTTCTTGTTGAAGAGCTAGGTATGAAATGTTCGAGGCGATTGACAGCGCAATGATCTTTGATCGCCCAGTGTCTGCAATGTTGAAGGGCTTGGAGTTGAATGGCCGATCTTTTTTTCTGCTCCGCGGGAGCACGGACCACTCGCCATTTTTTTTGCTTATCGGCAAGCTTCGCCGCATTATCGACCTCCGACGGATCAAGCTCGACCTTCGATCTTACAGGTATTGCCTCAATTATTGGATATGGTGAAGCGAAAGGCCGAGAAGCAACAATCTGCTGGTACGAAATACGTGTACTGAACGTGCGACTATCGAACCCGCATTAATGTCCCCCGCAGCCCCCATGAGCGCCGTTGCGGCGCGCAAAGCTCGGCAGCAGCAAGCGCAGAATTCAGCGCCAAAGAACGATGTCGACGTCGAGATTGTGACGGAGCCTCCGTCTAAGCGACCGCGACGATATAACGAGGCAAACGAGACCAATGAGGTCAGTGAGACAGAGACTCGAGGCCCGCGAACAAGGTCGTCGACGAAACAAGATACTTCATTGCCGGCAGAGACTGCAAAAAGACGGCAAAAGAAGGTCATTCAGCCCCCTGTTTCTCAAGCGCAAGAAGAAATCAATGAGGAAGAGCTATCCGATGAGGGTCAAGCCGACGGCCCAGAGGATATGAGCGAAGATGAAGTCGCGTCTGTCGCCGGTGACGCTGACGGCTACGAATCCCCGGCAGACACCTCGACAGAACTTCAGAATTTCCCCTTGTCAAAGGCACGCCTCAACAAAAACACTATTCTATATGCGGATGAGGGCACTCTGTGTGTTCGTGTTAAAGAGAGAATGGTATGTGCCAATTGAGTGGAATATTTAGTCAAAACATACTAATCGATTGCAGAATCTCGCACTACTGGGCCAGTATGATATTTGGATTAAGCGAGGAGTCGTCAGCCTCATGGGCGCCAAGTTACATCCATCAGCGCATGTCTACAGAGTTTATGCTCCTTCAACCCACTCTTTGCCCGTCATTAAGTGTGTCTCGGGTGTGAATGGAGAGGCCGAAGTGGAGTTGAAGTCCTGCAATAACGGGCTCGCTCGACTTCGGGACATCTCTCCTTTGTACCAAAGAGTTTGGAATGGGCAAAACACCACCGCGGATAAAGCCACCCTCAAGGGGGTGGCTAAGGATTCGCGACGGACGTTCTCAGTGGTAGGAAGTCCCATTTCTCTTTGGACGTAATGTTCAACGACTAATTTGTTCTTAGCTATATACATCGGCAGATGACTCGTTAAAAAGACACTTGCGACCACTTCATCTCGACAAGAAATGGAGTGCCTCCATGAAAGCTCTTTCTCAAAGACAAGGACAGCTTCGAGTGCTGGTTTGTGGTCCAAAGGCATCTGGCAAATCTACATTTAGCCGGTATCTCTTAAACCATGTCTTGAGCCCGGCTCCCGATTCTGAGAACGGGTATGTTAATACCGATGGCGTCGCCTTCCTGGATCTGGATCCAGGTCAGCCTGAGTTCACTCCCATGGGCCAAGTATACCTTGCTCACCTAAAGGCTCCTTTTTTTGGGCCCCCGTTTACCCACCCATCTCTCGACGAATCCCGTGACGGCCAAATTCTGAGGGCCCACCACATTGGCGCGACGTCACCAAAGGAGGATCCCGATCACTATGCCATGGCGATCATGGATTTGTTAGACCAGTTCCGCTCGTTGTTGGCAAGGTACCCCCAATGCCCATTGATCGTCAACTACCCTGGATGGATCTTTGGGCAAGGCTTGGAAGTAGCTACATGGCTAATTGGCTGTCTCGGATTATCTGATGTTGTGTATATGAGTGAGAAGGGCCCCTACGAGGTCGTTGGGCCTCTAAGCCTAGCTGCTAATGAGGCTCGTGTGCCGATGACTATTCTTCCTTCTCAGCCTACTGAGTTTGTCAGCAGATCGAGTGCCCAGCTGCGCTCAATGCAGATCCAGTCTTACTTCCACCAGTCTCACCCGGCTGGTCTCAGCAACCCACTGTGGTCTGAAACACCGCTTTCCCGCACAAGACCCATTGCTGTGGACTACGCCGGTGACAAGCAAGGTATCTCAGGTATCATGGTTATGGGATCCCAAATCAACCCGGAGATGCTACGAGAAGTGATCGAGGGTGCCATTGTTGCAGTTGTGGAGATTGATTCGGCAAACACGCTCTGGGGTACATCCTCAGCAGCGCCAGTGGCCTCTGGATCTGAAAACCATGATGAACTTGAAGCAGACGAAGACATCGACATGGAATCGGACCAACAGAATGGACAAACTGCCCCATCTACTGAGGGTCTTGTCGTTAGGACCCCAGAAAGGCTTCCGTATCTCTTCGCTGGGTCTGGAAGCTGTACTCCCCTTGACCCCAAGTCATCCAACTGTCTTGGGTTGGCCATTGTTCGATCTGTCAACACCGGTTCGCACAAGCTTGAGCTTTCCCCCCCTATTCCCTCCTCAGTTCTATCCAGCACTATAGAGCAAGGGCGCAGTATTGTGCTTGTCCGTGGGCAGCTTGATAACCCTAACTGGGCTATCAGTGAAGAGTACTATTCTGCTCGGGCTGCAGAGAGACGGTATCAGCAGTCAATTTCTCGCTCAAAGAAGAATGGAGAATCTGCTGGTAGGAATAACCAAGCCGATGATCAGGCAAAGCAAAAGCAGACTATGTCTCTCCTTCGTGAGAGGATACGACGTGCAAGTAATGTGCCCTGGATGACGGTTGTGGAAGATAATAGTCGCCACCAGCGTGAAGCAGCCGCACGCCGTGAGAAGTCTCTTTGGAAGCTGAGAAAGAAGGCGTATCCCGCTAGTGAAAGCGAGACAGAGTGGTAGTATATCTTGTCTTGTGTCAAAAACAACAGCTCTATCTGAGAAAATATCATCATCCGTACAAGTGGCTCTACGGGCTGTCTATTTAAAATGGGATCAATGCCTCAGTCGATAAATTTGCACTCTAGGTGGCTTGGGTGTTTTGCAAATGTACTAGTATTGTCAAAGACAAAGCGATTTCCAATGTCTACTTTAGAATCACCTTCTAGGCCCCAAAGTAGGTAGACCAGTACATACTACAAGTACTAATCGAGCAGAGTATAATTTTGCGATGCTTATCATATTGTACTTTCCAAAACTGAGCAGTAAATAAACACCAGGCTATGAATCTGCCATGCAAAATGATAATAGACTCAAGGCGAAAGGTACTATGTAGAGCACACGAGCAGCTCATAGTTCAGTCCTCGGCTTGAATGCAGCATTGCTGCGATTACCCTCCTTATTTTGCTGCCACGACTGTAGCATAAGTGCCGCCACGTTCCGTCCCATCAATGCACTCGTCTCCATGGTCGAGATAAAGCTCTCGATCCCACTTGTGTACCACACTCTCGGGGCCAAAAGGGTTTCCTCAAATGTCACTCGTGGGTACAAAACTGGATACGGATTCCAGATTTTCTCGTGGAACCAGCTAATCTCGCCCTTCGGAAGGTCACCAATGCTAGTGTTGGTGCGTGGAATGACCACTGAGCTGGTGTCATTATATTCGATGTCGAATACCTGAGCGATAATTTTCGCGGAGGGTCGCTCCGGTGAGAAGATCTTATACACATAATGTTGCTCGGGAAACTCTTCGCCATCTTTCATCACTGTTCGGGTCACTGTTCGCAGTGTGCTGATGCTCCAGAATCCAGCTGGGCCGACTCCTGACGGGTCATCGCTGGGCCAGTCGCCCTCTGGATGAGTGGTAAGAATCGTCTCTGGGGTACGGGCATTCTTTCCACCAAGGCCAAAGTATGCCGGTGAGATGCGGTGAGGAGTCGAGAAGAGTGTGACATGCAATTTGATGTAGGGGATTTCGTCAGGGATATGATCCAATGGGGGAGAAATTGAGATGCCAGAGTACTGCAGCGGTCCTGCAATGATAACCTCGTCGTACTCTGCCTCTTCGGATGACTGTACTGAGTCCAAGTCCCCGGTCGGGTGCGAAATAACTCGAACTGTACCATCGTCCTTCCGTTCGATTGCCGTGACAGTTGTGTTCAATCGCACATCCGCCTTGGAAGACTTGGCTGCACCGGCGAATATCCGCCAATTTCCACCGTCGATTGACACTGCCCCATCCGTGGCCATGCAGACCATCGATTCCAAGCCGTGGATGACCGCCAAGTTCTGACCATAGTTCACACGGGTACTCGCTTGGATGATCTCCCGAGCAAACAACTGCCCAATTCCGTTAGTATCAAGAAATTGATCTCCAGGTGTCGAGGTAGCATCCAACAGATCAACCTCTGTCGCAGCCTCGGAAAGTGACTGGAATGGGAAAATCGGTTCCTCGTAAAGACGTAGAAACCTGCCCACGATATTCTTCATCAAGTTCTGTGTGTAGAGCGGCGCTAGACCATATCGCCAGAAAAGCCGGCCAATGTTCCACCAACTATAGCTATTTTTGAGTGTGAAGACAAACTGCGTTCCATCCCAGATACCGATGGATTCCTCGGCTTCCTTGGGTCGGGCGTGGTCGGCGCTGCGTACACCAAGGCCGAGATCGCGTGATGCATTCACGAGTATTTCGTTGACCTGGACGAAGATGGAAGCACCTAGTTCGATTGGATAGGCTGGGTCGTCAAAGGCGTCGACTGTAGTTGAGCGGCCGCCGATATACGAGGCACGCTCATATATGGTGATGTTGAGAGGGATACCAGCCTCATCTGCAAGTTTACGCAATTCGTATGCTGCAAAGGAGCCTCCAGCTCCAGCTCCTGTTCTTCTCGTTAAATATGATTCGTAAAGGAAATTGGTTGATGGTTTTCTGAGCATTGTAAGGAACTATGTATGGTGCCTACCGATGATAGCGACCCGCTTGGAGACGTCATTTGTAGCTAGCTGCAACGGCTGCTGCTGAGCCGCATAGCTGCTTGGAATGAAAGTGATCAATGCGTTGAGAAGCCATAGGCAACTCGAGCTCCGGATAAAATACATCCTCTCAGGCTGCTTGATTGATGCAAGCAGGTTGGAAGTATGCGGAGAGGAGAGGAGGTCGATCATCGATCATCGAGCACGGGATGGATACATACAGTAATTACAATACAGGGGAAACCATAGGAAATGGCTGGGCTGGGCTTGGTGGGGCGTATCGCTTATCGCAGCATTTTTTTGAACGGCGGGGCTTCGCATTGGGAACTCTTCGTCTTCACAATTGATCATTGATCTCCCAATTTGCCGCCATGGATCCTTACGACAGCGACTCCAGTATCGATGAGGACTTTACCGAGACCGGTGTCCTCCTTGGATACGCCAACGACGAAGTCATCGAGGATACAATCAGTCACCTGGGCGGCTGGCCGGTATGCTTCTGTTGAACACAAATTCAATATTCATGCCCAAGATGCTAATAACCATGGCTTGAAATATAGAAATGGCTTGATGAATCTACTCCTCCTCCTGGCGACTTTGCCAGCTGCAAAGTCTGCAATCAACCTCTGATCCTGCTTCTCGAATTGCACGGCGACCTCCCCGACCACTTCCCCAATGATGAACGCCGACTGTACCTTTTTGGATGCCCCAGAAAACCATGCAATCGCAAGCCAGGAAGCATCCGCGCATACCGCTCAACTCGCAAAATCAACCTGGAAAACCCCCAAGCCCACAAACAGGAGGAAAAGAAGAAGCCCGCCGAAAAGGCCCCCGAGCCCACACCTGCTCTCGAGAAACCAAAGCAAGACCTTGGCGCCAGTCTATTTGGAGCCACATCTCTGACAGGTAGTGTCTCCGCGAATACAAACCCTTTCTCCTCCAACTCTGGTGCAGCAGCAGCTGGGGCCAATCCCTTCGCGACGCCGAAATCCACTGCCCCCGCACCATCACCAACCCCCACCAAGAGCGAAACCAACGCGCTGGCCGATTCCTTCGCTGACAAGGTCCGTCTCTCATCCCCAGAAGACGAGTCCAGCATTGCGTCCACAAACCCCGCCGTAGCAACCAAACAAACGCCCGAGTCTGCAGACTCCCAGGAACCCTGGCCCACTCAGTCCGCCTTCCCAGCCCCGTACCAGAACTTCTTCCTGGATGCGGAGTATGAGACTCTCTCGCGGCCTTCGACACCAACAGTCCCGGACAATGTGCAGATGGAGCCCATGGACGAAGACGGAGGTGCCTCTGGTCTGGGCGATCTGAAGGATACATTTGAATCAGAGCTCGACAAGGCCTTCATGAAATTCTCCACCCGCCTCGCGCATAACCCCGAGCAAATCCTCCGCTACGAATACCGCGGTGCACCGCTACTGTATAACTACGCAGATCAGGTGGGCAAGCGCTTACATCCCGATCCTACCGTGGGTAAAGTGACCACCACAGCTAGAGGTAGTATCCCGCATTGCGAGTACTGTGGTAGTGAGCGGGTGTTTGAGCTTCAGCTTACGCCGCATGCGATTAGCGTGCTTGAGGATGGACGTGAGGGTGTTGGACTGGGTAAAGATGATTCTGGAATGGAGTGGGGCACTATCATCCTGGGTGTTTGTGCAAAGGACTGCGCGCCGCAGAAGATTGGCGTTGTCGGTTGGAGAGAGGAGTGGGCTGGTGTGCAGTGGGAGGAGATGAAATAGATGTAGTTGATATACCCCGTCTGGGAGCTGCAAGTAGTTGGAGAACCTTGGAGGGCTTGCATAAAAATAGATTTCATATGTGCATACTTTTGTTTTGACCTGGTAGTCTAGCCTACTGGCAGCCAATGCCTTGGAGGCTTTGGAGTACCTACTACTACTTACCTAGGCAGTACTAACTAGCGCTGCTTGGTTGACTACTGCTTTACTTTTTGAAGAATTGACTCTGTATGTTTTATATGGTAGCAAGTCAACCTTTCACCAGGCTGACTCGTATAGGAGTATGGTATGAACATGGGCATCTCATGCATCCCGTCATCATCCGCTCATTTCAGATAAGAAACAAAACACTGGATCCCAATACAAAACAAGGGGGGCAAATAAATCGAGGAAAGGAAACGCCAGATTGCGCCAGATCCCGACTCATCTCCGAGCCTCCTCCATGCGAACTCTATCACCGTCTCATAGACGGATCGGGGATTCATGAACTCATGTCTCTCTTTTTTGGGGTCTCCCTCGCACAGTCGAGAAAAATCGGAGAAAAAAAAGTTAAAACGGGAAGGGAAAGATGAATAGTTGAGGTTTGAAAGTTGGTGGTGGGGGGAGAGAGGGAAAGAAAAGAAAAACCGCTTAAGCGGCCTGCTCGAAACCGCGGCGGATCACACGGCCGAACATATCGACGCCGACACGCTCGCTCTTGACCTCGCTGCGGGCCTCATTCTCCTTGTTGGTGGGGACGGTAACAACGTCACCCTCGACCTTCCAGCCGCAGACATCAGCGACGAACTTGCCGAGGGCGTCACGGCCGCGAACATCGAGCCACTGCTCCAGGGAATCGGCGGTGATAGAGCGGAAGGTCTTGCCAACCTCGACGGCGATGCGGATGCGAACCAGCTCCTCGAATCCGGCGACATCGGCAGTCAGATCGGCGTAGAGGTCGTCAGAGTTCAGGGTGGACCAGAACTGGGTGTACTGGGCGGACTCAAGGAGGGTCGAGAGGCGGGCGAGCTTCTGCACGGACTCAACGAAGTCGGAAGTCTGGGAGGCGGCCTGGGCCTCGGAAGTGGCAGGGAAAGGCTGAGTGTTGGTGGGAAGCAGAGCGAGGCAGAGCGAGAAGGCGGGAGAAGGGAACACGGTCAAGGCCTTGGCCAGAACGTTGGTGACGGTGTCGGGTTGGAGGAGGTGGGGGTTGAACTGGTAGCTATTAAGTGGGTTCATCGCCATGTTAGCCCAGCTGAACTCCGATAATTCGGTACGTATTCAATGAAAGTAAGTAGCCTTTTTTTCGAGCACATGATACACGCGACCCCAATTCCAATGGAATACATTGGTTTGGTTTCAGAAAGTTCGAAAGTTCTCAACTGCCCCGTTGTACGCAACAGGTTGTCAGGTAATAGGAAACGTGTATGAAAAAGTTCGTTCATCATATAAATCGGTGCACATGCTTTTCAAACGCGGCTGAAGAGAATAAGAAAGTCGACCAACTTACAGCTTCAGCAGAGCCAGGTTGGCGTAGCAGTCGAAGGATCGGTCCTCGCACTGCTGCTGGATGTAGTCCTGGAAGACCGTGGTGGTCTCGGGGTTGTACCGGTCGAGGCCATTGAGGATGGCATCGATATGCGCCGGCCGGGTTTCACACTTGTCGAAAGCGACCATCTTTGCTGTTAACGAGGGGGATGTGAATGCGGGTCTTTGCTTTGTCCCTGGACGTCTTTTTGGTGGGATTTTTGATTGTGGCCCGGATGGCCGGAAGAACCAAAACGGGTTAGTTCCCCCGGAGTTACACCCTCCGAACTATACGGGTGAGATGTACATTTCAAATCGATCTGGACAAGTGCTACAGATGGGCCGATGGGCTACTTGTGAGAATTTAATACTATGTGATGCTCGAAAAATCATGTTCAAAAATCAGAATAAGCCAGTGGCTGCTTGGTAATCGTGTTCGGATAGTACATAGAATACATGTCTCTTGAATGCCTCGTTGAGAATCATCAAACGGTCAGTCGTAAGTCAGCGCGAGTGAACGCCTGAAAGTGAGACAGCTGCCACTCTAGTGAGATGGCATGATTCACTCGTCTTTGGAAATGAAGAATGTGCGTATGGCATCCAAGAGAGAGAGGGGATGATCCCAAAATGAAGAGACGGAAGAAAGCAACGAAAAGAAATCCATGGAAATGAAAAAAAAAAATTGAAAAAAAAAGAACTCCAATCTCCTTGTCTGTGAGACGCCATAGTCTATGCCCAAATAATCATCATGCGGAAGAGAAGAAAGAAGAGGATGAAAAAGTCGATGAAGAGATCAAGCTGAGATATGCAAAACGAACCAGGCCACAACATGATAGCGTCGCTTGTAAGCACAATTGGTAGGAACAGAGCATGGTTCGAAAACGATCATTTTGAGGCGAAAGGAAACATGCCTCGCAGAAATCAAAGCAATCGGGGTATCTCGAAAGGAGGTGCGGATGAAAAATGAAGTAATGCTTCAGGCCACAACGGACCGGCGGGTGGTAATGGGAATCGGCTGAGGGCCGGAGGTGATGTTGAGCTTGCCCATGTCAAGATCGTTGCCATCGTAGTTAGATGTAGACTGATGTTTCTTGGCGCGTTCTGCACTAGTTGAAACGAGAACCGGCTGGTCGGCGCCAGCACTTGCCTCATCTCCCACGGTACTGCAGACAAAGCGTTCATCGGAGATAGGAACGCCACCAAACATCGAGCCCAGCTGCTGTAGCAACGCCACAAAGTGGGCGTGAAGCTCAGTGAAGATGTACTCGTTGCCGACAATCTCTGCGAGATTGCGCGCACGGATCTGGCCGAGCCGTCGCGAGTTACCTGTCGGGTCCATGGCACGGCCGGTCAGGAAAGAGGAAACAGGGGGTTGCTGTCGGCCAGCGGCCTTGTTTGCGGAGTTGGTCTGTTCCTCGCGGCGTTTTTCCTCTTCTTGGAAACGCTCCGCAGCACTTACAATGCTGGATGCGATCCGGCCAAATGCGCGCCAGATGATGGGGCAGGCTCGAAAAGCTCTTCCGGCATCCTTTCCGGCCAGAGCCACCAAGGCATAGCTGCGTCGCTTGCCACGCGCCATAGGGTCCGGAAGGCGGAAAATGTATGCAATTGTGTAGCCAGCCACGGAGTCGCCGAAGCACAGAGGGCCGGAGGACAGACCGCGGGGGAGAAGCTCACAGCTCAGTGTGCGAATCGAGGAGCGTCGGAGAAGCGCATAGTCCGTGGGGTTCGGAGGACCGCGGAGTGAGAGGTAGGTGAGGATATGGGTATGACATGATGCGTCAGACGCAACGGAAGAAGAATGCAGAGATTCTGGGGGAGAGGAATGGGCGTGAGAGTCGAAGGTGTCGTCATCGAGGTCGGAATGGCTGCTGCCGCATGAATTGACAACCTCGCGCGATCGCAGGACGGGGCTGCTGCTGTTCTTGTTGTCGCGATTTCCGGGAGCCCCGGCTGGTAGTTGCCTGCTCACGCCTTCGGGTAGAGATAGGCTACAACTGGCGCATGTGTCGCCATCTGCGCCGCCGACCCGGTTGGAACGATCCTCGGGGGAGGTAGGTTGTTGTGCCCGCATGAAGTACGGGTGGTCTTCGATCTTGGGTGATTTGGAGCCGGAGGATGGCTCAGTAGATCTGAGGTCTGGTGAAGTAGACTCGCGAGGAGAGGAAGAGGTGGTGGATAGAGTGGTCTCATCGTGGTCGGGATGGCATTGAGTGCAGGAGAAAGGGACGACCTGAGAGCAGATGATAGAGGTGGGCCCATGCACTTCGCAGAAGTGCGTCAGGGAAAGCTGTATTGAAGTCATGATTAGGAAAGGAACGAAGCGAAGGCGACAAAGCCAAGGGGGAAGAAGGAGAAGGTGAGGCGAATGACGGGCATGACAGGATGGGTTTGGGGTGTAAGGAAAAGTGAAAGTACGAGACCCAATACTTACAATGAAATCCATGGCAGGAAGATCACGACTCACGCAGCAGCAGACAGTTTAGTCCGTCATGACGGAGCATGCCGCGATTGGCGTGGTATGCGCGGATCCACCGACCAGGTTCCTGGAGAGAGGGCGAACGAGATGCATATAAAGAAATCGGGGGGGGGGGAGGAAGTTTGACCTTTGAGGTAGGGATGGGATGGGATATGAGATATGGGGGGGGGGGGGATATGGGGGGTGGGCGCCTTTTGCCACGGCCCAAAGCCAAAGGTATTACATTACATTTACCGATTCCTCCAACCTCTCTGTATCCATTACCATTTCCCGATTCTCATAAGGTGGTTCTTGTTTCGGTCTTCGACCGAGTGGAGCCGACCTCGCGCGACAGCCTCCCCTTCTGAGACGATGGAAGGCCCATGGAAGCATCGAACTGATCCACTTTGCCCACTGAGGCTTTTCCGATTAGGAAGTCCAGTATGGATCGGAGTATATACTATGTGCAGTTCAGTTCATGCTGGAGTACTCGGTACTCTGTATACTCTTACTCTGTGTACTCGGTACTCTGTATGTATACACTGGCGTATGCACATAATCTGTAGATACGGACAGTCACAGTCAATGTACGAGTACACCATATCTACGACTCACATTCCACTCCTTACCTTTCCCCCTTTGCATGTGAACTAGACGGTATCGGCCCGACTGCTGAACTCGGGGGCCCAATGGATGGATACTCGTACATGGATGGATTTGGATGGGAATGAAGGAAAAGGGAAGGCTGCAAACAGTCCCGGGGGGGAATGCCGGCTCTTCTTCCGGCTTGGATGCGATCGATCTATCATTTCTTTCCTACCCCTTCCTCTACTCGTAGCAGAGCAATCTCTTTGCTCTTGCTCTTTGCTTTTTCGAGTCCTCATTCTGTGACCATTCCCACTCCCATTCCCTCCTATTTCATTTCATATCATCCACTTCATATCACCCAATTTCAACTGCGACCTCGGAGGGGTTTAACACTGATTCCTTCATCAGCACAAGGGCGCATTCCTCGGGCTCCGATTTGTTCATTGTTCCCGGATGTTACTGACGGGATGCATCATCCATCTACTCCGGCGAAACTCTAACCTAGAAGGCTGAACCCAAATTCAATTGCAATCTATCTATTTCGTACTCCCTACTCCCTTTCGGTATATTGATTTTCTCCGCTAGGCTACGCTACGGAGTCGTCCCACCTGGGCCTCCGTCGGTTACGGACGATCGTGAACCGATCGTCGTTTCGACCCAATCCATCTGTCCTTCCAGAAATCCCCAAGCCCATCTTCCAAAGGTGACTAGTCGGCTAGCGTCCGAACTGTCGGGTGCCAGTGTTGTATGTGTATTGCATCCTTCTGCAGGGATAGTCTCCCACCCCCTCGTATCGGAGTGCAGGAGGGGACGAGGTCCCCCTCTCAACGAGGCTGCCGCCGTTTAGTGATGAGGAGTGAGATTGACAGGGACGGTCCCGAATATCTTCCGTGGCAATTTGGAAACTGTCCTGCATGGTTCAAGTTGCACCTCGCACGGCACGGAGGTGAATTCCATTAAATCATGACTTTTCTGGCCTTTTACCCGCCGGTCATAGGGATCCCCAATTCCCTTTCCCCCACCCCCAACTAGATGATCCGTGTACTAGTCCAAAATCACAATTACAGTACCTCTCCCACCTGCTTCCTCTATGTACATAGAATTCTTCCGAGCCCGGAAATGAAAGGGAACAGCGCTCTTCCGCCCACCCGCGCGCCCGCACACTCGCATCCCGCATTCACATCCGCCCACACGCCGACATTCGAATAGCCGTCCCACCCGCAGAATTCATACAGTAATCCCTGTTTGCCTGTTCACCCATTGGACCTCTTCCCTCTTCCCTCCTCCACAGTGAAAAAAGAGTAACGGCCGGAGAGTCTCCAGTTTGAGGGATTTAATGGGCTTACTCGGGAGTTGGTGAGTGGCTACGAGAAAAGAATGGCTGCAACCACCCATGGATCCGAACCACTTTGTCGCCCAATGGTCCAATGGTTCCCTTCAAGGAGGGTCCTATCGACGCTACGATGTATTTCGATTCTGCAGCCTTTTTGTTCCTTTTCGATCTTATCCTATTTTGATCTTCGCTTTTATGGAGTTAGGCGATTGAAATCAAATCGGCACACATCAGGGAGAACGTGGCTTGGGTCGAGCCCTGCCCATATTATTAATGCTCCCTGGCCCGGATGGGGCCAGAGCAGTGTGGGAGCCCGAGTACGAGTATGCATTACTATGCACTATGACTTTCGACCGAATATCCATATAAACAAACCCCCGAGTCTCCCCATCATACCTCGGCCGGTCGGCTAGCTCAACGGCGACTTGCCTAACTTAGGACATCCCATCACGCGGATCACTACGCTCGTCCCGGCAGTAGTATGTACGAGTATCGCAGATCCTCGGCTCTCTGCAAGGCCCCGGCCTAAAAATCTAGCATACTCCGTACATACTCCGTACATACATAGACTACTTTTACGTTTCTAGATCGCCCAATTTCCACGTGGCGCTAAACAGTCTGGAGCTGCCGACTTAGTCGCATGTCTCACAAAGTGATCCATGCAGTCGCACCACATGTGATGACGGACCACACTTACCCCTCCTCCTCCTCCCCAAAGGCGACACAGCATGGAGAAGGAGCATGGAGCTCAGCTCGTCTGACCATGTACTCCATACGGAGTACAGAGGTACGTAAAACTCGCGCGAGTTTCACTCAGGCCCAACCAAAATTTTCGCGTGGATCGAAAGGGCCCGGTGCGAAAATCGTGGGTGGAGCGGGTCCTACAGAGGAAACTCTTTTCGACCGACCTGCTCTTGCGGGCACACCGGGTGGGTTCCCCGTGGATTCTCCCGTGGGTTCGTGGATCCCATGTCAAGTTCAACCTTACGCTTGGGGACGTTGAAATGGCTCTCAAACTGTAAATTGGAACCGCCGGAGTGGTGTGTACCTGAGCTTGGCATTCCCGATCTGGAAGGCAGATCATTTCGCCACTCTGCAGATGAAAACAAATAGAAGCAACAATTGACACGGAGGGCCCGACGCTGGGTCTCCGCTGCAGATCCCTATAAGCGGCTCATGCATGCATACTCCGAATGTATGTATATTGCAGTTGCGATATGATCTGCAGCTCGCTTTCAAGTCACGCGCAGTTCGCAGATTCCTTTCTGCCCTATACAGATGGAGGGATGGTCAGGATTGGTTCATGTCTCAGAATCATATGGCTGCGCGCCTCTCTCCCCGGCCTAGGCTGCGATTCTAGAGGGGCACAAGGCGCATGTTTCAAAAGTGCTGGAAATGTGCTCACGCCGATTAATTAGTTGCATACTCCGTAACACTCGGCCTTTTCTCGTGAGTCGAATTCACGGGTATGTTCCGAGCAGCCGAGGACAAGACAGCCCGTCCCGGCCGTGATTACCGATTATAGACACGCAATGGAAATTTGAACGCTCATGTAGACTTCATACTCATTGCCGGTCATCCTTGGGCATACGCAGGTTCATCATAGACAGCATGTTGCCGGCGGGTCCCGCCGTTCCGGCTTGTCCCTGTAGAGCTTCCAACAAATTCTTGGCCAGATTGATGTTGACATTGTCGTCTTCATCTTCCTCCGCATTGGCATTAGATGATTCACCGGTTTGGTTTTTAGATGAGGCCCCAGCCGTCAATTTCTGCTGTTTCCGGTTGAGGTCAAGAACTCCGGTCCCTTTGAGCTCGGCCTCCATCTGTCGAGATAGCTCATGGATCTGTTCCGTGTCATCCTCCTCATCTGTATCCAGGTCTTTAATTCGGTTTCGTAGTGGTGTTTCGAGGGATGGTCCCTGACCGGACCCGGAAGGCATTCCCATCATCTCCTTCATCATTTTAGCAAATTCCTCTTCGTTGAACGAAGCCTCCTTGTCTTCCTCCTCGTCACTCAGTTCCTCATAGTCATCATCGACGTCGGAGTCCGAGTCAAAATCATCGATGAAGTCAGCTCCATCGAAACCGGCTGAGTTATCATTCAAGAACTCTTCAAACCGGGCCACTATCCGTTGAAGGTTTTCCTGAGCTCCTGCATCGCCGAAGTTGCCGCCTTCTGCCGTGTCACCCTTTCCTTTTCCCTTTAATTCCCTGTCCAGATCTTCAAAGTTTATGTCCATCCACTTCTCATCGTCTTCTCGCTTGTCCCAGGATTTTTCGATTTCACCATCAGTGGGAAGAGTCTCATCACCGGTCTCAATATCCTCCAACAACAGTTTCATTTCGCGAACAGCGGCTTTGTCCTGATGATGTGGATCGTAGAGTAGCATTTCGAACCCACAAGCGAGCTTCATTCCAGCTTCGGCTCGAGCATATGCTTTCTCGTTTTCCGTCCCGGGCAATTTACCCGCCCAAGTGTTCGGGGCCGGAAATTCCTGACTTTTCAGCTGTGCAAATCCGACTCGCGTAAATCGAACGCTCACGGTCACCAGGTCATCTGGCTTGAAGGTAAGATCAGAGGCGTCCTTCGCACGGAGTGGTTGAAGGGCAATAGGATCCCGAATGTAAAACGCTTCCACCGCTGGTGATATGTATGCCGATTTCTGGTGCAAAAGGTATGCTACCTTGCGGGGGATGGTCACGATTGCAGAGTGAAGGTTATCGGCGATTTGTTTGGGGTAGTTGCGCAGTCGATAAAACGCCTCCTCTTGTATCATGGGGGATTTCATAAAGCGCGAGGGTTCTCCTTGGATGATCTTTCTAGCCTCTGAGAAAGACAATTTCTCAGTGACCTTTCTGGTTGTCTCCTGTTTGGGCTTGATGATTCTGAGGTCTCCTTGATGGATCCAAACCTTTGATGGAGATAGATTGTTAGAAGATTTATTCCAGTAAACATCAATGGAAAACTCACCCTATTGTCCGCCACCTCCGGCTCGAGCCAGGAAGGAAGTGTCCCCGCGGCCTCAATGAGCAGGAATTCCCCGTCACTATCTGCGACCTTGATCCAAATATCTGGATGGCGTTTGCTCAATTCGCGAAGGATGTATACAATGACCCATTCATCTTCAATGGAGTCTCCATAGTTGGTGCGACCATGAAGTGATGTTATGCCTAAGTGTGATATATATATATCCGAGATTAGAACGTGCAAGCTGATAAGATATGATCATATCATAGGAACGTGCGAGATTTACATACCATCATCCTTTTGAATCTCCAGTCGAAAGCTTTCCCGCTGCCAGATATAATCCTTGAGCAGTTCCTTGGTCAAATCAGACGCGGTGCGCTGGACCTCGAGCAATCGTGCCCTAGTCTCGGCAGCATCATCGATAACGGCGGGGGCGGGGGAGGGGAGGTGATAAACGAAGTACTGGACCGAGTCGTCGGGCAACTCTGGCTTGGGGATTGGGCGGAAAGTGGACTTGAACCACGCGATATCCTCCTCGGTTGCCATTGCTGGGAAATTGAAAGGGAAAACTTCCGAGTCTTCTCAGGTTCACCGCATGACCTCACCTCAAAATGGCATTCCTTCCGCCAAAAAAAAGGCGGAAGGAGCGACCCACCCGTGACCTGCGCACTAGTCCGCATTTGGCTAGGAATCAACAGTGACGCTTCGCTCGTCGCATCTCTCGCCCAAAAACACGTCTGGTCCCAACCTTTTGCCCTCCGATATCTCCGATTTTCGACAGCAATGGTCGCGTGTTGAATGGTCCTTACTTTCCGAGGCGCGATTTTGTCACAATGGCGTTCCCTTACATCGACACGCCGCGAACCGAAATCGACGGAAACGCGACTTACTTGACCAACGGGTTTCGAAGCGTGGGAAGGACGCAGCTTTCGGCGTTGGACTCGGTGGAAAACTCATTTCACACACCTTCCAAGGATAACGACGTGATCAAGGGCTTCGGCGATGGACGAAGACGCACACATGGGACCTCTAAGGTCGGCACCCCACGCGCGAGCACGGCACAGCGGTCGACCAGAACTGCCTTGAGGCACCTCCCAACCGCAGCACCGGCTAGCGGGGAGTTTACACCTTTAATGAAGAGCGCGACCAAGAACAATTTCCTAAAGAACGTGTCGACAACCCGAGGAGCAGACGATCCGAGGACGCCTGGTTTTATGCGAGGCGGCAATCGCAGCAGCGCCCACACCCCAGGATTACCTACGATGGATATGTCGGATATATACGAAGAAGATATGACTACCGATGATCTGACGCCTCTTCCTCAAGTTGCTAGCAGCAGCGCACAAAGCACTCCGATGCCCGGTCTCATAGGACGTGACGGCAAGGGTATTCTGGGTGACGGTCAAAATATGACGCTTAAGGAGCAAGAGCGGGTATGAGAACTTTCTTCGAATTTGCTGTTGGTGCTGATCAGTTGCTAATTTTTTCTTCCAGATTATCGATAGGCTCGACAAAGATAACTGGAACCTCAAGCTCAAGATCCACTATTTGGAAGAGCAGATCGAAAAGGCCGGACCGGAATACAATACGTTAGCACTGAAGGAGAACACCGAGCTCAAGGTCGCGAGGTTGACCATGCAACGCGATATCTCCCGGTACAAGAAGAATTTGCTTCAGGCGGAACGTGATTTGGAGGACTATCGACAACAACTCGTGGAGGTGAAAGAACGAGCTCGGCGGAAGCAAACCGACGAGGAGGTGCAACGCGAGATGGACGCCATGCGGGAGGAAATTGATTCTAGGGACAATGAGCTCCGAGAACTTCGAGAAGAGCTAAGATTGTCTAAAGATGAAAAATCCCAGGAGGCCGAAAAGCTGCGCGACGAGGTGGAAGATCTGGAAGCGTCACTTCGAGAGAAGGAACGGGCCATTGATGAGCGCGATGAAGAGCTCGAGGAACTGCGAGAAAATGGCAAGGAGAGTGATGCCGCCGCAGAGCTTCAAGCTGAGCTTGACCGTGCCAAGGAGCAAATCGAAGAGCTTCAGGATAGTCTTGAAAAGGTCAAATTGGATTCTCAAGAAGCAAACGAGTCTGCTAGGCAAGCTATTGATGAAAAGGACCGTGCCGAGGAGGACCTTCGAGAGTTACAGGATGAAATGTCGAATAAATCTGTCATGACAAAGGGCTTTAGTCGACAGTTGGAGGAGAGAGCCGAAAAGCTCGAGGAAGAAGTGCAGAGCCTACGCCAAGAGAACGAAAATCTCGCAACGGAAGTCGAAAGAAAAACCCAATCAGTCTCTCGATTGGAGCAGCGCTACGAAGATATCCAACAAGACCTGAAGAACAACGCCGGAAAGCTAGGCGAAGATCTGGAATCGGCAAGACGCGACCGGGATTTGGCCCAACAACAACTTGAAAGGTCATCCGCTTATCTTCAGGAGGCTCGCGAGGAGATTCAACGCCGAAACGAGGAGAAGGAGCTTCTGCAGACTCGTCACCATGCCTTGACTGATGAATCTGGGGGTTTACAGAGTGAGCTTGCTCGGGCACAGTCACGGATCCGCGAGCTTCAATCGGCCGTTGAAGAAGCAACAAACAGGGCCCAGGACACTCAAAACGTCCGCTGGCAGCAAAAACTGGAAGTCGATCGATTGCAAGATGAGATCGAAGCCCTTCAGCACGAGATCGAGGATAAAGAAGGCCACTTTGCCCTCGAGCAGGATAGGTGGGAGAGCACGAAACGCACCTTGCAGTCACAGAAAGACCGTGCCGAAGAACAGGCCATGGGCTATAAGCGGACAGTTGAAAGGCTTCAAGAAACCGAGCACACTCTTTCTGGAAAAGAATACAAGCTTCAAGAAGCCATCGACAGCGAGAAACAGCGCCATACCCAAGAAGAAGCCGTTCTGAGCCGCCAAATCAAGGACCTCGATAACGATCTTTCTCAGAAGAGGCAAATCATCGATGAACAGCGCAACGACCTCTTGACCGTGAGAGAAGAGCTCCGTATCTCACGCCGCGAGGAACAGTCTTTCAAGGACAAACTGCAGGCACTCGAGGATGAAGTCGTGGTACTGCAGTCGAGCTTGGCAGATGAACAAGAATACGCCAAGGGTCGACTCCTGAAGGGGTCTTCAGATGTGGAGAACCAATTGCAGAAAGCAATTGCAGACAGACAGACGCTTCGAGACCAACTTGCCAATGCTCATGTCGAAATGCACGATCTGCGGGCCACTGTGACTGAAATCGAGGCCGAGCGTAACGAACTACATGCTCAGCTCGATCAACCTCAGAATGCCGACGATACCACTCGCCTCGATCGTGAAAAACTCGAACTCCGAAGGGCTTCAACACGACTTGAGAATGAGTTGAAACGGTTAAGAGACGATAAATCATCCCTTCTTGAGGCCAAGAGTACCCTTGAGAAGCAACTTGGCTCCGAGATCGAACGCGCCGCGGCAGATGAGGGTCGCCTTTCAGCTGAAATTGACCGTCTTCAGGATAAGCTTCTTGCAGGCTCTGGAAACCGAGACCGAGAATTGACGACGGCCAAGACGAAAGTGCAGCGACTCGAAAGACGTATCTCAGAACTCGAAACCATCATTGAAAACCAACCTCCAATGGAGATCGAGCCATCAACGGCCCATGGGGACCTATCCCTTCTTCGACTCGGCCTCGAAGAGGCTCGTCTGCGTGAAAAGAATCTTTTGCAACGGGAAGCTGACCAGAAAGCATCTGTGCGCGCCTTGAAGTCCCGGGTGGCTGACCTGGAGAGGGATCTCCATGGTGCCCTCATGAACAAATATGAGTCGCCCTCTGTACAAAGCTCACCTTCCAACAAGCTTCACGAGGAGCTACGAAGCTTGCGCAAACAGCTTTCGGACGCTCACCGGTCTCTCAAGGAGACCAAGTCCAAGAACCGGGATCTTGAGCGTGCTGCCATGAAGGAGGAGGACCAGAAGGATTTGCACGAGTTGCTGAAGTCATCCACCCTCGAAGCCGAATCCCTGGCATTGAAGGTCTCTGAGCGCGATTCTCGATTGAACGAGCTGAAAAGCCAAGTACGCCGTATTCGCGAGGAGCGTGCATACTGCGTTCGCAAAGTTGAATCAACAGCCAAGGACTTGGAAGCGCTTCAGCAACGTTACGACGAAGCTTTGGAGAAGGTCTCTCTTGGAAAATCGACAAACAAATCCAAGCACGAGAAGGAAATGCGTGGACTGGGCAAAGAAATTGTCTGGCTTCGTGCTCGACTGCACCGAGAGGAGAAGTTCCGTCGTGATTTGGCTTGGAGCAAGGGACTGATGGAGCTCGGCGAGCGTGTCCGTGTAGCATGGTTCGTATCTCCCCTTCTTAAAAGCAATACAGGTCAACTAACATGGTTTGATACACAATAGCAACGAAGCCGATCTTCGCCTGATTTCCGAGATGGGCGTCCAAGCTCGCGACCGCACTTCCACGCGTACACCTCGCAGCAAATTCCGATCTGCTATCTCCATGGTCGTGGCTGCTGTTCGCATGCAACGGATGGGCCAGGAATGGCGGCGAACGAAGAAGATTGGCGAAGGCTTGAAGCGAGCCAAGAGCGAAATGCTGAAGCGTCGCGAGAGCTCGAATCGAAGTCTGCTCGGCCAGTAAATGCCTCACTCCGACCAGCTGTCACTGTGTCGTCTTGTTTTTATAGGCCACTTTGCGCCTTTTTCATTCCCCAGCGTCTTACATTCCGCCACGAGAGATTCCCCGACATGTCTTGCTTGTACACACCTTCCTTTTTGTCTGTTCGGTTTCCTTCTTTCCAGCATAGGGCGTTCGAAGGACTTTTTTGTGTTCTCCACTTGGGTATTTGGCATTGCTTGAGCATAATGAATGACTGGCGTGAGATCGGATGATAATTATGTCAATTTCAGGTTGTGTAACTTCGACTAGAATTGATTTTGAAATAGATTTATCCTTAGTCAACAGGACTTTGATACTTGTAAAGGGTAGTGTTTCAATCTACAGACGAACCATACAAGAGCAGATGGTAGGGAACAAGCATGTATGTGACTGTTGCTCTTATGACGACAACCCGCCAGGATTAAAAAAAAGACATGGATATTTGCTCGATGAACGCCTCGCCGTTGCCAAGGTACTCAAAACCAGTAAAACAAAAACGCTTCTGAATACCAAAATTCTTCAGAGACACGAACCCCAAGCCCCAACATCCCGCAACTGGTCAAAACACGGTCTATTTCAAGACTGGCATCCTTCAGTATTCAACAAGAAGAAATGGTGTGTGATGCCCTATGAGTGATCTGTTGTAATAGGAAATGAAAATGAGATGTTTTCAATGCAACACATGAGACAAGAGGTGACTGCCCCTTTGCTTATGCTCCCTCGCTGCCGAACTCCTTCGTCCACTCCGAGTTCCTTGTGAGATCCTCGATGCTGACTGTCGGCCGGGAATTACGCACGGCCTTAATGAAATCCTTCAGAACGAGCGGGGGCTCGAGGAGCTTCTCGGCTTCCACGCTGAGCCAGGTCATCTCCACTGCGCCGGCATCGCCTGGTGAACAAGGTGTGACTTTCTCCTCGCCTTCAACAGTTACCTAGAAAGGGTATGTTAATGAGACACCCAATTGAATGGATACGGGCGGCGACAAACCTTCTTATAGTGTGTTGCGGTTTGAATCTTGCGAATAGGTTGCATCAGGGCATCCTGCACAGCGATGCTGATATCACTACCGGAGTAGCCCTCACTCATCTCGGCTAGTTGCTTGTAGTCTGGTTGTGTCATGTGACACGGTGTCGAGCCCACGGCCAGCATGAACATCTTCATCCGTGCATTGAAATCAGGCAGACTGATGTGAACTCTGCGCTGGAATCGTCGCCTAATGGCGGCATCCAATTGCCAAGGAATGTTGGTTGCACCCAGAATCAAAACTCCCTTAGAGTCATTTCCCACACCATCCATTTGAACCAGAAGCTCGGTCTTGATACGTCGCGACGCCTCGGATTCACCTTCGCCACGCGGTCCGCACAGCGCATCGACCTCGTCAATGAAGATAATTGCAGGCTTATTTTCACGGGCCATATTGAAGAGCTGTTTCACAAGCCTAGAGAGGTCTGTCAGTCGTATAGTTCGTACACAGAGGCAATGCGCTTACCTTTCACTTTCACCCATCCACTTCGACACCAAGTCACTGCTGCTCACACTGAAGAATGTGCTGTTTGCCTCCGTTGCGACAGCTTTCGCAAGATAGGACTTTCCGGTACCCGGGGGGGCCATAGAGCAAGATGCCTTTCCAGGGTTGTCGCTTGCCAGTAAAAAGGTGCGGGAACTTGATCGGGAGAATGACGGCCTCTTTCAGTGCCTCCTTCGCGCTCTCCAGGCCAGCAACGTCCTCCCATTTAACATTCGGCTTGTCAGATAAGATGGCCCCTTGAAGCGCCGAGCGAAGCTTTTTGGATTCCGCGTCCTCGCCGTTATCGTCTTCTTTCCTGTTAAGTGATTTCTGTCAGCTCTGTGTAATACTTGCAGATGCGTACTTTGACCGGTCCGAATCCAACAGAACATTCTCCGAATATGAATAACAATAGGTCCGTAGGCACGGCAGGCTCAAGAACGCAAAATCAAGGGCGGGGCAAATAACGTACTCGCCCTTCCCACTTCCCTGCGATACCTTGCCATTCGCGCCCACCGCGCTTGGCTTTTTCCCACCGTCCGGCGTTGCAAGATGATTTTTCAGCTTCTCTGCGCGATCCATGTACTCGCCAGCCTTCGCCCGGATCATCTCCTTCGACCGGGGGGTTCTTCTCCCACTTGAGAGCCAGCATAAACAACTCCAATGCGGAGTAGTAGAGTTGATAAGCCTTCTCGTACTCGCCGTCATTGTCATTCTCGATCGCCTTCTTGACGGTATCGATTGCCCGCCCCAAGAAATCCGTGTTACTCATGCTGGCGGGAGCGAGGTGGTGCCTATCGTCACGTTTCGGAGTTGTGGCAAGTCGACCGCGGAGCGAGAAAGCGGGGATCGTGGGTTCAAGCAGGGGTCTCGGTGTGCGCAGGCAGCGGCTCAACGAAAGGCAGCAGCTGGTAGGGGGAAAGTGGCAGGTTCAAAGATTGGACGAAGTGTAGGAATGGCGAAATTCGCTGCGGGGGGGGTGTGGATGATGGAATTGGAGGGGTGGGAAGTGGAAGAGAGTCGTCGCCGGGCGGAAGTCGATCCACCGGGCTTTCTCCTCTGCCACCTCCCCGCCAACCGTCGCTATGGACGCCCAGAAACAGTTACAGGCACTTTCCGACGAGTTCCAGCAGCTGCAGACCGGTATGTTAGCCTTGATGATTGTTATCTCCATCACTATAAATGATTTCTGACTGTTTCTTCGCCAGAGCTCGAGGGTCTGGTCGATGCCCGCCAAAAGCTCGAGTCCCAGCAACAGGAGAACCAGGGCGTGCAGAGTGAATTCGCCCAACTCGATGATGAATCAAATATCTACAAGCTCGTTGGACCGGTGCTGCTGAAGCAAGACAAGGCTGAGGCCACCATGGCTGTGAACGGTCGGTTGGAGTTCATTGAGAAGGAAATGTGAGCTATGCCAGCTTCTTGTTTGCCGGAATTATTCGCTAACCCATCTTCAGCAAGCGCATTGAAGGGGAGATTACAGAGAAGGAGGAGAATGGCGAGAAAAAGCGTGCTGAGGTAACGATTGACCTCTTATGGCCCAGACCACGAAGTGTATGCTAACTGCAATGTCTACAAACAGGTTCTTCAGATCCAAGCTCAGGCTCAGGCCCAGCAGCAGCAGCAGGCCGCAGCTGCTTCAGCCTAAATCTCAAAATAATTCGAATGCATTCTCCTCGCAAAACAAATTAAAACCCGGAAGGGGACTAATCAACTGGATTTGACCATAAAATAGGATGAAATGCGCACGGCCTGGCTTTCATGTGTAGTTTGAATGATCTCCACCTGTTGGAAATCCATCATTGCTGGCCGTTTGACATAGGTTTGTTTGAGGTTCGATAAATTAAACAGGCCACGTCGAGATACGATTGTGATATCTAGATCTCTGGAATACTATGAATGATGAATGCTTCGATGTACTATGGGATTGCCGGTGGATACTGTAGCCATCATTTACCAAGGTTCCTATAAAATTCGACAGAGCTTTCATATCTGACCTCGGACTTGTGTAGCTTCAGTAGTCTTCGTTGAAGCCAGACTGCTTTTGTCTCTTGGAATGTTCTCAATATAGTAGTTTCCGTGATGACTCCGAGCTATACTAGTACTAGTAGGTAATTGTTAGTAAAGCGCTTGGCATCCGTCGATGATTTTGCTAAATTTTGATACATTCAGCGTGATTATCAAGGTGCCTTTTCTTATACTCCCAGTTGTACTAAAATGAAACCTTGGAATTTAGTTTCCATCAGCCTAGGTACGCTGCCGTGAAGATTTCGACTTCAAGTTGGCCCGCAGTCCGAAGGTCATCAGAGTCATACTGTGTTTCAATTTTCAAACCACTTCCTAGGTTTGCTGTGGTCCACACCTGGGCAATTGACTTGTTTGAATAATCATTCAACCTCTTTACTTTGAGCCATGATCCATTATCAACTTGAACGTTGGAATTTACCATTGGGAAATTTGGCTAAATCCGGAAATGCTGCACCTCTATTCTCTTTTCATAGTATTGACATTTCAAACATCCGTCATTTATTCATTTCCATAGCCAGAAACATTTACGTGAAGTAAATCTAAAATCTATGCCTTGACCAGCAGGCTCTTGCCAGTCATCTCGGCAGGTTGCTCAATGCCCATGGCAGCCAGGACAGTAGGGGCAACATCTCCCAGAACACCACCCTTCTTGGCGAGGCTCCAGCCAGCAGGGGCATTGGCCATAACGAAGGGCACCTGGTTGAGGGTGTGAGAGGTCTTAGGTGTGCCCTTATCGTTGAGCATCTCCTCGGCATTTCTATTACGATTGGTTAGTTTTCATGCGGATTTGATAACACTTCCGAGGGAGACTCACCCGTGATCGGCAGTAATCATGAGGATGTAGTTGTTCTTCACACAGGCCTCGTAGATCTCACCGATAGCCTTGTCGGTGGCAGCGACACCCTGAATAGCAGCCTCGTAGACACCAGTGTGACCAACCATGTCAGGGGGAGCGAAGTTGTTCATAACGAAGTCAAAATTCTTCTCTCCAAGACGCTCGGCCATCTTGGTGCCGACCTGGGCAGCGCTCATCTTGGGGTCAAGATCGTAGGTAGCCACGCGGGGCGAGGGAATCATGTCACGGACTTCGCCGGGGAACTGCTTCTCGATACCGCCGTTGAAGAAGAAAGTGACGTGAGCGTACTTCTCAGTCTCAGCAATGTGGCATTGCTGCAGGTTCTTCTTGGCCAGCCATTCGGCCAAGACGTTGCCCATGTGTTGGGGAGGGAAGGCAACGGGGAAGGTGTAGTCGGTCTTGTATTGAGTCATAGTGGTAATGGAGATGTTCTTAGGGTAGGGGAAATCGGGTCTGGGGGAGCGGTCGTAGTCACCCAAAAGCTGAGTGATCTCACGAACACGGTCAGAGCGGTAGTTGAAGAAGAACAGGGTGTCGTTGTCTGATAAGAAGTTAGTAAGTGCTATTTCAAGAGCTATATTTGAGATCGTGGGAACTGACCCTGTATGCGACGCTCCTTGCCGCCAACGATGATAGGCTTGAGGAATTCATCGGTCTCCTTCTTCTCATAACGATCCCGGATAGTCTGGAGAGGGTCGGAGCTGTCCTCGCCCTCGCCAGTGATCATTCCCTTCATACCAACCTCGACACGCTCCCAGCGCTTGTCGCGGTCCATAATGTAGTAGCGACCAACAACGGTGGCGATAGAACCAATACCAACTTCCTTGATCTTATTGAGCAACTGCTCCATGTATAGGGCAGAGCTCTTGGGGTCGGTGTCACGACCATCACCGAAGAAGTGAATGAAGACCTCGGGGATCTGCATCTCCTTGGCGACATCAAGCAGAGAGAACAGGTGGGTGATGTTGGAGTGAACACCACCGTCCGAGACCAGACCGCACAAGTGCAGACGACCGTTACCCTCCTTAGCACGAGCGAAGGCCTTGGCGATGTTCTCAACCTTGTTCATCTCGCCGTTCTTCATGGTCTGGTCAATGCGGACACTGTCCTGCCACACCACACGACCAGCACCAATGTTAAGATGACCGACCTCACTGTTACCCATCAGGCCCTCGGGAAGACCGACAGCAAGCGAGGAAGCATCCAATCCAGTGTAACCCTGAGCAGTCTTCGAGTTCGCCTCGGCGAAGCCGGACATGAACGGGGTCTCGGCGGCGGCGATAGCATCGCCCTGAGGAGGGGAGTTGGGGCCAGCGATACCCCAACCGTCAATGACGACTGCAAGATGGTGGTTAGTTTGGGGATATTCTGGGGACCTGGGGGGGCAAGTCGATCATACTCAAAGCAACTTTTTGGTCGACCGCAGCCATGGTGGGGTGTATTGTCTCGTAATGACACCTGCAGCACGAATCAATGGCTGAACCGAAAAAAGATCAAGGATCAATTTGAGGGGTATATGGCTTACCTACAGGCAGATGATGAGAGGAAGAAGAGAAAGGGGGAGAAAACCGTTGCAGTCGAAAATTGGCTGGCCGGTGAAGGAGGGGCACAGTTTCCCCCCGGTGACGCTTTTGGTCCTGAGGCCTCCGATGCTCCGACGTCACCTTCCGTTCCGACTCTTCCCTAAACACTTATCCCAGCCGGCTACTGGTCGTTCTTCACCCTTATACCCTCGGGTTCCGATCTGTCTTAGATCTGCAATGGCTTCTAGATCTCCAACCGCTGCTACTCCGCTACCCAAGTCCTCGGTCGCGCCCGAGAGTCCTTCTAGGGAGGCGAACACGATTCTGCCACCACCCCAGACCGTCCCCTTCCCTCCACCACAGACATTTGAGATACTCCCACAACTCCATGGGATTCTTCTTCGCTTGCTTTCACAGAAGCCTGCTGGAAATGTTGCTGTAGGGGGCCCTGGGGAAGGTACTGCAGTTCCAGGCTCATCCACAGAGGCTCATCCAGATGGCCAACAACCACCGTCAAACATCCCCGGCAGCGAGTCCAATGACCCTACAGCTTCTCAAGCTGCAGCTGGTGCCATCGATCCAAATGCCCCTCCGCCACTCGACGTCAAAGATCTTCCCACCGAAACCCACTCGGTCAAAATTCGAATCCAAAAGGCACGGGCCGTGGTAGAAGGACTTCCGGACGTGCAGCGATCTGTCGAGGAGCAACAAGACGAAATATCTGAGCTTGAGGACCGTGTGGCCCGTTTACGTTCTGTCATTTCAGACTTTGGAACCCGAGCAGCGCAGGACCCGCTGGATCATCCCAGAGTGACAGTGGCTTGAAGCTCGTGAAGGGTATATAACCCTAAGGATACGAAAGAAACAATCGCGAGGAGTTGGATGCAATTAGCTTCCTAGATTTTTTCGTTGGCGTTAAGGAATGGAATACCCAAAATGTATTTAGCGATCATCTATTATGGGACATTATGTCCAGGCTTGTCTTAAAATGCATGTCGTGCTTCGGAATTGTAAGAAAAGTATTCGGTGCAGCTATGTTCTGCCTATACAAAAAAAATGACAACTCTAAAGGCCAATCCCTAGCGTCAAGAAGTAAAAGAAAACATACAATTTCCCCATCCAAGGACCCTCGCCCCCGATCCGGCGAAAGTCTCCGATATCGTTCAACAGAAAATCTGCCTGAGGCAGCGGTCGATCACTCCGCCCCTCCCCCCCACCACCCAGCTTTTTTTTCTTCTCTCTTCTCTTCATTCTATATATCCTCCCTTTCTCTCTCCCTTTTCTTAGTTCATCAACGAGAAAAAACTTCCATCACAATGACTTACGCTCTGTCCGAAGCCCACAAGGCTGTGAGTCTTCCATACCGTCCCATCACAGGCAAAGAACATATCATTGACTCATCACTTCTTCTATACAGCAAATGCACAATGGCCTCAAGGAGTCCGACCCTGAGATCTCCGAGATCATGGTACGTGGACTATTCAATCTAATTGAGCTTCCAATGCCTTGATGGCTTGGTCAAACTCTCTCAAGTTAGCTTTACTGACCTTGGGTATCGTTTACAGGAGCGCGAGATTCAGCGTCAGCGCGAGTCTGTCGTCCTGATCGCCTCGGAGAACTTCACCTCCTCCGCCGTCTTCCAGGCCCTTGGTACCCCCATGTCCAACAAGTACTCCGAGGGTTACCCCGGTGCTCGTTACTACGGTGGCAACCAGCACATTGATGCCATTGAGATCACCTGCCAGAACCGTGCTCTGAAGGCCTTCAACCTGGACCCCGCCAAGTGGGGTGTCAACGTCCAGTGCCTGTCTGGCTCCCCCGCCAACCTGCAGGTCTACCAGGCTCTGATGCGCCCTCACGACCGTCTGATGGGTCTTGACCTCCCCCCACGGTGGTCACTTGAGTCACGGTTACCAGACCGCTACCCGGAAGATCTCTGCTGTCTCTACCTACTTCGAGACCTTCCCCTACCGTGTCAACCTTGAGACTGGTATTATCGATTATGACCAGCTCGAGACTAACGCCGAGATGTACCGCCCTAAGTGCCTGGTCGCTGGTACCTCCGCCTACTGCCGTCTGATTGACTACAAGCGCATGCGCCAGATCGCTGACAAGGTCGGCGCCTACCTGATTGTCGACATGGCCCACATCTCGGGTCTGATTGCTGCTGGTGTCATTCCCTCTCCCTTCGAGTACGCCGATGTTGTCACCACCACCACCCACAAGTCCCTCCGTGGTCCCCGTGGTGCCATGATCTTCTTCCGCAAGGGTGTCCGCAGCACCGATAAGGCCGGCAAGGAGGTCCTGTACGACCTGGAGAACCCCATCAACTTCTCCGTCTTCCCTGGTCACCAGGGTGGTCCTCACAACCACACCATCACTGCTCTGGCCGTTGCCCTTAAGCAGGTTGACACTCCCGAGTTCAAGCAGTACCAGGAGCAGGTCATCAAGAATGCCAAGGCCATTGAGAACGAGTTCAAGGTCCTTGGCCACAAGCTCGTCTCTGACGGTACTGACAGCCACATGGTTCTCCTGGACCTGCGTGCCAAGGCCCTCGACGGTGCCCGTGTTGAGGCTGTCCTTGAGCAGATCAACATTGCTTGCAACAAGAACTCCATCCCCGGTGACAAGTCTGCCCTGACCCCCTGCGGTATCCGCATTGGTGCCCCCGCCATGACCACCCGTGGTATGGGCGAGGAGGACTTCAAGCGCATTGCCGACTACATCAACCAGACTATCGACCTGTGCAAGAAGATCCAGAGTGAGCTGCCCAAGGAAGCCAACAAGCTCAAGGACTTCAAGGCCAAGGTCGCCTCCGAGACTGTCCCTGAGATCCTGGCTCTCCGCAAGGAGATTTCCGCCTGGGCCAGCACCTTCCCTCTGCCCGTCTAAAGTGGTCATTTGACTGCAATATGAAAGGGGAAGATAATTGTTAGGATATGAAAGTCACGAAGAGAGATTCTATTTGAGATCTCGCGAGTTCAACATCATCTACGAAAGCGTCGCAAGATGCGAAATATCACACGGTGCGTTTTATGGGGTTTTTTTGATACAGGTCTGCTCTTTCAACCTAAGGGACATCTGGGATTTTGGTTATTCTGTTTATTTTTATTTATCTTTTTCATTTTATGAGCATGTGCAACGAGCAATTTCTTTCCACCTCCCCGCTCATTCAACTGCGGGAGGTCCTGGATTCTACAGGAGACAAAAAGTTCAACATAATCTGGCGTGTGGGCCTTTGCTTTTGCTGTACATCACCCAACCATTTTACTCTTGGAATTCCAATACAACCAAATGCGTGGTTGGACAAACTTTTCTTTTCCCACAAGGAACTCATGAAGTACCTCCCTCTAGTTCTCAAGTACCTTCATTACTGATCCCGAATAGTGAAGGTACCTTGTCTGCACCTCGTAGGTACTTTGGGTCTTTTATGTAATGCTCACTCACGTGCTGGCTAGGCCCCTCAGTCCACCTTCCACCTTCCAACTTCCAACCTTGGAGGATCCCCCTCGAGACTTCCTCTACCGTTGCGTCACTCATTTTTTATGCGCTGAAATCACCCCCGTGTCCTTACAGATCGCCTTGGTTCTGTCCCGAGTCTTTTCGAGGCAGCTGTTGCTATATTCAAGCCTGTTGGCCCCTCCCCCGCTTTACTACTGGTTTCGATAAGGAAGCGTCGATCTTATCGTTGTGTCGGACCGTTGCGGATTTCACCCATTGGAAGTCGTCGTCTTCCAAGTTGACCAGACTCGCGGTCGTTCCAGGTATCTAAAACGACACGGCAGTGCAGAAGCTCCTTCATCAGAGGGAGAGAGAGAACAGTGGAAGCGAAATCAAGAGCCCAGCCCCCCGCAGAAATGGCCAATGCAGCGCAGTGTTACTATTGTTTCGAAACCCTGTCCGCTTCATTTGAGAACCGTGAGCCTGCCTCTCTGGCAGCCGTAGAGGCTCTCTGGGAGCAACACGAGCAGTCTAAGAAGTTATCAGACCTCGAAGCCCGAGGGGAGGGTACCCTTTCGGACGAGGACGCAGAAGATTATGATGAGCCATGTCTGTCGGAGTCTGTAAATGACGATGATGATAGTGGTGATGCAAAGCGACTGTCCAAGAGTAATCGGCCTCAGGGCCTTAAATTACGCAGCATCAATCGTCTGCAGAGTCTAATTCCCTCAGACTCATCCAGTGCGGCAACCACGCCATCCTCCGCTTCCAACACATCTTCCAATTCTCAACTGTCTAGCTCGACCGCTGTGACCACACCCGGCTCTCTGTCAGATGTTCCCGGGTCGCGAAATAAACCAACAGACCAGAAATACCCATTATTCGTGACCTGGAATACCATCTCTAGGAGCGGATCTAAATCCCTACGCGGCTGCATAGGCACCTTCGAAGCGCAAGACCTCCCAACGGGACTGAAGTCGTATGCAAAGACCTCGTATGTCGCCATGCTCTACACCTTTCATTTACTTCTCCGGCGTGCCGGCCAATTGCCTCTCAACTAACCGTGAAAATAGGGCCTTTGAAGATACCCGCTTTGCTCCGATTCCTCGGTCTCTTCTACCTTCGCTGTCATGCTCTTTGACCCTTCTGGGTTCGTTCGAGCCGTGTACCAATGCCATGGACTGGACGCTAGGTACCCACGGTATCCGTATCTCATTCGTCCACCGTGGTCGGCGCTATGGTGCGACGTATTTGCCCGATGTTGCTGTCGAACAAGGCTGGACAAAGGAAGAAACAATCGAAAGCTTAATGCGGAAAGCTGGGTGGGATGGTGGTGTTGGTAGCGTTGCTAGGAGACTTCTGCGAACCAATGCTGGAGGGTCAAATGCCGAGAAGCCCTGGGAAGAGGTCTCGGATTTCCGGACTGTCAAGTATCAAGGACTGAAGGCGAGTGCGAGTTACGCGGGCTGGCAGGAATGGCGAAAGTGGGTGCTTTCTTTGGATGATGGCCAGGAACTCCTTGGTTTAGCCTGATCTTGGGGAACATCACATCCCAAGGGTTCATTTCCTTTTCACTAGATATTGTTTTGCGACACTCATGATTATGACATGTTTTATTTGTTGGCCGAGAGCTATTATTTTCGGGAAAGCATTATGATAACGACCCAATCCAACCAACTCAATTATTTTTTAAGTTGCATTCTACTCACTTCAGAAAACTTTGACATGCAATAATAATAACCTGAACAATTGAATAGTTCCGAGCCATAAATCATGGTTATTTGATTCGTGATATCTAGAGCCACCGGAAACAATCCAAGTTCCATAATAAGCAGAATATGTGTAATTTATCAACAAGACAAGATAAATACCTGAATAGCCGTAGCAGATGTCATTTATTTGCCATGACCTCGACTCCATAGCCCGGCCACCATCTCCTTAACTCGACGCTCCTGCTCACGAATTTGCTCCTCCGTCTGGCCACGCGCATTCCCCCGGCTGTCGATCTGCATAGGACTACTGCCATCATTGGCAGTGGGGGTTTCCTGACGCTGTTCCTCGACAACCTCATTTCCATTAACACGCTCAGGCTTGGGGTCAATACTCATTACGCCGTCCATCATGAAGCCGCCACCCTCGCGCAGCTTGTTGATAGCACGCACGGTGTCGATGGCCCGGTGCAGAGTGCGGCGTGCGTTGAAGTTCTTCTTGACAGTAGGCAGAAGATCCTCGCCAGAGCCCTTTCTCAAAGTGTCGGGGGGCGGGCTGATCCAGGGGTGCTGCAGTGCTTCATGGGCGGTCATACGACTGGCCGGCTCAATCGTCAAGCAGCGATTGATGAAGTTGCGGGCTTCTGCCGAGACACCACGCCAGTACTCAAGGGGCGTGAAGGAATAGTCTGCGGCCAAGATGGCTTGCATCTCCTCGAGGTTCGAATCTCGATCAAAGGGTGTGTAACCGCAGAGGAGGAAGTAGGTGATTACACCAATGGCCCAAATGTCACTGCGAAGGAAGACGTTGTTGTCAGTGAAAAAATGGTGATGACTTTCGAGGATATGCTCTCAAGACTCACACTGGCTTTCCGTGGCCACTCTTCTTAAAGATTTCCGGAGCCATGTAACCGGGTGTGCCACATGTTGTTGTCAAAACATGGAATTGTTCTTCATCCATGATTCTAGATAATCCAAAATCGGCAATCAAAAGATCGGCATTATCTTCGGGGGTCCGGAAAAGTAAGTTCTCGGGCTTCAAATCACGATGCACAATACCGTGATCATGCAGATATGCGACGGCCGACAGAACAGCACGAATGAGGTCGGCAGCATCAGACTCGTAGTAGCTTCCTTTGCGACAAATGCGATCAAAAAGTTCCCCGCCAAGAGCCAGGTCTGTCACGAGATATACTAAGGAGCGATCAGGATCAGTATATACTACTAGTACTAGTAGTAATTGAAGTTGAGGGTGTAGAGAACAAAGACTCCAAAATCGCGGGGCAAAAACACATACGATTGTTCATGGTCTCGAAATAGTCCACCAGCGTCAGAATATTCTGATGGCCCATAGACACTTTCTTCAGCACCGCGATCTCATTGCGGACCTATTCGTATGCCCCAATCGACATGGTCAGCCTTCAACGCTCTCTGTACTAAAATACGAGCTTTCCTACCATGTGCTCACGCCCCGCCATGAGGCGCTTGTTGATGACCTTGGCAGCATAGTAGCGACCGGTGTCGATATGGACGCACTCCTTCACGACCGAGTAGGAGCCAGCTCCTAATGTCTTCCCCGTCTTGTAACGACAAGGCTGGACCTGCGTTCGCTGACCGCTCGGAGGTTGCGCCATGAGGTGCGGAGTGCGCGGGGTGAGAATGCAGGTCGGAGGGACGGGAGGGGTGGAGGAGACGAGGTTCAGAAGCGTGGGAGGGCGAGTTATAGACAAATGAGCGTGCTGACAAGGAGTATATATGTCGCTGTTATGTATCTGTAGTGAAAGATAGTCAGTCTCACGCGGTGCGATGTGCCACGGGGGGCGCTCGCATGTGCGGCGAGTTTCAGCCCCGCCATGATTGCGCCGGGGTACCAACAGATGGGTGATTCAGCCACTGGGAAGGTTGGCAGGTGAGTGCCAGTGGAGGGGAAGGGAGAGGGAAGAGGAGAGGAGAAGAGAGGAGAGGAGTGCAGGAGTGAAACGGAGGGATTGAGTTCCAGTTCGATGGGGGAAGTGTCCAGACTCCCCAAGAATCCCCAAGAGTCCCAATTATTGGGGCCCGCGGATCGACAGATCAGGGCTAGTCGATTGCCCTTGTCGTGTGGGCAATAGGATACTAGTAGATACTACTCGGAGACTCTTGGAATGGCTTACAGGAGAACCATCAGGTGGAATATTTTTAAATTTTAAATGTTAGATGTTATTCAGTAGAAATTCATATTCAAAAGAGTCAGACAACACCGACTGCCATGCAAAACAATTAAAAAATAAACCAAACCAAACCAAAAGAAAAGAAAAAAAACAGACAACTCCCCCTGATGCGCCTCGGAACATCATAAATCAACATTCAGAAGACAAATGGAAAACGTCAGACAAGGGAAAAAAAGAACATGTGACAATATCATCTACATTTGAGCAAGAACACCCTCAACAACATTATCCAGCAGTTGCAGGCTGTGGAACTTGGCCGCACTCTGCAACACTCGTAATTTCTTCTCCATCTCTTTCCGATCGACCGTCGTGGCCCACGTTCCACTGCAAGAACAGTGCTCGGAGAACTCACTCATTTTGAGACTCTTGCACTTGGAACACTTAAGATCCTGTGTCTGCCACTCGACAATGAGACCTTGCACCTGACCAATCAGCACCTCCTCTTGTGCCAGTCGATCGTATTCAGTTTGACAGAATGGACAACGCCACGGCTTTGGCGTCTTTGCGTCCGACCCAGGATCTGGGAGCACGTCCTCGTCACGGCAGAGATCGAGATCGCGGATGAGACAGCACGCGTTACATGTGAGCTCTTGGAGTTTCAGGTTGGCACTAGGGTTTTCGAAGCGACCCTCCTTACTGAACTCACGGACTTCGAAGAGAGCAAGCAGTTCGCGGCGTAGCAGGCGGGACTCGAGTGTTGTTGTCTTGGATAGACTCAGGACTTGCATGAGTAGTTTCACCAATTCCAACGCCGGGTTGCGCTTGTGACCCTTGGGATCGTCCAGAACACCAGGAAGAACAGGGAAAGCATAATCGGACGCAAGTTCGGGGTGAAGCATCTCGTCGCGCTGGCGGCGAATGAGACCAGTTATTTGTTTCTTCAGAGGCTTGGAGAACCGATCTGCCAGAACAGCAGAGAGCTCCTCGCTATCCTTATCCATAGGCTGGGTAATGGGGATCTGCGTCAAGCGAGGAGTGGAAGATATCTCGGCATCCTGAAGGTCAGGTCGCTTCAACGTGTGCATCAGCTCGATATACTCAACAACCCAATCATGGAAAATAGTCTGCATGGGTGTTGGTAAGAACCGACTGAGTTGCCAATGCATGACAGTCTCAAGCTCTTGGTGTTCGGCTTCGACCACCTCCCGGCACCCTTTCCCACCATAGTTATACTCATCATACCAGACTAGGTAATCCCAGTATTCCTTGATTTCAAGATCGATGAAGTGAAATGAAGGATTTCCTCGGATAGACTTCAAGACATATTGACTATAGGCGTAGGCGTTACCGACCTCAGTCTTGGTCGTTTGGAGGAGAAGACGAGTAGGGCTGGCGAAAATGACGTTCGAGCCAACTCGTCTAAACTCGGCCATCAGCCTCTGGAAAGATTTTCGAGAAAGCAAGCGGACATAGTTGTGCAAGGAACGGTCATAGAGACACGACACTGGGCTCTCCACCCATCGGATCAAGTGTTGAACCATGATGTCGGCCATGCTATTACCGGCACACGCCTCCGTCCACCAGTGTTTGACCATTTCTCGCAACACAACGGCACCAGCAGATGCAAAAGCTTTTTCAGAGTAAAGCACCCCTGAGTCATCTGCAGCCCCCCGGAGGGAGCCAAGAGGCTATCAGTGCCACCTTCCATTTCGTTGACAATTGAGGAAGTGAGAATTGTGTTAATGGCAAGGTTGCGAATGTCCAACTCGATGCAAACCGTGGTGTACGCACTTGGTGCGTTCGCAGATGGCATATTGACTTTCTCTAGTGATCCCATGACATCGTCCTTTTCATACCCAGCATGGTCTGGTCGCGGCCCATGAGACCACCAGAGAACAACGTTGCTTTTTTGAAGTCGTCGGGCATATGAGATATCGATCAAGTATCGAGGATCGTCTGTCTCGAGGTTGCAGAGAGGTACATCGCCATACCGGGCAAGCATGGTTAGATGCTGTATCCACGCAGACAAGTATAGGTAGTGTGTGACGAGGCGCCTGGCGATGAATGACTGCCATCCAAGGGGGGGGCAGATTCATGTCTGAGATTTCGGGCTTCACAGAAAGGACAGGGTATTCCTTTAGAATAGGAATGTCATGACACAGCCGATCCCTCTGCTGGGACTGAATGACCAAAACAGCTGGCTGGCTCTCGTCGGCTCGAAGCTTCTTGACCAAATCTCCAACTTCCAGATATGCCTTCCTCCTGGTCATCACTTGAGTCGTCTTGAAATGAATCTTGTCCTGATACTCGAAAGCATTCAATGACTGATCCCCGGTGGCGTCCTGCATCTTCCGAGTGAGCAGTTCCGAGTATATTTTATCAACGTTTGGAAGGCCTTGAACATCCCTGGTGCGATTTAAAATGATGATATGTGCCTCCTTCTTGGTTGTTGAAAAGAGGGCAAAGACCTGTCTATCTCCAGAGGCAACGTGGTACAGGTAATGGTATGCCAAGGGTGAGTTCAGCAAGTAAGGCTGATCGGAAGAAGCATGAAGCAGGTTGGAGAGATCAAAGCCACGGTCCAGACCATCGCCCAGAACACCACGCTGCTCTTCATCGAAGGTGCAGTGACTTCCCAATTTGAGCACTGCTCGAATACTGGCAGGGATATTTCGCTCGTAGACGCCCTCGATGCTGGGATGCTGGAACAAAGCGTCCATTTTGTCTGCCTCTTCTAGGAAAACATCCTCAGATAGAGACAACTTAAACAGATGGACCGAGGGATGGCCGTTCGGTAAAGTGTGGTTGACCTTTTCAACTTCACAGTCGGGAACCTCAATATCAGGAAGGGATTCACGTTTCAGATTCACAAAGAATTGCCGAGGAACCTTCACGTTAAGTGCTTGTATTTTCTGATCAATGAGTACGAAGGCCCGAACAATTCCCGGCCGGCCAGTCTCGCAGAGCTGAAGGACCTGCCAAGTACTGATGTATAGCATCTGGGCCTGATTTCGGAAGAAGTTGCTCAATGAGTCGGAGGCAGCACTGGGCCGCTCACCGAAAAGCTGGCGACGGCGAATACGGGCTTGTTTCTGGATCTTCCACTTTTGTTTCTGGTATTTTAGGAACCCTTCATAGTCGTCCGATATAGAAGGCATGGCGGCTGGAAGGCTGGCGAAAGGGTCAAGGGATGTTTTAGGAATCCCTTCGGGGTGTTTTCTTTTCTGGGATACTTTTGCCTCGGGGGATGCTATAAGCTTCTGGGTTGACTGTGCGATAGCTTCATCCATGTCCCCGACATGTTGAACTCGATGGTCCAAGATATTGGTAGATATGCTTGAAAGTGGGTCTTTATCAGACTTAACAAATAGGTCGGTCATCTTCTTTTGCTTGAATTTATCATCCTTGATGTTGATTCGGCGTTGCAACCAATCGGGATGGGCAACACGAGGCACAGGATTGCGTAGCTTTTGAAGAGCGGCCGGAATTGTGATAAGCTTTTGCACCACCGAGCCCAGACGCTCAATGTAGTAGTTCCAGTCGATGATATTCCGAGGATCCATGTCGCCAGGGTCATCCTTGAGCCATTTTCGCAGGAAGAATCGTTTGACGTTCTCCTCCGCTGAGAAGATGGTGACTGGAATGGCTCTTTCCGTGACAGGCGTGTTTCTTGGCCTTGCAGAGATAATGTACTTGCAGTTCAGACCCTTATCCTTCACCATCTGTTCTCCCAGGAATTCTGCTAAGCGTTTGGCTGTCGTAATGGATGTGGACTTCTGATTGCCGTACTCTTCCAGGGGTTTCGTCATGCTTCGGTTTTCCGAAATAAGGTCAATTAATTCTTCATCAGCCAATGTCGCACCATGCTCATAAAGCACGTCCAACCACCGATCGGCGACCCGAGAAACTGCAGCATAAGTCTCCGCAAGGTTGCTTCCCTCCAGAAAGAACTTGAAGATCTGGGTTTGGAAAATCTTGATCAATTTCAACTCTCCTCTCCGCTTGACCTCGAAACCTTTCAATTCAGCTAGGGAACCGTCGTGGTTGAAAACGGCGTATCGCTTCTTCAAGTTCTTATCCTCCTCCTTTGAAGTTGGCAGAATCATGGCCCTGTAGGGTCCGTCGACTTCGAAGAAGATAGAGTTCTCGCTGTAGGTTTCATATTTGTGGGTGGATGTGTCAACAAGAGCCTGGTACTGGTGATTGGTGTATTTTGCGTGAACAAGGTGGTTCAGCATGACACATGGGTACGAAATACCGAGCTTCTTCCCATTTTTGAGCGTGAAAGAAAAATTTTCGGGAAAGCTTCCTGGAAGCATGCACCAAATACCATCTGTATCCAATTCCAAGGGTCGGCCTATGCGCTCAACGAGCTCCCGTGCCATCTGAATAATATGGGCGCCCGTCAGGCAAGTAACACCGGCCATTTCCATGGAGTACCATCGAGAACCCTTTCGCATGACATAACCATAAAAACTGTTCAGAATAACCTTATGGGCGAGTTGTAGGGAGTCAAACAAAATAATCATCTTCTTAGCCTCGTCGATCTCAGCCGCAGAGGCACCGGAAGATACCAAAGAGTCGGTTTTGTTCTTCCAGACCTTCTGTTGGCCTTTGAAATCATAACGTCGATCACGGAAGCTGCGCACCGTATCGACGTAGAAGGGATTTTCTCGCTGGCAAATGATAGCCTCTCGAACCATGGTCTTGCTGTCGTGGATCTTGTGGTAGATCTTCTTGCTGTAGTCTTGTAGTCGTTTCTTCACGATGCCCGCCTGTTCCTCAATGCTGAGTTCGGCGAAGGACCGCATCAGCCCGTTCTTGTTTCGACTGGGGAACCTTTCGTTCCCTATCGCACGCTTGATCATGTTGTACTCGTCCCGTTTGGCTGGCAAGAATTCGCCGCGCCAGGCCCACGGCATTCGTCGATCGCAAGTTTTTCCAGGGCGATTGAAATCGCAAGCCGCACAGTTTGAGTCGTCGATCATGGAATCCGGTTGCAAACGATTGGTAATCATGATGTTTGGATACATGGAAGCGACATCCAAATGATAAATGAAAGGCACTTCGTTTCGAACGGGGTTGTTCCTCAGTTCGAGAAGTTTCTCTGCGATCTGAGCCTTGACTTCATCGAAATTTGCAACATCTTCCATGGACTTCTTTTCTTCCACTTCAATGCTGAACTTGAGGGCATGGTCAAGATCATTCAGAAGCTCATCAATGGCTACTGGATCGACATTGAAAGCAACGGGAATATCACTTCGAAAAACGCCGGCCTCGATACTTTCGACATGTCCACCCACATAAGTTTGTGACTCGAGCAAGTGACCTTCGTAGAAAGACTCATGGGGATCTTTGTGCTTGTTGGGAAGAACGATTTCGTTCTGGTAGGCTTGTACCATGAGCAGCATCTCACACAAAGTTCCAGTTCCCTTGCGTAGAGTGTCATCAGGATTAAGAGGAATGACAGTACACAGGGAGAAAATGAAAGGATGCACGTATTTCATGTACAGGTAGTATGTCGCAACAGCATCGGAAACGGAATATTCGGCAAGAGTTTGGGGCCGCTCGCTTGCATAGGGGGTCATGAGTTCTGGATCGAGTTCGTCTGGATCGTATCCAAGTTTCGCGACTGTCACGGCCTTCAAGCCACGGCTTCCTTGAGGAAGATAACTGTCACGATTGACCCATGCGAAACAATCCATATGAACACAGTTGTCAGCCTGGTAGATGTCTTCGCTGTTCTTCCTGAACCCAATCTCCATGTACATATCGATTCCATTGACGCTAGATCTCGCTTCGACGAACGGCCAATCGAAGAAGTCACCGTTGTATGTGGCAATGACAGTGGGTTTGGCGATCTTGATATGCTCAAAGAAACGCTCCAGTACCCCTCTCTCATTTGGCTCGTTGAAGATGATGAAGGGACCACTGTATTCTGGCTTCGGCGTGTACTCGAAATCATTGATGTCCTCGGAGACGATTTCTCGGTTTGTGATGAGGAACCCCTGCCCGTCAATCATGTATGAAATCATCATGATCTGATCGATGACGGCGTCGGGGAATTTGAGGGGGGAGCTTGGTGGTTTCGATATCGAAGGCAAGGACAACAGGATCTGCACGCTGAAGTCGTTCTTCCAGACAGGTCAATTCTATCACACCGTGCTTTGCTTCAACATTATACCACTTTCCAATTCGAATGTCTGCAATGCGTTAGTCAATTCATAGGCACGCAATGAACGAAGCAGGATCACAAACCCTTGTCGATTGACACTCGAACGTGGTACGGAACATCGTATTCTCTAATATCAACTATAAAATCACTCGCTTGTATGTTGCCGTTAGGTCGTTGCTCATTAAGTATTTCGTCGTCAAAAAGGTCGAAGCCTGTAGCCGCACTTTCGAACTTGTCAGCAAAATGTACTTTTTCATACCAAGGTATAATCCCATACCTGGACATCTCGACATATGCGTCCATCATTGTGGAGTTCTTCTTGTTCTTCTCCGCTAGTGGAAGAATTGCTCTCCGAACCTCCAGTAGGTTGCCGACATTAGCAAAGTTCAATCGGAGGAAAGTCCTTCGGTGGCCGAGAAGGTGATTGGGGAGGTTCAGATCCTCCTTGTCGATGCGCTTGAAGCTCTTGATCAATCCCTCAAAAGATCTCCGGCACCACTCCTCGACTTCCATCTCAAAGCCTTTCTTGACAGCAAGAAGGAAGTACGGATCATATTCCACGGTGGCCTTGAAACTACCCCCATCATCCTGAAGAAAGTAATAATCGACACCAGCACGACCTCCCTTCACATTTGAATCCTCTATCGTCGTGCTGTGCATGTTTATGAGCCATCCTGCTCTTGTCTCGCCGGATTCGAATCGTGGGAAGCCGAGGGTTTCATCGATGCTGTTGGCCAAACGGATGGCCTCGAATTTCTCATCTTGTGAAGTTGCTTCGGTAGATCGTAGGGCTCCGAATTCGACAGTCTTGGTCCGTCTGGGATTGGAGGAAGCTGCGCCTGATCGAAACTTATTGTTCCCATACTTACTGGGCTTTCGGGTAGGCATTGCGACCCTTTTTTTTTTGGCCCGGCCGGGCTTCTCAAAGTAGGACTGGCAAGGGGAAGAGCGTCAAGGGCATGGAAAAGTCGGTAAAAATTTGAGAGAGGAGATCGAGAAGACGTGGGGTGACAAGGTTGGAAAGAGTCGTGTTGCTATGGCCGATATGCCTTTGCGCTCGCCAGTAGGGTCCGGCCGATCTTAATCGTCGCCATTACTCGACGCGTCCGCGCGCCTACGCGTGGGGATTAGTCAACTTCTCGGAATAACTGTCCAAAAAGGGTCGCCCTATCGGATAATCTTCATCTTATGCCCGGCCGATTTCATGGGCCGATTCGAGTCGGAGGTCAATCTACAAATCTATTGCCCACCCAGCAAATATGGCAGACGATTCTAGGGATTCAGGCCCTGCACAAGAGCCCGGCAGCCACCTCCCAGCCAGCACCCCCTCCACCGATCCGAAGAAACCAAAACACGACTTCCCCCAGTCACAAGTCGGAAAGTTATGGGACGCTTTTGGCAACCCGGAGGAACCTCTCAATGCGCTCGCAAATGCGTCATATAAACCACCGGGGAAGAACCGTCAAGATGTCTCCTACTCAGAAGTTATCGGCACATTCTCGGCTTCTGAGCTCTCGACCTTCCACAGAGTCCCATGTGCCCGAGAGTCATTATTGACTGGAATTGGAGCTGGCTTTGGAATTGGTGGGATGCGAGCTGTATTCGGCGGTACGACCATTCGTGATAAACGCACGATTTTGAACGATTAACTAATACTCATATCTAGGGATGCGTTCGTTGTGGTCGGCCGGCAATTGGGCCGTCGGGATATTCGCCATCAGCTCTCTCGCTTCCTATGAGATATGTCGGCGGCGCCGAATCGAAGAGCTGCACGGTATGACAGAAGCGGTCGGATTGATGAAACAAGTCAAGGAAAAGAAGCAGCAGGAAAAGGAAATGGCTGCCGTGGCGGCAGCGCAACGTGCCGAGGAGGAAAGACGCAAGAGTTGGACGAACCTTTCCAACTACAAATTCTGGTAGGGCTAGCCAAGTCTCGGAGTCGGAGAAAAACGGACATTGTCAGGATGTGTTCAGAAGACAATATATTTCATTCCTGTGCTAGGGTGGTTGGCGTCATATCTTCAAGTCATCCCTGTGTATTATAACTCTCAAATGTCCATATTGCTGGCGAAATCAATAGATCATGCAAAAGTCTACTCCCATAACACCAAAATCGACTATACCGACGTAATGCGACCCCCAAAATATAAATGCGAACCGGCTGTAGGTAAATGGCAGACACGATGGTATTTGTTTCCAGCTCATACGTCAAATTTGACTCGTTTTTGAATGGCGCCTTTGTGTATGCTCCGAATTGTGTCGAGATTCATGTCGTCATTCCTCCTTTCTCGTCGCTTTTCGCGTGCATCCCGAGCTTCACGGGTTTTCCATTCAGAAACCTGCCTTTGTCGCTTTTGGGAACGCGCCCAAGCCATAGCTGCTGTTGGTTTAAATCCAACTCCGTTGATTCCGTAACCATCGTCAGTCGGATCTGACGGGTCGTGCCCAGTGATTTCATCATCATGCCATGTGAACGGGTCTTCCAAGTTGGTCTCTGTAAGTGGAGGGGAGAATCGTTGTTTGCGAGAATTTGAAGGCGAACCATGCTCTTGCTGCTTGCTGGGTGATGGCGTAGGTTTTTTCTTTGAAGGTGACTTTGTGGGTGTAGCTGGCAGCTTGTCCTCTGTATCTGATATAGTTACTGGAAGCTGTTGGTCGTCTTGTATATGGTTGGATTCGTCGCTGCTGGGTGGCAAGGCTTCAAGCATAGTCTTCGACTGGTTTTGACACCTCACAACGCATAGCTCCTCAGCTAACAGCTTATTCTGTTCTTCTTTCTCTTGGTTTGGATTGCCTGGTGACACTTGGCCCAACAGACGCTCCCCCCCGAATCGCCAGTTTCCCGAATCGCCCCGCCACTGCGGCGCGAGGACTTTGTCGCCCCAGCTCGGAATCCTCGCGTAGTCGAGCCTCCTGGAAGCTCGCAACTGAAACCGTTGATGTTGGTGATGCCGATGGACTGTAGAAATCTGACTCGGAGGGCTCTCGCTTGCGCTTAGGCGAGTAGTAACTAGGCATTTCCGTCGGCATCATCGCGGGGTTTAGCTTAGGGCGGACAGGATTGTGGGGGCTTCGCAACGGATCAGCCCTAAGGATATCTTGTATATGAAGAACACACTGTCTATCCAGGCCCCATTTACCGATTAGTGAGGGCCGGAAGGGTCCATGGTGCAGAACTGTTCATCAAGAGTGCGGAGAGAGTAAGGTGAGGGGCACAGCCATTGGACGCTCGGGCTGGTTTTGCGATGCGGGAGCCAGTGAATGGGCCAGTGATGCTGCAACTTTGGACTGACTGTGCAATCCTTGGGTCAGGGGAAAAAAGAACTCTCGGTACGCAATTAATAAAAGGCAGACAGTATTCAGGTTCTTCGAATTGTAACAAATTTATATTATCAGATAAAAGATCACGAGATAGAGCAAATCTTATTGCCGTGTAGAATGGCCTAAATCGAATAATTTACAGATCCCCGAGCCCATCGAGTCGTGAACAAGATCAAACATAGAAAGAAAAACCGAACGCCATGACAAAAGACTCCCAGTTTCAAGAAAAGCGCTTTTAAGACTTGTGCTTCTTCTTCGAAGATTCTCCATCATCACCGTGCTTGCGCTTCTTCTTCTTCTCGGACTCACCCTCGCCGACATCCGACTTGCGCTTCTTCTTCTTCTCGCTCTTGTCAGTCTTGTCGCTCTTCTCCTTCTTCTCCTTCTTCTCCTTCTTGTCCTTCTTTTCCTTCTTGTCGGCATCCTCCATCTCCTCGTCGCTGCCATCAACGTCGACATCAATGCCAGCAAGGACGGCATCCATAGCGGATTTCTGCGATATCGGGTTAGCATTCAATTACAAGATTCAAATTTTGACAGTCTAGACATACCATAGCAACCTCGTTCTTGGTGGGGGCAGCACCGGTGGCGTAGAAGTCCAGACGCTCCTCAACTTGCTGCTTAAGAACCTCACCAAACTTAGTGGTCGGGGTCTCGGAGAAGTTGTCGATACGAGAAGCAATAGAGCACTTGTTGGCGAGGAATCGAGAGATACGACCCTTGTTCTTGGGACCGGCGCGGCCAATGAAGGAAGAGTGGTACAGCAAACCATACTTGGGAGTGTTACCCTTGGTCTTCAGAGCACGGAAAAGAGCCTTCTCGGCACCGAGAATCTGGACGGTGGAGGCAGGGTACTTGGACAGGTTGGTCAAGCTACCAGCGTGCGAGATCAGACGGGCACCGACGACCTCACCGATCAGCGTAGCCAGGTTGGGGGCGACAACGCTCATCTTGGAGACCAGGTACTGGTAAAGCTCCTTGCGGTACTTGGCAAGGCTGACAACACGTTCGGCAAAGGCAATGACATTCTCCATGTCGGATTCACCGATCTCCTGACCCATACTGTGCTTGGCGGCATCGATGACGCTCTGGGCAACATCCTTGTCGTCCTCTACGAGAGCGGCAATATCGTGCAGGTGCTCATCATTCAGGTTCTTCTTGTCCTTCACGAAGAGCGCAAGCTGGGCGTAGCGCTGGTTGTCCGAAACAATCTTGTACAGTTCAGGGAAGTGCCAAGAATACCACTCACGAACACGCATGGAGAAGGTGTTGATGGCCTTGTCAAGTTGGTCAAGGATGGCAATAGCCTGAATGATGTGGTTGTCGTCACGCTGGACAGAGAACTTGACCTTAGCGCGGGAGTAGGCGTGACCGAGACCAAGCTGGGCGGTATCCATATCGCCCTCACGGAGCTGGTTCAGCAGCTTGGCGAAGTGAAGACGAATGCCACGGAGAAGATCCTGGACAACCTCGCTGGTGTCACCGGTTTCACACTCCACGAAGGAGAAGGCGGACTTGATGCTACCGGCGAGACCCTTGTCGCAAAGGCCGAGAGTGACCTTGCCCTTCTTGTTGGGCTTGGGAAGGTTCAGTTCGAGGAAAGAAACCAGAGCCTCTGAGGCGACACCTTCAGAGACATCGTTGATTTCACCGAGGGCCTGCTTGTTGTTTCTGGGGGACGTTAGTAAAATGATTTTCGTCGGATGGAAAATTCACATCCTAGGGTCTGGGCGCGCCAAACGTACTCGAAAGGCAGGAAACTAGCCAGCTCAACCATCTTGCCAAACTTGGCAAGGTCGTTGACACCAGTCTGGACCTCCTTCAGGCTGTTGCCCACAATATCGCCCTTCATGGTATTCTTGAAGAGCGAGTAGCCCACAGGGCTCTCGAAGAGAAGATAGTCGGCCATTGTGTTAATCCAAGGCCCAGGTCGAGCGCAAAATTTGACCGGAGGATGTTTTCAGCGACGGACGCCCAGGAAGAATCACTATTGCGATCCGGGGTGGATTGGTGGAACGGGCGTTTTTCGTTAGGGCGGAAAGGCCTTTCAGAGATGAAGTTCGAAATCCGAGAGGGAGCTCTTTTTTTTTCGCCGCTAGTGCGAATCGGTCGTGTGGGCTTTTTGCCAAAATTCATCCTCACCGCCCTCGTCCTCGCCGACCAACGCGGGCATCCAAACTCCTGTGTGCCAGCCAGCTCCCCCTATACCATTATCTGTTCATTTTTCTTGGATTGAACTCCTGTTCACTCCTTTTGATCTACAGATATGTCGGCAACTCAGCTGCTGAACCCCAAGGCCGAGTCCCGGGTATGTATTGATGCCCCTCTACCAGACTGACCCCTCAATGGCCCGCACTAACATTTCATCTAGCGGCGAGGAGAAGCCCTGAAGGTCAACATTGCCGCCGGAGAGGGTCTTCAAGATGTTCTCAAGTCGAACCTGGGTCCCTCGGGTACCCTGAAAATGTCAGTAAAATTCCCTGTTACGAAAAGCGACCGCAATAAAGCTAACAAGATTTCCAGGCTGGTCGACGGTTCAGGCGGAGTACGCACGATATCCCCTTCCCTTCATAACCCCTCGTTGCGGTCATTCTAACGTGGAATCCCTCTAAATAGATCAAATTGACCAAGGATGGAAATGTCTTGCTGCGTGAAATGGTTCGTTGAGATCTTTATGAATCCCCCACAAGGCCACGCCGAATACCGTTGCTAACATTTTGCAGCAAATCCAAAACCCCACAGCTGTAAGACGACATTGCCTCGAACGACCCCTCTATTCTCGCTGATAAATTTGAAAGGTCATGATCGCTCGTGCGGCGACAGCACAAGATGATATCACTGGTGATGGCACAACGTCGGTTGTGCTCCTGGTGGGAGAGCTCCTGAAGCAGGCGGATCGTCATATCACGGAGGGACTACACCCCCGAGTGATCACTGATGGTTATGAGATTGCCAAGGATGAGACCTTGAAGGTATTCACCCAACACAGAGAGAGGCGATTGGTGCTCAGATCTAACTCTTTGACTCCCCCAGTTCCTTGACCAGTTCAAACTCGAGCGTCCCATCGACCGCGAGCTGCTCCTTTCCGTCGCTCGTACCTCCCTTTCCACCAAGCTGAACCATGCCATGGCTGAGAAGCTCACCCCTGATATCGTTGATGCCGTTCTCGCCATCCACCGAGCCCCCGAAAAGCCTGACTTGCACATGGTTGAGATCATGACGATGCAACACCGCACATCATCCGAAACCCGCTTGATCCGCGGTCTGGCTCTGGATCACGGTGCCCGTCACCCGGATATGCCCAAGCGTGTGGAGAATGCTTTCATCCTGACATTGAACGTCAGTCTTGAGTACGAGAAGTCCGAGATCAACTCCGGCTTTTACTACTCTTCTGCCGAGCAGAGAGATAAGCTGGTAGAGAGCGAGCGCAAGTTCGTCGATGCTAAGCTGCAGAAGATCGTGGAGCTCAAGAAGCAGGTTTGCGGCAATGACCCCAAGAAGGGCTTCGTTGTCATCAACCAGAAGGGTATTGACCCCTTGAGCCTGGACGTTCTAGTCAAGAACGGCATCATGGCTCTCCGAAGAGCCAAGCGCAGAAACATGGAGCGTCTGCAGCTGGTGTGCGGAGGTACCGCGCAGAACAGTGTCGAGGAAATGACCCCGGATGTGCTTGGCTGGGCAGGTCTGGTTTATGAGCACCAGCTTGGTGAGGAGAAGTTCACATTTGTCGAGGAGGTCAAGGATCCCAAGTCCGTGACTATTCTCATCAAGGGCCCCAACCAACACACCATTGCTCAAGTCAAGGATGCCGTGCGTGATGGTCTTCGCTCTGTCTACAACTCGATTGTTGACGGTTGTGTCATCCCCGGTGCCGGTGCCTTCCAAGTTGCTTGTGCTGACCACCTGAAGTCGGAGGTACTTCGCAACACCAAGGGCAAGGCCAAGTGGGGTGTTGAGGCATTTGCCGATTCGCTTTTGATCATTCCCAAGACTCTAGCTGCCAACGCCGGCCACGACATCCAGGACTCTCTCGCTGCCATGCAGTACGAGTGCAAGGATGGTAACATTGTCGGTCTGGACTTGAACACCGGCGAGCCGATGGATCCTGTGCAAGAGGGTGTCTTCGACTCCTACCGGGTGCTTCGTAACTGCATCGCTTCCAGCACTGGTATCGCATCTAACCTTCTTCTGTGCGATGAGCTGCTGAAGGCTCGCCAGATGAGCAAGGCTAGTGGCCCTGGTGGCGAGGAGTAATGCAGTCAATAAAGATACTCGGTGATTTCATGTAAAGAATTAGATGGACCGGGCTTGATGTTTTGGGTTTTTTCAAGATTCTAGTCCACAAAAAATGCACACAATAATTTTCACACGAGACACCTGGAGCTTCCAGTAGGTTGATTGTCATAGAGAAAGAAACCACTGAAGTAAATGTCTAATCAGGTCGATTCCAGCGGCATATGATACTACAGTTCGAACATCGTAGCGCACGTAACGCACATTGGTCATTATTATCGTCATCGCTAAAAGGACTATTATTACATTACATGACAACTATCGCCCGTCTGCCTCTGAACTGCTTTCAATCTGATCAGAGATAGCCATAGGCAGCCATTCTCCCACGAAGCCCTCCTCTTTCACCGGATCCGCCAAAGAGAGGTGGTTGATATTCGCCCATTCCTTCACGTCTGACTTGCGGATGACCATCGTGGGGCCTTTATCAGCTTCATCATCTCCAGTCAGTCGAGGGAGTTTTCGTTTCTTAGGAGATGTGTCGGGCTGAAGAACACCCATGAACTTGACCGCCGTGACGACATCTTCGGTCAACATTCCGGTAGCGAGGCCGATGTCCTCGACGGTCATCAGCTCCCTTGGAGGATTCTTCCGAGCGAATTTCGAGGTATTGGGTTTCCGAGGGGAATTGTCAAGATTGTTGTCGGGACGCTCTCCGCAAAGCAAGTACCTTGCAATTCGCTCGGCCCAGAAACGATTATAACTCTTCTGTCCTAGGTCGCTGAGGGGCTTCTCTGGCCCACCAATATATCCACCGGGGGCTTCCCAACCACTGAGCTTGTAGCTCACTCCCATTAACAACTTTCCAAGCTGCTTATGTTGATATGGCGGAAAGACACAAATACAAGCGAGGTTGTTGGCATCCCACGAGAGCTTTTCTCGGGAGTAGAAACCGAGAACATGGTAGTTTTCCGAGTTGGTCGGGTCGGTGAAGGTGAGGATATAGTAAAGAAAAGTCGCTACATCAAAAAAGACGGTCTTGTGGTCGAGAAATAGTTTGGCAAATAGCGACAAGTTTTGTCCGAATAGTTTGTGTTCTTCCCCATCAACTTCCCATACGGCGTAGCCGCCGTATTCATATACTTTGTTGCCCGGTGGTGTTATGCGGTGTACACACGCTCGTGTGTGTTCGGCAAAAGCGACTGTCTCGCATGAATATCTAAAACACCAGCGGCATACGTATAGGCAATCGGCGTCCTTCGCAACAAGGTCTTCCGGGTATATGGACTGGTACCACGGCGTGAAAAGGAGATCTCCCAGCACAACATTCTTCACATTGCGGTCGCCTGGACTCTGAAGACGCGATGGGGGTTTAGCGGTGGCCATTGACGCGCGTCAATATAAGGTGATTGCACGGTGCACTGTCTCCCGGCTTCAAGTAGTCCTCTTGATGAAGGTAGACTTCAAAACATCAGGCCATTGGCGTTACCGCGTGGGCAATTGGTTGGAGAGGTATGGTCGCACCGACATTGGCGACTAGGTGGGCATTGAAGCAAGTGGCGGAGTACGGGATAACGAGGGTGTTGAAGCCTTGAGGATGAACAATACCATTTTGGCCCTAAGCTTGGCGCGTCCGTCACCATTCACGTGTCAGGTGACCCAGTGGGGCTTGTCTCTATCTTATCTGGCTGCCTGGAATTTGGATGTACCAACGGGGTAAGAGAGTACCATACTGCTCTGAGGTCATCCCATCCCTGAGCGTGCATCCTTCCATTTTCATCTTCTCGCCTCCCAGTCCAAACTATTGCAGGCAACAGCAATAGGTATCTCATGATATTTGACGTTGTATCCACTTTCTCTCGTGGTTCCCCAAACAATTTGGGAATCATCACAACTTCCCGCTTCTAGCCAAACCGCGAGAACCGCCCCCACCCGGCTTATACCCCGGGCCTGTCAGGGTCCCCTCTCACCACGATGTTGAAGCCCTTCCAGATCAGAGATCTCCACGGATCTTCATCCCGAGATCAGGAGGAGCCCTCAAATCGCTCCAACGGCGCGGTTCAGATCTCAGCTGTCGACTATGATCACCTCGCCTCAACCCATCCCCGAGCAAGACTTAGTTATCTTGACGATGATGATGGTGACAATATCGAGGTAAGATATCATTCTCCTTCAATCTTGATCTATTCTTCTACTCACACACATACTGCTTATAGGTCGGATCCTCACTAGAACTGTCCCAGCGCCTCGATGAGCCCGTTAAAATCGAAGCAATCCAAATCTCCAGAGATGAGCCGACACCCATGCACCTCTTTGATATTCGCCGATCCAACTCAATCACTGAGCTATGGAAGCGATTCGAGAAGCAAGCTTCCGACACCCTCGAGACAGGTGAAGTGAAAAGCAGCGTTACTACGGAAGAATACTCCAACGATAAGCCTGCCAACGACCAAGCACCAGCTACCTTGAACACTACGTCCGTTTTCACATCCGGTGAAAACCCTCTTTTGAGTGGATATGAGGCCGAGCTTGCAATTCTAGCCAACCATGCCAGTCCATACCTACCGAAGGGCTCACAGCCAACTTCCTCGACCGAAGCTGGGCCAAATGCGCCTAATGTTGCTAGAGAGGAATCACCGCCCCTCATGGCAGCATTCGAGGCCGAATTAGCGAGCCTAATGAACTCTACGGAGGACTCTACCACCAGGGGTCAGCAGACAGAGTCATCGCCTCAGCCAGATCAAGGTGCAGACTCGAGCTCGCAACGGACTCCTCACCCTGTCGAGATCCTTGCAGCTCAAGTCCTCAGCCATCTAGCAAATGGCGCTAATATGGTCCAATCTGAATTCACCGCAAGGTTGCCAGAAATGCAGCGTCAGCTAAATGATGCACGGGAACAGCTACGAGATGCGCAGAGAACTCTACCTGAGAATGTCAGAATGTCGCTGCATACTCTTCTCTCCACGATTGAGGCTCGAATGAAAATCGCACTGGGGAGTCTGCCTACGGGAGGGCGTCAATTTGCAGAAGAAGCATTACACGCCGGAAGACCCGTGGCCGAGAACGCTGCAGATGGATTCCGCACGATGGCGTCTGACTTTAATGAGTTCGGAAAGTCATTATATGCAGCGTTCGAAGAGGAATTTGGACGATCTGTCTTTGCACCCGCAAGTACGGGGCCTAGTGCGCCTAACACCACTGGTGCTGCGGCCTCTGGTTCTGCAGATGATTGTCCTCCTTCGTCAGAACCTACCTCTCACAACGCTGAAACCCAGCCCATGGATTCGAAAAGAGATGATGCCCCAGTTGCCAGTCAACCTCCGGTGTATACCGGCAAAAATATGAATGCTTCTGCCGTGCCGTCGGGACCTGAGAATCTCAACCAAGGTGCCCAAGCGGGTAGTCATTTTCCATATCCTCCTCGTTATCATCGAGGCTCTCATGTCCATATGAGACCTCCGCATTCTCGAAACCTACCCCAATGGGTTGGTCCACCCCCACCCCCAGCCCATTGGGGGGGGGATATCCCCCGCCTCCCACCTTCTGGCCATCTTTAGGTCCTTTGCCATGGAATCTCCCTCCTACTCGCCATGGTCGCCACCATCCAGTACCTCCGCCCCATCCTCGCCCACCTCCTCCGCCACCATACCCAGGTCGATGGCCCGTTCCTGGTTCCTTTGGCCATCTGTTCACCACACCCCACAACCATCCCAACCAAACCCATCCGGCACCTGTGGCTACCGCTGAAGTCCCTTCAAGGGATGCTGATACACAGCCGGAAGGCGAGAATAAGACATTGTTTATTGGGAATGTCGGTTTCAATGTGTCAGAAAAAATGATCCAAGATGTCTTCGCTTCGAAGGGCTTTATTGTGAACGTTGACCTTCCGTTGGATGCCACTTCGGGTAAACACGCGGGCTTTGGGTACTTGCATTTTCCATCAAAGTATCCAGCCATTGCTGCAATAGATGCACTTCAGGGCGAACGTATTGATGGCTATGCGATCAATCTCGAGTTCAGCGAGAACACACCCATCGAAAATGTCCTCGCAACGTCCAACTTGAACTCCAATGGAACTCCCCATAACGGTGCGCAAGGCTCCAAGCAAGTCAATTCCAGCTCTCTTCCTCGACCAAGCAGCTCCATCAAGCGGCAGAAGTCAGTCTCTTTCAAAGAGCCATCCCTACAAATGGAAGAGGCTGACAATATACACTCGTCGAGTGTTCCCCTCGAGCTGGATCGCCTCAGCTGATTGATCTATCGTTTGAAGACAATTCTGGCTCCGCTTGCGACTCCTCGCGCCAGGTTAAGGATGATCCAGAACATAAACAAGGCAATGAAGATGAATCTTTTTCGAATTTCAATCACGAGAAGGAAATGAGTCGATTCCCGCCTGTTTCCCAGTTAGAAGCACAACATCTCGCAAAACATAACCAGAATCGTGCCACTCCCGCGAGTACACATAGTGATCCAACCCTGGAATCCCCTCTGCGACGTTCACAGACTACTTCTAGTGTTCGTGGGACACGCCCCCTTGTCCACCCTTCCCTAGAGGGCCTAGAGGGGATGAGATATGACGCTGGCCAACCGAATCCTTCTGCTGCGATGGGACCATCTCTTCGTCGTTCGAGCACCATGGTGTTCCCGCACCCCAGCCTCCATCATCCTGTCTCGGATGATACAGCCTATCCCAGACTGAAACGACACGCATCCGAGCGGCATAGCCTTCGATCGAGTGCCGAAACTGATACCTGGGCACGACTTGACAGAAGAGAACGCCGCCGCTCGAGGCCGTCGTCTGAGCACAGCATTCCCGGAAGCTTCCCTGTTGAGGAAACAATTCAACCTTCGACTAGCAATGAATCTGAAAGCCTCAATACATCTGAAATCGAGGCTTGCGTCTCCTCTCTTATCGATATGGGCTATGGCACTGCCGAAGAGGGTGGGCGATCTCGGATGGCAGTGTATGCCGCCGCATCAAACGGCAGTCTTCTAGATGCCATTGAGATGATCGAGGAGGAGAGAAAGGTGTATGCGAAACACGACCAGATTTGAGTTAGAAACTGGGCTCTCTTTTTGTTCTCTTTGCTCCCGACCGAGTCGCTCTTTTTCGCTCCTGAAGCCTTGCAGATTTTCTACGCTTTATGACACCAAACTCCTTTTACTGACCCTAATTTGTTGCGAATTTCAAGCTTAGCCAACCTCAACTTTGATTTATTTGAAGCCCTTGGGTTAGATTCGTATTCATCCCGTGCCTCGTAGCCCTTCGCCATCTAGATGATGGCCACTAGGGTACCTTAAGGTAGCACTCTTGTCCACATTGTAGGCTGCTGCGGAGTTGAGAGGCGGACCCACTGCCCCGTCATTTTTCCAGCCCGCAACCTCCGATCAATCAAATCACCCTTCCAACAAACACCATCGCAACACGATCCCAGCCATGCAGACATGGCGGCGGACCTTCGCCACATCTGTCGCAAGACTAGGCTCGAGTACAACGCCTAGTTCACGTCCGGCTATCCTTCGATGCGCACAGATCCTCCAGAACAGCAAGCAAGGCCAGCCCTGCAGCTTGGAGGACCAGGAGATCAAAGTCAATGGATTCATTCGGTCCGTTCGCAAACAGAAGCGCTTTGCTTTTGCGGAAATTTCCGATGGATCGACTATCCAGCCATTGCAGGCAATCTTAAAGCCAGCGCAGGCAGCTGAGTATGTCAATTCGCGAAGGCTATGACTCGCTGCCATCTTCGCGTTGAGAACGAGGTCTAACACGGTCGCATTTCTCTACACTCTAGCTTATCCACTGGTACTGCAGTTCAAATATCAGGTATATGGAAGGCCTGCCCACCTGGAAAGGAGCAGACCCGTGAGCTTCAAACAACCGATGTGACCGTGGTCGGCGCGTCGGATCCAGAGGTATGAACTCGACCCCACACACGACGGACTACATTCTAACCACGATGTCTCTTTCCACAGACCTTTCCGATCCAGAAGAAATACCACAGTCCCGACTTCCTGAGACAGATTCCCCATCTTCGTATCCGAACACCGTTTCAATCATTGCTCTCGAGATTCCGTTCAGAGTGCCTATTCCAGATCGGCAACGTCTTCCATTCCTTTCCCAATGGCGGCTTCGCTCAAGTACAACCTCCCATAATTACGTCCTCGGATTGTGAAGGAGCAGGAGAAACATTCACACTCGCTCCTCGAGGCTCTGCGACGCCGGATGTCGATGGGGACCACTTTTTCCGCGCACCTAAATACCTGACTGTGTCATCGCAACTACATCTTGAGGCATATGCCGCAGAGCTGGGCAATGTGTGGACATTGACGCCTGTTTTTCGTGCGGAGAAGAGCGACACGCCACGGCATCTCAGTGAGTTCTACATGCTCGAAGCGGAAGCAAACTTCATGAATGACTTGGATTCGCTTACGGGCGTGGTTGAACATATGCTTCGTGATTTGACACGACGACTATATGAGACATCTGTTGGACAGGAAATTTTGTCAGCAAAGCGCGGCGGCGAGTCTGGGCAGGAGAGTTCCTCTGATGAGTCGAAGCTAGATCTACGTCAACGATGGGCCACCTTGATGGATAGCCCCAAGTGGCCTCGTGTCACATATACAAAGGCCATTGAAATGCTCCAGCGAGCTGCTGCTGATGAAGGTGCCTCATTCGAATACCCGCCCACGTGGGATGGTGGCCTTCAACTCGAGCACGAAAAGTACATTGTTGAGGTGTTGCACCAAGGCAACCCGGTCTTTGTCACTGATTATCCGAAATCTGTCAAGCCATTCTACATGGCTCCCTCACAGGTTGGAAATGAGACTGACGATACACCGGGGCCGACCGTTGCCTGCTTCGACCTGCTCCTGCCCGAGGTCAGCGAAGTCGCTGGGGGTTCCTTGCGTGAACATCGTCTGCCCGACCTTATCCAGAACATGCGCGAGCATGGTTTGATTAAAACCATTGAGGCTACTGACCTTGGGGAGCCAACTCCCAATGAGTCTCGATACCCTCACCTTGCGCCAACTGAAGACCTCGGTCACTTACAGTGGTACGCGGACCTTCGCCGCTGGGGCACTGCACCACATGGTGGCTTTGGACTTGGTTTCGACCGGATCCTCAGTTATCTAGCTGGCGTCTCTAGTGTTCGGGATGTGGTCCCATTTCCGCGGTATTTTGGCCGAGCTGATTGCTAGTGTGGCCTCAGTGAACAGTGTAAAAATATATCAAAAACTATATTATAGACATGGAATCCAAACATCCACCGAGATGCCACATCCTTTAATCCAAGTGAAACTTGGCAACAGACATGCTTATTCCGTCAACTACCACTTGAACTGGCGAGAGGGCACGGCGATATATTCGTTTTGATATCATTCGCTGTATTTCTCATGGTCCTGAAATTGTAGGAGAATCCGCTCCTACGCACGTAAACCATTCATCACAACGAATGATTACGCACGTAGCAGCCCTGGAGGTTACCTACTAACTATCGCATCAACACAGTCATCGTCTCACTTGAGCGCCCTTACACAGCACGGCGCTCCGTCCCACACCTGAATTCGACGCGATGGGGTTTTCTCTAATTCTCACTTTAGGTCTAGGCGACCAACACGCTATTCCCGAAGGCAAGGAGTGCGAGGCGCGGTGGAGTTACACCTGCAATTAGAGCTGCATCGCCCCGACCCCGAGGCTGATAGTTGGGGCCAGGGGGGGGCCATCTTCCCGCCCCTGAGCTCCGGAAAGAGTTTAAATCATCGACCAGGAAGGATCGAAATGCAATTGGGGGCGAGACTCGAAGATCCCGAATCGACTCTAGACTGGGGCGTCCGGATTGAACAAGATCTAGGTACTCCGTACGGATACTACATACGTCAAGGCAACTAGGGCTGCGAGAGGGGGCCGAAAGGAATGCAGGATTAAAGACGGGCCAAGCCTTGCCAGGGTCTCAAACCTGGAATACATGATGAATTCGAGGGTGATACTTGGCGTGGGAGGGATATGGTACATACTCGCTCGCTCCGACTCTCGTTCTAGTATGTTATGTTACAAAGTGTGAGATCAGCAAACTTCGGTACGAGTCATTCTGGGTAAAATCTAACAGGATTAGTTGAGTGGCTGAGGACGGACAGCTAAATACGTCTTCAAATATGTATGCGCAATTCTCGACTGTACAACAACACAGAAAAGTATACATGACCAGTCGAGTTCCGTTATGCACCGGCTCTCGGATCGGTCCAAGCAAGGCCAAGCACTCTAGTGTGGTTGGAGGCGTCCGCAGGCAAAGGCAAAAAACCGGGGCCGCCGAAAGGGACGTCGATGCTATCCGGCGCAACCGATACCAAGTAGAGTCAGAATGCGAATGCGAGCCTAAAGGGAAAGGGGGTCGAAGGGGGAGGTGGGGGGGGGGAACGGACGACGGAGGACTCCGTCAGCTCAAAAACGTGGTCCGTGGGTCTCCGGGTCTCTCTCTCTACTCGTACACCTGGGCATATCTTTAAAAAACACACTTTATTAAGCTGGGTCAGCTGCGGAGCTCGCTTAAGGCTGCCGAGAGTCGTATCTCCTCTCTTACCACTGGAGGAGGGGGAAATACGAGTGGGGCTTCAACTCACGAATTATGTATCAACTTAACTCATTATTCCTAGCGATGCCGAGAGACAAGAAATTCAATATACTAGTACGATTTAGGTATCACCTTGCCTGGGCATGCAGGAGTTTGGGAACGGTTGGTGGCCTCATAGGCAGAACCAATATTCACCCTCATCAGGGGGCTCTAACTGTCCATAACAGCCTCACAGGAAGGGAGGGGGACAGCCTTGGGGGAATTTTCCTTTTAATCTAACAAAGTTTACGAGGGGCCAGCCCTGCGATACCAATCAAGAGGCCAGGATCGGCGAGCCAAGGAGACCCAACCTTACCGGGGTTAAGCATAAGCACGAAAGATGTTCGGGCAGTGTCCGCTAGACGAGTCATGCAGCCGGGGGTTATCCCTGATTCGACGTATCACATAAGATGATTAATGTACGAGTAGCCAGGTTTTCATAGACTATAAAATGTTACCCTAAGGTATGTGAGCGAGAAAGATCGATTGCATGGCGATATCCGTACTTTGCACCTGATATCGTATATTTAGTGGGACTCCGTATCTTGGAGCCATATTGTATTCTATGTATTCTATTTACCAGGCCAAGTCCTCGTATTATCTTAGCCACACTTCCAAGTATTCGTCCAAGTATTCGTATTCGGCTAGTTAAACTCCCCGAACGCATAAACTCAAACACCGTGCGCCACATGGTTATGCTGATTCATGTAAGACACCCGGCCCTAGTGGATACAGCTGTCGGGCCATCGCGCCACTTCTGGTTAATATTAAGTGCAAGATTACCTTCTGTGGGCAAGAAACATGGCGCTGTTTGCCCCATAAACTGATTTTACTCCCATGGTTCAGAAGGGGCGCGCTGGATTTTAGGCTTGCCGAGTGACAGTTGCCACCCCAGAGCACCGACCGAGCCAAAAACTGGGGCCTAGGAAGCGAAAGGCCAAAGCTAAGGTCTTGGCGGGGGCTAGGCGCCTTTCACGACACAAATGTGCGTTCTTGGCTTCTGAAAGAAGGGGGGAGGGGGTCGAGGAAGCAGGACTCAAGCAACTAAAATCATTTTCATCTCTAGAATTCGATGCGAAACCAAGGACATCGCAGATCGGAGGCGACCGGCTCATTGGTGGGAAATAACGACACAGGCTAGGCCTACATCCTGCGCTGCTGTGAGAGTTTTCCAAGGTTAAGGGGGGGGGCATTGTTTGCAAATTGGCATCCTTAGGGCCAAGCATTGTGTCTTCTAATTTAACTTGTTAATTTATTATTTTAGGATTCCGCTTTAAATATGTATACCTAAATTCTAATGCATATTCCCACTTAGGGACGCCCTTGGTTGTATGTACTAGGAAATCCTTGCGAGAAAATGGATCTGGGATCCTCCCAGCACATTCCCCATTCATCCAAGCGACAATCATAGACACCTTAATTATGTTAGTGGAGATAAGCTCGTGC